AAAACATTAGTGGTGGAGAGCCTCCCTCTCTCCCCTCTCTCCCCTCTATCCCTCCTCCCTCCCTCCCCTCCCTCACCACTCGCAGCAGACAGAGAGGGATCCGGTAAGGAATAGAGCTGAACTGGGAGGGAGGGAGGGAGGGAGGGAGGTTCATCTGTGAAAAGGAGGCTTTGTGAGCCTCATCAGAGAGCATGACCCTCCCCACCCAAGCCCTCCATACACACTCTGCTCTTAACTCACATTTTAGGCATTTATATCAATCCTAAAAGAAGAAATCTCAAAATGAAATGCTGTAATTGTCCATATTTGGTTTATTAAGAGACTGTGCCGTGTTAAATTAGAGCTGAACCAATCACTGCCAGATGTAGCTTAATGGAGGAAGATGTGTCTCAGTATTATTTGTGTGAAAAGATTGACAATGTATGCATTATTTGTATTCTTTAAAAGTTCACACTTCACCAGAAGCAATTTGTTGTTTGCAAATATACAAACAAATTCCACAAAGTCTGTAAATCCATTACATTTATTTACAAGAAAATGAAAGCATTTGTTAATATCTTTCTCATATGTATACTTAGTCTCAGAAATAGGCCTTCATACATGGTATAGATCAACATTTATTCAGAGTCTTCTCCAAGCTGTTTTGAAAATACAAATGTTCATCTCCAAAAATATAGAAATATAAAAATTAATTGATTACAATTTCATGGAGTTTCCCGATGGATGAAAAGTGAAAACGAATGTTTGTTGTCCACAGCTGACGTTAAATTGACTTCTTTCTGCTGATTGATATGACTACACATAGGCTGCATCCCACTTCGGTTAAATTAATTCCTTGCGTTCCTCACTTGCGTCAATTCCCTGCATCTAGTCCCTCCCACCAGGGAAGCATGGAGAGACGCAAGGAAACGTCTGACAGCAGCCAGATCAGTGCATGCGCTGCATCGTCCAATCAGTGAGCGATACACAGTAAGGGGGCGGGGCGAGTGTCTGAGGATTTCACCGGAGGATGGTCTGGTAGTTCCTCGATTATCGCTCCTCCGTTATCACTCCTCGATCCTCGGTCCTCCGGCACAAATAAGGCCACTGGGACGCTACTCAAGATGGCGCAGACAAATCAACTTCCGGTGATACCGAGCCCGAGGAGCGAGGAAATGAAAAATAACCGAAGTGAGACGCACCCAAAGTCCCTTGATCCTCCTTAGCAACGGTCTGCTCTCCTTAGCAACGGTCTGCTCTCCTTAGCAACGGTCTGCTCTCCTTAGCAACGGTCTGTTAGTGAAAATGAACAACCTCTGGACTGTCCGAGTTGACCAATCATAATTAAGTATTCCATTAAACTGTGTAATAATGGAACAATTATGTGTATCTGCCCCTGCTGCACCCTGTGTAAGGTAAAATAAAATAGCAGTTGGATATATTTAGATTGTATACTTTAAGTAAAGTGCGATTGCTGAACATTCACAGCTATCAGAAACAACCAGGGGTTTTATTTAGGGGTTTTATTTGACCAACATGCCTTCATGACTGAGAGAAGCTGTTTGCTCTTCACTGTTTCTCAGTTTAAAAATATGTTTCCCCCTCTTCGTACATATTTGAGAGCCAGCTGGGTTATGACTTTATAAATAAATGTAAGATGAATGTTTCCTTGATGATGTACTGTACCAGCTGAATGAACAGAGGTGACGCCGAGACAAATGCTCTATTTCAGCTCCGCTCCCGTGTATGTCTTTCCTACAGAGCTCTTTTTAAAACCAGGCACATGCAATATGTCAAGAGGAAGTTGGCACATTGACAAAACAGAAGTTATAAACACAACTTTAAATGTGTGGCTCTCTCTGTGACATTTCAGAAACTACAAGGCCCTTTTAGACGTGTTCGGGTGGGTCACTGTATTAAGCAATACTTCATAAAGATTGAATTGTGTTTCTATGTGAGGTAGTCTGAAGGAAAGGGTGTATCATGTGGACAAACAACCTCTTTCTGCTGAAGATATTTTTTCTAGGATTTTAAAGGGGCCTTATTCTGCTGATGTTCAGGTGTATATCAGTATGTAGTGTCTCTACTTTAAAGAGTCCTCTCCTGCTGATGTTCAGGTGTATATCAGTATGTAGTGTCTCTACTTTAAAGAGTCCTCTCCTGCTGATGTTCAGGTGTATATCGGTATGTAGTGTCTCTACTTTAAAGAGTCCTCTCCTGCTGATGTTCAGGTGTATATCAGTATGTAGTGTCTCTACTTTAAAGAGTCCTCTCCTGCTGATGTCCAGGTGTATATCAGTATGTAGTGTCTCTACTTTAAAGAGTCCTCTCCTGCTGATGATCAGGTGTATATCAGTATGTAGTGTCTCTACTTTAAAGAGTCCTCTCCTGTTGATGTTCAGGTGTGTATCAGTATGTAGTGTCTCTACTTTAAAGAGTCCTCTCCTGCTGATGTTCAGGTGTATATCAGTATGTAGTGTCTCTACTTTAAAGAGTCCTCTCTTGCTGATGTTCAGGTGAATATCAGTATGTAGTGTCTCTACTTTAAAGAGTCCTCTCCTGCTGATGATCAGGTGTATATCAGTATGTAGTGTCTCTACTTTAAAGAGTCCTCTCCTGCTGATCTTCAGGTGTATATCAGTATGTAGTGTCTCTACTTTAAAGAGTCCTCTCCTGCTGATGTTCAGGTGTATATCAGTATGTAGTGTCTCTACATGTCTCCATGCTTTAATGTTCAAAAAGCTCTGTATTTTTATCATACTGTCTGTGCTGCAGCACCTCTTTTCACCCTCTGTCTGAAACCAGAGCCCAGTCTGCTCTGATTGGTTAGCTGGCCGGCGATATCCCAGGATTCTTTGTCTTTGCACACCATTCATATGCACAAAAACCTATATAACACACTACAGGAGAGGGAACCCCCCCCCCCCCCAAAAGCATAAAACAGCCCCATTAATTAGCATTGCCCCCTAAAAACATGTCTCCCATGATTATATTTTATTATGTCTCACTTTCTCTCCGTGTGTTTGCAGGTGCTGGAGCTGCAGAAAGAGAGCGGCACGACGGAGGAGCAGAGTCTGGATAAAGAGGCGAGGAAATGGGCGAGTCGCGTGGCCCGAGAATACAAGAGCATCATCCACACACAGCGGGTGAGAACCAGATCACACTGAGGAACACATGAAGCTGTAGGCAGGCCTCAAGAGGGAGATACTGTTAACATATCCTGTTACCCCCCCTGGTCACTTAATCAAATGTGAAACTTTACAGCGTAGATAAAAGGCAAATACAAGATTAAATAAGCACAGGGTATGAAGTTAAGAAGCAGCATTATGAAAGTAAGTAAACATTTAAAACATAAAAAGTGGTAAACTAGCAGCCTGTATTAACATTATTAGTTGTGAAAGTAGATATAAGACATGGTAATTCAGCGTTACTACAGACTTAGGTAGCGAATTAGCCACCACATTTTAACTCTTAAGAAATATGGTGTGTTGTGCAATAACAATATGTACAATATAAAAAAATGTTTCACAAACTCTCATCCTTCTACATTATTCATTATATGCAGTTAATTAAAGTGGAATACTTAGCCATCTCAAATATATGCTATATTACTTTAATACAAATAAAAAATACCCAGGTACACCAATAGTTTGGCATCCTTCAGCCCCACTAAACAAAATCTGAACTACTCTTTAATTAAACCGGTTAGTCCGTTTCCCCGGTTCCTTTATGGACTGTATATAGATGGATGACAATAAAGTCTCTTATCTCTTATCTTTATTATCTCTTAAATGTCATGTCAAAGTGAAACCTGGTCGACGTAATCTGGGTCATTTCCCTAGTAGATCCTGGAGGACACTCATTTCTAAAGCAGGACTGTCGTTCAGGAAAATCCTGCTTTAGAAATGGTTTGCCTATTTGTGACTTGTTTTTAAAAAAGTAGTAAAAAATGAACCTGGAAAGTTCTCCTTTGATTTTACATGGAAGTTGTAAGTCCATAGATCAGTTTATCAATCATTTAACACATCGCCATTTGCTGTCGTATGTTCCTTGTGTGGTTACAAAAACAGCTGTCGTGGCCCATTCTTGTGGGATATCTAAAACTGTGCCACGTCAACAGGGATCCGCTTCTTGACTCGCACGTTAAAAACCATCCACATAAAGCTCTGGAGGCGCTGATTTCTTTGCCTTCCTTGGCCGAATTATTTACTTCCATATATTTAAACAAACAAAATAAACAAAATGGTCAGTGTAACGTGAGGTCAAAGACTGTTCCGATTCCCCGTTCATTGCTGGAGACGATTTCCACATCACGCTCAGTCCCACCCCTTCCTTATATAACAGGTGTGGCTCGCACTAAATCAAAGTTTTCCTCCGAATAATTAATTCGGTACTAATACATAAATGGAAAGAATATATTAAGATCTAAATTAATAAGAAAATAATACACTCATTGTCAACACAGAAAATGGCTCTAACAACAGCGGAACATAACATTAACTGTGTTACTTTAGTTGGTGTAAGGTTATTTCTCATTGTTGGAAGTAGCAATGCACCAAATGCCAATTCTATAAATAATGCATCAGGTGCGGAGTAGTGGTGAGGATCAATAGAAACAAAACAGGCACTCACAGATGTCCTGTCTTTTGTTCTTGTTTATTTTTGCTTGAATTTCTTCACATTTTGACAAATTAGCATCAGTGAAAATATGTTAAATAAACTTTGTGATGATTCTCAGACAATTCTTATATTCTTTCTCTTTGATTTTAAGCAGATTTACGGATGTTAAAACAGGGATCCCGCGGGGTCTTAAAAAAGTCTTAATTTTGATAATCAGAATTTAAGGCCTTAAAAAGTCTTAAATATGATCAAAAAAATAAGAAAGGTCTTAAATATGATTTAGAAGGTCTTCAAAATGATGGGATTTGAAAGGTACTTCTGTGTTGCGATCGCGTCTAAATGTGTTTTGGGGGAAATGTCCGGGCTGCAAAGTAACCAGTACGGCAAGAGCCTTTCAGTTCCCCTCAACAATCTGTATTGAAATAAATCAACATGGAACCAGTAATCACTAACTTTGTTTTCCCCTGGCCCCTTATCGGAGAACACCCAGCTAGTAACCTAGCAACCAACCAAGCTTCAGCTAGCGGCAGTCAGAAGCTCAGGTATCTTCGAATCTACTTACAAATAAATATGGGGACGTGTAAGTTCAACCGTATTTGGTTGGAAAACATCGAATTTAGTGCTTGGTTGAAACCAGTGGAGGGGAATGTGTTTGAAGCCCGCTGCACCTTTTGCAAACAAAATTTGTGTTTGTTTTGCTAATGCAGCGTTAGCTAGTGCAGCGTTAGCTAGTGCAGCGTTAGCTAGTGCAGCAGCTCCCACCGGGGGACCTCCGGGCGACGTTTGGGTCTACGTCAACCGTTAAAAGCGGAGGTGCTGTGGACGCTAAATACCAATCATACAGCATGAAGGCAGCAGAGCTCTGAATATAGCTCTTGTCACACACACACACACACACACACACACACACACACACACACACACACACACACACACACAGATACACACACACACTTTTTGTCTAACACAGTTCTGTGTACTGTTATGCTGTTATGTTCAGTCATCGTTCTCATGTTGAATGAAAAATGAAAATGAATACATTTACTTTGTAAGTAATTATGGGAAGTATTTCTTCTTTCATAGCAATTTTCCTTCATACTTTCTTGCCGTGAAATAGGTCCTAAATTCTATTCAAAGTGGTCTTAAAAAGTCTTACATTTGAGTTGGTGAAACCTGCAGGAACCCTGTAAAATGTATTGAAGGAAGTTGCCAGTGTGTTAATGACTAACGAATATATTTTTCCACTACACTGGAATTTGTCCTTTACTGTAACCACGTAGGTTAGTTTGATATTAATAAGCCTGGGATCATAAAATCATGACCCATGTGTGAAGGAAAATATGATGGAGCGATGCAATACAGGATAAGACTTCCTTATCATTACTTAATTGTCACCCATTCATTTTATTGTGAACAGGTGAAGATAAGGAATTGCATGACCTTTATTTTCCAGCAAACAAGGATTAATCAGGAAATGAGTCTCTCTCTCAGAATCCATATCCGGTTTATTGTCAAGTAGCTTTTTATTACACAGAACTGGCTTTGCTGTTTTGATACATATCATAAATATAGTGAGAGAAAATGCCATTTAAAAAAAATATTAAAAGTAGGGTAGGTAATTTTGGAGAAACCGGCTCGAGTGTGCTAGAATTTGAAAATACACAGCCGGAGAAAATCTGCCACTTCCTCACAGAGCCCCTCCTCCAACACACACGAACGCACACATGACCAATGAGGGCACGAGATAAGTTTGTGCACAGATGGAAGGCTGACAGGCAGGTAGGCCATCCAGTTATTTTAGCCGGGCCGGCTCAGATGATTGGTCGTGCTTTTTACAGTACTACAGCTTCCACAGATGATATTTATTTATGGATTTTTTGTCAAAGCACTTCAGATATTCATTGCTATCGGGATGTTAAGAGCATTCCATGGAATATAACAACAAGTGTATCTCGAGCCGGTTTCTCAAAATTACCTACCCCACCTTTAAATAAAACGTAAAATATATCTAAAATAAAATGGAAGTGCTATTCACATGAAGTTCAAAATAAATATGTAATGCAAAGAAATAAAGTCCCAAAGATGTTCGTTAATGAAGTTTCTCTCGTGTAAAATGTCTTCAATACATAGATTTAATTATTATTATTGGGTTTAAGTCCTGTGTTTTTATAACTGTATGATGACATTGGTATTTGTTGTGATGTGTTTTCAGGCTATGGAGGGATACGGGACGCAGGAGTCTACAGAGCAGAACAACACTGAGCTGGAGACCAAGATGGAGGTCGCCAGGCAGAGTCTCCGGAGGGCAGAGGTAATGTGTGTGTGTGTGTGTGTGTGTGTGTGTGTGTGTGTGTGTGTGTGTGTGTGTGTGTGTGTGTGTGTGTGTGTGTGTGTGTGTGTGTGTGTGTGTGTGTGTGTGTGTGTGTGTGTGTGTGTGTGTGTGTGTGTGTGTGTGTGTGTGTGTGTGTGTGTGTGTGTGTGTGTGTGTGTGTTGTGTGTGTGTGTGTGTGTGTGTGTGTGTGTGTGTGTGTGTGTGTGTGTGTGTGTGTGTGTGTGTGTGTGTGTGTGTGTGTGTGTGTGTGTGTGTGTGTGTGTGTGTGTGTGTGTGTGTGTGTGTGTGTGTGTGTGTGTGTGTGTGTGTGTGTGTGTGTGTGTGTGTGTGTGTGTGTGTGTGTGTGTGTGTGTGTGTGTGCTGAATGTGGCCCCAGTGCTCCCTCTAGTGGTTAAACAGATGAAATGACACAGACTAGGGTCAAATACTTCTGTGCTACAATCCAATGTTGTATCCAGGGTGTTCCTGAAATGCAAAAATGCATAACTTGTATCATTGCTGTGAAACAAAACAAAAACTGAAGTGTAAGAGAGACAATAAATGTTAACTTTAAGCTAATTAACTCAAAATGTAAGCCAAACATTACAGCTATAAGTAACACGCATAGAACTATTGTTTCAGCATGTTGTCATGTTTTATTGATTTATCTTGCAGACGGTGAAAGTGAAGGCGGAGGCTCGTCTGGAGTTGCTTCGGCTGGCGGGTATTGCCGTGGAAACGTGGCTGAAGAGCGCCATGAACCAAGTGATGGAGGAACTGGAGAACGAGCGCTGGAACAACCTCAATACCCATGATCCTTCACTCTCTGTAAGACACACAACTACACAACTCTTACACATTATTTTTCATATTTGTAACCTCTTTTTGGTGTCATCAAACTCTCTCTGTTGTAAGGCAAGGCATGGCAAGTTTATTTATACAGCACCTTTCAGCACACGGCAACCCAACGTGCTTTACAAAATGAAATAAAATACATTTAAGAACAAATACAGTGGAAGCACATTATAAAAAGGCATTTAAAAAGCAAAGATAATCAAATAAACCCAACAGGTATAAAATACATGGATAAAAAGCCATACTGCAGTTTGAGTTTGAACAACTCATCCAAATGCAGCGTCAAAAAGATACGTTTTTAATCTCGATTTTAAAAGTATCAACAGTTGCAGCTGACCTGCAGGATTCAGGCAGTTTGTTCCAGATGGTCGGGGCATACAAACTAAACGCTGCTTCTCCATGTTCAGTTCTGACTCTTGTAGCAGAGAGCAGACCCGTCCCAGAAGACCTGAGACTCCTGGATGGTTCATACTTCTGCAGGAGATCGTTAATATAATTTAGTGCTTTAAAAACCAGCAATAGTACTTTAAAATCAATTATTTGGCCGACTGGAAGCCAGTGTAAAGACTTCAGAACTGGACTGATGTGATCCACTCTGTTAGTGTCAGTGAGGACTCGAGCAGCGGCGTTCTGAATCAGCTGCAGCTTTCTGATGGATTAGTGAGACCTGTGAAGACACCATCGAGTCTACTGAAGATAAAAGCATGGACAAGCTTTTCTAAATCCTGCTGTGACATTAGTCTTTTAATCCTAGATATATTCTTCAGGTGATAGTATGCAGACTTAATAACTGACTGTTAAAATTCAGGTCTGAGTCCATCACTACACCTAGATTTCTAGCTTTATTCGTTGTTTTGTAGTCGGCCGACTGAAGCTCTGCGATTACTTTTAATCGTTCCTCCTTTGCTCCAAAAACAATAATCTCAGTTTTCTGTTTGTTCAGTTGGAGAAAGTTCTGAGTCATCCAGTCATTGATTTGTTCAATGCACTTGCTCAGTGTTGTAATCGGAGAATAGTCTCCTGGTGTAATTTTTAAATAAATCTGGGTGTCATCTGCATAGATGTGATAACTGTTTTTCATAATTTGAGCCAGTGGTAACATATAGATATTAAAAAGCAAAGGTCCTAAGATGGAGCCTTGAGGAACCCCGCATGTCATATTTGTCAACGCTGATGTGTAGTTGTCTATAGAGACAACGTTTTTTCTGTCCTTTAAAGGTCACCTATCATGCTAGTTGTAGGCAATAGCATAGGTCTCAGATATATACAAATATATAAAAAACATGTCTCTGAAGTGTTTTGCTCAAAATACCAAACAGATCACCCATTCTAGCCATGCCTCATATCCCTCTATTTCACTTCCTGTTTCAAAAGTGCTGATTTGGGGTATAAAGGTTAAAAAAATGTTTTATATAAAATCAAAAAGGAGGGGTCTGAGCTCATGCGGGACCCGGCAGCTACTGTCTAAACTAAATACTGCCGTGATGAAGCGCCATATCATGGATTATCAAGGATTCTCTCTGAAACAGTATGGAGCTCAAAGGCTTTCTCTCTTGCCGGTTATACCACAAGGTGAGTTCCTTTTTATTTCCTGCTTCTTCACACACATGCTCTCCAGTACAGGTTAGCTCTGAGTGTTAGCGATGCTAATGTAAACACCGACCATATTACGTCCAAAACAGTCAGGCATTGTTTCTGATAGCAACGTTTCTGATTGGGCCGTGGGTCCACATTTCAGATATTACGTCATATCGGACGCAAATCTGGATCAGCTCCGTTGTTCCCCCGTTTTTAGAGATTTGGGTACGGAGGAAAAGAGAGAGGGTTTTATTTTCTGACGCTGCGTGAGTTCCCCGACACACCGGGGACACATTATGTATAAAGGACATCAAAAAGTGCATTTTGCATGATAGGTCCCCTTTAAGTAGGAACCAAACCAATTTAGAACTGTTGCCTGAAACTCCCATCCCAGTTTTCTAGTCGGTCTAGCAATATGTTGTGGTCGACTGTATCAAACGCAGCGCTGAGATCTAATAATACTAACACTGATATTCTGCCACTGTCTGTGTTTAAATGGATGTCATTTAAGACTTTAACAAGAGCAGTCTCAGTGCTGTGGTTTGGTGGAAAGCCTGACTGGAACACATCAAAACCGTCATTTAAAAGCATGAAATTACTCAGCTGTTGAAAAACTACTTTTTCAATAATTTTGCCTAAAAAAGGAAGGTTTGGCCGGTTGTAACCATAAGAGTGCAAATAATCAAGGTTCAAGGTTCTTTATTCAGTCATACGAACATAGCTACAGTGTAGTTATGCCGATGAAAATCTTGTGTCACAGACTGACTGGATTGTGATCAGTTCCATATAATATCTTTCATATTCCTGCAGGGAACGGCGGATTTGGAGCGAGAGGACGAGGAGGAGATGGAGGACAGCGGGGACGTTTTAGACGACAGCAGCTCGAGTCCCTCCAGCACCTTGAAGAACTATCCGCTCACCTGCAAAGTCCTCTACTCCTACAAGGTACAGTAGAAAACACAATAGTGGGAAAAATGGGTTGTTTTTTTGTAACATTCATCACATTACACAAACACAACCGAACATTCCCAACATTAGACATATGGCAGATTACAAAATAATGCTAACAAATCTATAAAATAAAAAGTATCCAGTTGCTAGAAATCATTTCGCTTTCAGTTTAGTTTTTTAACAAATGCTGTTTCCTTGTTTGCAGTCGTCGCAGCCAGATGAGCTGACCATCGAGGAGCAGGAGATCTTGGAGGTCATTGATGACGGAGACATGGAGGACTGGGTCAAGGTGCGCTAAATATACATTCACTAATTCAAGTTAAGCATGTTTGATATCAAGCTAAAAGGGCTATTCGTTTAGAATTGGAAGTATAATGTCTCAGAAGTATGTAGCTACTAAATACACAAAAGTACTCGGTTGGATATCCCTGCTGCAGAATATTTCAACCCGAGCTCATTGTGTTTATTTGATGACGTTTGCTGTGGACTTTCCCACTGAAAGTCAAAGTCAACTTAATTATCAATCTTTCAGTTTGTGTGTAGAGCAGGGACGTACACAGACATTTTAGGGGGCGGGTGCTCAAGTGATAAAAAGGGCACTTCCCATAATCAGTTATTTAAAAAAAAGTTAAATATAGTTGCACATCTCTGACTTATGGCGCAGTTCCACTGCAGCGCGGAGCTCGCTTTAAGCGTGCCGTGTCGTGCCGTCCCCTTTTTTGGTTGTGCTTCCACTAGGCCTAGTTAAGGCACGGCACAGCGCGGGGCCACTTTTTCACCTCTTTTCTGGCCCTAGAAAATTGTGGTTCTATCGGGGCCAACAAACAGGGCTGAGTCGGGCTGAGTATGCTAAACTAGAGAGAGGAGCGCTGGCAAGAGGGCTAGAATTACAACAAGATGGACATATTTGACCGTGATTTAATTGTAATACACGTTTCAAAATGATGCCGAAGTAACAACATACTGATACCGGTTAGTAAAAACCATGAATTAATGCTTTGTCAAGTCTGCAGACAGACGGCAGGGGAAAAACCTTTTAAAATGCGTGTTTTTCTAGATGGAGATTGGCTAAGCTAACGCAGTATATGCTCCGACCGTCCACACTCACAACAACGGCCTATACAGACATAAATAAAGCAGCGACTGTATTCACCATGACACAGGCAGTCTGTGGTGTGTACTTGTTTAACTTTTGTCGAGTTTCTGAACATATATAAGGAGCTGTGAGCTCTGAGTGCTCACAGCTAACGGCTGTGTTGTGTTTCTGGATTTCTCATTGAAGATGACGTCACGGCTCCGCCTACACTGCGTTACTATAGTAACTACCCCAGTTCCTAAACTGTAATGGAAGCGCAGCATGAAGTGAGTCGGCCCTGTTAAGGCCCAACGCGGCCAAGCCGTACCGAGCCGTACCGAGTGTGGCCGAGGCCGACCGTGTAGTGGAAATGCGCCATTACTGACCAATTTATTTGAATACCCTCACACTCACGTAATTGTTTAATACTCAGCAGAATTCTACAAAATAATCAGCTAACACAGAGACAATGGTCTTCTTTAGTATTCACTACACACAAGAGCAGACAACAAACTAGTACAATGAATAGTTATTAAATGAGCAGCCAACAATCAAAATTCTGAAGTTACTGTTTAAGGACATTCCAGGCAAAAAGATCGTTTTTTCATGTACTTGTTATTTTGGTCTATTTTGCTTCCATGTTTTCTTTCACTCTAATGGAAATAAAACTTCCAAGAAACATATAAATGGTGTTCGTTTTACTACCATGTCTGAATTCTAAGCTAATCTGCATTTAAACATAACATTTCCGGGGAAAATACTGACTTGACGTAAGTAACTATCTGGGGAAGTTGTGAGGTGATATGTTTTTTAGTTTGATCCTTTTCACCTGAAATGCCTCGGTAACTGCATGCACATTAGCGCTACGGAACTTCACAGTCTAATCTCCCGACCTGATATTTTGTATTCAATCAATATATTTCTGCAAAGGGAAACTGTGCGCAAACAGCAGTAGATATATATTCATTTATACAAATATTTAAAAAAGGGCAGGGGCTCAAGCCCACTTTGATGTCTATGTGTGCACGTGCCTGGTGTAGAGAGATCGAAATACCGTTTCCCACAATCCCGAATACAAAAATACAAATATATATAAAAATATGTATAGAAATATGTATATACCTATATACAATCAACAGACACATTTATTTTTATATTTATTATTTATTAAGACATAAATAAAAGCAATCAATATATACAAAATAACAGTCACTTCAATATCTTTGAGAAATGTACATTAGTGCAAGATTGTCCATAGCAGCGTAAAAAGTGTCTGGTGCTGGATTTGAGTGTCTGTGTGGGGTGTTAAAGTCCAGTGGAGGGAGGGGGGAGAGTTCAGCCTCCTGACAGCCTGGTGGGAAAACTGTTCTTTAGTCGGGTGGTGCTCGACCTCGGCTTGAAAGTGTATATTTTCTGCATTTTCTCCAGGCCAGAAACCGCAGTGGGCTGGTGGGCTACGTCCCGGAGAAATACCTGCAGCTGCCCTCCTCCAACAGTCTGCTCAGCATGCTGCAGGCTCTCGCTGCTCTGGACGCTCGCTCTCACTCCTCCAGTAATTCCACCGAGCCGGAAACTGAACTCCCAACAGGATCCGTCAACGGAGACTCCAGCGGTGAGGGAAAAATTATGTTTTCATATTCCATTTAGTCCTATTTTCTGTTAGAAAAATATCACTTGTCCCCGGCTTGAGCTTCAATCTCAGGATCCATGTATCTGTGATCCTCTCCAGAATGGAAGTAGTCATCACATACAGAGCATCAACTAGTTCCTGAACAGTGTCCTTCACATGCTGATATCCAAGAGAGGGAGTTACACAGTCACAAGATGGAGGAATAGAAAGCAGTATTCAATGTTTACTTCAGATTAGCTCCACGTCAGAAATGATCATGCTTGTCATATGTCTATCTCCATAGAGGCTGAATCATCATGTTAATCACATAGCTATCATATGCCTCAAACAGTCCTGATGCTCTTCTAGGTAATCATACATCCTGTCATGTTCACAGCTACAGTTGGGATACCTTTGTTATCATGTGTACTCTGATATTGGAAGAGTACATTCAGTATTTTCCCAACAGTTTCTCAACCTGTCCTCCTCTTGCTGCAGTGTCGTTTGCGAAGGCGCTGTACGACTACGCGGGACAAACAGAGGACGAGTTGTCGTTTCCGGAAGGCGCCATCATCCGGATCCTGAGCAGAGAAACCCACGAGGACGACGGTTTCTGGGAGGGGGAGTTTAACGGGGTTGTTGGTGTTTTTCCCGCCGTCCTAGTGGAGGATCTGACTTGCGGTAGCGAGAACGGAGACGGACAAAAAGATGGCGGCAGTGCACAGGTGTGTTGGAAGTAGTCTCTTAGTCGAGACCACCTTATCCGAGACCAAGACATTACCAAGACCGGAGAGTACCAAGACAAGACCAAGACATTACCAAGACAGGAGAGTACCAAGACCAAGACATTACCAAGACTGGAGAGTACCAAGACCAAGACATTACCAAGACCGGAGAGTACCAAGACCAAGACATTACCAAGACCGGAGAGTACCAAGACCAAGACATTACCAAGACCGGAGAGTACCAAGACCAAGACATTACCAAGACCGGAGAGTACCAAGACCAAGACATTACCTAGACCGGAGAGTACCAAGACCAAGACATTACCAAGACCGGAGAGTACCAAGACCAAGACATTACCAAGACTGGAGAGTACCAAGACCAAGACATTACCAAGACCGGAGAGTACCAAGACCAAGACATTACCAAGACCGGAGAGTACCAAGACCAAGACATTACCTAGACCGGAGAGTACCAAGACCAAGACATTACCAAGACCGGAGAGTACCAAGACCAAGACATTACCAAGACCGGAGAGTACCAAGACCAAGACATTACCAAGACCGGAGAGTACCAAGACCAAGACATTACCAAGACCGGAGAGTACCAAGACCAAGACATTACCAAGACCGGAGAGTACCAAGACCAAGACCAAGACTTTAAGAGGGCGAGACCGAATCAAGACTGGAACCAGACTAGTGTGAATCCAACACTACATGATACACTTACAATACCATGTGTAAGATACCAGAGTCAATTTGATCTGAAAGACACACATACATAAGATATAAATTCAACTTCATCATATTTATTGAAAAAGTTATCCTTTTCATATAAAAACAGTAACATAATATAAAACATCATAATATATATGTTTCGGTGTATAGGTCTAAGCAACAAACAAAAAACAAACCAACCAACCAGGTGTGTAGACAAACACACACAGGATGAAGGAAAACCCTTTAACACAAACACACACACACACACACACACACACACACACACACACACACACACGCACACACATTCTCTCTCACACTCAGGAGTTTGCGCTCAGTGAAAGCCCTGTAAGCTAGCCACACACACACACACACACACACACACACACACACACACACACACACACACACACACACACACACACACACACACACACACACACACACACACACACACACATATTCTCTCTCACACTCAGTAGTTTGCGCTCAGTGAAAGCCCCGTAAGCCAACCACACACACACACACACACATTTCGCGACATCTTCACTGCATGACCAGTTGAGTGTGTGTGAACGGGGTGGCGAGAGACGAGGGGGTAGCAGCCGGTATAGACCAGTGCCATGTTTACAAACATTGCGGCGCATGAGGGCAAAGACAGGGCGTTTCACATCCAATCACATCCCCAGCAGCAGCCGTGGGCTCCACCATGGATGCATAATGAGACCGGTCTCGAGCACGACAACACCAGCTGGAAGATATGCTTTATTTCTTTAAAAAGTCTGGCTTTATTTGCAGAATTCTTCCGTTCTCCTTTCTGATACTTATTGTAAGTCTCATTTCTCCCCTGCTGTTTTCCAGGCGTCCCCCTCCCCGTTGGCTCAGATCGGAGGATCCCCTCGCAGCCCCTTCCAGCCTCTGCACAGCAGCCCCCTGCAGACCCCCACCCTGCAGACCCCCACCTCCACCCTGACCCCCACCCTGCAGACCCCCACCCTTTCCTCCCCACTCTCCAGCCCCAGCAGCGCCTCCGCCTCCCCTACAGGACGACCCCCCTCCTACCACAACGGACACCACAGGCCCCCCCCCCAGCCCCCCACAAAAGCCCCTTTCAGAGTAAGATTTACTGTTTTAAAGGTCACCTATTATGAAGAATCCCCTCCCCTGTCTCTTCTACATCAACATGTGTCCCCTCTTCTTCATGTCTCTTCTACATCAACATGTGTCCCCTCTTCTTCATGTCTCTTCTACATCAACATGTGTCCCCTCTTCTTCATGTCTCTTCTACATCAACATGTGTCCCCTCTTCTTCATGTCTCTTCTACATCAACATGTGTCCCCTCTTCTTCATGTCTCTTCTACATCAACATGTGTCCCCTCTTCTTCATGTCTCTTCTACATCAACATGTTCCCCTCTTCTTCATGTCTCTTCTACATCACCATGTGTCCCCTCTTCTTCATGTCTCTTCTACATCACCATGTGTCCCCTCTTCTTCATGTCTCTTCTACATCAACATGTGTCCCCTCTTCTTCATGTCTCTTCTACATCAACATGTGTCCCCTCTTCTTCATGTCTCTTCTTCATCAACATGTGTCCCCTCTTCTTCATGTCTCTTCTTCATCAACATGTGTCCCCTCTTCTTCATGTCTCTTCTACATCAACATGTGTCCCCTCTTCTTCATGTCTCTTCTTCATCAACATGTGTCCCCTCTTCTTCATGTCTCTTCTACATCAACATGTGTCCCCTCTTCTTCATGTCTCTTCTACATCAACATGTGTCCCCTCTTCTTCATGTCTCTTCTACATCAACATGTGTCCCCTCTTCTTCATGTCTCTTCTTCATCAACATGTGTCCCTATTCTTCATGTCCTCTACATCAACATGTGTCCCCTCTTCTTCATGTCTCTTCTACATCAACATGTGTCCCCTCTTCTTCATGTCTCTTCTTCATCAACATGTGTCCCCTCTTCTTCATGTCTCTTCTTCATCAACATGTGTCCCCTCTTCTTCATGTCTCTTCTTCATCAACATGTGTCCCCCTCTTCTTCATGTCTCTTCTTCATCAACATGTGTCCCCTCTTCTTCATGTCTCTTCTTCATCAACATGTGTCCCCTCTTCTTCATGTCTCTTCTACATCAACATGTGTCCCCTCTTCTTCATGTCTCTTCTACATCAACATGTGTCCCCTCTTCTTCATGTCTCTTCTTGCATCAACATGTGTCCCCTCTTCTTCATGTCTCTTCTACATCAACATTGTCCCCTCTTCTTCATGTCTCTTCTACATCAACATGTGTCCCCTCTTCTTCATGTCTCTCTTCATCAACATGTGTCCCCTCTTCTTCATGTCTCTTCTACATCAACATGTGTCCCCTCTTCTTCATGTCTCTTCTTCATCAACATGTGTCCCCTCTTCTTCATGTCTCTTCTACATCAACATGTGTCCCCTCTTCTTCATGTCTCTTCTTCATCAACAGGTGTCCCCTCTTCTTCATGTCTCTTCTTACATCAACATGTGTCCCTCTCTCATGTCTCTTTCTACATCAACATGTGTCCCCTCTTCTCATGTCTCTTCTACATCAACATGTGTCCCCTCTTCTTCATGTCTCTTCTACATCAACATGTGTCCCCTCTTCTTCATGTCTCTTCTACATCAACATGTGTCCCCCTCTTCTTCATGTCTCTTCTTCATCAACATGTGTCCCCTCTTCTTCATGTCTCTTCTACATCAAACATGTGTCCCCTCTTCTTCATGTCTCTTCTACATCAACATGTGTCCCCTCTTCTTCATGTCTCTTCTATCATCAACATGTGTCCCCCTCTTCTTCATGTCTCTTCTTCATCAACATGTGTCCCCTCTTCTTCATGTCTCTTCTTCATCAACATGTGTCCCCTCTTCTTCATGTCTCTTCTTCATCAACATGTGTCCCCTCTTCTTCATGTCTCTTCTTCATCAACATGTGTCCCCTCTTCTCCATGTCTCTTCTACATCAACATGTGTCCCCTCTTCTTCATGTCTCTTCTTCATCAACATGTGTCCCCTCTTCTTCATGTCTCTTCTACATCAACATGTGTCCCCCTCTTCTTCATGTCTCTTCTTCATCAACATGTGTCCCCTCTTCTTCATGTCTCTTCTTCATCAACATGTGTCCCCTCTTCTTCATGTCTCTTCTACATCAACATGTGTCCCCTCTTCTTCATGTCTCTTCTACATCAACATGTGTCCCCTCTTCTTCATGTCTCTTCTACATCAACATGTGTCCCCTCTTCTTCATGTCTCTTCTACATCAACATGTGTCCCCCTCTTCTTCATGTCTCTTCTACATCAACATGTGTCCCCTCTTCTTCATGTCTCTTCTACATCAACATGTGTCCCCTCTTCTTCATGTCTCTTCTACATCAACATGTGTCCCCTCTTCTTCATGTCTCTTCTACATCAACATGTGTCCCCTCTGTGGAAAGAAACTCTGAAAGTTGATGATGTCATAACGATGTTTTGTCTTGTGTAACCATTAGCCAATCACCAACCAAGGTAACCCCCCCCCCACCTTATCACCTGAATCTCCTCCTAGAGCACCATTGAGTTCTTTGTAACCAAATCTCTCTCAGAGGGGCGTGGGGAGGGGCTCCTTATTTTCATCTAAGGTAACAGACACAGAATCAGCACTTTGGAAACAGGGCTGAAACAGAGGGGATTATGGGATGCTGCAATGATCTGTTTGGTGTTTCAGCCAATCAGAGACATGTTCTGTATATATCTGAGACCTGTAATATATTGATGAAAAACAGTATGATAGGGGACCTTTAAGTGACGCTGATCTGTGCTCTCTGCTCTCTTCAGGTCCGGTCCAAGGCTCCCCTCAACCCCCCAAATACCCAGAGAGCAGCTCCGGCACCATTCGACCTGTGAGTGCACACACTCTATAAATAATTGACATCTTAGATTTAATATGAAACCATTAAATATTTGTCGGTGTGGAAATAATAATTGTAATTAACAATTTATTGATTTGAGCCAGCGTAAAAACAGAAATGTGTATTGTTCTTGCATCTACAATTATTTGTATTATTACAATGTATTTCTATAGCACTACTGATACAAAGTGCTTCCAAATCAAAGCCAAGTATACTCTAAGGCAGGAGAAGTGGTTAAAACGATGGATATAAAAAGTGCAAAACAACACTTTTACTTGACTGCATTTCAAGAACTTAGGAATTATGCTCAATTTATGATGCAACAACTAGGGCTGCCCTCGACTGAAGACTTTTGTAGTCGACCATTAGTCGTCAATTAAGGTGATTAGTGGACTAATCGTCGCACATTTATGATACATTATGATTATAAATATATCTATTTTTTTATTCTTTATTTTTTTCCCAAAATGATATGCTGTGGTGTGTGTGTGTGTGTGTGTGTGTGTGTGTGTGTGTGTGTGTGTGTGTGTGTGTGTGTGTGTGTGTGTGTGTGTGTGTGTGTGTGTGTGTGTGTGTGTGTGTGTGTGTGTGTGTGTGTGTGTGTGTGTGTGTGTGTGTGTGTGTGTGTGTGTGTGTGTGTGTGTGTGTGTGTGTGTGTGTGTGTGTGTGTGTGTGTGTGTCTCTGTGTGTCTCTGTGTGTCTCTGTGTGTCTCTGTGTGTCTCTGTGTGTCTCTGTGTGTCTCTGCGTCTATGTGTCTGCGTGTGTGTCTCTGTCTATGTGTCTGCGTGTGTGTCTCTGTCTATGTGTCTGCGTGTGTGTCTCCGTCTATGTGTGGAGAACATTTAGTTCTAGTTTTTATTATTCATATCTGAATATAACAACCCAATAAATACAAAAAATCCCTCAACTAATCGACTAATGAAAAATTGCTCGATTAAGACTTAATTACTCGACTAGTGATGAATGGACTATTTGGGGGCAGCCCTAGCAACAACAAGACGAGATATATTAATAACTGGATGTTTGTTCAGGTCCGTGCCGCCCCCCCGCCCCCGAAGCAGCACCCTCGCGGCCAGGTGAAGCGCAGAGAGGAGGTGGAAATCACTCTGGTGTGAAGGCGTGGACACCCTGGAGGTGACGACTGTTTTTAAACCAGAGAGGACTTCTTCACGGCTCAGAACGCACTCCCAAAGGAACCCAGAGGAAACACCTGAAGGCCTTTTATCTTTCATCTCCTCACCGGGGTCAGTGTGCTGCAGAGGATCATTTGTGCCTTTCTCTGAACTATACTCGCATCCTTCAAAAAGAGCAGATATGATCCATTTTATTCACAGTTATACATCCTCTCTAATCCATCATGTCCAGCTCTTCACAGTCCTGACTAAATGTATTGATAACAGTCAGAATACCTGCTGTTAAGTGTCCTGAAATATCAGTCCTGGTATCGGTTTTCAAATTCTATGCTCATAGTAAATGATATAGTGATGACTGGCGGATAATACAATGTATTTTACCCATACAGTAAAACCTGTTAAATGCAAGAATCAATAGAAAAGGTGATTCTGCTCCACACAGGGAGGATTTACGGATCAGTTATTGTCATTATGCTTTCTTGATTGCACAATGAAATGCAGTTTTAGCCCAGTTTTTGTGTAAAAAGCAGCAACAAACAACAATAGTGAATTCTCTGGGCAGATTATATGTCCAACATTAAACATTAAAAACCAGCGAAACACTGTTTGCACAACTTTGGTGCATCAATAATGTAAACAAAGTCTGCCTCCGCTCTTTCAACCCGAGAGGCGTCGAGCAGAGAGCATAACAACGGCTTCTACTGTAAAAATGAGATTGATATTAATTTTAAGTCAAACCCTTTGTGAGAAAATGTATAATATGTTCCCAAAAAAGCTTCAGATCCTTCAGTTATATGATTGGACAGAGTGATTTATACCCCATAAATAATGAGAAACACAATCATTATTATGAGAAAACCTGTAAATGGAGGGCTACAAAGTCATAAACCTTCAGTATTGATGTATTTTAATGAGGATATAAAAAGGGCCGGACAATATTATGTTAATATTGTGATATGAGACTCAATATCGATTCATTTTTTTGGTTATAATATCAAATACTTTCCTGGTTTTGAAGGCTTCATTACTTCAAAGAAATGTCATCTTAAAGGTCCCATGTCACGGCCATTTCTACTGATCATGTTTCCATTGTTGAGGTCTACTAGAATAGATTTATATTGTTCAATGTTCCAAACTCACATTGGTTTCTCATACAGCATCTCTGTATAGTATGTGTATTCACTCTCTGTCCTACACGGCTTGTTGGAGCTCCTGCCCCCCCCCTCCCTATGAGCCCAGTGGCCGTCTGCGAGACAGCGAAACCCAGCCCGAACACACACACACACCCGCAGCCTGGCTGTGAGTTTGTGTGTGTGCTCACACACCGACTCACAGCCTCGCCGCGTCCCGCCGTCTCAGGGAGGAGAAATCGGCGGAGCTGCAGCTGAGAAAAGATTGAGTGTGTGTGTGAGGAAGTCCGCGGATTGGTCAATTCTGACCAATCCGCGGACTTAACGGAACGGAACGGCTCCACGGGTTTGGTCCATCTAAACCTTCATAACACACAAGGGGACCGGTAATGACCGGAAAAGCATGACATGGGACCTTTAAATGTTTATTATTTGCCCCATTTAGTCATTTAAATCCACATTACAAATGATTATTCAGTTGGAAATCTAAAATATCTCTATCAAGGCATTATTAAAATATATATGTTGTTCCTACTGTGAAAGCAGCGATCTTCCATTATATATAAATATCAGGAAATATCTTTTAAAAAAGTGTATATTAAGGATTTCAACCATATCGCCCAGTTGTCTCTCACTATATCACTTCCTGTGTGGCTCTGACTCTTTTATTTCCACGAGCTGTTTTTATAATTGGATTTCTTCTATGCAACACCTTCATCAGGACATGAAGCTCCAACAGGAAACCAAAAGTCTCCAAACACACACACACACACACACACACACACACACTCGATCAAAACGGGACGAGGCTGGTCCTCTCCTCTGAAAAAAAAACACAACAAAGGGAAAAGTGGCAATTTTAGTTTAGATGGTTTCTGTCGGTCAGGAGAATCTCCTAGAAATCAAAATCCTTTTACCTTTTTAATTCTCAAACGTATGTTAGTTTCCTTTGCACCCGATGCGAGGAAAGTCCTAAAGGGAGAAGCGTAGAGCGCGTTTGTTTAGTCTAACGTTTCCTTTGTTGTAAAATAAAGATCTAGAAATGTTATTCCAGCCGGTAGAAGTTGCCGGTTGCTCGTCGAGTTGCAGTTGGTGACAGTTTACACTGAGGTGCCGTTTATTAAACATGCCTTTATTTTTAAGGAGGGAAACATCCTGAGCTGCTAGCTGTCCGATTAAAAAAAACAAAAAAAATCTATACTGTCATAGTGAAGCACTTTTTGATGTCTTCTTATTCCTTCTCAGTATTGTGGACGTGTGTTGAATATTTTGTGTACCTGCTATATTGGTATGAATACTTTCCTTTCTTTTATCTTGCGTTATTTAGCCTTAAATAGCCGTTGTAGTGTCTTTGATTGAGATGTGTTTTTGAAATAGTTTACAGAGAGCTTGGAGATGGATATCCGTACAAATACTAGCACCGCTTTTTTTTGTTTAGAATTAGGATTACTGTAAAAATGAAAACTATTCAAACCGTTTGTTTTGCAATTGGATCATAGGAAAAAGAGATATCTGTCAGCCGTGTTCTCGTTGAGATCTGAATGACATCAAACTTATTTTTGAAGTTTGCGTTTACCCTGTTGTATTGATGAAAACATATACAGTGGTCGGACTGAAGTTAAAGTCTGGATCAGAAATTCAGCGACAAACTGCCCACACTCACAAAGGGAGCTCTGCAGAGGCTGCTGAGCGACGTATTTACACCCGTGGATGTTTAACTGTATTTATTGTGTACAAATAAATGTGAAATAAAGATAGCTTAATGAACCAGAACAAACATGTCTCCAGTTTTTCTTTCTGTACCTGTTTTAATGTTTTCACTTAAGGGGGAGGCTGTGGCTCAGTGGGTAGTGTGCTGGACTTCAAATCAGGGGGTGGCAAGTTCAAACCCCACTGCAGTCAGCATGTCGTTGTGTCCCTGAGACACTTCACCCCAAATTGCTCCTGTGGGGATTGTCCACAGTACTCAATGTATAAGTCGCTTTGGATAAAAGCGTCTAACAAGTAACAAGTAATGTAATGTAACTAAACAATGCTACAAAACATGAGCTTTAAACAATATAAATACCATTAGACTGAAAATCAAGACGGAGACAATATCTTTTACAATACAAAAACAAGAGAAAAGGTCAAATAATCAGATGAAAGAAAGGACTAGGAGTCATTTTTGAGCTTATTTGATTTGTTTTGACCATATAATAAAGATGTTTTGTATCATATATTATACATTACACTAGGGCTGCTCAATTAATCGTATTTTAATCGCAATTACGATTTTGGCTTGCAACGATTATGAAAACAACATAATCGAAAAAAAACGATTTCCTTATTTTTTATTGGTTTTTCTGTTGAACTATACTTAAAGTTCAGGGTAATCAACTGTTCAAAACATACTGTTCAAACATTGTTTTCAATAAATGGATGTTTTCAAAGTAAATGGATAATCGTTTTTAATAATCGTGATATCAATTATTGACCCAAATAATCGAGCAGCCCTACATTACACTACTCCTTATAGCAGCGGTGTCAAACTCAAGGCCCGGGGACCACATCCGGCCCGTGACTTCATTTGATGTGGCCCCGCAAGAGCTTGCATCAAATATAATACATTTATTATACGGTTACATACCACTTTACAGAAGCAGGTTGCCCATAAACTACATGTCCCACAATGCACTGAAGAGACTTGCAATTATTTGCCCTGAACTTCTGCTTTCAGTAGTTATTTATGAAGTTATTATCCTATCCGATAATAATCCAAATCAGAGGCAATAATGTAATAAAATACATTATTTTATACATATATATTATATATTTATATAGTTACAACCGGCCCTTGTGAATGTGGCCCGCGATGAAATTGAGTTTGACACCCCTGCCTTATAGCCTACTACAAGCAAATTATTCTTCAAGAGAGTAGTGCCTTTTCAAGGTAAAGATTCTGGTAGTTTTTGTGCAGAAATGTCCAAACATTGATGTGTAATTACGGTTTGACTTACTTATCATATAACTGCAAATTCATCTCAAAGAGATACACAGTGAATTAAAAACTTGAAATACATCTTGAAAAAACCCATTTTCAAAGACTAAAATCATTTTTGTTACATAATAAACTGTGCCTGTTGAATGTATAAGCTGTCTCCACACTGACCTCTGCTGGCGGAGCAGGACAAATGGTCTTTATTTCCCCACGTGGTTTTAGAGATGCACAAAGATAAAAGTCTCCAAGGGAAAATCTGGCACAGCATCTGCCTTGTGTGTGTCTTTAACAACAACTTACTAATATATCTTTCATGAACCCTGAGTGTTTTATTATCTGTCTTTAACAACAACAAAACCAGGTGAACATATGGATCAAAACTCATCATCAACAGTGAAAGGAAATTAGTCATGAATGAAAGTGCAGCTTCCCAATTACATTATGCTCCTATTTTATCATTTATAAGTTTAAAATATATCAAAATGGATACGAAAAAACGTAAAATATGTACTTCTATTGTATACAACAGTGGTTTGAGTTGTATAATAACAATTGTATGGACTATTTAAATAACTAAAATAAGCAGATACAAATACCGTGGCACACTTTCTTGTAAAGATATGAGGACCACAAAACAGAAAATCCACCTTTTTTAATGTGTGTGTGTGTGTGTGTGTGTGTGTGTGTGTCTGTGTGTCTGTGTGTCTGTCTGTCTGTACTGAAAATATGAGCGTCGCTAAAAATCCCTCGACTAATGAAAAATTGCTCGATTAAGTCTTCTTTACTCGACGTGTGTGTGTGTGTGTGTGTGTGTGTGTGTGTGTGTGTGGTGTGTGTGGTGTGTGTGTGTGGTGTGTGTGTGTGTGTGTGTGTGTGTGTGTGTGTGTGTGTGTGTGTGTGTGGTGTGTGTGTGTGTGTGTGGTGTGTGAGCGAGCGTGTGAGCGAGCGTGTGAGCGTGAAACTGTCCTATTTCTAGTTCAAGTGCTTTTTTCTCATTTAAAAACTGCACACACAAACATCTAAAATGGTATTGTTGTTTTATTTATGTCGTTTTTCCTCCATTCAGAATATGTCTGTTTTACCTGTAACACCGTAATACGTGAAACACCATTGTTGTATTTTGGTAACACCGGAAGTGCAGTTCTGTATTCCGGCTGGCTTCACACTGGTGTGGAAAAGATGGCTGCTTCGGCGGCAACGGCGAGTTCTTCCCCCGGTTTGTGTCCAAATTACGCCGTGATTTGCTCTTTCCTGGAGCGCTACGGAGCTCTGTTGGACTTACCGGAGCTCACCTTCCCGCAGCTGGAGAGATATCTACGGGACACATCCTCAGCTGAGGCCGGTAAGCAAGCTTCTTATTACGGGGAGGAGGAGAATACAACCATGCTAACAGGCTAGCAGCTACGTTAGCATCTTGTGTGTTATTGTGTGGTTTTCTAACCTTCTCCTTCACTTAAATGTTTATTAACTGCGTCACAGAGCTGTTTTACAAAGTGGAACATATATCTGTGTGCATTTAAGTCTTTATTCAGTTGTGAGCATGCGGAATTAGTCGAGGTTTTCTGTCACTTTTGAGCTTTTGAAGAGGGCTTAATTTGTCTCCAGGCTGCCTTTATCTGCGTTCAAACACAACACAGGCAGTAAATGTGGGGTCGATATTAGTGTTTGAGAGCAGTTAAGATGGAGCTAATTCGTGCAACACGTCGTGGTTTTTGATAATTAATATGTGCAGATGTCATTGTCTGCAACTAACACGTAATTGTGCACTTTATTGACAGTTAAATTATTTTGCCATGTAGTGGTTAGCTCAGTGTGTGTCAAGCTAACCGTCATGACGACGAGGACTTCCGGTGGAAGCTTTCAAATTAAAAATATGTAAACAATGAATTAGAAAAAGTTGCACTGGATGTTTATGTATAAGTACAAGGTGTAGCACTGTATACCATCCTGTTAATACTTCCACAAAATATACAAATGTTTTCATCTTCTCACATGAAAGTACACTTTCTTTAACTTATTAATTATATAATAAATAATAATACATTGGATTTTTATAGCGCTTTTCCTAATGCTCAAAGACGCTTAACATCAAATCAATTTGGGGCTAGGGTTAGTTATGAAAATGCTGGTTAATGTGTGTTGGGTAAACCTGCATTTCGTTATTAATTACAGCAATTAATTTGGATTCTGTCACAGTTATTTACTGTTGGAATGGGGCCAAATTATGCTAAAATCCACCATTTATTCCCATGTTTTTTTCTTCAGTTCCAAAGCTGCTCGTTGATCTTCACGTTAAGTTGCTGAGGAAAATCGGCAAATCTGTGTCAGCGGACAGATGGGAGAAATATCTACTGAAGGTAAAAATAATGACTTTATTATAGCGTTTAACATCGATATTGTTGTGGAGGATAATGTTTTTTAAATTATGTTCACACTAGAATATAAAGAGTTATGGTTTTCAGATTTATTGATTTTAATTTGCTGATTTAAATATCTGTTTTTCCCCGCAGGTATGTCAGGAGTTGAACCCAACGTGGGCATGGGAGTTCGAGCAGAACGGATACAAAGATCTGTCGACAGAGTGCAAGACGGGGTTACTTAAAGTAAGAATGCATATAGCTTTGTTCTGTTGTACGTAGAAAATACATTTGGTAGGTTCGATTGAACAGTTCAAAGCTACTAGTGTTCAGCTTAGTCTCTACTATTGTGCATCAATTGACGAGCCACACATGGTTGATCTTCACTTGAAGGCGTACAATATTTAAACCACAATTATTTTTCATTGTTAATTCTCTTTTCCACTCTTTTAAAGTATTTGCATTTTAATGTCTGAACACACTTCTGTAACGAAATCATTTCCCAAATTGGGATCAATGACGTCTCTTATCTATCTTAGCTTTGTTTGGTTGTTGAAAGATCTACCTACACGCACACATAGGGATTATACATTTCATTTTAAAGTACCTTTTCAAGTGCATTGTAGAAATGTTTTCCCCGATAAACTGTAAGATACTGTTCTCGACTTTGCATGTCAAATATGTGTGTGGCGCAGCTGGTTGTGCGTTGGTGTTCGGATCAGGGGGCCACAGGTTCAAACCCCACTGCAGTCAGCATGTCGTTGTGTAGAATAGAAATTGGTACTTTTTTTGGTACCACCTCTAGCAGGCACTAAAAATGGGGGTAAAAGTTCCCGGCACTAAGTACTCTTTTTGGTGTGAACGCAAAATAAGGGGTACTAACGGAACTAAACGGGAAAAGTACTCCGGTGTGAACGCGCCTCTTGTGTTATATTCTATTTTAGCAGCAGCAGTAATAATCTTCAACGTCTTTCACTCACAGATCTGAAGAAAGTCAAAGAATTAAAAGTTAATTATAAACACAACAACATGTTATTATATTAAAAACATGCTGTCCCTTTCTTCCCCTCTCTCTCCAGTATTTGTGTGAGTGTCAGTTCGATGACAATGTTAAGTTCAAAACGGCCATCAACGAGGAGGACCCGGATAAGATGCGCCTGCAGCCGATCGGACGCGATAAAGACGGTCAGATGTACTGGTTCCAACTCGACCAGAGCGACAACGTGCGGCTGTACATCGAGGAGCAGGACGACCTGGACGGATCCTCCTGGAAGTGCATCGTCAAGTAAGCACAGAAAAGACTTATTGAGGAACACATGCACTGCATGAAATGTGAGATCAATTCAAGTTTAGAGCAGCGGTTCCCAACCTTTTTCAACTCAGGGCCCACTTCAAGGTAGGGTAGGTAAGAATGGAGAAACCAGAGCCCCTCCTCCAACACACACGAACGCGCACATGACCAATGAGGGCACGAGATAAGTTTGTGCACAGATGGAAGGCTGACAGGCAGGTAGGCCATCCAGTTATTTTAGCTGGGCCGGCTCAGATGATTGGTCGTGCTTTTTACACTACTACGGCTTCCACAGATGAAATTATTTTATGTATTTATTGCTATCGGGATGTTAAGAGCATTCCATGGAATATAACAAAAAGTGTTTCTGAAGTGAATTACCTACCCCACCTTTAAGAATCCAAAAAAATATCACGGCTCACATTCAACCATAAACGATACGGAGGCTAAATAAAGTTCTGATTGGTCAATTCAGAACTTGTGGCACGTTGTTAATCCAGTAGTACAGACCGCTGTCAAGGACTGTAATGACCGTTGCTAAGGACTGTAATGACCGTTGCTAAGGAGGATCAAGAAAGAGAAAGGAAAGGAGGTAAAAAAAAAAAAAAAATCTTAATAATGAAAATGTTCCCACACAAATCATGTTTTGCAAATTATTTGGCGGCCCACTTGCAATGCGTTCGTGGCCCACAGGTTGGGAACCGCTTGTTTAGAGTATTAAGACAACGAAATGCAGTTAAAGTCTAACCAGAAGTGATTACATTGTCTTTTTTATACTTTTGTTTTGTTTTTTTGTTTTATGTACCTTGTACGGCGACCTTGAGAGCCTCGAAAAGTGCCTTTTTTATAAATAAAATGTGTTATTATTAATGTATTAAGAGAAGCAGTCAAATGTAGTGTCATTATCAGTGTTTCAGGGCTAAGAGAGCGAGGGAGGGGGGGGGTGACGTCACGTCGTGTCACGTGACTTGAATTTTGAATTGAGCCGTCACTTATAGATACTATCTCTTCACGTATTAGTGATGGGAATTCCAGCTCTTAAACGGCTCTTCATGTTACCACAGTTCACCACGGAGCCTCAGTTTCGCCGCTGCAAGGCTCCGGCGCTCGCAGTTCACGCGCGTGCTCCACTAGCACCCCCCGTCAAGGCTCGCCGGCAGTACACTTTCCGTCACTGGAACACGCTTTGCTGGCGGCGAAAAGAATCCCACCAGACTCCTTTGCCCCTCCAACAGAGGGATGTCCTTTTTCCTTTTCGTCATTTCAAGCGATAAAAACCTCGATCTTCTCTCGAAGTATTATTTTTTTTGGACGCCCTCGGCTCGAGTTCAGGGCGTTCCCGAGCTTAATAAGGGCGTCAAATGACGGAAAGACGCCCCCCTGGCGGAAACGCTGGTCATTATATATAATATAAGAATATACTTATGACATATTTTAAAGAGTTATAGTATATGCAGTATGAACTGATTTAATGGGTATACACAATGTAGACAGTAGTATAAATATTGTCTACACTGTAGAAATGTAGACGGTATAAAAAGACAGAATGCATATTAAACACTATAGACAGTTTTAAAGTTATCACAGTCACCGTAGGTTTTATGCTAATGCTCTTTATTAAAGCAGGTACTGTGTGTGTTGCTCTGTAGATATGAAGTGATTTATTATAGTTATCTTCTTTTCTTGTCTTCCTGCAGAGACAGAAACGACCTGGCGGAGGTTGTTGCTCTTCTGAAAACACAGATCGACCCCGCGCTGTTAAAAAGAGACGAGGAAATTAAAGCTGCAGCTGAAGAGGGGAAAGAGAAAACAGACGGTGAGGTTTAGACTTTAAAATAATACATTACAATACGTTAGAATGAACTATTTGTTGTTGTGTGAGGCACATTTTAATCACCAAGCTAATGCAATGTTATAGTAAGAGAAACATACTTAGGAAATCAGTTCCCACAGTGTTTAGAGTTACATAAAATTAACTACAAGCTCTAACGACTAAGTTACTAGTATTAGTGTTAAGTTATGCATATAAAAGTCTGCACATTTCTTTGTTTTTCTTGATATTCATATTATTTACAAGCAGTCATTTTGATGTTTTATTCTGTATTTACATTCCAGGTGAAGTCAAAAAAATCGAGGACTCTTCAGATGAAGATATCAAAGACAAGGCTGCCGGTCAAGTCTCTCCGAAGACAGAGAATAATGAGAACGCAACAGAGAATAATGAGAAAGCAACAGAGAAAGACGACTTTAAATCAGAAACGTCTCTGAATGGCGTCATCGAAGAAAAACCTGAAGCTGAGTTAAATTCAGAAAAGCCCGCCTCGGATCTCAGCATCATTACAAAAGTTGAGAATATCAAAGAGGAACCGATGGAGGTGTCGGACACGAAATCAAGCAACACGGCAACAAGTGAACCGGCCTCTGAGGTGCCTTGTTTATCAGTGAAGGCAGAGAAAGGAGACGAGGCGAAGAAGACCGAGGAGATTCAACAAGCTCTGAAGAACGACCAACAGGCTAAAATCCCCCTGAAGAAAAGGGGAATGAAGTTTAGCGAAGACTTTGAGAAACATAGTGGGATCATAGTTCAAAACCCGTCTGTTTCTCAGCTCAAAGAAGCTCCCAAAGCCGACTCCATTCTCGATCAGAGCAAGAAAGCGCAGAGTGTAAACGATCATGTTAATGGGGAAGTTGCGTCAGCGAAAAGCCATTTGAGCGAGTCCCTAAAAGACGCCGCATCCTGCTCTAATCATAAAGAGCAGGAACCAATAAAAGCTACAAAAGACTCGTGTACAGAAGACAAAGCATTGAAAGAAACTGATAAAACATTAGCGACTGGTGAGTCAGAGAAACACACGTCGAAAGAAGTTCAATCAAAAGATTTGGAGGAAAGAACAGCCAGTGTTGACGCATCAAAGTCAAGTAAGGCTGAGGAAACCAAGACGAAGCCAACGGAAAGGAGTGAGGATAAAGAAAAGGCGACTTGTGAAGCGAATGTTGAGAAATCGGATAAATCAGCGGAGAAAGAAAAGCAAGGGGTCATTAAAACATCAGACAAAGATCATGCAAAGAAATCAGCTGAATCGGAAAAGGCTGCATCAACTTCAGTTGTGAAAAATACAGAAAAACTCAAAGAAAGTGATAATGCGGAAAGTAAAGAAGCCACAAAAAGTCTTAAAAAGGCAGAAATCAGTGACGAATCAGATACTGTGGAGTCTCCTGTTATTAAAAAGCTTGACAAATCGTGTAAACTTGGCGAAAAGCAAGATGAAGACAAGAAGCAACAGAAAGCCTCTGAGACTGACACGGAAAAGCCTGAAGACGTGAAGAAAGCTGTCAACTGTGAAGACGTTCCGATGCACGATGTCTCCAAGATAAGCGACTCCGTGGAGGTGGAAGCAGTGGCCGTAAAACCCGATGTGACAAAGCCTCAGGAGGACGACAAAACTGAGATTAACTCGGTTGCATCTAAGGAGAAGAAAGGGGACACGTCTGCATGGAAAGATAAACCGTGCAGTGATGTGGAGAAGATTAACGTCCCTAAAGAAACTGAGAGAATGGATAAGGGAAAGATGTCTGAAGAACAGGCTAAGAAAATGGAGGCGGAGTGTCCGTCATCAGGAAGTAAAAAGGATGCAGACTTGGAAAAGAGAAAGGACACGGAGATTAGAAATAAAAAGGTCACGGATTTGGAAAAGATGACGGAATCGGCACAGAAAAAGGACACAGACGAAGAAATGAAAATGGACACAGATATGGAAAATAGAAAGGAAACTGGAAAGCAAAAAGACACAGAGTCCGAAAATAAAAAGGACACCGACGTGGAAAAGAGAAAGGAGACATACTTGGAAAAGAGAAAGGACACAGACTTGGAAAAGAGAAAGGACACAGACTTGGAAAAGAGAAAGGACACCAACTTGGAAAAGAGAAAGGACACAGACTTGGAAAAGAGAAAGGAGACAGACTTGGAAAAGAGAAAAGACACAGACTTGGAAAAGAGAAAGGAGACTGACACAGACAAGAAAAAGGACACAGACTTGGAAAAGAGAAAGGACACAGACTTGGAAAAGAGAAAAGACACAGACTTGGAAAAGAGAAAGGACACAGACTTGGAAAAGAGAAAAGACACAGACTTGGAAAAGAGAAAAAAGACTGACACAGACAAGAAAAAGGACACAGACTTGGAAAAGAGAAAGGACACAGACTTGGGAAAGAGAAAGGACACAGACTTGGAAAAGAGAAAGGAGATAGACTTGGGGAAAAAAAAGGATACAGACTTGGAAAAGAGAAAGGACACAGACTTGGAAAAGAGAAAGGACACAGACTTGGAAAAGAGAAAGGACACAGACTTGGAAAAGAGAAAGGAGACGGAATCCGCAAAGAAAATGGAGACAAACTTAGAAAAGAGAAAGGAGACTGACTTGGAAAAGAAAAAGGTCACAGACTTGGAAAAGAGAAAGGACACAGACTTGGAAAAGAAAAAGGAGACTGACACAGACAAGAAAAAGGACACAGACTTGGAAAACAGAAAGGACACGGACTTAGGAAAGAAAAAGGAGACGGACTTGGAAAAGAGAAAGGAGACTGACACAGACAAGAAAAAGGACACAGACTTGGAAAAGAGAAAGGAGACAGACTTGGAAAAGAAAAAGGAGACCGACTTGGAAAAGAGAAAGGAAACGGAATCTGAAAATAAAAAGGACACTGAATTAAAGAAAAAGGAGACTGACACAGACAAGAAAAAGGACACGGACTTAGGAAAGAGAAAGGACACAGACTTGGAAAAGAGAAAGGACACAGACTTGGAAAAGAAAAAGGACACAGACTCGGGAAAGACACCGGAAACCGAAAATAAAAAAGACAGCGAATCCTCAACGGAAACGGAGAAAGCCAGCGACCCGAGCAAAGAACCGGATACTGAAAAGCCGGCTGAGGAAGAAGGTAAAAGCGATGAAGATGACGAGGAGGCACCGAAAAAAGAGGTGGCGAACGGCAGAGGAACTCCGGCTTCACGACGAAGATCGAAACGTCCGGCGCATCGAAGGAAAGCCGTGCTGCAGAGAGCAGAGAGGCAGGATTCAGAGTCGGATACAAACACCGGGATGTCTCTCCGAAGATCTCCAAGGATCTCAAGACCCACGTCTAAAGCGGTGGAGATCCAGGAAAAGAAACCGGAGAAATCTGCTCCACAGGCGGACAAGAGCGACGACGACGAAAAGGGCGAGAAAGCAAAAGACCAGGAAGAAGGAGAGGAGGAGGAGGAAGAGGAAGAGGAGAAAGCTGTTCAGAAGAAACCGAGGGAGAAGAAGCCCGAGCAGGAGGGTCAGACCAAACCTAAGGTAAGATTACTCACTGGTGTGCAATATATATAAATAATGTTTTATTAAATACAGAGACTATACCTTTTTGTGTTTGCATGTTTAAACCAAAAAGACTATTACATTCTTCCACTTGTTCAAAAGCCATTAGGCGCTTTCACACCGGAGTACTTTTCCTAGTATAGTTCCGATAGTTCTTGAAAATGTGCGTTCACACCAAAAAAATCCGGAACTAGAACTTAGTTCATGAGAACCCTTTCACCCCCTTTTTAGCCCCTGCTAGAGAGCAGGTACTTTCCTGGGGAGAAAAAGGTTCCCATTTCTGATTGGCTGGGCGGATTGCAAACCACGCCCCGTAAAACTCGGAAAGGTTTTGTGAAGCCGCCATTTTATTTGCTGGCATTAGCATTATTAGCGTTAGCCCAACGCACCAACGGAGAGAGAGGCAACACAAAATAAAACATGGGAGCGGTGGAGATGAAGAGGTGTCGGCGTTCTGGCGATTTACTCGGAAGGCTTCAGTAGAAGCTGCTGGGAGTCCCAGCAGCTTCTACTGAAGCCTTCCCCAACTCCGGGGACTTCCGGCCGGGGACTCCGGGTGGCAGTATACGCCGTGAAGTGGTTTGCGGCCTGCCAGTAAACCCAAAGCAGAAGAAGAAGAAGTGACGTCAGCGGCTTCATTTGCCTAATCCTCCCTCAGGGACTTATTCCGGTGTGAACGCGATCTGTACTTAGTTCATGAGAACTAAAGAGTTCTCATGACCTAAGTTCGGCAAAGTACTTGGTGTGAAAGCGTCTATTGTCATTTGTTGACATTTTTCCCATTTTATGTGTAAAAAGAGCTTTAAGATTTTAAACTGACCTGATTATTATGAACTCCCCCATCATATTATTTATTAACTTGCATGCTCTCAAATTAACAGTTTAGTTAGATTTTAAAACTGTACGATTAATGCATACAAATGTAGAAGCTTCTGTGTTTTATCTAGAGTTCATAGTGACTAGTTTTACAAAGAGAAATATGAGAATAAATGTAAAACCATGCCGTATAAAAGTCATCAAATAATTGATTTATAACAGAAATAAACATGTGAGGTACAATTTAATAGATCGTATCAAAACACTGCTCTATAAGCTGACACATGATTCTTCTGTATAAGAAATGCTAATCTAGTATGCAGTGGAGTATATTCTTAAAAATGAGATTACCACTTGCACAAACTCTAATTTCAGTCATTAATATTGGTGAATAAAGTCATAAGCCCATAGTATTTCCCGTACTAAAGGTCCACATGTTGTGTTATTTCAGGGGAGGAAGAGGCGGAGGGTCCGGTGGTCCAACACGAGAACGCGCCGTAAAAAGAAAGGCTCCGAAGACGAAGAGGAAAACAGCGAAGAGGAGTCGAGCGCCGAGGAGGACACTGAGGAAGAGGACGACAGCGACGAAGATTACAAGGTGGAGCGACGCAAACGGAGACGCAATCGAAACCGAGAGAGACGAGAATCAGACACCTCGACCTCCTCAGACGACGATTTACCTCCAAACGACGACCCCTGCAAACACTGCGGCCTCCCAAGCCAACCAGAGCTGGTGGGTACTCACAGATACCACGATAATAGCAACAAATAATTCACATTTTTATCATTAAAGTGGCTTTTTTTTTAAGTTAGAAAGTATGTTTACAAGCTGAAGACAGAAGACGATGTATAAAACCATTTACAGCGTAACCGGTAAAAGGCGAGCAATACAAAAGTAGCTCGCATGTTAAAGGTGGGGTAGGTAATTTTGGAGAAACCGGCTCGAGATCGCTAGAATTTTTGAAAATACACAGCCGGAAGAAATCTGCCACTTCCTTACAGAGCCCCTCCTCCAACACACACGAACGCGCACATGACCAATGAGGGCACGAGATAAGTTTGTGCACAGATGGAAGGCTGACAGGCAGGTAGGCCATCCAGTTATTTTAGCCGGGCCGGCTCAGATGATTGGTCGTGCTTTTTACAGTACTACAGCTTCCACAGATGATATTTTTTTATGTATTTTTTGTCAAAGCACTTAAGATATTCATTGCTATCGGGATGTTAAGAGCATTCCATGGAATATAACAAAAAGTGTATCTTGAGCCGGTTTCTCAAACTTACCTACCCCACCTTTAAATATTGAGAAAAAGCACACTTAAAGGGGACCTATCATGCAAAATGCACTTTTGTACGTCTTTTATACATGAATATGTGTCCCCGGTGTTCCAGGGAACTCACCAAGTGTCAGAAAATACAACCCTCTCTCTTTTATGGCAACACAAACCCTTATCTTTTAAAAACGGGGCTACAACGAGCGGAAACAGATTCTATCCGACCCGACGTCAGCCCGGAATAGTGGGCGGTGACGCTCCGCCTACATGGGCAACGCTCCACCTATCAGGGGAATGAGAGGTTGCCGTGGCATGGTAACAGCATGGTAACAGCATGGTAACAGCATGGTAACAGCATGGTAACAGCATGGTAACATGACGCTCGTGCCTCGCCCCCCTCCTTTGCAGGGCGGCGTGGTCAGCTGCTGCTCATTTGCCACAGAATCAGCCCTTGCAAAAACAGTGCTGGAATACAGCAAATAGAGCGAAATGAGGCACATCCCATATATATTTACTTGACAATATAAAATGCATACTGCCAGCTTGTTTGTTTGTTTGTAGCCTTTATTTAACCAGGTTAAAAATCCCATTGAGATCAACGATCACTTTTTCAAGGGAGACCTGCAGTACATTAGCTTGATGATATAAAGGATTTATTGAGTAATCTTTTGTCTCTTCCAGATCCTCCTGTGTGATTCCTGTGACAGCGGATACCACACGGCCTGTTTGAGACCGCCGCTCATGATCATCCCCGATGGAGAGTGGTTCTGTTCACCCTGTCAACACGTACGTACAAATCACCAAATATCAGAGGTGGGAAGTAGTGGAGTACAAACACTTTGTTAATGTACTTAAGTACATTTTTCTGGTATCAGTACTTTACTCCACTACTTATTTTTCTGACGACTTTTTACTTTGACTTCTTACATTTTGAACACAAATACCTGTACTTTCTACTTCTTACATGTTGAACCCAAATACCTGTACTTTCTACTTCTTACATGTTGAACACAAATACCTGTACTTTCTACTTCTCACATGTTGAACACAAATACCTGTACTTTCTACTTCTTACATGTTGAACACAAATACCTGAACTTTCTACTTCTTACATGTTGAACACAAATACCTGTACTTTCTACTTCTTACATTTTGAACACTAATACCTGTACTTTCTACTTCTTACATGTTGAACCCAAATACCTGTACTTTCTACTTCTTACATGTTGAACACAAATACCTGTACTTTCTACTTCTTACATGTTGAACACAAATACCTGTACTTTCTACTTCTTACATGTTGAACACAAATACCTGTACTTTCTACTTCTTACATGTTGAACACAAATACCTGTACTTTCTACTTCTTACATGTTGAACACAAATACCTGTACTTTCTACTTCTTACATGTTGAACTCAAATACCTGTACTTTCTACTTCTTACATGTTGAACACAAATACCTGTACTTTCTACTTCTTACATGTTGAACCCAAATACCTGTACTTTCTACTTCTCACATTTCCCAAACAGGCTGGTTCCTTTAGTTTGAATGTGTGTTTGGTGGCGTGATCATTATTATTTAGAGTCATTGCGTGCCTATTGATTTGAACACGATCCGTGTATCCATCATTTCCTGGTCTTCTCTAAAGAAGAGGGACCAATGAAAACGTTGTCATGTTGCCGTTGTTCAGCATGGAAACATTCATTAGCTAACAATGACATTATTGTTCTATTAATATAAAGGGAGGTCAGGTACTCTTTAAAACAGCTGCTAGTTATGGGTACTTTTTACTGAAGTACATTTCAAAGCCCTCTTTACTTTGACTTGAGTAAAGAAGTTTAGTCAGTACTTCTACTTTCACCAGAGTATCTTTAAACACGAGTATCTGTACTTCTACTTGAGTAAAGGATGTGTGTACTTTTGCCCTCTCTGCCAATGATTAAATAAAGACTAAATATCTTTAAATGTGTCCCTGGTTCATCCGCTTTACAGAAGCTGCTCTATGAGAAGTTGGAGGAGCAGCTCCTGAACCTCGACGTTGCTCTGAAGAAGAAGGAACGAGCGGAGAGAAGGTGAGACATTTTGTTTTTCGTTTAAAATGTGCACAAGCTTTTTAGGGATTGAGGGTCAAGTGGAAATAGCTGGGATACACTTTGAAAGGTCATTATTTCAATCAAAGAACAGTATGCTCTTCCGCTTCCTGTCATGTCTCAGTTCCTACATAATGTTTGTTATCTCCTCCAGGAAAGAGCGTCTCATTTACGTTGGCATCAGTCTTGAAAACATCATCACGCCCGGAGTAAGTACAGTAGGTGTCTTTCTACATTTGACTTCCAAATAAAAACATATTCACCTTTTATTTGTATAAAACATAACCAACTCTTGCTGCTCGCAGGTGGAGGAGGAGAAGCCGGAGATCATCATCAAAGAGAAGAAGGAGGCGAAGAAGAGTAAGAGCTGGGGACGAAGATCTACCAGGACGAAGAAGTCCATCAGCTACAGGTCAGTACGCTTTTATCTTAAAGGGACCTATCATGCAAAATGCACTTTGTGATGTCTTTTATACATTTAATGTGTCCCCGGTGTGTCGGGGCAGCGTCAGAAAATAAAACCCTCTCTTTTCCTCCGTACCCAAATATTTTAAAACCGGGGTACAACGGAGCTTATCCAGATTTGCGTCCGATATGACGTAATTTCGGAAGGCGGACCCACAGAGAGTTGCTATCAGAAACAATGCCTGACGTGTTTTGGACGTAATCTCGTCTTTGTTTACATTAGCAAGCGTCGCTAACACTCAGAGCTAACCTGTACTGGAGAGCACGTGTGTTTTTAAAAAGCAGGAAATAAAAAAAGGAACTCACCTTGTGATAAACCCGCAAGAGAAAAAGCATTTGAGCTCCATACTGTTTCAGAAATAATCCTTGATGTGGTTTAGAACATGATGGCGTTTTATCACAGCAGAATTTAACTTCATCTCCAGTAGAATTCTGATCAGGCATTAGCTCCGCCTCCTCTTTTTTAAGCTAAGGACCCAAAATCCGTGTTTCTCTAACAGCTGGAATAGAGGGATATGAGGGATTTCTAAAATGCATGATCTGTTTGTATTTTGAGAAAAACACATCATAGACATGATTTTTATATATTTTTATATATCTGAGACCCATAGTATATGCCTTAAAATAGCATGATAGGTGACCTTTAAGTAAAGTATAAGTAAATTGCTCTTTACAAGCGTTATTATCTGTAATCAATGTAACTTGATGGTTCTTGTCACTAGAAGAAAATCCATTACAGAAAACTCCTAGTTTATTTTTGATAATAACTGATGTACTGATCAGTTATACAATGTCTTTCTACATACCAATAATCTGCAGATTTGTCTGTCCATATATTTTTTAAAAAGAACTGAATCGGTGAATTCACACATTTTTTTTAAAACATTTTTGGCACATTTTGAATAACAATGATAAGACATTTTATTTATTGAGCGCTTTTCCTGGTACTCAAAGACACTTTACATGTTACATTCATAAAAAACAACCCAGTTAAAATATAAAAACACAACAATAATTAAAGAATAAAATGATTGTGGATGTTCATTTTACAGATTTGATGAATTTGACGAGGCGATCGAGGAGGCAATCGAGGAAGACATCAGAGAAGCGGAGGGCGGAGGTACGAGGACTTTTCACTCTTTAAATCTATTTTATCTTTGTATTTGTTATTCTACTCTATACATGAGCAACTGTCACACAACCTTATATCCGCCCAGGATTTTAAAGGTTTTGTGATTCTTAAAGGTAGGGTAGGTAAGAATGTAGAAACCAGCTCGAGTGCGCTAGAATTTGAAAGTACGCAGCCGAAAAAAATCAATCACATGAATCTCCCGCCCCGGAGACACAAGCACGCGGTTTGATTGGCTAGAGCTTGTACTGGCATTTGATTTGATTGGCTGACGCTTGAAAAGTTGAACTTTTCTCAACTTTCGAAGCGAGCAACGGCTGCAAAGCAACGCGACGGAACCACAATGCAGTTCGGCAAAGCGTGACGTCACCCCATTCAAATGGGAAGCGTCTCCGTTGAAGCACGCGACGCTGCCGTGTGGACGTACCGTTACGGCCCAGCCACACGGCGGCGAGCTTCAACGCTTCTTCCCATTCACTTTGAATGGGGTGACGTCACGCTTTGCCGAACTGCATTGTGGTTCCGTCGCTTCGCGTTGCTCGTTTCAAAAGTTGAGAAAAGTTCAACTTTTGAAGCGTCAGCCAATCAAATCATATGCCAGTACAAGCTCTAGCCAATCAAACCGCGTGCTTGTGTGTCCGGGGCGGGAGATTCATGTGATTGGTTGTTGGTCGAGTTTCAGACACGCCAGCCGGCAAGCTTCAACGCACGCTGCCGTGTGGACGGCGTTGAAGCTTGAATCTCCCGCCCCGGAGACACAAGCACGCGGTTTGATTGGCTAGAGCTTGTACTGGCATATGATTTGATTGGCTGACGCTTCCGTCGACGCTTGAAAAGTTCTACTTTTCTCAACTTTTGAAGCGAGCAAAGCGAAGCGACGGAACCGCAATGCAGTTCGGCAAAGCGTGACGTCACCCCATTCAAAGTGAATGGGAAGAAGCGGTGAAGCTTCAACGCACGCCGCCGTGTGGACGGGCCGTTACGTGTATTTCTCAAGATGTCTGACAATCCTTTTTGAAATCAGAGTAAATGAATGACGGTGTTTTTCCTCAGGAGCGGGTCGGGGGAAAGACATGGCGAACATCACGGGGCTCCGAGGGAAAGACATGTCCGTCATCCTGCAGGCGGACGAGGGGAAAGAGAACGGAGAAACGCCCCAACCCCCTGCTGGGCCGCGGAGGAAAAAACGCCGACGACTGAACGACCTCGACAGCGACAGCACCGTCGAGGAGGAGGAGAGCGAGGACGAGTTTCGCATCAGTGAGAGGTTAGAAACTGCTCCGAAATCAAAGCTAATATAACTTCATTACATTACTCTAGACTTCAGATTCCTCTACCTCTTTCATTTTCATTTAATGTTTTTCAAATATAATTTAATATGTCTACAAATATTAACATTGATTCTAGGTATCGCTTTTTTTTATTATTCTTTATTAATTATTAGTTCTCCAATTTAGATGAACTGCTTGATAGCGTGCGAAGGTGCGTTTACGCCGGTTGTTAAACAACATCGTTATGGGGAAATGCAAGTCTGCGTCCAAATGGTTGGAAGATAAGGAGGAAGGACAATCAATACTGTATATAGTCAATGTGGGGTAAAGGGTGTCGCCAATGTAATGTACAAACTCCAAGTGGCGATGAGGTCTTAAAATGTATGGAAAGGGTCCAAAGTTCCAAAAATACTTAAAAGTTCCAAAAATACTTAAAGTTCCAAATATACTTAAAGTTCCAAAAATACCGTTAAAGTTCCAAAAATACCGTAAATTCCAAAAATACTTAAAGTTCCAAAAATACCGTAAATTCCAAAAATACTTAAAGTTCAAAATATACTTAAAGATCCAAAAATACTTAAAGATCCAAAAATACCCTAAATTCCAAAAATACTTAAAGTTCCAAAAATACTTAAAGTTCCAAATATACTTAAAGTTCCAAATATACTTAAAGATCCAAAAATACTTAAAGATCCAAAAATACTGTAAATTCCAAAAATACTTAAAGTTCCAAAAATACCGCAAATGGTTGGAAGATAAGGAGGAAGGACAATCAATACTGAATATAGTAAAGTGTGTCGCCAATGTAATGTTCAAACTCCAAGTGGCGATGAGGTCTTAAAATGTATGGAAAGGGTCCAAAGTTCCAAAAATACTTAAAAGTTCCAAATATACTTAAAGTTCCAAAAATACTTAAAGATCCAAAAATACTTAAAGTTCCAAAAATACCCTAAATTCCAAAAATACTTAAAGTTCCAAAAATACCGTTAAAGTTCCAAAAATACCGTAAATTCCAAAAATACTTAAAGTTCAAAATATACTTAAAGATCCAAAAATACTTAAAGATCCAAAAATACCCTAAATTCCAAAAATACTTAAAGTTCCAAATATACTTAAAGTTCCAAATATACTTAAAGTTCCAAAAATACTGTAAATTCCAAAAATACTTAAAGTTCCAAAAATACCGCAAATGGTTGGAAGATAAGGAGGAAGGACAATCAATACTGTATATAGTCAATGTGAGGTAAAGTGTGTCGCCAAGGTAACCGGTTAAAACTCCAAGTGGCGATGAGGTCTTAAAATGTATGGAAAGGGTCTTAAAAAAGGTCTTAAAAGGTCTTACATGTGACTTCAGGATTCCTGCATATACCCTGAAATACCACGTAATGATTCTAGTCTCTATCGCCTCGTTTATGCGTCTGTTTTCCCCCGATGCAGCTCAGAGGAAGAGTTCGTGGCGTCAGAGAACGGCTCGGAGGCAGAATCGGACTCTAGCAGCGGGAAAAAACGAACATCGAAACGCAGGAAACCTCCGACTAAACGACGAAGAAGTGCCAGGAAACGAAGGAGACCGAAGGGATACTCGGACGATGAAGAGGAGGAGACGGACGAGGAAGATGAAGACGAGATGGGTATGTATATGAACAAAACAAAGACATCACTTATTCCACTGATGTGCAATGTGTTCCTAAAGCTGATATTATTATTACTACTACCGGCTGCTACTCTGTCAGAAGTGGAAGAAGTACTCTTATATTTACTGGAGTAAAAGTAGAAGTATAACAGTGTAAAAATACTCTGTTACAAGTAAAGGTCCTGGATCCATAATCTTAGTTTAGTAAAAGTGCGGAAAATATACTTAAAGTTCCAAAAATACTAGTTGTAGTAGTGGTAGTCTTAGTGGTAGGAGTAGTAGTAGTAGTAGTAGTAGTAGTAGTAGGAGTTGTATTAGTTGTAGTATTAGTTGTAGTAGTGGTAGTATTAGTTGTAGTAGTGGTAGTATTAGTTGTAGGAGTAGTAGTAGTATTAGTTGTAGTAGTGGTAGTATTAGTTGTAGTAGTGGTAGTATTAGTTGTAGGAGTAGTAGTAGTATTAGTAGTGGTAGTAGTAGTAGGAGCAGTAGCAGTATTAGGAGTAGTTGTAGTAGTATTAGTTGTAGTAGTGGTAGTAGTAGGAGCAGTAGCAGTATTAGGAGTAGTATTAGTTGTAGTAGTGGTAGTAGTACTAGTTGTAGTAGTGGTAGTCTTAGTGGTAGGAGTAGTAGTAGGAGTTGTAGTAGTAGTAGTAGTAGTAGTAGTAGTAGTGGTAGGAGTAGTAGTATACTCCTACCCATATCATGTATTTATTTTGCTATGTATATAAATGTCATGTTCTTAAATGTTGTATGTGAGGGACTACGGATGGAAACTAGCTCAAAGCTAAAATCCGGCATGTTTACATTTTTAAAGCATTATTTGTTTTAAATGTTCATCAATGTGCACGGTCCCTCGTCAAATAAACGATTAAATAAAAAAAATAAAAAAAATAGTAGTGGTAGTATTAGTTGTCGTGGTGGTAGTCTTAGTGGTAGGAGTAGTAGTATTAGTTGTCGTAGTGTTAGTAGGTGGTAGGAGTTGTTGTAGTAGTAGTAGTATTTTTAGAAGTAGTATTATTAGTACAAGTAGTAGTATTTCCCCTCTTTGGGAGGAATAAAGGAGTTCTGTTTCTGCTGTAAAATAAGTATTGTGTTTCTTAGCCCCACATGGGGGGTGGTGGCGAAGTCCATAGGGACTTGGCTTGGCAACTGGAAGGTCACCAGTTCAAGTCCCGGAAAGACCAAGTGCTCCCGAGGTGTCCCTGAGCAAGACACTGCTCCCCGGGCGCCGTACATAATGGTAGCCCACTGCTCCTAACACTAGGATGGGTCAAATGCAGAGAAACCGTTTCGTTGCATAGTACCTGTACTATGTGATGACAATAAGTTGAATCTTCTTCAATGCCTTCACACTTTGTATTTCTGTGATGTTTCCAGCGACTGAGGGCTCGAGCGAGTACAGCGACAGCGATCTGGACATGAGTCGGCGGCGCTCTCGGAGGAGTAAGAAGGCTCAGGTGAACTACAGAGAGACGTCAGAGTCCGAGGCCTCGCAGGCGGAAACTAACCAGGCCAAAATGAAACCCAGAGGACGCATGAACAGCTCCAGCAGCGAGGGTCAGTCAATAACACACACACACACACACACACACACACACACACACACACACACAGTAACACAAACGTCTTTTTACACGATAACCATGTATTTATTTGCAAGAATGAAATCGCTTAGAAATCGTGTAAAATGTAATGAAACCCGTTCACATCAAGGGCAATATCATATGAGTACTTTTTCATTCTGTACTTTTTTAGGTAAAAGTATTAACAGTAGTAGTATAAGTATACTTTAGGGCTACTTCATCCTGTCTCTCAACATGACCGCAAGGCAATTTGATGGAAAGAATGGAAATGCAAAACAACACGTTTCAACATTTCATATCTCAAACTTTATTTTCTTGAAGAAGGTCAGAAGAAAACCCTAACCCTGATTTTAGTGTTGCATCTTGTGGGGCCGCACAGTTAATTGCACAATGCATAATATTTGGTAAATGCGAAATATGCCAAAAATATCAGTATGAAGTAAAGTGGATCTGCAGAGAAGTCCCAAAAGGTATTCTCCAGACTTAGCGAGCACACACCAACACACACACTAACACTAGTAGTAATACAAACGTACACGATGATCATGTAATTATTTGCAGGAATAAAAGATGTCCGGTCCAAACTAATATACCTAACAGGGTTCTTACGGTCATTAAAAACCTGGAAAAGTCATGGAAATTCAAAATGCAAATTCCAGGCCCTGGAAAAGTTATGGAAAATAATATTTTCCCCAAAGTTTTGGAAAAGTCATGGAAATGTAACTAAAGTTGCATCAAATATAATTTATATTTTAGCTAATCGCCGAAATAGTAATACTATAATGATAATAAATACTGTATCGTATAGTAATGAAACGTAAAATGGCATTTAACTGACTTTGTTGGTGAGAGATTTTAGTTGCTTTGCGTGTAGAAGCTAGTAAGCCTATTTGATTTGTTTCAGATAGGCACAACATGTTTCATATGCAGACCTTACTTTCCTGTTCCATGTTAAAATAAACCATTTTCAGTGGTACCGCTGAGAAAGAGTAATTTTTTGGTCATGGAAAATTAGGTAAAGGTCCTGGAGAAGTCATTGAAAATCATTGGTGAAAAGGTGTATGAACCCTGACCTACTCGCTTGAAATTGTGGAAAGATTCACAAAAAAGACTTAGCAGTACAGATAAATGTGGGCTCACTATTTGGCAAGATGACTAAGTCTTATATTGGCTACCTAGCTTACTTCGTCTCCTTCATCAGCCAGCATCCTTGGTGTCTGTTGCTCACTGAGTTGATTCTCGCTAAGTAGCCAATATAAGGCTTAGTTATCTTGCCAAATAGTGAGCCTGTGTTGATGTATGCAAACTGTTAGAACTGGTTTATAAATGGTTCTTAAGGATTAATAAAGTGTTTACAACCTAATTCATAACCTAATTATTGTATATGTATTTTTCAGTTAAAGAACTTGTATAAATTAAGAAAGATGGGACTATTTGAAGCAGAATGTGAATAAGTCTATGTACTCTGGTCCTGCATTGTTGAATATTTTTGATGTCTTTGATGTGATGTCTGTTCTTTATTTGCAGGTCCCATTGTTATTGTTATTGTTATTATTATTATTAGGCGCCGCTTTCCACCTTCTTCTCCAGTAGGACTCAGATGAGGGTGTACTCTTATGTGTGGCTGTGAACATTTTTTTTTATTATGAAGGGCAGACCATCTATTTGTATTTATTTAGTTTTTTTTAGAAAGGGGCAGGTCATATAAGATTGTATTCTTCTCCCTGCTCCTTTTCGCTCAATGGTGTGTAGAGACATGTTCTGTTGGCAATTATTGTACATTTGGCTATGCGTACCATGAGCGGGACAAATAAAAATGAAATGAAATGAAAAACCCGTCATGAATCCTTTATGAGGGTAGTGTGATTGTAAAGTGGTACCAAAGTTGGTCTATCGGTAGATCCCATCCCATCTACCTGAAGCTAAAGGTGTCTCTCTTTCCTCTTCTCTCCTCAGCGAGTTCCTCCAAAGACTCGGAGGAGGAGTCGAAGGAGCCTCGGAGGAAGAGGAGAGGCGACTCTTCGTCGGAGGAGGAGAAAGGTTCAAAGCAGAAGCACCGGCGTATCGCTCTGAAACGCAGACGAGCCTCCGAGGACGACGAGTCGGACGACGACTCTGACGCATCGTCTTCAGAAGAGGATCGACCCGTCCGGAAACGTGTGAACCGAATCGACTCTGACGATGACGAGGAGGAGGAAGAGGAGAAGAAGGAGGAGAAGGAGGAGAAGAAGGAGGAAGAGGAGAAACCGAAGGAGAAGAAAGCAGACGAGGAGACAAAGGGAACAGTGGACAGCACTCCAGTGGATTTGCCGCCTACAAATGGACAGAACGCGATAAAAACCATCGTCACGCCAACAGAGGCTCCAAAAAATATCACCGCGGGCGCCATTGTCGCGCCGAACGGACAGGAAGTGGCGCCGCAGGAAGAAGACGAGGACGACCTGTTGGGAGTCACGGACCTCGTGGACTACGTCTGCAATAGCGAAGATTTGTAGAAAAGAAAAAAAGGTGTACTGTTTCATTTTTTGTGGTATTGTATTTTTATATTTAACTTTATTATTCCCGCCAACACCAACAACACTTCCTCCTCTTCGTCCGCTTTTCAACATCCGGACATTTTTCTCTCCTGACTGTCACTGTGGGATCAAACTGCAAATAAGGGCACCGAACTTTTTATTTTTTAATAATAATGATAATCTGTTTTGACCCCCACGTCATCCAGCTCCACTGCCTCTCATTGCTCCGCTCGCATCCTCACGGTTTTTTCATTTCGTTGAATCCATGATTTCTACAGATTTTATCTCCTGTTCTCTCGACGTCGACGTTGATGGAAAATTGGCACTGAATTTGTTAAATGTTGTAGGAAACAGAATATGCTAAACCACTGGGGCTTTTTAACGGTATTAAATAAGTCATTCCACTATTGATTTTAAAGTTCTGGACATTTGCTTCAAAATTAATCGTGGTTTTTGTTTTACATCACAAGAATAGTTTTCGACATTTTGGGAAAAATGTAAAACCTCAAATGTCTGTTTGGCTAGTTAGCTTAGCACAAATATATATTTCAGAATAATCTAATATTGATTTATAAATTTGTACAATAAGAACAAGTTAATATCAATAATTATATGCAAAAATATATTAGCATTTAGTTTTATGTTTCTACAAAATAAACAGTGTAAAAACGTTGATTTGCAGACATATCTTCCAAAAAAATGCACGACTTTTTTACACGATTTATCGGATAAAATAATAACATGTTAATTATAAAGTTTTAGTTTCTGTTAAGGCAAAACTAGGCTAGCTGTTTCCCTCCGTTTCCAGTCATTGTGCTAAGCTAGGCTAACCCACTGCATTAAAAGCATTATAATTCAAATTCAGTTACATATATATAAATATCTAACTCGTGAAATCAAATAAGCATAGTTCCCAAAAAGTCAAACTTTTGTTTCAAATTATTCTTGTTAATTGTTGTAAAAGCTTTAAATGAGACTATTTATTCTTACCGAACGACTTTAAGAATAAGTAGTAGTAAAAACCAGGTTAGCTGTTTCCCTCCGTTTCCAGTCATTGTGCTAAAATAACCTAAGCTAACCCGCTGTAATCTGACTTCCTGAAACCAGTCAGCATAATTCCCAAAATGTCGATTATTGTGAACTATTCTGGGGTGTTTTTTTTTCCTGTAAAAGCTTTAGATAAGACTTTTTATTCTTGTCGAAAACCTTCTAGACTATGAAGTAGTCGTCCAACCCTTCTGTTGAATCGTAGAGTAGCTTTTGTATAACATATATCATGATTTGAATTCTGTGCGCTGCCATCAGAAAATGTCAAACTCGTCCCTCCTTATCTTGAGCTAGTTATTACACATAATGTTTTTTTTTAATAATGTATGTTTTTGTATATCGAAACGTTCATTTCTTGTTGTCTGAGCGAATGTAGTGTCTTGTTGTTTTTGTACAATGTCCTTCACAAAGGTTTAAAACCTGCAGACTTTTTAAAACACTAAGCTTAAGAAAAACAGCCCTTTTTCCACTTTTTTATTTGATCTTCTGGTCCTTATTCTTCTCTTGGGTCTTCCTGTGTTTCCGTTCACATCCTCCATCGGTCGTCATCTTGCAGACATTTCAATTCAAATTTAAAAAAAAAGCTCATTTCTTTTTGATTGATGGTCGGGATGCAGTTTTAAAACGAGGGGAAATGGACAGAAAAGCCAATGACTTCACTGACCTCTGCTGGAACCAGTCTGTGTGTATATCTGTAGTTTCTTGCTGTAAAATATTTAGAGGCATTTTTTTTAATCATGGAAAATATATTGGGCAATTCTTTGGGATTGCATGTTTCTATTAGTTTTCTTTTTGTAGGGGAAGTAACTTTTGTTTTGTACCAGAAAAGCACGTTTTAAAGGATCTGTTGAAGGACTTTTAAAGCAGAAATAATTCAGAAGTAAGCATGCGCTGACCTACTAAAGGCATGTTACACAAGCTTTGGGTGGAGAGGAGGGATTATAGGGAATAATCTAGGACGCCGAAATCTGATTTTAACCGCGGAAACGGAGCGTGTTTGTAAAATATTTTGTAAATTAGTCTCAGCATGGTCTTCACAGAGGAAAAACCACTCTATTTATCATACCGTTTTGATACCAGCGGCCAAAAAAACATGACTTTCCCCAGACAGAAAACACATATACACAAATATTTAGCTTCTAGATTTAGCTGGACAGAGTATAGAAAATGTAAAAAAGTGTCAAAGGAAATGTCTCTACTGTGTTCTGTACGTAACCCCGTTTTGAAAGAAGCCTCCACAGAGAAAAAGGAGTGTTCATAATAATAATGATGTATCTCACGGTTATAAAATAACCTGTAGCAAGACCTGCATCGGAGCGAGATGAATAATAAAAGTCTGGGATTAAAGAGGGTGCCAATGACTGAAGTGTTAACGGAGTTCACTATTTACCTCATGATGAATCTGGGAGGAAAGTGTTAGACGCTCGTAGACGCTGGTTGGTGTTTGTCTGCTCCTTTTTGTTAATTTTACTGTTATTTCATATGAATCTGATCTTGTACATTTGTCATAATAAAATGGGTTTCGAGCCTCACGTCGTGCCGCCTTGTGTGAGTCTTCATGTGGAAATGAAAGGGTTAAATCAGTGTGTTGGATAAAGTTTATTGTAATTTTAAACCTAAAAATCACTCAGATTATATATTTCAATTATTTTCCACTTTTTTTATTTCTTTAATTTAAAAATTATCTTTTAAGGTTGTTTGTTTTCAAATAACTCCCACTTGTTTTCTTAGAGAACATTTGCCCTTTTGAAAATTGCTTTAATTTATTTATTTTCTTGATCATAATTACCAAGTAAGTTTTTCATTTTCAGAATTGTAACACTTTTAATGCCAGTTAGTTTACATAACACCGCTGTTAATGTTTTAAAAACAGTATAATTCTGTTTACTAAATGCTAGTGGGAATTGTATTTATTTACTGTTTAACGGCCCTTTCTCATTTTCTCTAATTCCCCTCCTCGACTCCTATCCTTGTGACTCAGGAGATGCGAGCGGAGGAGTCGAGGAGGGGAACCGAGGAGAGAGGAGGGGAAGCAGCAGGCGGTTAGAGAAATGAGAACTCCTCTCCTCTGAGCGGTCATTTTAAAGAGACGTCCATTAATGATGACAGGAGGCACAGCAGCCCTCTGTCTGATGGACAGATGTGTTCATGACCACTTCTATATTTACTTTGATTCATTCACAGTGCGGTATAATGAGACAATAACAGGCTACGCGGACATACATACACACACACACATAGGCCTATAAATATATACAATTTCAGATTCAAACAAGTATGAGAGCACTCTCATAATAACATAACACTATTAGAGACTGGATATATCCCCCCCCCTCTCTCTGGTCGCTACAATGAGGAAATGAAATTACGGGCCAAACGTTTTATTTACAAGTATTAAAGTAAGCATAGGACACCAAACCAACTGAGACCTGTCTGTCCGCTGCATCTACGCATACACACACACACTCACACGCACCTACACACTGTACCACACGCACCTACACACTGTACCACACGCACCTACACACTGTACAACACGCACCTACACACTGTACCACACGCACCTACACACTGTACAACACGCACCTACACACTGTACCACACGCACCTACACACTGTACCACACGCACCTACACACTGTACCACACGCACCTACACACTGTACAACACGCACCTACACACTGTACAACACGCACCTACAGCTCCTAAAGCATATAATATATAATCAGGCCTATTTTATTATGTGAAGCACTAAATGGTCTTAGAAAGATATCTACTAAACTAAAGTATACAAATACAGAGAGTAATGTAGGCCTGTTATCAGGGGCGTCGCCTGGACCTGAAAACATTCGGGGCTTAGCCCACAGTGGCGGCGGCACTACAGTGGCATTTTTTACTGCAACACTCCCCACACGCACACACACAGTACACCCGCGACTGTTACAATGAAGGCTCGATAATCAGCTCACGGCATATAGGCAGGGGTAAAGTGGTATTTTTTATGAGTGGGGGGCTCACCTCCTCTAGGGGGGTCCGGGGGGATGCTCCCCCAGGAAGATTTTTTTTTTAAATATTGAAGTTAAAAGCATCAATCTGGTACACTTTGAGAGCAAAATGAAGAGATCTATGGATACCTCTCTCAACACCCATATGAAGCAGAACTGTAAACAGATGTACTTTTTCTTTATGGATATTTTACTAATCACTCCCCTTTTAAACTCTATTCTTGTTTTACTGCCATATAGTATTTCATAACTGTTTTTCCTTTATTCTCTTTTTTTTAATAACTATAATGATCATATGAAGGTGTGCCGCGGAAATAATCTTTTGAATAATTTGTGACCAAACCGTTTGAGACCCACTGAGATAACTTAGACTAAAGTTAACTATCTAAACACTCAGAGAGTCCTTTAGCTCACCTGAGTCTCTCAGTCTGAGAGGAGAGGACTCTCCTCCAGCTTCTTGTGGAACAAACAGCTCCTTATGTCCGTTAGTGCAACTAGCTAACCAGATGCTAACAACACGGTCCATGCTGACACCGGTCCCTCCCTCCCCCTCTCTCCCTCTCTCTCTCTCTCTCTCTCACTAAATGCGCTATTGCCACACACACACACATACCCCTTTCACACCAACGCAACTCCGGTTCAAGCTCCGTGCTAGAGCTTTTCAGGTTCAGAACCGGTACTTCGGTTTAGCTCCGGCTCTTTTCACACCGCTCAGAGACCGACTGGTGCTGCCGCTGCTGCGTCATGACGTCACAGTTTACGTCGCTGATTTTCTCCCCAACGGAGCTCACCTCACAACAACAACGGGCCGGGGACTGCGTTGCTTTTAATCATACGAAGCCAGATTAAATTAAATAACGACTTCTCCAACCTTATACTTTTCTCCAGAGTGCCGTGGTTCATTGTTTATTAATGTGTTTCAGCGGCATTTACCGACCGCTGCAGTGCTGGCTGCTCTTCCACGGGAGTGTATTCTCCCGTTAGCTCCGGGTTAGCTCACACGGCTCTAAAGTATTCACTGTCTGACTGTCACACAAGCAGCTGATACATATCCCCAGTTCCCCTTAAGTGAATGTGTGTCAGTCTGAATTGACGCTGTTTGGTGTCAGTCTGAATTGACGCTGTTTGGCATCACAACGCTGTTATGAAAGTTTCTCTGGTATAACATGGGTGATGTTAGCATAGCAACCGAAGCTAAACTGACTACTTGCTAAGCAGTTTTCTACAGGCACTTTTTACCGACGTATTTTTCATTATGATTCTACTTGTGATAGTCGGACATGACAACCTGTGCAGCCCATGTATTGATTCCATCCGATAGCTGCTATAATAACAAACAAAACGTCTGCCTGCTCTCCACAATGATCAATAACAGCGAACGGATGGTCAAAGTAAGGTACAAATAAACAGAATCACACGAAGCCTGGTTAGTGTTGCCTGACTTTATAAAGCGTGTTTTCTTTTTACAAGTGTGTGGTTGCGTTCTAGTCACTTTGCTCAGCACTACTGCTTGTTACAACTTTTATTTGCCGTACTCGCCTTAACTGTTAGCTCAGGTTAATCTCGCCCCCCTCCGACGTAAGCGTGACGTATGCGGTTCTTGCTTCTAGACGGACAACTTTTTGGTGCTCGAAACGAACCGGATTCCGGAGCTTAGAGGCGGCTCCGCTGCGGTGTGAACAGGAAAACCCGGTGCTTTTCAAGCACCAGCTCCGAACCGGCCCTGAAACACCGTTGGTGTGAATGGGGTAACAGAGCCGAGCTTGAATGACACAAGCACACGTTTATTTCCATGCAACTCTCTGATTGGTCTGGTGTCATGCCTCTGTTGCATTCACTGAACACGGGAAATTACAGTGCTGCCGTCCTCTCTTGTGTCATGATGAGGTTCACGTAAAGCACGGTTAATGTATTATATTATTGAGGGAGAATTGTCCGGGGCTACAGAAAAAACATTCGGGGCTAAAGCCCCGGATGCCCAGGCCAGGCGACGCCACTGCCTGTTATACTGAGTGATATACACACTGCTCTGCTTTCTGCACGGACCTCACAGCTGTTCTCTCTGGAAACATCGCGTCTGATTCAAGCAGTTAATACAATAATATCCAGGGGATGCATGCAGAGCTGATTGGCTGAGATAAGTCCGGCCGTGCGTCACGACTCTTTGAAACATCTCTGTTGCCGGAAATACATCCACGGAGGACCGTGGAGGACCCATCAGTGTATCCTCGGTTAGAGCTCCTCCAGAGAGCCTCCTCGACGCTCGATCCTCGGCCCTCGATGTGCATTTAGAGAAATGAGATGTCCTTCAACATGGCGCGCTGAAATCCATTTCCGGGTCACTACCGGAGGACCGAGGAGTCGAGGAGGGGGAATTAGTGAAATAAGAAAGGGCCATAGTCTTGGGATGTATCAATAATCAGAGGTGTGGACTCGAGTCACATGACTTGGACTCGATTCAGACTCGACTTGACAAAATCACAAAACACTTGCGACTCGACTTGGACACCAATGACTCGGGACTTGACTTGGACTTGAGCCTTCTGACTTGAGGTGACTTGATAATTTAATTCAGAGGTCTCCAACACGCCGATCGTGAGCTGCCGTTCAGAAGAGCAGACTCCCGTCGGGGAGAGCAGAATCTTCAGCCGCTGCAACTCTTGCTGAGAATCCATGCAGGCAGGGGCGGGACTTTATTTTGCTGAGCCACCATGCGGCCAATCATATGTGAGGACACACTAGGATCATACCATTATGTGAAAGAAGGGTGGGGGGCAGACGCTCCAAAGACAGCAGGTGTAGTGGTACAGGCCAGCTACAGAGCCACGGGGAGACCGGGAGCCGGATTTAAATGCAAGCGCGTCGGAAAAAGTCAAGAAATTAGCGAAAACCGAAAAAAGAAGCAGCATCTGGCTGCATTTCAGTGATATTGGAGAAAGCAAGAAGTTCAGATCTTGTACTTGAGTAACAGTACCAGAGTGTAGGAATACTCGGTTACAATAAAAAGTCCTGCATTCAAAATGTTACAAGTAAAAGTAGAAAAGTATTATCATCAAAATATAGTTAAAGTACCACCTGCAGAGGGATCTAGATGCAGGTGTTCTTTTCCCCATAGAGACCGCCTCGCTGCACATTATCCCTTGCATAAAGATAGATTGTGGGTCCCTTATAACATGCTGTACACAGTGGAAATAAACATTCTGGATACCTTAACATCAGGGATCTTATCCATTAAACTCCTTCTGAATCAAACCGTCACGGTAGCCTTACCTTACTGATCCCTCTTACAATAGAAGAAAACACGTTACTTTACCAGCAGAGAGAAAATGGATTATTAAATGATTAATGTGACTAATAAAGAGCAGTTTGATTATTAAGTATTATTCTGTTGATCGATTTCATTACATTTGTTGAAAAGCACATAATGACTTGTTTAAGACTTGTTTTGTCAAAGTTTAGGACTTGGACTTGACTTGAACTTGCCCATCCTGACTTGAGACTTGACTTGGACTTGAGCGCAAAGACTTGAGACTTGACTCGGACTTGAGCGCAAAGACTTGAGACTTGACTCGGACTTGCAAAACAATGACTTGGTCCCACCTCTGTCAATAATCCATCGTTTAATTTAGTAAAACACAAACAATCCCAGTCGGCTCTGATTGGTTAGCTGGCCGGCTCTGTTGTGATTGGTCAACCGCTTCGAGATGTCCCGCCCCTTAGCCTATTACGTACAATGTGTCGGAGCGCTAGCCAATAGAAGCGTGAGTGTTACATAGTGATGTCACAATGTTCTGGAAGTAAACAATGGAGGCGTTTCAGGCTGGAGGGACGGGAGGGAACTTTGGGATTTTAGCCTCTGCAGACCATTTACATGCACTAAAACCTATAGAACACACTACAGGAAAAGCAGGATAGAGCCTCTTCAAGTGAGTGTACTTCTTTAAATTACACCGCTGCTTCTCTTTGATGTATTCCTGTGAGTCCACGTGGTCTCATGTGTGTCGTATGTTGTTAACGTGTTGTGTGTTATTTGCGCTGCAGTGTTGAAATGTTTGGCATTTAGCTGAGTCAGACATGAGTGTGAAGAAGGGAGGAGGGGGGGAGAAAAGAGGGAGGAGAGGGGGAGAAAAGAGGGAGGAGAGGGGGAGAAAAGAGGGAGGAGAGGGGGAGAAAGGTCGAGTTGTGTAACAGATATTTGCTTCAGGCCAAAGTGCCACGAGGACGATCTGCAGGATTTACCTTTGGGATTTTACAAACCTCCAAAAAGACTTGAACTGAGATTAGGGTTAGAGTCATTAGGAACATTTGAACTGTCAACAAATGAATGGCGTTCACCATGACCATGAAGTATCTCAAGTAAAAACAGCACATATCAAATATATGTAAACGACAGTGGTTGAGATATTTCAGAATTTTTTTAATTCAATATATTAGAAATGCATTTTAATTACAACATTATACAAAACCTGTTATCTAAAATAGTCATTAATATCATTATCATCCAGAGGTATTAACGTTGTAAATTAAAATCTGACTTTGGTTCACAAAATGAGAAGTTGCTGCAGTTTTTAAATGAGAAAAAAAACACACACACACACACACACACACACACATTACATTACATGTCACTTGTTAGACGCTTTTATCCAAAGCGACTTACATACTCAATACTGTGGACAATCCCCACAGGAGCAATTTGGGGTGAAGTGTCTCAGGGACACAACGACATGCTGACTGCAGTGGGGCTCGAACTTACTACCCCCTGATTCGAAGTCCAGCACACTATCCACTGAGCCACAGCCTCCCATATGCACACACACACACACGGTGAGCAGACAACTGAAGCTTTGGTCATCTTAATACATTAAAAAAAGTTAAATGTAGTTTTTTGTCAAGTGTGTCAGAGAAATGTTGGTGTAATTACAAACGTGTGGAAATATAATGCTTTAATAATTGTGTGCAATTAAAACCACCTAAACCTAAACAAACTTCTGTGTTTCCCTTCAACCCTTAATAACTTCAACCAAAGGCCTTTTATTTAACATTAGACGGAATAACGTACATAACACTAACCCTGACTTTATCAGTCACGTTATGATTAGGCATTATTTAAATTCAGATTTGTTTTGTATTATATATATTTTTGTTTAATTGCATTTTTGGTATTTAATTTTATTGTATTTTTTTGTAATTTATTACCTTTTTTTAAAATTTGTATTTATTAAATGTATGATCGTCTTACATTTAAATTTACATGACTTTAATGTCTTACATTTGAAGTTTGATTGTCTTTTATTATATTTAACTATAATATTTTATTCTATTTCTAATAATTGTCTTGGTTTTTCATCAATTTGACGATTTTTCTTAACATGCGTTTACGCTTGTATTGAGGAATATTGTGCATCTCTTCTGTCCCAGCATGTGCAGGTATAAAAGTTGAATATAATAAAAAGGGCTCATAAAATACCAAAGAGAAGACGATAAAGTGGCTTTGATATCAAACCATCTGCACATTAACCATTTGCACTTTGGTTCATTAGTGTGCAGTGAATTAATTACAGTCACAGTCATATAACCTTCTTCCTGAGTGCTCTGGCTCTTTGACAGTCTTGTGAATGTGAAAAACATTTGGCAAAAATGAAGTACAGTTATATTAACGACCTTATCCTTAAATCTGGTATTAGAACTATACAAATATAGTTCTAAAGTCAAAATGGAATAAAAGATTAACTTGGCATGGATTTTTGGTTCTGTCACAGTACTGTCATTTATATGATATATATCTGTGTTAGTGTGTAATTAGTATAACTTTAAATCAAACTAAAGCGTTACATTAGTCACTTTAAAAGTATGAAGTATTATGTTTTAGCACTTCCTGTTTGCAGCCATCACTAAATCAGTTTGACTCTGAACTTTAAAACGTGCTAAATCTCAGGCAGGTTGTGAAGTCTTTTTTCAGCGTCTAAGCACTTGGTGTTAATTAGCATGTTAAAAAGCTAATGATTGTTCCTTAATGTCTGTTTAATTAAAGCTGGTTTGTTGTGTCCTTGTGCTTTAAAGTCATTTGAAGTGTTTACGACAAATGCCACCCTGATATTTTCCACTCAGACACGTGGAGTAAAAGCTTAAGACACTAACATTTTGACTTCCTCTCCTCTGTGTCACCGAGTCTTCTTCTGCACGGCAGGTCTGTCCGGTCTGATGGAGCTTTTTCCAGAGAGGAAGGGGACGATCTTCTCAAACAGCAGCACGCAGCTCGCCACACCTGGAGGGGGGGGGGGACACGGGGAAGACAAAGGACGTTACACTACGATTCAAGTTTCAAGGCTTTATTGTCATGTGCACATTAGCTACAGTGTAGATATGGCAATGAAAAACGTAAAGGTCTCCTATTATACTGTTTCTCATCAATATATCACAGGTCTCAGATATATACAGAGCCTGTCTCTGATTGGCTGAAACACCAAACAGATCATTGCAGCATTACCCATAATCCCCTCTGTTTCAGCCCTGTTTCAAAAGTGCTGATTCTCTGTCTGTTACTTTAGATGAAAATAAGGAGCCCCTCCCCACGCCCCTCTGAGAGAGATTTGGTTACACATTAGGCGCGTTCACACCGCAGTACTTTTCCCACTTTAGTTCCGATATAGTTCCGAAATGTCTCGTTCACACCAAAAAGAGCCGGAACTAGAATGAGTTCATGAGAACCTTTTCACCCCCTTTTCCGTCCCTGCTAGAGAGCAGGGACTTTCGTGGGAGAAAAAGGTTCCTATGTCTGATTGGCTGGGCGGATTGCAAACCACGCCCCGTAAAACTCCCAAAAAGTTTTGTGAAGCCGCCATTTTATTATCCTCGCATTAGCATTATTAGCATTAGCATTAGCCCAGCGCAGAAACGCAGAGAGACTAACTTATGGCAACACAAAATAAAACATGGGAGCGGTGGAGATGAGGAGGTGTCGGCGTTCTGGCGATTTACTCGGAAGGCTTCAGTAGAAGCTGCTGGGAGTCCCAGCAGCTTCTACTGAAGCCTTCCCCAACTCCGGGGACTTCCGGCCGGGGACTTCGGGTGGCAGTATACACCGTGAAGTTGTTTGCGGCCTGCCAGTAAACCCAAAGCAGAAGAAGAAGAAGTGACGTCAGCGGCTTCATTTGCCTAATCCTACCTCAGGGACTTATTCCGGTGTGAACGCGATCTGTACTTAGTTCATGAGAACTAAAGAGTTCTGATGAACTAAGTACTGATGAACCTTTGTGGGGAAAGTACTGCGGTGTGAACGCGCCTAATGGTGCTCTAGGAGGAGATTCAGGTGATAAGGTGGGGGGGGGTTACCTTGGTTGCTGATTGGCTAATGGTTACACAAGCCAAAACATCATTATGACATCATAAAGTGGCCAAAATCTGACCAGCTCATTTTCAGACAGGTTTTTATAGAAATGGATCAAAAAGAGAGAGAATCTTTGTTCCTGAAACTTTCAGAGTCTCTTTCCACAGAGGGGACACATGTTGATGAAGAAGAGACATGAAGAAGAGGGGACACATGTTGATGAAGAAGAGACATGGAGAAGAGGGGACACATGTTGATGAAGAAGAGACATGGAGAAGAGGGGACACATGTTGATGAAGAGACATGAGGAAGAGGGGACACATGTTGATGTAGAAGAGACATGAAGAAGAGGGGACACATGTTGATGTAGAAGAGACATGAAGAAGAGGGGACACATGTTGATGAAGAAGAGACATGAAGAAGAGGGGACACGTGTTGATGAAGAAGAGACATGAAGAAGAGGGGACACGTGTTGATGTAGAAGAGACATGAAGAAGAGGGGACACATGTTGATGTAGAAGAGACATGAAGAAGAGGGGACACATGTTGATGTAGAAGAGACATGAAAGAAGAGGGGACACATGTTGATGTAGAAGAGACATGAAGAAGAGGGGACACATGTTGATGTAGAAGAGACATGAAGAAGAGGGGACACATGTTGATGTAGAAGAGACATGAAGAAGAGGGGCACATGTTGATGTAGAAGAGACATGAAGAAGAGGGGACACATGTTGATGTAGAAGAGACATGAAGAAGAGGGGACACATGTTGATGTAGAAGAGACATGAAGAAGAGGGGACACATGTTGATGAAGAAGAGACATGAAGAAGAGGGGACACATGTTGATGTAGAAGAGACATGAAGAAGTGGATTTTGCATAATAGGTGACCTTTAAGCAGAGTTGGGTGTAACGCGTTACAAAGTAACGCGTTACTGTAATAATATTACTTTTGTCTGTAACGGAGTAGTGTAACGCGTTACTTTTATAATTCAGTAATCACACTACAGTTACTAACATTGCCCCGACACGCGTTACTTCGTTACTTTTATAAAATCAGTCATAATCACACTGACAGACAAGAGGGGTTTCCGCCGCAGGTTTATATGTACGTAATCTGCGCGACTTGCGCGTCCACATCTCCGCGTGCAGTGCTGCATAAACATGGCTGAGTCAGCGATAACTTTCGAGGGGTGGAGGTCTGCCCATTATTTTGAGTTCGTCCGAAGAATAGACAGGAATGTGACGGTGAGGTGCAAACTGTGTCCAGGCCAGAAGCTGTTATCCACTGCTGCAAACACCACGTCAAACCTCAACAAACACCTGCAAAGAACACATGCTAAGGTGAAGCTAATAGCTAAGGACCCCCGAACCCAGAGTGAGGATGTTGTGAGTGCGCCGCCGACTCCGAAGCAGCAAAAAGGACCGGTAACCAAAGCAGAGATGGACAGGCTTGTAGCATCCTTCATAGTAGAGGAAATGTTGCCCATTTGCACAGTGGAATCACCATCGCATCGTTCAGAGATATTCTGCGCAAAATACAGATAGCAGGAGACAGAGGACAGCCATAGTCAGAGCTATCTGGATCAGTCTTATGCGACAATGGAAACTGAACTAAAGAGAACATTTGAAACTTTAGCAGTCTGCGTGATCTGCCTGTAGGGAGGGGCGGGCCGGCCCTGCGAGTAAAGTAACGAGTAAAGTAACGAGTAAAGTAACGAGTAAAGTAACGAGTAAAGTAACGAGTTACTTTATGTAGAGAGTAACGAAGTAGTGTAATATATTACTTTTTTTTAAAGTAATATGTAATATGTAATATATTACTTTTTTTTAGTAATGACCCCATCTCTGCCTTTAAGTCACAGGCTCCTCCAACAATGCTACATGAGTATATACAGTAAAGGACATAGAAAAAAATAAAACAGATAAAATAGTATATAGATAAATAATTAGCAAGATGTTCCGAGTTCAAGAGTTCAGGTGTTTAAAAGTCTAGGGTGGACATATGGGAGCCAATCTTTTTAGGCAGGGGTTATTTGCACTAGGTGTTATTTGCTAAATTATCAATATGCTAATATTATTTCAGACGGCTAAACGGCTTCCCCTGCTTCTGATCCTCCTTACCGAGGACCGGGCCGAGCCAGTACACGAAGCAGTACTCTGGGTAGGAGTGTCCGCTGCAGGGGAACTGGACGGAGAAGGCCAGGACCGGGTTGAAGACGGCACCGGAAACACTTCCACCTGGAGAGAGGAGAGAGAGGAGAGAGAGGAGAGAGAGACCAGAGGAGAGAGAGGAGAGAGAGAGAGGAGGAGAGAGGAGAGAGAGAGGAGGAGAGAGGAGGAGAGAGCGAACCAGCAGGTTAAACCATATCAAGTTCTTATATACATTGTTTGTATGGCACCTTTAAAAAAAAGGTACTTAAAAGGCATTTTTACACTTTACGTATTGGTCCCATTAGCATTTAGGTATCTTAGCAGTTGCATTATTTTATTTGTCACTTGTTCCACTTGTCAATTCTTCTGTGAAATAGAAGGAACTAATTTTATATTTCAGTCAGGATGGATGCACCTCCAAGAAATCATCATCATCTTCAGGTTTATAAAATATACAGGAAGGTATTCTTACACTAGTTAAATAACAGATGGATTAATCAACAGAGAAATGTGTATTGTTATTATAGTTATAATACTTGCTGACCAAGCAGGCGTTACATCATAATATTGTTGATTTAATTGTAATATATTGTCATTGATTTCAAATCATTTGTTTGCCTTTAAAAATTGTATTTTTATTTTAAAATTCGATTTTTGTAGTTAGTTTTTGTTTCCTTGTCTGTGATCAATTACTTAGTTCTATGTTAATAGTGTTGTCTTTCATATTATATTTGAATTGACTTTAAAATCCTCTTTTTATTGGGCTTTATTTTTCTAACATGTTATACATAATATGTGTTCTCCTTGCATGTCCAGGGTACATAACGTGCCTAAAGCATATTTAAACCAAACATCACTTATTTTCAGCCCAATGGTCGCAGCTTCCAGGTAAATAATCAAACTCACCTGCGTAAACCGCAACAGTGATTGCGGCAGCGATGAAGTGAGCGCGAAGTGTTTCGTCCAGCTTGTGGGCATGCATGGCGGCAGCTTGGACGAAGAAAGCGCAACCGAGCTCCACAGCTGCTGCCTCAATTAAAGTCCCACCGAGGGGGTCAAAGCACCGGAACCCGAACCTCTGGTGTTTAATGTGGACTTCAGAAAGACCCAGCGACCAAACGGACGCGGCGAAGAACTGCGCGGCGAACCCAGCGGCAAACTGACAACCAATGACGATTCCTGCCGCTTTGACGCTGCTGCGGCCGCGGCAAACGCTCTCCAGAGCACCGCTTGGGTTGCACGTCGCCTCGCGAAAAGTTAACAAATGTATCATTGTCATGGTGTAGGTGATTGTTAGGGCGACTGAGACCTCCAGTTGTAGCGTTTCGCCCAGCAGTTTGAGCTCATGTGTGCAGCAGCAGAGCTGGAAGGTGGACGCCGCTTCCAGCAGGTAAACCCAGTAAGCTCCGGGGAGAAGACGCGCTGTTCGCCGAAGGGCTTCGCTGAGGAGCACCGCGGCGCCGCACACCGCCATGGAAACGTAAAGGTCGGTCATGTTTTTCGGTTGTTTTCACCGACCTTACGAAACAAACCGTTCCTCGTGATGGGGGGGAAACTTTGAGGTCCACTCCACTTAAGTCCACTTTGCTCCCTCCTGTTACGCGTCAAAGTCGCCCCACACTGCCGCGTCAAACAAGCGCTGCGAAAACAGAAAGCAAGGCGGTGAAACGTTCAAAATAAAAGCGCAATCATCTGGCAATGGTGTTAAAAATACTCATATATTTTACCTGATGTATATTCTGTAAATTAATTATGATTATTGAGGTATTCATGCGCAAACTACTTCAATGCTTATGCTGGTAAAAGTGGGGCTCGTTTTTTTTGTTAATTTATAAACTGTTTCGGAATTCACCAAGTTAACAATACAATCTGTATCCTTCAAAATGCATTATAGTTTATCAGTTGACTTTAATCTGAATCTGCATAGAATCTATCTAGTAATTGGACATATTAAATAAATGTAGCAGGGTAAAAGTAAAATATTTGCTTCTAAAATGGAGTCAAGCTTAAAGTAGATCTCATTTATATTGAATGTAATATTCCATTCCCCATACACACTTAATAATATCCTGCTTTATTTTGTTTAACTGAACGTTGGCCCTTCAATAGTGTTTTTTATCTTCACAGTCTACTGTATATTTTCTACTTTATAATGTTGCTGTTATTTCTACTCTTTAATTTCTATTTATGTGCAATGCTGCTGCAATGCAAAAATGTCCCAAATTGGGATCAATAAAGTACTTCTTATCTTAATAGTTTGTGTGTTTTTCATTCTTTATGCCAAGCTCATCTAACCATCTCCTGCCTCTAGCCTCATATCTACCTATAGTGTATAACATCTACCAAACACACATCAGAAAGCTCATTAGAATACCTCCCAACATCTCATAACTATTGATTTCATGTTTACATTCAGGCGGTAATGCTCCACATGTGTTGTGCAACCAGGTTTTATTTTGAAGGTGTCACAGGAAATAGTATTTTTGTGAAGTACTTGATGCTTTGGGGGGCGGTGCTCACATCCTGGGAGTGTCAGACCGGTCAGATCAGAACAATGTGTTAAATAGGTCAGTTTATATATATACAGTCTGTAGTCACACACTGACGTTACAGTGCTAAACAGCAGGAGGCACAACACGCACACAGACAGCTTTTATTGTGAAAGTATTTGGACTTTGGTTCTTCTTTTGTTTCCGTTTTGCACACGAGATGCAACAATTAAGGTTAAAGTGCTGACTTGCAGTTTGTGTTCAGTATGTGCAATGTAGGAATTAAAGCCCAGAGGTGGGAGAAGTACTCAGATCAAATACTGGAGTAAAAGTAGAAGTACTCAGAGTCAAAGTAGAACTACTCAGATCTTGTACTTGAGTAAAAGTAGAAGTACTCAGAGTCAAAGTAGAAGTACTCAGATCTTGTACTTGAGTAAAAGTAGAAGTACTCAGAGTCAAAGTAGAACTACTCAGATCTTGTACTTGAGTAAAAGTAGAAGTACTCAGAGTCAAAGTAGAAGTACTCAGATCAAATACTTGAGTAAAAGTAGAAGTACTCAGATCAAGTACTTGAGTAAAAGTAGAAGTACTCAGATCAAGTACTTGAGTAAAAGTAGAAGTACTCAGATCAAGTACTTGAGTAAAAGTAGAAGTACTCAGATCAAGTACTTGAGTAAAAGTAGAAGTACTCAGATCAAATACTTGAGTAAAAGTAGAAGTACTCAGATCAAGTACTTGTGTAAAAGTAGAAGTGCTAAGATCTTGTACTTGAGTAAAAGTAGAAGTACTCAGATCAAGTACTTGAGTAAAAGTAGAAGTACTCCGATCAAGTACTTGAGTAAAAGTAGAAGTACTCAGATCAAGTACTTGAGTAAAAGTAGAAGTACTCAGATCAAATACTGGAGTAAAAGTAGAAGTACTCAGATCAAGTACTTGAGTAAAAGTAGAAGTACTCAGATCTTGTACTTGAGTAAAAGTAGAAGTACTCAGATCTTGTTCTTGAGTAAAAGTAGAAGTACTCAGATCTTGTTCTTGAGTAAAAGTAGAAGTACTCAGATCTGGTACTTGAGTAAAAGTAGAAGTATTCAGATCTTGTACTTGAGTAAAAGTAGAAGTACCAGAGTGTAGGAATACTCTGTTACAGCAAAAGTCCTGCATTCAAAATGTTCCTCAAGTGAAAGTATAAAAGTATTATCATCAAAATATAGTGAAAGTAGCGACAGTAAAAGTAGTCATTGTGCAGATTGGTCCATTTCAGAATAATATATATGATATGTTTTATAATGATTGATCATGAAAGTGTTCTCAAAGCTGGTAAAGGTGCAGCTAGTTTGAATGACTTTGTATACTGCAGGGTAGCTTGTGGATTTACTCCAGGTGGAACTAAAGTCTGATTTAACACTTGATTAGATTTCACATCATTCATCCACATCTGTAAAGTAACTGAAGGTATTAAATACATGTAGAGGAGTAAAAGTAGTAGTAAGTAGTAGTAGTAGTAGTAGTAGTAGTAGTAGTAGTAGTAGTAATAATAATATGATACAAATGTGTATAAGTTGTAAATAAAATAAAAATACCTGTGTTAAACACGGTGTGTGGCATCAGGTGGCAGACAGTGATACAGACCAGAGGTGCATCAACAGGAACATGATGTAAAGCAGCACGGTGTTTACAATAGGCCTACATTCATATCCGCTTTGATTTTCAAAGTAAAACTTGTATTGTATTAACAACGTAAACACAACAAATGTGTTGATTAATAAATAACAATAAAATAGGATAACATCTTACAACTTAAATACAATAAAGTCAGTGGTTAATAAAATCACAATTGAATAGAATCACATTTTTCAACTTAAATATTCAAGTAATAAACATAACACACAAACAATAGCAATCTTTTTGTCTAAAGTACTCTAAATTAAATGCACTTAAACACTATATTAAGTTATACAATTACAATAATATACAATATAATTTACTACTGGAAAAACAACACATTTAGGTAATACAAAATAGATATAGTAAAGACTTACAACTTAAATAAAATCACTAAGTAATTATAAAATACATTTGAATACAATGTTTTAACATAAATACAGCAAAGCAAGCATTATAAGAAATAACAATACAATTCATTGTTACAACCTAAGTACAATTAATTAAGTGTTAAAATAACAAAAGACTAAATTGTACATAACTAAGAGATAACATAATAATAAAATAGGAAAGAATCGTAATAAAAAAATATCCTGACTAAATAGAATAGTAGGGTTTTAAATGTACGTCTTAAAATGAGTTATTATAGAGAGGAAAATACAAATCTCTTCGTATTTTAGATACAAACTATTGAACTTCCGGTACCCTTATTAGTAACTCTGGTTAACTTGACCCTCATCATCCTCCGAGGCCACCTGCCTGCTGTGATCCTGCTGGCCGGAGAACAACGGCGATCTGCGGCTACTTTTCTGGCGATAGTCGGGAAGCAGAACCAACCCGGAGGATTACCTGGAGGTAAGACAACAACCCACAGAACATATTGGTATTACAAATATATATACTGTAGTGAAATCTCATGTTCTGAAGCTGCTTTGTTATCGATGTGTTTTGGTGATGATCAGGTCCCGTTCTTTCTTTTATGTGAAGCAAGCCACCAGACTTCATTATAGAAATCTCCTAATTTGTGATTATCGTCTATTTTCGCCAAGGTGGATAGCTGTTTATACAATATTAACTGTTTTAATTCATTATTAGGATGCATACTTTAATTCGGCTAACAATATAACACATGAATGAAGGTACAAATCGTGTGCACATTGTGATTTCCATTATATGCAACCTTTAAGGATACACATGTGCACCTTCAAAACTACAAGGTGGTATACTCGTATGCTTTTCTAAGTATGCCGATAAGCAAAGCAACAGTTAAGTGTTATAATATTGAAAAAACCATGGAAGTTTTGCTCTATTAAAGAGCGCACAATAACAGGTTTGTATCTCTCAGTCCAGTAATTCATTAATTATGGAAGTGATGGTTGTTGTTCATACATTTTTAATACATCACCACAAGTGGCAGTGTACAAATACACAATACCTCAACAAAAGTACAAATACAGGTGTTTGCCTGCTGGAATAATGCCAGTGTTGGAGACTCACTATGGACATTTACTCAAGTATTGTACTTTGTTTGACATATTTGTACTTTACTTTCCATTTAACAGTTACTTTGTACACATAATAACACATGATATGCTGATATGGTATAGTGTAGTACTCTACTACTAATCTACACAGTATTTAATGCATCTAAATATGTTGCAAATTGACAAACTGCTTTTACAACAGGATAATATTAACCATAATCATATAACACTTAAAAGATCCATTCTGCATATCGAGTTCTTTTAAGACTTGAAGAACATTTAGCTGATACTTCTGTACTTTTACTTAAGAAACATTTTGAAATCAGGACTTTTCCTTGTAGTGAGGCATTTTAATTAAGGCCATAGTATTTGTACTTTTACTTAAGTAAAGGATCTTAGTACTTCTTCCAACACTGATTAATGCTAACTTTTCTACCTACATTAACTCAGTACGTACACTTCAGTGTTTTGCTCAAAGAAACCACTAAAAGAGGATTAACAATCTGAGCTGTCCTTTGTTCCCCAGTAAAGATTATGACCTGAAACACACCTGAGTTGCACAAGAGCTTCTACATGTGAGGAAGAAAAGCAGATTACTTCTGTGGGAACTGAGAGAAGAGCAGCTGGAAAGAGATTCACTTTAGATTTCCTGCTCAAAGAATAAAAACAAACTTCGTAAAACTTATGTGAGTTTTGGCCACGTTGCAACAGGTTTCCTGCTGACATTAACTGAGGCTGCTCTATCAACATTATACGGTATGTTATTCAAAGTTAACATAAATAAATATAACATGGTGCAATGTCACTAAGTATATGAATTGTACTTAAGTGTACATTTAGGGTACTTTATAGTAATTTAGTATTTTCTTTTCATGCTACTTTAAATATTGTTATTTTTACTTTACCACATTTATTTAACACCTTTGATTACTTTACATTACATTACATGTTACTTGTTAGACGCTTTTATCCAAAGCGGACTCCCCGGGCGCCGTACATAATGGCAGCCCACTGCTCCTAACACTAGGATGGGTCAAATGCAGAGAAACCGTTTCGTTACATAGTACTACCTGTACTACGTAATGACAATAAGTTCAATCTTCTTCATACTCAATACTGTGGACAATTCCCACAGGAGCAATTTGGGGCAAATGGACCAATCCGTGGAGCTCCTCACACACCAGGATCCCTTGGCTAACTAACAGGGAGTCCCCATTGACTTGCATAGAGCTCCCTGAACGCTGGTAATAGACGAGTTGGGATGGTGGAGAAATGCTCTCCGCAGATTCTCACAGCGTTATAACCTTTTTCTTACTCAATATCAAGCCACACTTATTGTTTTGTACTTCGACTGTGAGTGTTTGTGTGTGCTCAGGATGAGTTTCGCTTGTTCTGGCTGTATCGCCGAGCCGGAAACCTGTCCGCTCCTCGCAGCAACTCGCAGCAACGAGCCTCGCAACGTCCCGACCAATCAGAGCACACTGGGCTCACAGGGAGGGGGGGGCAGGAGGGGGGGCAGGAGCTCCAACAAGCCGTTTAGGACAGAGAGTGAATACACATGCTATACAGAGATGCTGTATGAGAAACCAATGTGAGTTTGGAACATTGAACAATATAAATCTATTCTAGTAGACCTCAACAATGGAATTATGATCAGTAGAAATGGCCATGACATGGGACCTTTAAAATGCGTGCAGTGAAATACACAAGACCTTTGTTATAAACTAAAGTAGCCAAGAACAAGAACAGCTTGGTTTATAATAACTATCTGATTGTGAGACAATGAATTGCTCTCTAAAAACCTTACATAATTTAATCTATTTTTTGTATTATACATTTTTTACAGGATGAGTGGGGGTAAAATTACATTACATTCGATATTTCATGACACCAAGAAATTAATTAGCAACAAAACTTGTCTTAAATGAGATAGTATCAAGTAATACTTCATCCCCACTCATTCTTTCAAAACAAACAAACACTGACCAAACTCCCATTTCATTAACATTTGTGTTCACGTGCTTCTTTACTTTCCAGTTTTTGCAATATCAGTTTCTTATAGATGAACGATGCACACATGATTTGCCATCCAGTTGGGTGTCTTATGTTCTGGGTATTTTGGAAGAGGCAGACTATTGTGGTGAGAAATGAATTTTATATTTGAGACAGCCAATTTCTGATATCATCCCAAGATTTTTGTTAATGTTTTATTTCTTTAGAGTAGTATTACTTATAGTACTTCTATTTGAATGCTGTTCTCACCACTGAGTAGAAGTAGAAAATGGCAAGTAAGTAAATAAGTACTCAAGTATTCTGTTTCTGTGTTTCAGGTGTGTGTGCGATGAGGATGTGAGTGTGTGTGTGTGTGTGTGTGTGTGATGGCGTCCTCGTTCTCCCCGCTGCAGGTGGGGCGTCTGCAGGGTCTCAGAGCTCAGCTGCTGCGGCGCTACGAGCACCGGACGCTGGTTTCCTGTCTGTCGGGGCTGTATGGCTGCAGGTGGACGAGAGAGAGGAGAGAGAGGAGAGAGAGGAGAGAGAGGAGAGGGAGGAGAGGGAGGAGAGAGAGGAGCAGAAAACAGCCGGAGGACTGCTGCTGCAACAAGGTGAGGCAAAGAGAGGGAGTAGGAGTCGTTGAAGGGGGCGTTTCATTCCTTATTTTTCTATCAAGCCACTAGATGCCTTCAACCATGGTGTCCTAACCTTTGAATTGGCCCTCATCAAGGTCCAAAAGTATAATGGAATATGGCCCACTTTTCAAATAAATTCAAGTTTAAAACATTTTCTAACAAATCTTAGTTGAAAAAAAAGCCCAATAACTTATTTGTATAACAACCTTGAAATATACCCTCCATATTTCCCCTTAATAAGCAATCTGAGGCTTCTGTTTTAAGGAATGAGCTGCAACACTTTTTATAACAAAATCAATGAAACCCTATAGAGAGCTGTGATGAATGCTGTTGCTAATTTATAACTTAAAGGGGACCTATCATGCAAAATGCACTTGTGTACGTCTTTTCTACATGAATATGTGTCCCCGGTGTTCCAGGGAACTCACCAAGTGTCAGAAAACACAACCCTCTCTATTTTCCTCCATACCCAAATCTCTAAAAAAGGGGCTGCAACGGATCTGATCAAAACTGATCCAGATTTGAACACTGTCCTGACGTCAGGACGGTGGCGCTACGGCTATTGGGCCAACTCCACCAATCAGGAGGAGACAGCCACGGCCATTGCCGTTCCAAAGCGCTGGAGACGCTGTAGTATATATGCCAGGCCTGTAGATGGTGCTGTTCTCACAGAATCTGCCCAGAGCTAAAAATTGTCAAATTGAGCAAAATGAGGCATGGCTAAAATGCATGATCTGTTTGGTATTTTGAAAAAAAAAAAAGTGATTAAGTGGTCTTTCTTATAAAAAGAACATACTGGCTCAAATGGCGCGTTTCCACTACACGGCCTCGCTCGGCCTCGCTCGGCCTTGCTCGGCCTCGCTTGGCCTCGCGACGCTGCTTAAAACTGCCGTGACGTCACTAAAGCGGGGTTTCCCTTTTACTGTAGTGTGTTATAAAGGTTTGTGTGCATGTCAATGGTCTGCAAAGGCAAACAATCCCAAAGATCTGGAACATAGTGACATCACTACGTAACACTCACGCTCCTATTGGCTAGCGCACCAACACGTTGTACGTGATAGGCTTAAGGGCGGGACATCTCTAAGCGATTGACCAATCACAACAGAGCCGGCCAGCTAACCAATCAGAGCAGACTGGGCTCTGGTTTCAGACAGAGGGTGAAAAGAGGTGCTGCAGTATGAGAAAAATAAAGAGATTTTTGAACATTAAAACACGGAGACATGTCCCAGTAGAGACACTAAAACATGTATATTCATTTCCACTTTCTGTGGCAATAAATGTGTTTTATTAAAAGTTAGTTTAATTAAAAAATGCTTTGTGTCTTCCCTGCGTACAGCTGGAAGGCGTCTGCTTCGCTCTGCTGGTTGCAGCTTTCTGCTTAACGCTGGTGTTTCTCTACTTCTGGGGACAGGCTAAGAACGACTACAATGACTTTGACTGGTGGGTGAAATGATACTGACGTTACACACACACAGAAGCCAATGGTAAACACTCAACAAAAGAAAAAGCTGGGTGCAGTTATCGTGCAGTATTTAAGGATTTGATGTGCAATCACAGGTTCAAAATGAGCTCCTGCAACCCTCCACTTTCTGTCCTGTGTTTGTACAGTTTGTCTTTGCAGGTCTGGCCCTCCAGATGTTTCTAGCTGAATTATTTATTTAAATACATTTAAAAGGTATATCATGAATTTCAGTCTATTCTTTGTGAGGGATATATGCTTTGTATCTATGCACTTCCCCTATTTATGACCTCCTTCCCTAATTCTTCCAGCACTCTTTGCCCAAAACCATTCCTATCTCCAAACTGGAATTTCATTTTGACCTCCACCACACATCTGTTAAGTTTCCTGACTGCATCTTGCACAAAATATGTCCGCCGACCTACAGAAAGATAGTTGCTTAATTTGTTCTGAGATAACTTCTGTAGCTACATGAATTAAACGTACTTGACCTCTTGACCTCTCCTCTGTTTCCCCTGCAGGTTCACCTTCAGTACCCTGGGCTTCTGGTTCCCCTGGTCTCTGGTTCTGCTGGTCGTCGCTGCAGCTTTCTTCACCTACGTTACCGTACTCATGGTGAGGAAAACACTTTGTGTGTGTGTGTGTGTGTGTGTGTGTGTGTGTGTGTGTGTGTGTGTGTGTGTGTGTGTGTGTGTGTGTGTGTGTGTGTGTGTGTGTGTGTGTGTGTGTGTTGTTGCCCCGGGTCAGCAGGTCGTCCATTTTATAACCCTGAGAGGTCAAAGGTCAAAGGTCAGACACACTGTACTACGTACATGCTTATTCATCGAGATGTGTGGCTCTATTGCTTTTAAGTGATGTGCTGTTCAAGGTAAACATATTGTTTTGATTAATTCCCAGAAAACAACTATTTTAAAACCCTTCTTACCAAAAATGACGCTATTTCATTGATTCTTTTGCAGGAAGTAACCATTTTTAATAGGGTTTTAGCCACATTTCTTGCATTTTCCCACTAAAAGTAAAACTTTGTGTGTGTGTGTGTGTGTGTGTGTGTGTGTGTGTGTGTGTGTGTGTGTGTGTGTGTGTGTGTGTGTGTGTGTGTGTGTGTGTGTGTGTGTGTGTGTGTGTGTGTGTGTGTGTGTTCCTCGTGCAGCTGCTGGCGGTGTGTTTGCTGTCAGAAGGTCAGAAGCTTTATTTACACTGGAGTCACAAGGTAACGGTCTCTCACACACTCAAAGTTTAATGTCAGCTGTTAATTACTGATTTAATTTAGTGTTTTAAATATAACAAGGCTCTTCCTCTTCCTCCTCCTCCTCCTCCTCCTCCTACATGTTCATCAAAACATCAAATGATCCATGTGTTGAATCCTTGCTGTGCTAAGACTTGATGTACAGTTTTGGTGTGATGTGATTTAAGTTCTGTTTCTCCTCAGATTGGGATCGTTGTGAGTCTGACGTTCTCCATCGTAGCGACCGCTGTGTTATCTGACCTCTGGAGCAAAGAGCTGACCACGCTGCTGCTCTCCTTCCAGGTCTCTAAATCTCTCAAATATCTAAAAAGAAAAGATAACATGCAAATGAAATAAAACCCCACATCTCAAAATGTGTTTATAGAAGTGAAACATTTAAAGATCTGCAGAACAGGGCTGAAGTCAATTCAAATGAAAACTGATCCACACATTTTGACTTTTGATATATGACAGTATTTTTCAAAGTTCAAGAAGTGGTACCGCTCTGTCTCCAGGTGACTGCTCCCTTCCTCCACGTGGGGGGGGTCTTCCTGCTGACCGCTCTCTCCTGGCCCGTCGCTCTGCATTTCTTCCGCATGACCAGCAGAGGTGAGGAGAACATCTGGGTCTTTGTATTTACTTTTTGTAATGATTATGTACTTATATTTGTATATTTCTGGGCATGTGTAAATGTTAACTGCTGTAAAAACTTAATTCCGATAAATATATTACTCAAAAAAATAATGAAAGGCCTCTCTGTGTGTGTTTCAGTGAGGGGGGGGCTGATCCTGGGGTTTTACCTGAGCTTCCTGTCCGTCCTCTATCTGGTTCCCCTCGGTCTCTACTCTCCTTGTATCAAAGAGGTCGGGACCCTCGGACCCCCGCCGGCCCTCATTGGACACAGAGGGGCCCCCATGGTGAGCGGGAACAAAACTGAACTTTATAAAATATAAAATATATATAGCTTGATCCTTTTTTTTTAATACTTTTTTAAAATTAATTTAATTTATCCCAACATTGTATTCTATGTTCAAGATACAAATTCATTTTTATACATGCAGCATAAAAACTAAAACAAAGAAACATGTCTTAGCACATGCCTTGAATACAAAAGCAGTTCTTAAAGCAAAGAAATGTATAAAATAAACAATACATATAAAGAAGGAAATAAAAAATGGGAATGTCCCTTTTTTAATGTTTTAATTACATTACATTTCATTTAGCTGACGCTTTTATCCAAAGCGACTTACAATGACCAATTACAGGGACATTCTCCCTGGAGTAACTAAGGACTAAGTGCCTTACTCAAGGGCACACTAGTGGTGGTGTTCCTGGCAGGATTTGAACTCACAACCTTCCGATCTTCAGAATTATTAATTATTATTTTTCTTGTATTAAAGGTGGGGTAGGTACGTTTGAGAAACCGGCTCGAGATACACTTGTTGTTATATTCCATGGAATGCTCTTAACATCCCGATAGCAATGAATATCTGAAGTGCTTTGACAAAAAATCCATAAATAAATATCATCTGTGGAAGCTGTAGTACTGTAAAAAGCACGACCAATCATCTGAGCCGGCCCGGCTAAAATAACTGGATGGCCTACCTGCCTGTCAGCCTTCCATCTGTGCACAAACTTATCTCGTGCCCTCATTGGTCATGTGCGCGTTCGTGTGTGTTGGAGGAGGGGCTCTGTGAGGAAGTGGCAGATTTTCTCCGGTTGTGTATTTTCAAATTCTAGCGCACTCGAGCTGGTTTCTCAAACGTACCTACCCTACCTTTAACAGAACGTCGCTTTTTAAAAACGTTTTATTTATGATTTAGTAAACATGTGTTACATGACATGTCACATGTTAGACGCTTTTATCCAAAGCGACTTACATACTCAATACTGTGGGCAATCACCACAGGAGCACTTTGGGGTGAAGTGTCTCAGGGACACAACGACATGCTGACTGCAGTGGGGTTTGAACCTGTGACCCCCTGATCCCAACACCAACGCACAATGCACTGCACCACACCACCTCCTGTTACATAGAATATAAGACAAACAAACATGACTTATCGAATGCCTTGAATCCACCAGTTTGTTGTGGTTTTTAATACCCAGACACATTCACAAAGAAAACCAGCAAATTCACACATCTGATAACACAGAATATATTTGGGTAGATTCACGTGAAAATGTACCTACATAATGACTTGATTGAAAAGGTTGCTGCTCTAATAAGGTCATAGAATAATTCTGAAATAGTTGAACCCTTTAACGTCAACAGGAAAGATTCGTAGAGTTAAGATACAAACAGAAAGTGTAAAACCAAACATATTCTGGGATATTTGTCCTGGAGTTTTCCTCACATCCTTCCTGCCCCAGCTGTTTGGAGACAACTTTGGCTATTTTAAATATTGACATTCCTCAGTGAGAGAGCAACTACATTCCCTGACTGCAGCAGGATCTACTGATGGTTAGATAAGAAGCATTTATTGTCATGTATACAAGTACAATGAGAAGAGTAGACAGGGTATATGCAGGAATCCTGAAGTCACATGTAATTCCTTTCAAGACCTTTTTTAAGACCCTTTCCATACATTTTAAGACCTCATCTCCACTTTGAGTTCTAACCGGTTACCTTGGCGACACACTTCACCTCACATTGACTATATACAGTATTGATTGTCCTTCCTCCTTATCTTCCAACCATTTGGACGCAGACTTGCATTTCCCCATAACCATGTTGTTTAACAACCGGCGTAAACGGACCTTCACGCGCTATCAAGCAGTGAGCGTGCGATGTCCTGTTCAGATGACGTCAAATCCAACGGGATGCCATAAATAAACTACACAGAATCACACTACACACCTACGCAATGATTACATTCAGGCAGACTGTAGAATACAACCTCTTTGGACAATTCATATACTTATTGGAAACTAGCTACAAAATGTAATACCTTGGAAAATGCAGTTTAATACTTTTTAATAGCCTTCATTTTCGCTAAATTGATTTATCAACTTTTAATACTTTTTAAGACCCCGCGGACACCCTGGTAGAGCTTCTCCTTTTAAGGTGCCATCAAAACATTCAGAATAGACGACATACAACAGAGACACGCAGCATTCATACATACATAAAATAATGACAAAAATGAAGTGCAGGAAATAATCCAGTTAGTAAAGTTAAGTTAAAGTGGACCTATCATGCTATATTATAATAATATAGTGTAGGACCATACCTATATAAGGCATATTTATACTTTTTTTTTTTCAAAATACCAAACAGATCATGCATTTTAGCCATGCCTCATTTCGCTCAATTTAACATTTGTTAGCTCTGTTTTAGCAAGGGCTGATTCAGTGAGAACAGCACCACCTACAGGCCTGGCATATGTACTACAGCGTCTCCAGCGCTTTCGAACGGCAATGGCCGTGGCTGTCTCCTCCTGATTGGTGGAGTTGGCCCAATAGCCGTAGCGCCACCGTCCTGACGTCAGGACAGTGTTCAAATCTGGATCAGTTTTTATCAGATCCGTTGCAGCCCCTTTTTTAGAGATTTGGGTATGGAGGAAAATAGAGAGGGTTGTGTTTTCTGACACTTGGTGAGTTCCCTGGAACACCGGGGACACATATTCATGTAGAAAAGACGTACAAAAGTGCATTTTGCATGATAGGTCCCCTTTAATATATATATATAATACATTCTATATATTGCACAGGGGAGGAAGACTAAGGAGTGTTAGTGCAAGAGTTCAGTGCCATGATCGCTCTTTGAGTCTGTTTGTCTTTGCTTTTATACATCTGTAGGGTCTGAACTGTCCTCTACGAAGTTTGTGGATTCGCTGAGTTGTAGATATCCATCATGGAGGGGAGAGGGCTGCTTGTATGACTCTCTGAAGCCTCTTCACTTTCTTCTGGTGTGTTTATATATCCAGTGTTTTGTGTAACTGTGTTCCAGCTGGCTCCAGAAAACACTCTGATGTCATTTGAGAAAGCCGTGGAAACAGGAAGTGAAGGTCTGGAGACAGACGTCACCATCAGGTCAGTCAGCTGGATATATATACTGCATATATGGAAGATTATTCGCCTTTTATTGAAAATATAATATGTGTATTGTCATTGATCAATGCTGTAATGGTTGTCCACAAGAAGACTTTGAATAATCTGGAACTTTCTAGTGTCAAAAAGTAGAATAAAGTGTACAGTATGTCGTAAAATGTTGAAAAAAAAGTCATGGTATAGCCTGACATGTTGACCACAATAACAAATAAAGGGAACCGACAGATTACATTTCACTCATAACATTTGATAACATGTGATCAATAAGTACATGTATTGATTGATCATCATGTCCTGGTTGCAGTGTGGACGGAGTCCCCTTCCTGATGCACGATCAGACGCTGCGTCGGACCACCAACGTCCAGCACGTCTTCCCCAACAGAACCAACATGGCCGCCTCCTTGTTCAGCTGGAGCGAGCTGCAGAGCCTCAACGCCGGAGCCTGGTTCCTCTCCGTGAGTCTCAGGAGAGATAAACGGATGGAGACATAAATATATATATAAATATGATGCATAGTTTCATTTTATTTATTTGTGATCACATTTTTATTGAGATGAATACACAACTTGTACAACAAAAGCACACAGTGGCGATTCTAGAGTCTGTGGGGGCCCTAGGCAAACATTCACTGGGGGCCCCTCGAACCAGCTTTTCATCACCACGCACAGCCGACAGTGCCCTCCTGCCCTGCCGTGGTGCCCTTGAGCAAGGCACCGGACACCCCCCTTCCCCCCCCACTCCCATTGCTCCCCGGGCGCTGTACAATAGCTGCCCACTGCTCCTGGTATTAGACTCCTGGTGCTAGGATGGGTTAAATGCAGAGAACACATGTCACTGTGTGCTCTGCATGTGTGACCATTACAAAGGGTTTCATCCCTCCCAATATTATTATTATATATACTGCAGAGGAAAATACGCTTTTTTTTTTTAAATACAGGAGAAAATAAACAGCTGGAAAAATATAATTATGATGCATAATTTGACTGTTATAATTGTATAGGTTTAACTGTAATATAATGTATGCATTTTAGTTTTTTAACCTTTGTGTATTGTGTACCACTATTGCTTTATAACAAGGGATTTGTTTGTTTATTATTTTTAACTTTTCTTTCCTTTTCAATTTGTAAAACTTCTTACTGAATTCAGCACCATTTTTAATATTCTTAAAAACTGCACAGCTCTTCCACTTTAAATTCTGATAAACTTCACATTTCTGGACATTTTCCGAGCAGTTTTCATGTTTATTGCACTTTCTTTTTTGTATACTTATTTACATTTTTAAAATAGTTTTAATTTGAGTTTGCTCCTTTTTTCAACAAATGTACTCATTACTGTGTGTAAATGTGCACCCTTATTCACTAAAGCAACTTGCCTGCATGTATAAACCTACACTAGGCAATAAACCTAATTCAGAACAACACATTGGAGATAGTAAACATAGATATTGATTTGACATGTTGCGTAACAGGACGAATGGCAGTTCATTCCCCATCACAACACCCCGTCCCCCACAATGCATCACTCTGTGCTCCCTGTTGCATCACTGATGAGGTATTGATGTTTTCAGAGCGACCCGTTCAGCACCGCCGGCTCTCTGTCTGCAGAGGAGCGTCTGCGCGCCGCCCAGCAGCCCGTCTGCAGCCTGCAGGCCTTCCTGCAGCTGGCTGCGCAGACAGAGCAGCTGGTGATCTTTGACCTCTACCGGCCCCCCAGAGGTCATCCGTTCAGAGACACCTGGATCCAACGAACGCTGGAGGTCATCCACAACGAGTCCTCCATCAACTCCTCGCAGGTCAGTGCTCCTCCTGCTCTATTCACACTGACGGGGGGCTTCACTGACGGGGCTTCACTGACGGGGCTTCACTGACGGGGGGCTTCACTGACGGGGCTTCACTGACGGGGCTTCACTGACGGGGGGCTTCACTGACGGGGGGCTTCACTGACGGGGCTTCACTGACGGGGCTTCACTGACGGGGCTTCACTGACGGGGGGCTTCACTGACGGGGGGCTTCACTGACGGAGCTTCACTGACGGGTGGCTTCTCTGACGGGGCTTCACTGACGGGGGGCTTCACTGACGGGGGGCTTCACTGAAAGGACGCTAAAGACAGAAATAATGACTAAATACTGGCTGCAGTTTTTAGTCATTAACCATCACTTACTTTTAGGTGGAAATACATTTGTTTGCAATAAGGTGTGTGTGTGTGTGTGTGTGTGTGTGTGTGTGTGTGTGTGTGTGTGTGTGTGTGTGTGTGTGTGTGTGTGTGTGTGTGTGTGTGTGTGTGTGTGTGTGTGTGTGTGTGTGTGTGTGGTGTGTGTGTGTGTGTGTGTGTGTGTGTGTGTGTGTGTGTGTGTGTGTGTGTGTGTGTGTGTGTGTGTGTGTAGGTGCTCTGGCTGCCCTCTGACCTCCGCTCTCTGGTACATCTCTCCGACCCTTCCCTCCAGCAGACGTCGGGCAGCCGGCTCCCCCCGGAGGATCTGCAGAGAAACAACATCCTGAGACTCAACCTGCACTACAGCGACATGTCCACTCAGAGCCCAAGGTGTGTGTGTGTGTGTGTGTGTGTGTGTGTGTTTGTGTGTGTGTGTGTTCCTGTTAGAAAAAATCTCACTGGTCCCCGGCTTGAGCTTCAATCTCAGGATCCATGTATTCCTGATCCTCTCCAGAATGGAAGTAGTCATCACATACAGAGCATCAACTAGTTCCTGAACAGTGTCCTTCACATGCTGATATCCAAGAGAGGGAGTTACACAGTCACAAGATGGAGGAATAGAAAGCAGTATTCAATGTTTACTTCAGATTAGCTCCACGTCAGAAATGAGCATGCTTGTCATATGTCTATCTCCATAGAGGCTGAATCATCATGTTCATCACATAGCTATCATATGCCTCAAACAGTCCTGATGCTCTTCTAGGTAATCATACATCCTGTCATGTTCACAGCTACAGTTGGGATACCTTTGTTATCATGTTACTCTCATACTGGAAGAGGACATTCAGTATTTTCCCAACAGTTATCATATTTTCTCTTCTCTTGTGTGTCAGTGCGTACTCAGCGGGTAACGTCAGCACTAACCTGTACGTGGTGACGCAGCCGTGGCTCTTCTCCCTCGCCTGGTGCTCAGGGGTTCAGTCGGTCACCACCAACAACCCCCAGCTGCTGAGCTCCATCACCGCCCCGCTGTTCCTCATGGTAACACTCAACCACACTGTGTACAAGTACTCTGAATGTATATTTGAGTATTTGCATTGTATGTAACGTTTAACCTCTTCTCTACTAAGTTTTAGATGCACAATTGTACTTTGAAATCAACGATATCTGTCTGACAGGAACAACTGTACAGTCTATCTATATGTACAGCCCCTTAATAAATGAAATGTTCTGTACTTCTTGGGCTTTTTATGGTATTAAACATAAAGTGCATTTAGTTTTGTATGTTTTAACGCTTCTCTTTTGTATCTGTGTGTGTCTCAGAGTCCAGAGGAGTACAACCTGATGTGGATTCTCACTGATCTGCTGTCCCTGCTGCTCATCATCCTCTTCTTCATCTTCCACTGGTGATTCAAACACACAGTTTGTGCATCCTCTGACTAAAACAGCTAATACCACACTGTCAATATGTGTCTAATCCTTTCAAAGGAAAAGCAGCAGCACATCTTCACAATGGTTAGACAATTAGATAAACAGATACACTCTGTGGTTGAGTCGTTTTTTATCACCTGAGGCTCCTGTCCAAAATTAAACCGGTTTTATCCTTTTTAGACTTTGAGCGTGTTATTCATGCCTTTGTTTCTACGTGTCTAGATTATTGTAATGCACTTTATGCCGGCCTGAACAAGACCTCGCTGGCACGCCTGCAGCTGGTACAAAACGCTGCGGCTCGTCTGCTTACAGCAACACGCAAGCATGAGCACATCACACCTATTCCGGCTTCCCTCCTCCGGCTTCCCTCCTCCGGCTTCCCTCCACCGGCTTCCCTCCACCGGCTTCCCTCCACCGGCTTCCCTCCACCGGCTTCCCTCCACCGGCTTCTCTCCACCGGCTTCTCTCCTCCGGCTTCCCTCCACCGGCTTCCCTCCACCGGCTTCCCTCCACCGGCTTCTCTCCACCGGCTTCTCTCCTCCGGCTTCTCTCCACCGGCTTCTCTCCTCCGGCTTCCCTCCACTGGCTTCCCTCCACCGGCTTCCCTCCACCGGCTTCCCTCCACCGGCTTCTCTCCACCGGCTTCTCTCCTCCGGCTTCCCTCCACCGGCTTCCCTCCTCCGGCTTCCCTCCTCCGGCTTCCCTCCTCCGGCTTCCCTCCACCGGCTTCCCTCCACCGGCTTCCCTCCTCCGGCTTCCCTCCTCCGGCTTCCCTCCACCGGCTTCCCTCCACCGGCTTCCCTCCACCGGCTTCTCTCCACCGGCTTCTCTCCTCCGGCTTCCCTCCACCGGCTTCCCTCCACCGGCTTCCCTCACCGGCTTCCCTCCACGGCTTCTCTCCACCGGCTTCTCTCCTCCGGCTTCCCTCCACCGGCTTCCCTCCACCGGCTTCCCTCCACCGGCTTCTCTCCACCGGCTTCTCTCCTCCGGCTTCTCTCCACCGGCTTCTCTCCACCGGCTTCCCTCCACCGGCTTCCCTCCACCGGCTTCCCTCCACCGGCTTCCCTCCACCGGCTTCCCTCCTCCGGCTTCCCTCCTCCGGCTTCTCTCCTCCGGCTTCCCTCCACCGGCTTCTCTCCACCGGCTTCCCTCCACCGGCTTCCCTCCACCGGCTTCCCTCCTCCGGCTTCCCTCCTCCGGCTTCTCTCCACCGGCTTCTCTCCACTGGCTTCCCGTCCATTTTAGGGTTAATTTTAAGATGTTATTGTTTGTTGTTAAATCGCTTAATGGGCTGGCCCCTCAGTACATCTCCGACCTCCTAAAGGTGTACCCCCCCTCAAGGGCTTTGAGGTCGGCTGATCAGCTGGTAGTCCCAAAAACCAGGATAAAGACCAGGGGAGACCGAGCCTTCTCAGCGGTAGCCCCCAGGCTCTGGAACGACCTGCCCCCCCCCCCCCCCCCTCATGTCAAATTGTCGCCCACCTTCCAAACTTTTAAGTCCCGCCTGAAGACCCACCTCTTTTCCCTCGCTTTCGAGTCAGTCAAGGTTCAAGGTTCTTTATTGTCAATCTAACATAGCTACAGAGTAATTATGTAGTTGAAAATCTTATGTCACAGGCTTCTCCAACAATGCAACATAATAACATAATAACAATAAGAGCATGAGCAATACAAAAAGAATAATAGTTATAAATAAAGTTATGATGTGGAATAGTGCAGTACGAGTCTATATACAAGTTATTGGAATGATATATATATATTAGGTATTAGATACATACTACTGAGTAGCAGTTGAATGTTTTGAAGTTGTTTCAGCAGTTCAATTGTTTAACAGTCTCACTGCCCGCGGGAAGAAACTGTCTCCGAATCTTCTTGTCCTTGCCAGGATGCTGCGGTAACGTCTGCCAGACGGCAACAGACTGAACAGTTTGTGGCTGGGGTGATGGGGGTCTTTGATAATCCGTAGTGTTTTCTTCCTGAGCCGCTGAGTCTGAGCTGTTTTATCCATTTTGATGCTTTTATTGTCTGTCCATAGCCTTTGTGTACCTTGTATTAATGTGTGCCTTTTATCTATTATTGTAATATTATATTTTATTATAATGTTATGTTTGCTGTGAAGCACTTTGGTAAACCCTGTTTTTAATATGTGCTATAGAAATAAAGTGGATTGGATTGTGAGCTGCACCATGAAATGTTTTTATGTGAGAAATGATATTGAGATATAGTAGAGTACAATTAAAAGCAGCATGACATTCCTCACTGGTGCAAGTACTCCACATTATATCCAGCTACACTTCTCGTTAGGAAGACTGCAGAGAGGAGGTGTGATCGGGTTCAAGTGTCTCATGTTCATTGTTCTGCAGGTGGAGAGAGCGCGGCCTGGCTTTCTGCTCCGGCAGTAAAGTCTCTCTGGATAACGGCACGTACAGCAAGTTCAAAACAGGTGAGCTGCTTTTAGACTAAAGTGAGGAGAGGAAGAATTAAAGAAATGTATATAAACATCCGAGACACTCAGGAGTTCATGGCATACTTTACTTTAACATGTGATTGTGTATCGTACTATGACTTTCTTATGAACTCTTAATATTATTTTGCATTTTATACTATGACTTTTGCTTTCTGTTTTCTGTAGTTTTTCTTTTATGACGTACTATACTTTGACTTTTTAATTACTTTTGTATTATGGCATTCTATGACTTTTTTGGACACAGTATAGCATGACATTTTGGGTTATTTGTATGGCCGACAAGTCACTTCAGGCTCTGACAAAAAAGCAAGAAAACTAAATATTTGGTAAATTAAAATGAAGCAGGTAAATAATGAATCTCTTAAATTGCAGCGACTGTTAGGTTTGATCCTGTAAGGCAGATCTGCGTTTCTTTAACCCTCACCTGTCCGTCTTCCTCCTCTCAGAGATGAGTGACATCTGGTCCGTCTCCAGCATCAACTCTCAGGCAGAGAGGACGTCCAACCTGGCAACCGTGACGCAGCACTAACATCTGGAAACAACTCTGATAACATCTGGAAACACTCTGATAACATTTGGAAACACTCTTATAACATCTGGAAACAACTCTTATAACATCTGGAAACAACTCTTATAACATCTGGAAACACTCTTATAACATCTGGAAACATCTCTGATGACATCTGGAAACACTCTGATAACATCTGGAAACAACTCTTATAACATCTGGAAACAACTCTTATAACATCTGGAAACATCTCTGATGACATCTGGAAACAACTCTGATAACATTTGGAAACAACTCTGATAACATTTGGAAACAACTCTGATAACATCTGGAAACACTCTTATAACATCTGGAAACACTCTGATGACATCTGGAAACAACTCTGATGACATCTGGAAACATCTCTGATAACATCTGGAAACATCTCTGATGACAACCTCTAGGATACTCTCTTTTCAGATCGTGGTAACTGTTGGTGGTACAGTGGTATATCTCCAAGTATCCAACATGAATAACCAATCTATCCAATTGGATAATGACCTTAATTAGCTCAATTAACATTATGTTTTGAATGCTCCGAGTTGAAGTTTTTTGCACCCCAAGGTGTTCCTGGAAAAACGCAAGGTAATTAAATTGCTTCACTCTCATTAATACAAAAAGCAGTCTGCACGATCCGGGCCGAATCACAAACATTTGAAACGTTTTATTCACTTATTTTTTTAGAACATTCTTGCATTAGTCAAAGCTCAAGATCAAATGTATCTTTTAAACGATCAAAGCTTTTGGCCCAGATTGAGCCCCAGAACCTCAGCAGTGCAGCTGGTATTCAAGACACATCAAACCCCTTGCTCTTTGCAAAACGTCATTTATTCTACATCAGTGGTCACATGGTCCATACACAGGTATGATTAAGACTCAATGCTTAAAGATCAACACTAAGGGTTTGTACATTTACATAGTTAAGTAGTTTTGGTACAGTGGATCAGGAGGAACTTTGTGGCACACACAACACGTTAAAAAATCACCCGTTCGACTCAAGATACTTTTTAATCCAGTGTCTTCTCAATATATCTTAAAGGTAGGGTAGGTAAGAATGGAGAAAGCAGCTCGAGTGCGCTAGAATTTGAAAATACGCAGCCGGAAAGAATCTGCCCCTTCCTTCAGACTTCCTTCCAGAGCCCCTCCTCCAACACACACGAACGCGCACATGACCAATGAGGGCACGAGATAAGTTTGTGCACAGATGGAAGGCTGACAGGCAGGTAGGCCATCCAGTTATTTTAGCCGGGCCGGCTCAGATGATTGGTCGTGCTTTTTACAGTACTACGGCTTCCACAGATTATATTTTATTATGTATTTACTGTCAAAGCATTTCATGTATTCATTGCTATCGGGATGTTAAGAGCATTCCATGGAATATAACAAAAAGTGTATCTGAAATAAATTACATACCCCACCTTTAAGTTTTCTGCAAAAACTGTCAATGTATCTACTAAAAGAAATAGAAAACACTACATGAGATCTGATGGTCTACATCTTAAGTTTCAGAAGTGACTTTATATTTAATGCTGGTTTGGTAAACTTGTAATATCTCTGAGCATAAATAAAGGGTTCAAAATGCTACTTCACAAAACAAACACAAACTAACAAATAGACTTCTGTTTCGGGGGATTTTCCAACTATTTCTGGTCTGAATTCTGTCTCAATTAAAACCCTGTTTCATGAAATGGATAATTAATTAAGAAAACTCACTGATAATATGATGACAGTTTGGAATTAGCTATTAAATAATCCGTTCCTTTTGATAAAAACGATTGTGTTGCAGTAGATTTCTAACTTTTGAATGGCAATGTAAATAAAACATTCGATAATATAAACAGTTTATAATAATGATCTTATATAGAGCCATCCAAATTGCCGTGTTACAGGTGGGGAAACTTCAATTAAAGGCAATATGTGAGTTTTTAAGACAGGGGCCGATGCATTAATAACAAATGAACCACCAAAACACCGCCTCAATAACCTTTGTTTTGGTTAAAATCACACAGGAGTGTGTGTGTGTGTGTGTGTGTGTGTGTGTGTGTGTGTGTGTGTGTGTGTGTGTGTGTGTGTGTGTGTGTGTGTGTGTGTGTGTGTGTGTGTGTGTGTGTGTGTGTGTGTGACGGTGAATGGATCACTTGTTGTTGCCCCGGGACGTTCTCTGTTTGGTCATCGTCGTCAGCATCTGGCTGATGTACGAGGTCAGCAGGTCGTCCATTTTATAACCCTGAGAGGTCAGAGGTCAAAGGTCAGACACACTGCACTACGTACATGCTTATTCATCGGGATGTGTGGCTCTATTGCTTTTAAGTGATGTGCTGTTTAAGGTAAAAATGTTGTTTTGATTAATTCCCAGAAAACACCTTCTTACCAAAAATGACGCTATTTCTTGTTTTGTTTTTTGCCAAACTTCGTACAATTTCCCACTTAAAGTAAAGCTTTTTTAAGAACTAGTGGTGTAAAATAATTAAATACATTTGCAACATACTTAACTAAACTAATATTTCTATTAAGTGTTATTTAAAGTAGTAACTAAAGCACTCTGATAGCCACTGATAGTGTTGAAATGCACTATATAAATTACTTTGCCTATTTCTACAAATACTAAACATTTCTCTGCATTTATTTGACTTTTACTCCTTGTGTAAATCATTGATAATGCAGTACTAACATTATAATCTAAAATTGGCTCAACATTAACACACTTCAACAACATAAACACTTTAAATGAATGTGTATGTTTTCAGGTGTTAAATAGTATGAACTCCAGTTCCTCACCAGAGCGGTCTCACAGAGCAGCTTGCTGCCGCGCACCAGGTTCCCGATGGTGATGTGGAAATACGTGTTTCCACTGCTCCAGTTAGAGATCTTAGTGAAGGGGTGAGTGGTGAGGATGTCCTGCAGGAGGGGGAATAAACACTATGTTACAGTGCAGAAACAGGACCCTGTTCAAACACACCTAAACACAAGCAGATTCGATACTGAAAAGGTGTGCGAATTGTGAAGCTTTAGACGCAGTAATCTGTAATGAATGTACATTTACCTCTGACTACAGGAAATGTATGTTCACTAATATGTCTGTATTAAATAAATAAATGTACTACAGGCATGGGCGTCATTTCCACTGGGGACAGGGGGGACATGTCCCCCCCACTTTTCAAAATCCCGTTTGTGTCCCCCCCACTTTTCAAATGTGTTTTTTTGTTTTTTTTACGCAAGCGGTCATCGTGTGTGTGTGTGTGTGTGTGGCACGAGCGCATGTTGTGTGAGTGTGCGAGTGAGAGATAGCGAGAGAGAGAGAGAGAGCGCACCAGTTACGGGGGTTGTTGTTAGCATCTGGTGCTAGCTCGGAGCTAACGGAGATTAGAAGCTGTTTCTACAATAAGGAGAGGGAGAGCTCTCTCCTGTCGGACTGAGAGGCTGAGATAACGTCAGCTCAGGTGAGGTAAAGGACTCTCTGAGTGATTAGATTGTAACCTTTAGTCTAAGTTATCTCAGTGGGTCTCAAACGGTTTGGTCATCTATGTAGTGATTAATGAAATATGCATAAATAACTAGAAATAATGCAGACTAGGTAAGATACAGATAGGAGAGAGGCGTTTATCAAATATTTGTTATTGGTTGTGAGAATATTCTAATGGTTTTTTGGTTATTAAAATATATACAGTTCCCTGTTTTGTGTCCCCCCCACTTCTTAAACCAAAGTTACACCCTTGACTACAGGTAATGAAGTTCTTCCATCTTTTAAAAAGGAAAGATAAGAAGTCAGACTACAAGACATTTTTGGTCACAAACTGTCTTTCAGGTGCAGATGTGACGTAAAAAACACATTCAGTTTGTATCACATTCATATAAATGGTTGATCTGAATTGTTATGAGACTCGGGTAGAATTGAAGCAAGTAGTTCAGGGAACACATTTGTTCTCAAAATTGACCATAATATGTATTGGAAATGTGATGAATGTGCACCAACCTTAGTTTGAGGATCAATGAGACTGACTCCATGTTTGTTGATTGCTATCAGGAGGGTTTCTGGGTAATTTGGATCAGTTGTTTGCTGCAGAAAGAACAAAGTACCATCATTTAAAACAATCAGGGGTAAAATGTGACTAGACATTTGATTAAGTACAATTTTGAGGTACATTCTTCTTTAAAGGAACATTTCACACTGCAGAACTGCTCATTTTAAGAAAGAGGCCTGAGGTCTTTTTCCACATCTGACAAAAACAACATGCCGAAAATAAGCAACAGATCTTTAATTAAAATACTACTAGTGTGTTTACCTTGATTTCAAAGAAGGCCGAGCCAAACGTGGTCCACTTGTAGATGATTTTGAGGAAGGACAGTTTGGCTTCTTCTCGAGATTTCCCCGAGTGTTTGTTGAACAGAGACATGATGGACTGAGAGGGAGAGACAGAGAAACAACTCTGAAGACTTTAAAGCGTTGCTGTCTTCCTGCCTGGTGTAAAAAACATGCTGAATCTGACGTGGAATAATGTAAGAAACGTTCCCTCTTTGTGTGAGTGTTATCAGTCTAATTACTCGATTCTGATTGGTCCATTCAGACAATAAAAAATAAACAGAATAACGTTTCAAATAGCTAAAAGAACTTCAGACCATAAGGCGTGGAAGCGTGCTTGCTAGGGTCTTCGTATCTACTCTTTGACCTTATAATCAGTCATAACATCTATTTACGTGCGCTCACCCTCTTCCAGTCGTCGGGGGACAGGTGTCGGATCTGGTCCTGAGGGACGAGGTCTTTCAGGATCTTGGAGATGTTGATGAACTGAGATTTATCGTCCTCAAACTTCACCCTGTAGATCAGAGCGGCCAGCTGGTGCACCTCCTCCTTCAGACACTTGTGGTAACCCCGCAGGTACTTAGGGAGCTCCTGCAGAGAAATTTGGGTTTTTTAAACATAGAAAGAACATAACAATCACACATACATACAGTCACACATACATACAGTCACACATACATACAGTCACACATACAGTCACACATACATACACTCACACATACAGTAACACATACATACAGTAACACATACATACAGTCACACATACAGTCACACATACATACAGTAACACATACATACAGTCACACATACATACATACAGTCACACATACATACAGTCACACATACAGTAACACATACATACAGTAACACATACATACAGTCACACATACAGTAACACATACATACAGTAACACATACATACAGTCACACATACATACAGTCACACATACAGTCACACATACATACAGTAACACATACATACAGTCACACATACAGTAACACATACATACAGTCACACATACATACAGTCACACATACATACAGTAACACATACATACAGTCACACATACATACAGTCACACATACAGTCACACATACATACAGTCACACATACATACAGTCACACATACAGTAATACATACATACAGTCACACATACATACAGTCACACATACATACAGTCACACATACATACAGTCACACATACATACAGTCACACATACATACAGTACAGTCACACATACATACAGTAACACATACATACAGTCACACATACATACAGTCACACATACATACAGTACAGTCACACATACATACAGTAACACATACAGTACAGTCACACATACATACAGTCACACATACATACAGTCACACATACATACAGTCACACATACATACAGTCACACATACATACAGTCACACATACAGTCACACATACATACAGTCACACATACATATACAGTCACACACATATACAGTCACACACATATACAGTCACACACATATACAGTCACACACATATACAGTACACATACAGTCACACATACATACAGTCACACATACATACAGTAACACATACAGTACAGTCACACATACATACAGTAACACATACATACAGTCACACATACATACAGTCACACATACATACAGTCACACATACATACAGTCACACATACATACAGTCACACATACAGTCACACATACATACAGTCACACATACATACAGTCACACATACATACAGTCACACATGGGAAAATAACACTCCCCAGGCTCAACATCGAACATTCAGGGAAACCTCACAGAGTGAAATGTTCATATTCATCAATTTCCACTTGATCACTCTCAAGGAAATGCATCAACGTGTCCCATATTTCCTTACATTTATTTTCTTTCCTTTTGATCACATAGGTTAATTTTTCCAAAGCGAGACAGGACGCCATTTCCCGCAGCCACGTTGCAGGCGTAGGACCCATGTATTGCTTTTTTAAATGAATGAATAATAGGTTTGAAGACTGTTCTCTGAGCGCTGCTGCTCACCTGGTAGTAGTGGAAGATGGAGTCGGCCATTGTGTCTTTTCCCGGCGTGGTGTTGGTCCACAGCTTCTTCATGAAGAACACCTGGTACGTCAGAGAAGGCAAGACACCTGCACACACACACACACACACACACACACACACACACACACACACACACACACACACACACACACACACACACACACACACACACACACACACACACACACACACACACACACACACACACACACACAACACACACACACACCACACACACACACACACACACACACACACACACACACACACACACACACACACACACACACACACACACACACACACACACACACACACACACACACACACACACACACAGGTTATATGAACCCACAACAATGTACAAAACCTTTACATTCGACAGAATATTTGTGGTTGTTGCTTTTACCGTCTTTCACATGCCGAGCTTTCTTGATCCAGTCCGTCAGATGCCTCACAAAGTCGAAGAAGAAGTCTCCGTCGGGCACACTGATGACCTGGAAAACAGAAATATTTGGAGATATTTTGAGTAAAATATAATAATAATGATAATGAGTTTGTAACGTCAGCACGAGGACCAATTAGGAAATGTTCTGGAGCTTTTAATCAAATCACACATCAGATGGAGATGGGAAAAGTAGACTTTACTTCGATGAGAAGTTCTAAATGGACCAGGAAATTGTTTAAGCATTATCTGGTTAATTTTCAGGGTATATGCAGGAATCCTGAAGTCAAATGTAATACCTTTTAAGACCTTTTTTAAGACCCTTTCCATACATTTTAAGACCTCATCGCCACTTTGAGTTTTAACTGGTTACATTGGCGACACACTTTACCTCAGATTGACTATATACAGTATTGATTGTCCTTCCTCCTTATCTTCCAACCATTTGCGGTATTTTTGGAACTTTAAGTATTTTTGGAATTTAGGGTATTTTTGGAACTTTAAGTATTTTTGGATCTTTAAGTATTTTTGGAACTTTAAGTATTTTTGGATCTTTAAGTATTTTTGGAACTTTAAGTATATTTTGAACTTTAAGTATTTTTGGAATTTACGGTATTTTTGGAACTTTAAGTATATTTGGAACTTTAAGTATATTTGGAACTTTAAGTATTTTTGGAACTTTTAAGTATTTTTGGAACTTTGGACCCTTTCCATACATTTTAAGACCTCATCGCCACTTGGAGTTTGAACATTACATTGGCGACACACTTTACCTCACATTGACTATATTCAGTATTGAATGTCCTTCCTCCTTATCTTCCAACCATTTGGACGCAGACTTGCATTTCCCCATAACCATGTTGTTTAACAACCGGCGTAAACGGACCTTCGCGCGCTATCAAGCAGTGAGCGTGCGATGTCCTGTTCAGATTACGTCAAACCCAACGGGATGCCATCAATAAACTCCACAGAATCACACTACACACCTACGCAATGATTACATTCAGGCACACTGTAGAATACAACCTCTTTGGACAATTTATATACTTATCGAAAACTAGCTACAAAATGTAATACTTTGGAAAATGCCCTTTAATACTTTTTAATAGCCTTCATTTTCGCTAAATTGATTTATCAACTTTTAATACATTTTAAGACCCCGCGGACCCCCTGATTTTAATGAAAAATGGCTTTAAAAGTTTAGAAAATGCCAGAAAATCTTCCTCAAATCTCCTCTGCAGCATCATCGTAATGTCTAGAATCAACTGTGGGCTTAAATTAAAATAAATGTAAAGGTTTATAGCAATAATGATGCTGTTTATATTGTACCTTTGTCTATTAACACGACAGGTAAAGTTTAAACAGCTTGAATTCTTACTTCTTCTGCAGAGGATTTGGTTGAAAAATGAAATACTGTGCATCATAGATTCTGGAAACAAACATCATCTTCCCCTCAGGTACTAAAAAAGATGTTGACTTTGATCCAGATATCCAGATGTTACCTTGTCAGTGATCTTCACGAACAGACTGAAGCCCTCGGAGGATTTGAGCAGCAGACGTCCGGAGATGTTGTGACAGAAATCTTTTGCCTTCGTGCTCGACTCCACTTCAAACACCTGCAAACACACAGGAGGCTTTTATATAATTACTGCACGTATACAAAATGAGTAAGAGGATGAAAATGGGAGAGAAAAGTGTGTTTTTATGGCAAATATGTTCACAGTAGCACAGAAGGTGCCATGGAAAGTATATTTTGATAAACATTAAGGAATAAGGAATGTTTTTTTAATAATTTCAAGCAAGTAAAAGGATTAAAGGTCACCTATCATGCTATTTTTAGGCAATAGCATAGGTCTCAGATATATAAAAATATATAAAAAACATGTCTATGAAGTGTTTTGCTCAAAATACCAAACAGATCACCCATTCTAGCCATGCCTCATATCCCTCTGTTTCACTTCCTGTTTCAAAAGTGCTGATTTGGGGTATAAAGCTTTAAAAAAGGAGGGGTCTGAGCTCACGCGGGACCCGGCAGCTACTGTCTAAACTAAATACTGCCGTGATGAAACGCCATATCATGGATTATCAAGGATTCTCTCTGAAACAGTATGGAGCTCAAAGGCTTTCTCTCTTGCCGGTTATACCACAAGGTGAGTTCCTTTTTATTTCCTGCTTCTTCACACACATGCTCTCCAGTACAGGTTAGCTCTGAGTGTTAGCGATGCTAATGTAAACACCGACCATATTACGTCCAAAACAGTCGGGCATTGTTTCTGATAGCAACGTTTCTGATAGGGCCGTGGGTCCACATTTCAGATATTACGTCATATCGGACGCAAATCTGGATCAGCTCCGTTGTTCCCCCGTTTTTAGAGATTTGGGTACGGAGGAAAAGAGAGAGGGTTTTATTTCTGACGCTGCGTGAGTTCCCTGACACACCGGGGACACACATTTTTGTATAAAGGACATCAAAAAGTGCATTTTGCATGATAGGTCCCCTTTAAGTTCCAATGTTTTTAGAGGAATCATTAAAAAACATAGATGATGCTAAAAAAAAGATCTCTGATAAGAGTTATAGCCCTAACACTTTAAACATGACAGTGAATAAGATAATATTATCCTCCATAAGCTTTGATTCGTAAGCTGCTTCAAACATTAGGTAATTAACAATGATATAAATGTTATAAATTCAACTTTTAATATATGAAAGCAAGAGGAACAGTTTGATATTTCTTCTTTTATGAATAACATTGTCTCACTTTATTTAGACTTGTTTTGAAATGGCAAGTACCAGCTCCATATATGGTATGAGTTCATGGTAACTGAAGTTATAATGTGTTAGGTAATTATATATATTTAGCATGTTACGTCATCACTGACCTCGTCGGAGTCATCAGGAAAATAAACCTTGTGGAAGATCTGCGTGGTTTTGTGCTGGATGGCCTCCACCTCCACCAGGTGAGGAGGGTACTTCCTGGATCCATTTCTGAAACACATGGTAGACAGGAAGTAGAATTATACTCTGCATAATATAAACGATACGATATGACGATACGATAATACTTTAATGGTCAGATCAAGTCTGAAATTTGACTTGCATCACAGCAAGAAAACATGCTCAAAGGGCCTTTTCAAGAGGATCAGAGGTGTGTGTGTGTGTGTGTGTGTGTGTGTGTGTGTGTGTGTGTCACCGTAAGGCCTTCTGGAGCCGCTGCATGCAGTCCGGAGCGAGAGGATAATGTTTCTTGGCCTGGAGGAACTTCTGGACGTGAGGCAGCAGGATGTTACTGGGAGGAAACAGACCGGTGCACAGCCACAGCAGCTCCCAGCCCTTCTCCTCACTGTACCTGCACACACACACACACACACACACACACACACACACACACACACACACACACACACACACACACACACACACACACACACACACACACACACACACACACACACACACACACACACACACACACACACACACACACACACACACACACACACACACACACACACACACACACACACACACACACACACACACACACACACACACACACACACACACACACACACACACACACACACACACACACACACACACACACACAATTGTAACACAGTGACGTACTAAAAGGTCATAATACTTGTTGAATAATTGTTTCAAAACGACCATCTTTGACACCTAAAGTCGATCAGGCTAATTAAGCTGCACCTATTTACCTTTTTATTATACGATACTGGTTTATCAATTTGTGATGTGGCTTTATACCAGAGGTGGAAGAATAACTCAGATCCTTTACTTAAGTAAAACTAGAAAAACTATGGTCTTAAAATCTAATATTATAACATCCTGTTTTTATCCCTAACGATTGTATGTACTGTAAGAGCATTTAAACGTTGTAGTTTGTAAACGTAGAACCATTTGTAAATACTTAAAATACTGGTGTGTGTGTGTGTCAGTGTGTGTGTCAGTGCGTGCGTGTGTGTGCGTGTGTGTGTGTGTGTGAGTGTGTGTGTCAGTGTGTGTGTGTGTGTCAGTGTGTGTGTCAGTGCGTGCATGTGTGTGCGTGTGTGTGTGTCAGTGCGTGCGTGTGTGTGTGTGTCAGTGCGTGTGTCAGTGCGTGTGTGTGTGTGTCAGTGCGTGTGTGTGTGTGTGTGTGTGTGTGTCAGTGCGTGTGTGTGTGTGTGTGTGTGTGTCAGTGCGTGTGTGTGTGTGTCAGTGTGTGTGTGTCAGTGTGTGTGTGTGTGTGTCAGTGCGTGTGTGTGTGTGTGTGTGTGTGTCAGTGCGTGTGTGTGTGTGTCAGTGTGTGTGTGTCAGTGTGTGTGTGTGTGTCAGTGCGTGTGTGTGTGTGTGTGTCAGTGTGTGTGTCAGTGCGTGTGTGTGTGTGTGTGTGTCAGTGTGTGTCAGTGTGTGTGTCAGTGCGTGTGTGTGTCAGTGTGTGTGTGTGTGTGTGTGTGTGTGTGTGTGTGTGTGTGCGTGTGTGTGTCTGTCAGTGTGTGTGTGTGTCAGTGCGTGTGTGTGTGTGTGTGTGTGTGTCTCACTTGATGCTGTTCTCAGTGAGCTGTTTGAGGATCTGACAGAAGATCTCGTCTTTGAGCGGCTCGGCCTTCAGAGCTCCTTCAAAGATCTGGTCTGTGAGCTCGTTGACGGAGCGCGCCCGTTTGGACGGGTAGTCGCACATGTACTTCATCAGAGGTGCAAGGGTCAAGGACAGCAAACAATCATTAAATACTTCTTAAATACCATGAGAGAGGGGACGGGAATCTAAGATTCCTTAACACTACATCACACTTTGTTTACCTGACAACAAGTGATGTCAACCATAAATAAACAAACTCAGAAACCTGAAAGTACCGAATTGACCCGAATATTTTTGACTCATTTTTATAAAGCTTTTCTCTGACTGTTTACATTTTTAAGGCGGTCTTTTTGGGCTCGCCATCTTCTGACGTTACATTCAGTAACACCATATTTCTTTTCTCCTCGACAGTTGTTTGATGACTGCTTCGTTGATCACCATTATCTTAAAATTGGCATCGTAACTTCGCCTCTCTTGTTTATTAACAAGTTGGTCTCTGTGTCTCTCCATCTCTATCTCTACCTGTTGCTGTGTACTGTACTTTAAGGCCTAGGCTCCACGAGGACGAAAACGGGTTGAATCCGCATATTTCTCATGCGTATAGCCCTTTAAGCTCGACGACGCCGTAAGGGAAACGTAGAAACATACCCCGCAAACGACAACGGGTCCAAAGGTGGATAGATCTGGGAACGGAGCGCTCTGGGGGGTCCAACGGGGCCGTGGAGTCGCCTATACGGTCATGCGTTTCATAGCCCCGCCTCTCCCCGCCTCTGCTGCTCACCTCCGCAAAAGTACACTGCACACTGAATTCAGATTATTTATCTTTATCTCGATATGAACATAAACGCGAGTGAAGTCTAATCTGACAGGACGGAGACACGCAGCTCCTCCGGCTGTGAAGCAGCGGGAGCAAAACACACACTTCAAGTCAGATCACCACCCTTAGCTATTTTAATTACCTCTCAAACTACCTAAACTAGTTATAAATATGTTTATTTTTATTGTCGGGTTTACTTACTGGATCAGCTGCTGCATGAGGAAGCATGAAGATTTAAACTTTAACACACATTGACTGGCGAAAAACTCTGCCCGGATCCCTCCGCCCCCACCGCCCCCACCGCAGCCATGACAACCATTCTTCTTCGCTGCTTTTGTGGAGGAAGTTGCTGCTTTTGTGGAGGAAGTTACAGCGCCACGTACAGGCTCGGCATATGTACTGCAGCTTTTCCAGCGTTTGGATGTAAACGGAGCCGTCTCGTGGAGCTTGACACAATCCGGTGTATATTGCGTGGGGACGGAAGGTTTTTTGCGGTTGCGTTTGCGTTACTCCGATGCGTTTTGCCGTATTTGTTCTCGTGGAGCTGGGGCCTAAGACGGTGTCTCGCTTGGGGGAACACTCGTTTGGCGCCATCTGTTGCTGTGACTGTGTAATTACATTTATTTCTAGGAAAAAAAAAACGTCTTATATTCGGGTCAATATGGTACTTTATTCAAATGCATGGTAAATCATGCATTCGTCTCAATTGACATATCTTTTAAGTACGCGCACATGACCAATGAGGGCACGAGATAAGTTTGTGCCCCGATGGAAGGCTGACAGGCAGGTAGGCCATCCAGTTATTTTAGCCGGGCCGGCTCAGATGATTGGTCGTGCTTTTTACAGTACTACGGCTTCCACAGATTAAATATTTATATGTATTTATTGTCAAAGCACTTCAGATATTCATTGCTATCGGGATGTTAAGAGCATTCCATGGAATATAACAAGTGTTTCTGAAGTGAATTACATACCCCACCTTTAATGTATCTATAAAAATGACCTTTACTGGGATTGTCAGAAGAGTGTGAATCCAAAAAGGGAGAGGGTTACTGCAACAGTCGATAAGGCCCATTATATGTATGCATGTATTTGTTTAATTATGGGAGAGGAAGGTGTTATTCTGAGAAAAAACATAATTAAAAAGTATTCTGTTCGGTAAAAAAAGGGTGATGATGCAAAAATATAACCAGAGGTGGGAAGTAATCAGTAAAAATACTTCGTTACTGTACTTAAGTACATGTTTCTGGTATCAGTACTTTACTCCACTACTTATTTTTCTGACGACTTTTTACTTTGACTTCTTACACTTTGAACACAAATACCTGTACTTTCTACTTCTCACATGTTGAACACAAATACCTGTACTTTCTACTTCTCACATTTCCCAAACAGGCTGGTTCCTTTAGTTTGAATGTGTGTTTGGTGGCGTGATCATTATTATTTAGAGTCATTGCGTGCCTATTGATTTGAACACGATCCGTGTATCCATCATTTCCTGGTCTTCTCTAAAGAAGAGGGACCAATGAAAACGTTGTCATGTTGCCGTTGTTCAGCATGGAAACATTCATTAGCTAACAATGACATTATTGTTCTATTAATATAAAGGGAGGTCAGGTACTCTTTAAAACAGCTGCTAGTTATGGGTACTTTTTACTGAAGTACATTTCAAAGCCCTCTTTACTTTGACTTGAGTAAAGAAGTTTAGTCAGTACTTCTACTTTCACCAGAGTATTTTTAAACACGAGTAGTACTTCTACTTGAGTAAAGGATGTGTGTACTTTTGCCATCTCTGCATATAACACATATACAGATCCTAAAGGATATCCATGAATGCGAGGCAGGCCTCCTGGGAGAGCTCCTGGTGGGCGAGCACCTTCTTCAGCAGCGGCTGTTTGATTGGCTCCCGGCTGCAGCTCCACAGACGCTCCTTCCCCCGAGACTTTGGGTTCATCACCCTGCTCAGAGTGCTCTTCGGAGGAGGCCTGGAGACCAGATAGAAGAGGGTGAAATACACATTTATAGATACACTATATACTTTATGTCTGTATGCAAAGGATGCGGAAACTCACCTGAAGTAGTCGTAGGAGAACTCCTCCAGCGTGTAGGCTTTAGTTCTGTCCTCGATGTCGGAGACGCTCAGCTGAGACGAACCGATGGACTCTCGCCTCTGATTAGGAGTCATCGTCACCAGAGCCTGAGGAGGAGAGAGGGAAATGGAAACACAGAGGTCCGAGTTAAAAGACAAATATATTTTCAAGTGCAAAGTGAACATCTCAATGTCGCTCAATCGTTTCTGATTCTGATCTCCTGTTCTCATAATAATAAAGCTTTATTCACGTGCAGCTCAAAGTGCTTTACAAAATGGCACACAATCACAAGTTCAAAATAAACAAGAAATTCACCTCAGATCAGATTTTAAAACCTTTACAGATACAAGTGTTTTTAAACATATCATCCACAGAGTTTCACATGAGGGATGCAATGCAAGTTAACGAGTATAATGTGTGTTTTTAAAATGTTGAAGGGCTTATTTGAAACTGCAAACAGAAAAAAAGGTGCATTGATCGTTTCTAACTGACTACAAATCTGATATAATACATGGAGCATGGTTTTACGTCCATGTTCCTTTATACACACAGTCTATGTTTGCATCCTCTCCCCTCACCACGATGTCGTACTGCGGCCTGGTGAGGCTGGGCAGCAGGTACACGCAGTCAGCAGGGAAGTCTCCTCTCAGTTTCGTGCGGTCGTTGATCCCGTGAGCCCAGCCCGACGTCATCACCTGATCCCCGCTGTGCTCGTCCAGGATGATCAGATCCCCCTTACAGAAACTCAGGAAGGTGGAGTCCACCGCGCCCACTGAGGGACGAACAAGACAGATGAAGACTGTTTAAATATATATATATGAAGTCTCGCAGCAAATTCAGAATCAAAATACTTCACTTTTCCTGTGGGCTTTTAGTACAAAACACAACATTAATGCACACAATGTACACAATATCTTCTATAATATCTATTTTATTTAATTCCAATTCCATTTAAATGTAAATACTGCTATATTTGACTATATCTTTTAATGTTATTATAGTTTTCTTAATATAGTTTTCTATCTGTGTTTCATCAAGTCAAATTCCTCGTACGTGTCAACCTACCTGGTAATAAACCTGATTCTGATTCTGAACCTATACACACGTTTATTTCAATATATACAGAGGTGTTCTAGTATTAATAAGAGTGTTGCAATGCTTTCAGACACAGTTAAATGAAGCTTTGTGTCTCACCAGGGTTGGGGCAGTCGATCAGTCCCACCACGTACTTAGACCTCCTCCTCAGACCCTCCAGGAAGTCCACCACCAGGTCTCTGATGTCCTCAGCGTTGTTGGAGGTGAACGTGTACTCGTCTCCTTTCACCGTGGCCAAGGTGAAGCTCTGGCCCTGCAGCTTTCCCCCTCTGAGGGATGGGGATGACATTTCAATCACAGGCTTTCCTTGATGCAGAACGAGGATGTTTAATTAGACATTATTCTCTTCAATCAAAGCTATGATGTGAAATCCAGAAACATTGTTTGTCATATTTGTTAGTCAAGTTGAATTTCCTGACAGCTATTTATACATAAAATACAAAAGCAAACAGTGGCTATGTTTTGTGTTTGAGTTATTCATCAAATTATTTGTTTACAAGGATCATTTTGGGTTGAGTGGCTTTGGCAGGAGGCCTCAAAATGAATATTCATTTGACACAGTGGAAGTTTAATCCCTGACGCTTTAAGGTCACGGTTTCAAGTTTCAAGGCTTTTATTGTCATGTGCACTTTCGCTAAAGTGTGTCAATGAAAACGTAAGTCCCAGGCTCCTGCTACAGTGCAACATGAATATAGGACATACAACAAATAAAACCGATACAATAGTGTAAGAGAATGTTTTGAGATGTGCAAGTAAATACAAATCAAATGGTGTTATGGTACCTGCTGCTGGACACCGCAGTGATCTCTGGGAAGGAAAGCTCCAGCAGGACCTGCTCCTGCTCGTCCACAAAGTAAACCCCGGTCCAGTTCACCGCCACGATCACATCGTTCTTCGGCAGACTGGGACCTGAGAGGACAGACGGTGGTATGGAATAGATCAGTGCTTCTCAAACTTTTTTCAGTAATGTACCCCCTTTGAAACATTTTCTCAGCCAAGTACCCCCTGACCGACCCCGGACATTTTTGACAGAAAAAGCCTATATAAATAATTACAATATAGTGATGTTTGATTTATTAACTCCTTCATGCATGAATTACAACAAACTAAGGATATTTGTATTTTTTCCAAGGAGTTTTTCAATTGAAGTAATATATGTTTAACAAACCAATGAACAAAATGATATATTATGAAAAACTATAAATACAATACACAAATGTAACATGTTTATATGAGGACCCCCTTAGTGGTTCTCGGAATATTTTATATAAAATTGTGTTTTCTATTTAATTTATTGTACTAAGATTATTTTTGTAATCATGCATGGTATTTTTTTAATGAACCTTTTTATTTATTTTTATCTCACGTACCCCCTGCAGTACCCCAACGTACCCCTAGGGGTCCGCGAACCCCCATTTGAGAATCACTGGAATAGATTATATCTTTATTGACATCATACAAAGTACAACAAAATGTCTTTGGCAACTCTCACTGCAGTAAAAAATAGACACAATAAATAAATAAGAGTGGTAAAAGCAGAGGTAGTAGCGATGACAGCGCAACGAGATAAAAATAAATGTCAATTTGCATATTTACACTTACAGTAGTTTTTCTAAAATAGTAGTGGTTGCAGTCTTTGAGGGGTGGTGTGTGTGTGTGTGTGTGTGTGTGTGTGTGTGTGTGTGTGTGTGTGTGTGTGTGTGTGTGTGTGCCTGTTGATGTATCGTGATTTTAAGGGTGTCCATTAGTATATATAAAGGAACATGGAAGTAAAACTATGCATCACATGTCCTTTTTTTTTATAACTAATGCTGTTGATGTATCGTGATTTTTAAAAGGTGTCTATTATCATCTGGCCGGGACAACAGCTGGAAATTAGCAATGTTGGCTGAAGCTGCTCCATTTACTGTGTTTTGTGACAGTTGATCAATAATAATAATTCCTTATATTTATTATAGCGCTTTTCAATGACTCAAAGCGCTTTACAGATACACATTACACATACATATCATACATACATGTAATGGTCATGTACTGTGGACAATACCCACAGTACACCACTGATGACCAAACGCACAGCCCACTGCGCCACTCCGCCCTATGATCAATGGGGCTGTCCACGACACTTTAAAGGGGACCTATCATGCAAAATGCACTTGTGTACGTCTTTTCCACATGAATATGTGTCCCCGGTGTTCCAGGGAACTCACCAAGTGTCAGAAAACACAACCCTCTCTATTTTCCTCCATACCCAAATCTCTAAAAAAGGGGCTGCAACGGATCTGATAAAAACTGATCCAGATTTGAACACTGTCCTGACGTCAGGACGGTGGCGCTACGGCTATTGGGCCAACTCCACCAATCAGGAGGAGACAGCCACGGCCATTGCTGTTCCAAAGCGCTGGAGACGCTGTAGTACATATGCCAGGCCAGTAGGTGGTGCTGTTCTCACTGAATCAGCCCTTGCTAAAACAGAGCTAAAAAATGTCAAATTGAGCAAAATGAGGCTTGGCTAAAATGCATGATCTGTTTGGTATTTTGAAAAAAAAAAAGTTTAAATATGCCTTATATAGGTATGGTCCTACACCATATTATTCAAATATAGCATGATAGGTCAACTTTAAAGTTTAAATAAATAAACTAAACTAAACTAAACAATGAAACTAAACATTCCTACATGAGTCAGGACAACAGCGTGTTTGGGTAATTAAAGGTATTTTATGGATCCAGGGAAAGAGGGTCATAATGTGAGAAACATGTCAGAATGTACAAGATTAAAGTAGGAGAAGAAAGCACATTTATGAAGATAAAAATCACACTTTTTGGGGGGATATTTCCCCTCAAATGGACCCAAATAGTAAACAAGACAGTTGTATGTGACCAACCTGAGAACTTGAAGGCCTCGTAGAAGCGTGAGAAGAGTAAAGGCCACTTTAACCGAGCAAAGTCCACCACGTCCTCCTTCACCTTCTGAGTGCTCAGCCTGCGTTTACTGTGTAGTCCCTGCACACACACACACACACACACACACACACACACACACATACACACACACACACACACACACACACACACACACACACACACACCACACACACACACACACACACACACACACACACACACACACACACACACACACACACACACACACACACACACACACACACACACACTTTGAGTTAGTTACTGTCACACAGCTACACACACACAGTTGTCAGATGTTTCAAGTTTCAAAGCTTTATTGTCATGTGCACATTAGCAGTATAGATATGTCAATGGAAAACTTAAGTCCCAGGCTCCTCCAACAGTGCAATATATATATATATATATATATATATATATATATATATATGGGACATAAAACAGATAAAACAGATACAATAGGGCAAGAGAATGTTTGGAGATGTGCAAGTAAATACAAATAGGATAGAAATAGTGCAAGAAGAGTCTATACAAGTAAATGGAATATGATATATTAGATACATAATTTGCAAAATGCAATCAGATGAATGTTTAAGGATGTTATGGTGACGTTTACCTTTTTGTGGGCGCTGACGATGAGCTATTTATTTGTTTTATGTCCTGTATATATTCATGTTGCTCTGTTGGAGGAGCCTGTGACTTGAGTTGTTCATTGCCATACCTACACTGTAGCTGCTGTGCACATGACAATAAAGCCTTGAATCTTGAAACACACAGTTGTCAGATGTGGTGATTTTTACCTTTTTGTGAGCGCTGACGATGAGCTATTTATTTGTTCTATTTCCCATATATATAAATTAGGGCTGTCAGTCGATTAAAATATTTAATCGCGATTAATCGCATGATTGTCCATAGTTAATCGTGATTAATCGCAAATAATTTTATCTGTTCTAAATGTACCTTAGAGGGATATTTTTCAAGTTTGTAATACTCTTATCAACATATGAGTGGACAACTATGCTTTATATGTTTGTTTATTATCATTTGAACATTACAAATATTCTCATGAATATTAAACACAACAACCTGGAACCTCTCTCATACAATAATACAGTGTGTGTGTGTGTGTGTGTGTGTGTGTGTGTGTGTGTGTGTGTGTGTGTGTGTGTGTGTGTGTGTGTGTGTGTGTGGAGACACTGTGATGGATCGTTGGAGCTATGTGCAGCTCAAGGCACATATGCTCGAACGGGAGCTGCCTGGACGCTGCAATCATGTTGCGCGCACTATCCGTGGTGAGTGTGCTGACTTTTCGTACAATGTCCCACTGTCAGGCTACCTGCATAAAGTCAAGTGCTCGGCGCAGTTGTCGGCGAAATGTCGCTCCTCTGTTTTCATTGAAACAGCTCCTTATATCCGTTAGCGCAGCTAGCTAGCCCCAGATGCTAACAACAACAACAACACGTAAGGTGTGCCTCGCTCGCGCGAGTCGCGCCACACATACACACACCCTCCCGGTCCTCCCGATGGCCAGTCCAGGCCTGCCGGTGAGCATGGAAGTGTGGTCTGCCACAAGCGGGCGGCAGGAGCGGGGCTGTCAGCATCAGCTTGTAGATGGTATTTTAAACTCGATGCGCTCTGAAACTACGGGGCGGCCGAGGACAAAAAATACACATGCGTTAATCGCGTTAAAATAATTAGTGCCGTTAATTTTTTTTTTGCGTTAACGCGTTATTAACTTGACAGCCCTAATATATATATATATATATATATCTAGTCTTTTTAATTTTGATTGTACAATGCCATGTCTTTTTATGCTGCTGCAACACAAAAATGTCCCACATCAATAAACTACTATCTTATCTTATCTTATATGTTGCTCTGTTGGAGGAGCCTGTGACTTGAGTTCTTCATTGCCATACCTACTACATGCCTTGAATCTTGAAGCACACAGTTGTCAGATGTGGTGACGTTTACCTTTTTGTGGGCGCTGACGATGAGCTGCTGCCACTTCTCGGTGGTCTTGGTGGAGGAGATCTCTCTGTCGGGGATGTAGGACGGGACGAGGCTGAGCAGACGATCCTGGAGGACCTCAGCACCGTAATCCACGAAATACTGCTGAGAGGCCAGCTCTGCAAGGTCCTCCTCCTGGAGATACACAGGGCAAAGAGACCAGCATTAGGAGGTAACATATATGATATATGTGCAGTTATATTTGCTGTAAAGTGTCCTTACTGTAAGGTCATTATTATATGTACAGCACTTTGGCTTGACCAAAAATCGTTTTAAAAATGTGCTATATAAATAAAACTTGATTTGATTTGATTTGATATATTTTGCTCACCTTGTATAGATCTGTATTGAATTTCAACTTGGTTTCATTACGGGTTAATCTACTGATCACTTTTTACAGAAATGCATTGATTCTTGCTTTATAAATACTGTGAAAATAGTGATAAATAATCACATCAAAACAAAATGATTTATAGAATTCTTTTTACTAGAACCATGATTTTCTAAACAGTTCTGCTCACCCTCTCGCAGCGGTACTCTCCGAACTTCACGCCCCGTACGACCTGCTGGTAGATGAGGTTGGTGGCGGTGTGGTCGTCCTCCGGGTCGTGCCAGGGGTTGAAGATTTCCTTCCTGAAGAACAGCCTCCAGGGAGCGTTCCTCTCCTGCGCGCCCTGCTCCTTGGCGTACTGTTCGCACTGAGACACGGCGTCCAGCACGTGGTCGCTGCCGCTGCCGAGAGACGAGACCTGGAGGAGAGCAAAAAAACATATTCAGATCCTTCACTTCTGAGAAAAGACTGGTAGTTAAAGTCAGTCAAATCTCACTTAATTAAAAGTATGTTTCTGTTCATTATGCATCAGATGTTTTCTGTTAAATGCTTCTTTGTACTACTAATTAAATGTATTGGGAAATGGGGAATGGCAACCAATGAATGAGGGGATTCCCCTGCTGTAGATAATTAATCTTGTGGTCATTGTAACTCCTTTATATACGGTTGGGTAGTTTAATCTGCAGAAATGCATCATATTCTGTAAGATCTCCGTGTGTTGTAAGCTTTTGGAAGTAAATCTAAAAAAAAAAGTAATCTTTTCATGAGTTTCTCAGAAAAACAGCCCTGTTTTCAGCTTTGTGACGATGCATTTTGCTGCTGTATCCAAGAGGCTTTCTAAAGACTTTAAGAAGGAGGACACATAAGGAACACTTCATCCTTCAGTTTATCACACACATCCTTTACCAGGGTATATGCAGGAGTCCTGAAGTCAAATGTAATTCCTTTTAAGACCTTTTTTAAGACACTTTCCATACATTTTAAGACCTCATCGCCACTTGGAGTTGTAAACGGTTACCTTGGCGACACACTTTACCTCACAGCCTGTGACCTAAGATTTTCATCGACATAACAACTCTGTAGCTATGTTCGTATGACAAATAAAGAACCTTGAACATTGACTATATACAGTATTGATTGTCCTTCCTCCTTATCTTCCAACCATTTGGACGCAGACTTGCATTTCCCCATAACCATGTTGTTTAACAACCGGCGTAAACGGACCTTCACGCTATCAAGCAGTGAGCGTGCGATGTCCTGTTCAGATGACGTCAAATCCAACGGGATGCCATCAATAAACTACACAGAATCACACTACACACCTACGCAATGATTACATTCAGGCAGACTGTAGAATACAACCTCTTTGGACAATTCATATACTTATTGAAAACTAGCTACAAAATGTAATACCTTGGAAAATGCCCTTTAATACTTTTTAATAGCCTTCATTTTCGCTAAATTGATTCATCAACTTCTAATACTTTTTAAGACCCCCGGACACCCTGATTATCATCTGGTTTGGTTTATAGTTTGATCTCATTTCCTGGTCTCACTTATCCTCTCACTTCTCACTTATCTCCTCTTCTTATTATCCCTGGTCTCACCTTGTCGAACAGCGCGATGTACAGCGAGAACCCGAAGCGGTCTCTCAGGTTTATTTTGTCAGCGAGGGCGTTGCAGAGCTCCGAGGCCGTGGTGGCCGAGTCGGCCAGAAGAGTCTTGGTGGTGCCGTCCATGAAGGTCACCGGCAGCATGATGGGCTTCTTAGATTTAGTGGCCTGAGGGGGAGAGATGGGATTTAAGTCAAAAATATTTGATTTGATTTATTTCGAACGTGTAAAACAATAACTATTTGCGTCAGGTTAGTGCTGACGCTCACCGCTGAGTACGCACTGACACACACAAGAGAAGTCAAAATATAATAACACATACCTTTACAGACTTACTACAAATACCAACAAATAATAATGATAATGAAATGAAACATGATCATTATTATACTGTACAAACGTAAGCAGTGTCAAATTGATAAACACAAATATTACTTAATTACAAATTATATATAAACAAACGATCTACCTGATTACACATCTGAAAAGGGGAGAGAAGAAGTTTACACTTATTCTCCCAAAAACTAAATTATTAACATACATATATATTTTCGGTACCACTTTACAATAAGACTACCCTTTTTACGAATAGTTTGTAAGTCATTTATTAATTAGGTTGTGAACACTTTATAAATCCTTAATAAGTTTTTATAAGACATGAGATAAACAGGGCAACTGTGACCGGTTGCTTGCCAAATAGTGAGCCCACATTTATCTGTACTGCTAAGCCTTATATTGGCTACCTAGCATACTTCGTCTCCTTCATCAGCCAGCATCCTTGGTGTCTGTTGTTCACTGAGTTGATTCTCGCTAAGTAGCCAACATAAGGCTTAGTCATCTTGCCGAATAGTGAGCCCACATTTATCTGTACTGCTAAGCCTTATTAGAAATGGTAGTAACTCATTAATAAATGTGAATATGTTTTATTATTACATGTTATTACATGTCACTTGTTAGACGCTTTTATCCAGAGCGACTTACATACTCAATACTGTGGACAATCCCCACAGGAGCAATTTGGGGTGAAGTGTCTCAGGGACACAACGACATGCTGACTGCAGTGGGACTTGAACCTGTGCTCCCCTGATCCGAACACCAGCGCACTAGCCCACTGCGCCACAGCCTCCCATTAATAAATGTGAATGTGTTTTACACTTTACATTAAGGCTCCCTTTTGGCAGCTATACATGTTAGTAACTCGTAAATAAATGGTCATAAAGAGATGCCAAGAAACATCAAGATGGATGGGGGGGGAATCAACTCAGTGAACAACAGATACCAAGGATGCTGGCTGATGAAGGAGACGAAGTAAGCTAGGTAGCCAATATAAGGCTTAGCAGTACAGATAAATGTGGGCTCACTATTTGGCAAGATGACTAAGCCTTATATTGGCTACTTAGCTTACTTCGTCTCCTTCATCAGCCAGCATCCTTGGTATCTGTTGTTCACTGAGCTGAAGTAACCAATATAAGGCTTAGTCATCTTGCCAAATAGTGAGCCTGTGTTGATGTATGAAAACTATGTTAGGACTGGTTTATAAATGGTTCTTAATGATTAATAAAGTGTTTACAACCTAATTAATAACCTGATTATAAACCCGTCATGAATCCTTTATAAGGGTAGTCTTATTGTAAAGTGGTAACAATCATTATTACTACAATAAATATATAATTATATTATTCTTCTACGTTATATGTCATATTTTACAAGAAAAATATAAAAGACTATATTTTTTCATTCACCATCGAAAATACATTTGTTATTGAAAAACAAACGAAACAATATTTAATCAAAAACTTTTAATATGATGGCTGACATGAAGAATATTCCAAGTGATATGAAGCCACCCAGCTTTCTTCACTTGATTAATGATTGCTGATCACATTAACTGACTTAAAATATAAGATTAGATAAAATGGAAGATTATTTATCCCCGCGGGGAAGTTGAGGCGTTTATAGCAGCAGCAGCAGCAGAGTGAAAGAACAGGATTCAAATAAGGTACATATACATACATATACAAATAATAATACAAAAAGTATTTGACCTGTAGCTCCAGCCAAGATGGCGGCTGAGTTCTGGTTCGGTTCACAAACGTCCTCCTCAACCTTTCCTCACAATATGGAGCGTAACCAGGGGGACCGTTGATCAAAAACCTCCGTAAATACTGACAGGAGAGGGAGAGAGAAACAAACCATTAGATAGAGTTAGAGAGACAGAGGGATAAATGGTTTTCGTTATGGGATCGATGAAGATTAGACACTGGAAAGGAATACAAGTCATTAAATGCTTTTGAGAAATACATACAACTACATTTTTTGGGTTAAATTCCACCTGAGTAAATCATTTTCTTAAAAGTGTAGCTTCAGTTTTCACCGCTGAGTTTTTATATTTTTAAGAATGCAGTTCAATCTCCAATTCCTGATTATTTTTTTGTATCATTCAGTGTGGGGGAAACTTCTGAAGCAATAGGAGTCAGGACTCAGAGAGACACGATGGAGAGCTGGAGCTTTGGTGGCAAACACTGACGGTTTATTTGGAGCTTCGCCCGGAGAATTCACAAGACATGTCACGGGCCACGGGTTAAGCCTGTGACTTAAGAATTTCATCGACATAACTACTCTGTAGCTATGGTTGTATGACTAATAAAGAACCTTGAACCTTGAACCTTGGTTGACCACACGGATGAGATGCCACAATCAATTCTGAAGAACCCTCCTGTAGCTCGAGGTTTTAACTAGTTCAGAGTGTAATAATCAAGATTCTTCATTAGTGAGGCAAAACAAATATGGACCCTGAATCTAACCAGAGCTGTCGTCCATAGAAAAGAATGTGCGCCAGGGAAGCTACGTTCCTAAAAAGAAGGGCTTCTATCAATCAATCAATGTTTATTTATATAGCCCAATATCACACATGTTACATGTGTCTCAGTGGACTTCACAGTTTGTACAGAATATCAGTATGACAATACGACACCCTCTGTCCTTAGACCCTCACATCGTACAAGGAAACACTTCCAGAGAAAACCCACAGCTTAAAGGGAACCTGGGAGAAACCTCAGGGAGAGCAACAGAGGAGGGATCCCTCTCCCAGGACGGACAGACGTGCAATAGATGCCGTGTGTACATCGAAAAGATAATACATTTACAACATAGGTAGACCATATGTTTGGAAATGCATGTGTCTATAATAAGAAGATGAATCCACGAGGATGTCAACAATCCTGTGGGAGCCATCAGGGAAGTAGTATGATGAGCATGAGCATTCACTGCTATCATTCTTCAACACCTGAGTTAACTCATCAATAATTACAAACAAATTAATTATTAGAGAAAAGCCAAACATATTCCTCTTAATTTCATGAATTAAAAGTTCAATTTATACGCCATAAAATGCATATTTGTATGAAATAATGTTTGAAGCAGCTACAGCTTACAAATCAAAGCGTATGGAGGATAATATCATCGTATTTACTGTCATGTTCAAAGTGTTGGAATAACTAGTATCAGAATCCTACCAGAGACACTTATGAGTCTAACTTTAACCGACTAACCAGGGATTCAGAGATGACCTCCAGTGTTTCTAAGCTGTACTTTCACATTGCATTGGAAGTCATTCCTGCTATATTTTGAGGTCTGTTACCTTGACGAACTTCTCTGAGGGGGCGAAGCAGCCGACGCAGAGCGACAGCAGGATCCAGCCTCGAGCGTGGCTGCTCTTAGACGAGTTCTGAGTCAGCTGTTTGCAGATCTGACAGTAGATCTCATCCCTGAAGACACAGAGCAACAACAGCTGAGCAAAACAATACCCAAGATCTCTGATGGAGTGACAACTGCAGGATCTCAGAGAGGGCAAAAGTACACACATCCTTTACTCAAGTAGAAGTACAGATACTCGTGTTTAAAAATACTCTGGTGAAAGTAGAAGTACTGACTAAACTTCTTTACTCAAGTCAAAGTAAAGAGGCTTTGAAATGTACTTCAGTAAAAAGTACCCATAACTAGCAGCTGTTTTAAAGAGTACCTGACCTCCCTTTATATTAATAGAACAATAATGTCATTGTTAGCTAATGAATGTTTCCATGCTGAACAACGGCAACATGACAACGTTTTCATTGGTCCCTCTTCTTTAGAGAAGACCAGGAAATGATGGATACACGGATCGTGTTCAAATCAATAGGCACGCAATGACTCTAAAGAATAATGATCACGCCACCAAACACACATTCAAACTAAAGGAACCAGCCTGTTTGGGAAATGTGAGAAGTAGAAAGTACAGGTATTTGTGTTCAACATGTAAGAAGTAGAAAGTACAGGTATTTGTGTTCAACATGTAAGAAGTAGAAAGTACAGGTATTTGTGTTCAACATGTAAGAAGTAGAAAGTACAGGTATTTGTGTTCAACATGTAAGAAGTAGAAAGTACAGGTATTTGTGTTCAACATGTAAGAAGTAGAAAGTACAGGTATTTGGGTTCAAAATGTAAGAAGTAGAAAGTACAGGTATTTGTGTTCAACATGTAAGAAGTAGAAAGTACAGGTATTTGTGTTCAACATGTAAGAAGTAGAAAGTACAGGTATTTGTGTTCAACATGTAAGAAGTCAAAGTAAAAGGTCGTCAGAAAAATAAGTAGTGGAGTAAAGTACTGATACCAGAAAAATGTACTTAAGTACAGTAGCAAAGTATTTGTACTCCACTACTTCCCACCTCTGCAGGATTTAGAAACACTGCAGCCTCCACTAGTCTGCGTTTTGTGATGACATTAAAAGGAATTAAAGAAAGTAAATATGCAGTTTCTCTCGGCTCACCTGAGGGCGGGTCTTAAGATGGCGTTCCCGATGATGAAGTGGAGTTTCTCCAGGTTGGAGGTGGGTCTGTCCTCCAGCATGCTGTTCCCCTGCAGGCCGTAATCCCCCTCCGTCAGACGTCTGGTCACCTGAAGCACATTTTAAACAAAGAAAAAAACGTCTTAATTGATGTGCTCTGAGAGTCCTCACACTGTCCAACAACTGCTGACACTGGTTATGGGGACTCACTGAAGTCTCCCAGGGGAACATAATCACGAAACCAAAATTAGAGAATGTACATTTTACAAAATGATTGCCTTTTTTATTGGCTTCAAAACAAGTGATATCAGTGTGTTGGTGATCCATAAGTGCCCAGTATATGATAACATGTTCAAATATAAAGAACCAGAAGAACATTCAACACATCTTTTGCATCAGACAGTAGGAGAGGAGGGAGTACATCAAAACGTTGGAAATCAAATATTTATTTCCAATCATTTGGAGGTAGACTTTTTGCCTGATGAAGGTATAACTTGCAAACTTTTTGTGCAAGTTAGACAGTGTGCAGTTGTTTTTTTGCAAGTACAGAAACAACTAAATCTGGTGATAACTATAAAATAATTTGCTGGTTTGAATCTCACCTCCTCAGTGATTTTAGATTTCCTCTTCAGGGTGAGAGACACCAGTTTATGTCTCACACTGTTCCTCTTCTGGCTGTCGATGGTGCTGTTCTGTAGAAACAAACATGGAGTCATTATTACATTATTTATGTTATCCTCAAAATCAAAACACCGCGACCCTCTCACCTCCCCCTCCACCTGCAGCTCCTGCAGCTCTCTCTTGTACGTCCTCTTTCCGAGGGTCTCGTAGATCTTCGTCATGACGGGGATCTTCTCACTGCCGTCGTTTATCGCCATCTGACTCTTGGGCTCCTGTAAGTCTCCCATGAACCTCAGCACGGTGATCCACACCGCCAGCGCAGCCTGGAGGACAGGAGGGAGAGATCCTTCACTGAAGTACACATACTAACACACACTGTGAATATTTACTGAAGTACACATACTAACACACTCTGTGAATATTCACTGAAGTACACATACTAACACACACTGTGAAAATACAGCACTACTAAGTTAGAGTCATGTAGTCAAAACTGTTCCTTGTGTATGTTGCATTATACAAATGATTTGAACTACTTTATATAATGTTGGGTATCTGCAGCGGTGCATCTTATATCTATTAGACCTTATGTGCTTGAAGCTTTGAAAAATAGTCATCTTTTCACGAGTTTCTCACAATAACAGTCCTGTTTTCAGCTTTGTGACGATGCATTTTCCAGCTGATACAAGAGGCTTTTGAAGACATGAAAAAGTACTGATCCACACCGCCAACGCAGCCTGGAGGACATGAGCAAGTATATATATCCTTTAATACTAATACCACACTGTGAAGATATAGCACTGCAAGTTAGAGACATGAACTGTTCCCTGTGGATGTTGCATTAACAGCTGAAGATGTGTTTAACTACTTTAAAGGGGACCTATCATGCAAAATGCACTTGTGTACGTCTTTTCTACATGAATATGTGTCCCCGGTGTTCCAGGGAACTCACCAAGTGTCAGAAAACACAACCCTCTCTATTTTCCTCCATACCCAAATCTCTAAAAAAGGGGCTGCAACGGATCTGATAAAAACTGATCCAGATTTGAACACTGTCCTGACGTCAGGACGGTGGCGCTATGGCTATTGGGCCAACTCCACCAATCAGGAGGAGACAGCCACGGCATTGCCGTTCGAAAGCGCTGGAGACGCTGTAGTACATATGCCAGGCCTGTAGGTGGTGCTGTTCTCACAGAATCTGCCCAGAGCTAAAAAATGTCAAATTGAGCAAAATGAGGCATGGCTAAAATGCATGATCTGTTTGGTATTTTGAAAAAAAAAAAGTATAAATATGCCTTATATAGGTATGGCCCTACACTATATTATTCAAATATAGCATGATAGCTCCACTTTAAGTTATGTTGGGTAGTTTGCAGCAGTGCATCTTATTCTATTAGATATCATGTGTTGAAGCTTTGTCCTGGGAGAACCATGTATCTCTAAAAAAGTCATCTTTTCATGAGTTTCTCACAATAACAGCCCTGTTTTCAGCTTTGTGACGAGGAGGCTGTGGCTCAGTGGGATAGTGCGCTGAACTTATTGCGCTGAACTTTGAATCAGGGGGATAGAAAGTTCGAGTCCCATTGCAGTCAGCATGTCGTTGTGTCCCTGAGACACTTCACCCCAAATTGCTCCTGTGGGGATTGTTCACAGTATTGAGTATGTTAGTCGCTTTGGAGAAAAGCGTCTAACAAGTGACATGTAATGTAATGACGATGCATTTTCCAGCTGATACAAGAGGCTTTTAAAGACTTTCTTAAGGTTAAGAAGAAGGAGAAATAAAAGAGTACTTCCTCATTCAGTCTATAATACAATTATTCAAAATTAGCAGGAGATAAATGGTTCTCAATGGACAGGAAGTGGATTAATAACTGCAGACTGTAAAGTAACAACAAATGGAGTAAAACGTGCAGTAAAAGTATAAATTAGACGCAGGTACATTAGGAAATACCTCAAATTTGACCTTAAGTAAAGCACTTGAGTCGATGCACTTATGTCACCCCTGTTTTCTTCTTAGCACGCATACTTGAAGGTACTTTGCTAACTGCTTTAATTGGAATCAATCATGTCTACATTGTGTTTTAAGCATTAGCATATTTTCCATAAACTAAAGACTTCCAGTAGATTAGCATCCTCAGTGAAATACCTAAGTGGAGAGTTAAGGTCTTTCTGTTTCTCACCAGCTGGTCTCCTTCGTCCTCGTGGAACAGCAGAGGTTGTTTCAGAGCTCTTCTGATGTAGGTGTAAGTGGAAACTCCCTGGAAGTATGTCGCTGCAAACTTGGAGAACTTGTACTCGGACAGATCTTCGTCTTCCTCATCAGGCAGCGGCCGGGCTTCATTCATCACCTCCTCTTCAGCTTCATCACCCTGAGGGTTGTTCTCCAAGTCCTGAGCGGGAGGAGAGCAGAAGAAAGACGTTAATATGTGCAACGCGTTTTCTACAGAATCAGAACTAAAGATGAAGCTACAAGTCCAATGTTAATGATGTTCAGCAGCAGCATGCTAACATCTGCTAACATCTGCTAATTCAACACAGTCTCACGGCATTTCGTGTTATAGTCACGAAATTAATCTATTGATTCGTGTTCACCAACACGATTTCGCCATTTTTTTCGTGTCACACAGAACGATTTTAAAAGCAATGTAAATAATAACAAATTAGAAGGAAAAAGACATTTAAAAAAATACAGATTTCAGTATTTTGACACAGAACGATTTTAGAAGCAATGTATTTCTATTGGTAGTATGTTTTGTGCCTGCACCAAATAATAACAAATTAGAAGGAAAAAAAGATGACATAAAATACAGATGTCAGTATTCTGAGGCTCTGAGCCATTTCTTTTCCTCACTGACGGCAAAAAAACTCAGACATTATACAATTTACAATAAAAGGGATAGGGTTAGGCTTAGGGTAAGATATTGAGTAAGAAAATGTTTTTATGAACCACACAGCTTCTGGTCTTCCAAGACCCGACCGGACAAAAAGACGTGTTGCAGGCACGAAACATACTACCAATAGAAATACATTGCTTTTAAAATCGTTCTGTGTGACACGAAAAAAAATGTGAAAATCGTGTTGGTGAACACGAATCAATAGATTACATTAATTTCGTGACTAATAACACGAAATGCCGTGAGACTGGGTTGGAGATAGACATAACACAGAAACAACTACGCAATATAGGAAACAGTCGTGCACACACTTTATTTTGATTATGATACCTTTTACCTCCAAGTGTCTCTTGTATATTTGTTGTAAAGTCCAAATTACATCTTTGACTTGATGTTGGCACAAGAGGAAAAGGGATGTTCAAGAAAGCATGCTGGTGAATGTCTAAAGTTATCCAGATGCAGTACAACATCCTGGTATGCACACTATATAGAAGATTGAATATTCAACTTATTGTCATAACGTAGTACAGGTACTATGCAACGAAATGGTTTCTCTGCATTTGACCCATCCTAGTGTTAGGAGCATTGGGCTGCCATCATGTACGGCGCCTTGCTCAGGGACACCTCGGTAGCACTTGGTCTTTCTGGGACGTGAACTGGTGACCTTCCAGTTGCCAAGCCAAGTCCCTATGGACTTCGCCACCACCGCCACCATGTGAGTAAAAGTATTGGGACGCAGTTATACTTCAAATCCAGCAGGTGTTATATTACTGTTGCAGGTATTTTGTTGTAAAGTCCTGATCAAATTATAATTTTGACTTGATGTTGGCACAAGAGGAAAAAGAATACCAAGAAAGCTGGTGAGTGTCTAAAGTTATCCAGATGCAGTTTAACATCCTGGTATGTTTTGCATTTAACATAGAAGAAGAATATGGAGGGATGAAACCCTCTGTAATGGTCCCACATGCAGAGCACACAGCACACACAGTGACATGTGGCCTCTGCTTTTAACCCATCTTAGTACCAGGAGTCTAGTACTAGGAGACACTTCTCCTAGTACTAGACTCCTAGTACTAAGGAGTCTAGTACTAGACTATTGTACAGCACCCGGGGAGCAATGGGAGTGAGGGGGGAAGGGGGGTGTCCGGTGCCTTGCTCAAGGGCACCACGGCAGGGCAGGAGGTGACCTCTCCAAGTAGCAGTCCACACTCCATATTTAGGTCTGTTCGGGGACTTGAACCGGCGACCCTACAGCTCACAGTCCAAGCCCCTACTGACTCAGCCACTGCTATATACTATGTATTAGGACGTACTTAATGTATCCTATCTGTCCTAATGTAAAACTGTTTAAAAAAAAAGGTACAAGGACATGATTTTGAGTGTTTCTAAATGTATCCAGATGCAGTTTAACATACTACGCATTAGGACGTACTTCATTTATCCTTGCATGATAAATAGGATGTTAGTGAAAGTATTGGAACGCAGCAGAATCCAGCGGGTGTTATATACATGTAAGTGTTGCAGGTATTTTACGTGTAAAGCTATAACATCTTGGTATTTTTAACATTTAACAAACTATGTATTAGGACATACTTCATCTATCCTTGCATACTATATAGGATGTTATTAAAAGTATTGGGGTGCAGTTATACTTCAAATCCAGCGGGTGTTATATTAGTGTTGACTTGATGTTTGGCACAAGAGGAAAAGGAATACCAAGAAAGCTGGTGAGTGTCTAAAGTTATCCAGATGCAGTTTAACATCCTGGTATTTTAAGCATTTAACATACAACGTACTTCATCTCTCCTTGCACACTAAATAGGATGTTAGTATTAATATTGTAGTGCATGTTTACTTCAAATCCAGCAGGTGTTACAGTATATTAGTGTTGCAGGTATTTTGTTGTAAAGCAATTTGACATACTATGTATTTCACATACTATGTATTAGGATGCATTTCATCTCTCCTTGCACACTAAATAGGATGTTATTAAAAGTATTGGAACACAGTTATACTTCAAATCCAGCGGGTGCCCGTCCCTCCTGATTGGGCAGCGGTCCTGAGTTTCCCAGGAACCCGAACATCCTGTCCACCATGTCTGAGTGATCCACCGGCTGCTCCTTCTCCCTCTCCATCTGCTCCAGACGCTCCTTCTGCCTCCTGGTCTCCTCCCTCTCCTCCCTCTCTCTCTCCTCCTGCTGCTGGGCGATCACCACCAGTCTCTCCTGGTGGTTCCTCTCCGCCTCCACCTTCGCCCGGCGCGCCGTCATCTGGTTCCTCAGACGCTCCTCCTCGAAAAGACGCTGCTTCTCGCCCTCCAGGCGGCGCTGCAGCTGCGGAGAGGAAACAGGAAGTTACACTGATTAGCATCTATTCTGTCAGATTGTAAACTTTTCTGGTAAAAACTAGAGCAGAGGAACTGAAGGGAGACATTACAGGTGGAAACAGGACTATTCTTTAAAGCTAAACGCATTAGATTTGTATTTCTCTAACTTCCAGCCACTTAACTTCGTCCTCGTCGAGTCACTGGAGCTGCAGACTTGCTCTGTTAGTTCTCCACAAAGCTATTTAATATCTCATGAAGCTGATAACAAACTGACATTAAACAAACATTTACAAAACACAATATTTATTCAACATTTCTTTCAGGACAGGAAGAGAGAAAAAATAGCATTTCACACACAAAAAAAAGCTCCCAAACATTTACAAATATCACGGGACCTGCAGTCACATTCAAACAAATTCATTTCAAATCAAAGTAGAAAAGAAGGGTTTACGGTGACGTATCTTAGGCCAGGATCACATGACAGACTCTCAACATCACTAGGTTTTCCTGGAGGCAGTGATTAAACTTAAGGCCTCAGTATGTGCCAAACTAAAATGGTCTGACAGCGATTAAAACCATCCAGCGGGCAATGCAACATTATGCTCACTTTGCACAGAGATTGGCCATGTGTGCAGAACATTACCAGCTACAGAGAGGTGCAGGGAGAGCCAGGCTAACTGTTTACTCTTCAGTCTTTATGCTAAGCTAAGCTAAGCTAAGCTTCCCATTTTTTGCATACGGACATGAGAATGGTGTCAACTTTCTCTTCTAACATTCAGCCAAAAAGCAAATGTATCAGTATGTAAAAGTACAAAATGAATAAAGCTGGGGTTTTTTTCTGACGCGTGATTAAAAAACCTCAATAGAAGCTTTGAATGAAAAAATATAGACATTCAGTACAGCCTTATAATGCTTTACAGGTTATCTTTGTGACTATTTGTGTCACACGTCACAACACCTCCCCCTTTTGACACCAGAAGACCCCTCTCTTTGGCCCCTCAGCCACATGGTACAGGTAGCAGTAGTAAACATAGCGATCAGGGTTTAATCTTTAATCCATATATGTTGGGGTTTTGTCTTTTAAAAGTCAACATTTTCCCAGCGTCCATCTAGCCACGCACAAAAGGAAGGCATGCAGGATACATTAAAGTCATTCAAAAGGGATTTAATCTCATTTATTTAGAGAAATCCCTTTATTCAAATTGAACATTGTGCCTGACGACTTTTTGTTGAGTGATGACGTTATAAAAATAATCAAAAAGAATAGAAATATTACAATCGCTACAGCCCGAAAATGCTTTACAGATTATTTTGACTAAATTGTCACACAACTTCTCCCCCCTCAACACCAGAAGACCCCTCTCTTTGGCACCTCGGCCACATGGTACAGGTAGCAGTAGTAAACATAGTGATCGGGGTTTACCTCTGCCCTGAGCCGCTGGCAGAGGCGTCGAGCGATCATCCCTCTGGTGAACGCCTGCAGCGTCAGAACGGCGCGGAGACGCCTCCAGAACGTCTGTCGGATCAGAAACCCCCGACACCGAGCCTGGATCAGAATCACACGCAGACGCGTCCTCCGGTAGCTCCTGAAGTACTTCCTGGACCTGAAGACGGCCTGGAGGCGCAGGAAACCAGACTGCATCTGGGGAGAGGAGAGGGTTTTAAAGATGGAAGGGTGAAGACTGGAGTAAAGGGCAAGACGACTTCTTCTTCTTCTTCACTGGAAACCCAAAAAAGCTCTTTCCAATGCTCAGTGGCTCAGGGAGGTTATGTCTTTTCTAAAACTGGAGAAAATTAAATATTCTTTAAGAGGCGAAACCTCTAGGTTTGACCTTCTTCAAATCTCTCCCTCCCTTTCCCTCTTTATTATATATTTAGTTTTTGTCTTTGTACTGTTTTGTTATTATTTATATATTATTTATTTTTGTTTTGTCCTGTGAGTCTGTACAACACTCTCTTACATGTTGGTTACGTTGTCTGTTTTGGTTGTAATTGTGGTTTAAATATTGAACATCTTCAAGTGAAGATCAAATATGTATGGCTTGTCAATTGATGTACAATAGTCAGGGATGCGGGAAGTCAGTCAGAGTTGGGGGTGCGCGGCGGGGGGGGGGTGCTAGTAGCGTCTCGCAGCGGCGCGCTAACACTGTAGGTGCGCCGCGTTTGGGGATGCGAGGGGGGGTTGCGGGTGCTAGTGGAGCCTTGCAGATGGGGGTGCTGCGGCCCCCTCAGCACCCCCCCTTCCCGCGTCCATGACAATAGTAGAGACTAAGCTGAACACTAGTAGCTTTGAACTGTTGAACATTTGTAACTGTGGTTCCTATCAATGTACCAAATGTCTTTTCTTTGTGTCTTCAATACAAATATATTTAAAATGTAGGGGCCCTAAAGTATGAATTTGTTGTTTGTTTAAACATAAATATCCGACTGGAACCGAGATGTGTATATATGTATATATATATTACAGTATGTGTAATTGGGTAATTGTGTAATTTTTTTAATCTTTAATATATATATATTTTTATGCTAGCTTCTTAGTTAACATTGAGCTGTCTTTGGCTCTTTTCTGCTGTAACAAATGTACATTTCTCCTCTGTGGGACGACTAATAAAGGTATTCTGATTTTGATTCTGAAAAACTACACACGTGACGTCTGAAGGACTCACTTTTTGGAAGTTCTTCCTGCACTGATAGCCCCTCCAAAGCCTCTGGATCAAAGTCACAGCACTCCTCAGCCGGAGATAGTGAGTCCTGCGACAGAGGAGGAGATTTTAAAACAGAGAACGTTTACTCAAGGACTGTTTTTCAAGATACTAGATCCACTAATTCCCAAATGTGTTCACCTCTCTCTGAGTCCTCTCACAGCCTTCTGGATCAGGATGACTTTGTCAGTGATGCCTTTGTCTCTCTCGATCTCCAGCTGCATGTCGTGGTGATCCTGACGGGAAACAAGCAGAGACAAATAAAGAGGAGGGACCACAGTCTGAGAGCCCAAAACCGAAAGGTCTTTTTTGTGTTTTCATTGTATTTTATGAGCCATACAAATTAACTATCGCCTTCATTTTTTATGTAAATGAGTTGCCCTAAGGTGTTATCACCACAAAACAAATGTGGAACAAACCTAAGTCAAGTTATCTCTGGTATACACATGGTCTGTTATTTTTCAGATTTGCCTTTTTTGATCAAAGCAAAAAGCACTGTTGAGGATTCAGATTCCAGACACTCCAGAATCACAAATATTTACTTACTTAAAAATAAATAAACGAACCTTTAGGAAGATCTTGGTCTTCCCGATCTGCCAGTCTCCATCTTTCCCGAGCCGGGCGAGAACGATCTGCTGACACGTTCCTCGAAGATCCTCCTGGAGGGAGAGAGAACCACGGAAATGTGATGTAAAGACTTCTATATGTGGCACTTCAGATACAGTTATTTATAAGAAGAGCATAATTGAACAGCTGGCAGTGTTATTGACCTGTATGTTGGCCGGTTTGACTCCGGGCATCAGGACTCGGTATCGATCCACAAACTCCACGAATGTGTATCTGATGGGATATCCGGCCCGTCGGATCCGGATCGTCTCCATCATGCCGGAGTATCTCAGCTGACGGATACACAGCTCTCTGTCGAACAACTGAAGGCAACAAACAACATTTATAGCAGAGTTTTATAAGCATCAACATTTTTTTTTATTAGTTTGTATTTGTATTTCTTTGATCTAGGCTCTTAGAACAAGTATGCATGTACACTACTATTTGATTTGAAAGATTGACGTTAAAAAATAGATCGATAAGGACCTAGAAAATGCAGTCTTTCGTTTGATATTTTGGGAACTTTTGTACCCAGCCGGCTGATTTAAGATTATCACAAAACCTGGAAACTGTCCAAAGCTAACGAGCCCCCTAATAGCATAAAGCTCACTAATTAATATGCTAAATCTTGATTAAAGTGTAGAAATAGGGATGTTTTGTGCCTTGACCCTGTGTGTTAGTTATTTAAATGTAAAGGTGATAATGATTATTTGCCTAACACCACATTTGGGCAATATATATATACATATATATATTTTCTACAGTTCTATATTGTTGTTAGTGGCTGCTCGTACACTATTGAATACTGTGACAACACTGTTTTGAAATAACACTGTGCAATATGTCTTACTTTTACAGTTAAATCATGTTATTTCTGGGTGCTATGTTGTATTTGTTCACATACTCTAATAAGGATGCTACTTATTTCAACACCTCGAATGTGTACTTGATGCTTCTTTATTGAATTTAGTAGTCTACTATGTGTATGTTGCCTCTTCGTCAGCACTGTCTCTTTGCTGTAAATGTACCAGCTGTCGGAAAGAGGAAGAATTTCTGCTTCTGAAAAACGTTAGTGACCGAACAACACGCACTTGAAACCAGAGGTAGGAAGCAGTGGAGTACAAATACTTCGTTACTGTACTTCAGTACATGTTTCTGGTATCAGTACTTTACTCCACTACTTATTTTTCTGATGACACAAATACCTGTACTTTCTACTTCTTACATTTTGAACACAAATACCTGTACTTTCTACTTCTTACATGTTGAACACAAATACCTGTACTTTCTACTTCTTACATGTTGAACTCAAATACCTGTACTTTCTACTTCTTACATGTTGAACCCAAATACCTGTACTTTCTACTTCTTACATGTTGAACACAAATACCTGTACTTTCTACTTCTTACATGTTGAACTCAAATACCTGTACTTTCTACTTCTTACATTTTGAACCCAAATACCTGTACTTTCTACTTCTTACATGTTGAACACAAATACCTGTACTTTCTACTTCTTACATGTTGAACTCAAATACCTGTACTTTCTACTTCTTACATGTTGAACCCAAATACCTGTACTTTCTACTTCTTACATGTTGAACCCAAATACCTGTACTTTCTACTTCTTACATTTTGAACACAAATACCTGTACTTTCTACTTCTTACATGTTGAACACAAATACCTGTACTTTCTACTTCTTACATGTTGAACACAAATACCTGTACTTTCTACTTCTTACATGTTGAACACAAATACCTGTACTTTCTACTTCTCACATGTTGAACCCAAATACCTGTACTTTCTACTTCTTACATTTCCCAAACAGGCTGGTTCCTTTAGTTTGAATGTGTGTTTGGTGGCGTGATCATTATTATTTAGAGTCATTGCGTGCCTATTGATTTGAACACGATCCGTGTATCCATCATTTCCTGGTCTTCTCTAAAGAAGAGGGACCAATGAAAACGTTGTCATGTTGCCGTTGTTCAGCATGGAAACATTCATTAGCTAACAATGACATTATTGTTCTATTAATATAAAGGGAGGTCAGGTACTCTTTAAAACAGCTGCTAGTTATGGGTACTTTTTACTGAAGCACATTTCAAAGCCCTCTTTAGTTTTACTTGAGTGAAGAAGTTTAGTCAGTACTTCTACTTTCACCAGAGTATTTTTAAACACGAGTATCTGTACTTCTACTTGAGTAAAGGCTGTGTGTACTTGTGCCGTCTCTGCTTGAACCCGAGCTATAGGCAGTGCAGTATTTTGTGAAAATGAATATTTACCATGGGTTTTTTGAACTCGTTGGGTTTGATGCAGCGCACGAAGAACGGCTGACACACGCTGAGCGTCCTCATCAACATCTCCAGAGAGCGCTTGAACTGACTGCTCAGAGTGGGGGAGCGCTTCCTCGTCTCTGCACCCTGCACACACACACACACACACACACACACACACACACACACACACACACACACACACACACACACACACACACACACACACACACACACACACACACACACACACACACACACACACACACACACACACACACACACACACACACACACACACACACACACACACACACACACACACACACACACACACACGTTAGTGACAAGAGAACCAGATTCAGTGTATGAACACATGGTGAGGTACTGCAACTCACATGAGCATACGGTGCAGAATTTTTGGGGTTTTCACTCCTCTGAAACTGAAAGAGATGGTGATATGTTTTGTAAATTCTATTTGGAAGATATCCATACCATTAAATCCATAATTGTTTTAACCCATTTAAGTTGATGTATCATTAATATGTTTATAAATAACAAGTATATGTAACAGTACTGTCACTGTATATAAGCATCTTTCAATTAAATCAATCCTGACAAAAATAAGATAAAATACTTTTTAAGAATAAATTAATACAATTATTCCTTACGGTTGTTTTGGTCATAAATCTGGACTGTGTAGTTATTATTTTAACTTCCCTCTATACTCTATTTACTTTACCAATTAATCTAGATTGTCATTGTCAATGCTTCATGACAAAGACAGACTCACAGACCTGAAATATCTGAAATATCAGTTTAATTTCTCGTTTTTTTTACTTTGTTCCTTTAACTTGACTTAAGTTGCATTTGTAGAGATTTCAGAATATATTTAAGAGACATTCGGTCAGTACTTTGCAGCATGTGGATAAACACTAAGCACAGGGCACACAATGGAAACACAGGGTACACATTATTTCTACTAAAACATACAGACAGCTGTCTTCACTGTTTTAAAGTTTCAGAGAAGCCAACATGGAAATCATGACAGGACGGTCTGCTTAAAAATGTCCTGTCAAAAAGCAATAAATGGGGCGAAGCCTGCGAGCTAGTTCAGGCAGTCACCTCGAGCACCAATGATACATTAACACGTGACGCACCTCGTCCCTCTAACAGCCAACCAAACACATTCTCCTAAACATGCCGCTCTATTGAAGCTGCCAGGTCTGCCTGCCTCTGCCTCGCTATGCTGCTGCTGCTGCTGTGTTCACTTGCTGTTGCTACGTTCATGTTCCTGCTGCTGTGTTTCATGTTGCTGCTGCTCGCCTGCCCCACCACCACCGCAGCTTCCACCCCAGCTTCCACCCAGCTTCCACCCCAGCTTCCACCCAGCTTCCACCCCAGCTCCACCCAGCTTCCACCCCAGCTTCCACCCCAGCTTCCACCCAGCTTCCACCCCAGCTTCCACCCAGCTTCCACCCCAGCTTCCACCCAGCTTCCACCCCAGCTTCCACCCCAGCTTCCACCCCAGCTTCCACCCAGCTTCCACCCAGCTTCCACCCCAGCTTCCACCCAGCTTCCACCCCAGCTCCACCCAGCTTCCACCCCAGCTTCCACCTCAGCTTCCACCCCAGCTTCCACCCAGCTTCCACCCAGCTTCCACCCCACCACCACCCCAGCTTCCACCCCAGCTTCCACCCCAGCTTCCACCCCAGCTTCCACCCCAGCTTCCACCCCAGCTTCCACCCCAGCTTTCACCCCAGCTTCCACCCAGCTTCCACCCAGCTTCCACCCCAGCTTCCACCCCAGCTTCCACCCCAGCTTCCACCCCAGCTTCCACCCCAGCTTCCACCCCAGCTTCCACCCCAGCTTCCACCCCAGCTTCCACCCCAGCTTCCACCTGTAGGCTCGGGGGATAGTTATCTAATCATCACTCAATGTTCTTTGTAAATCTGTGGAGTGATGAGGCCCGAGCCTAGACGCCAAACTCAAACTATATGCTGCTTCTAATAAACATATTAAGAAACACTTGAGTTGTCTGACTGAACTGTATTGAGAAGTGTGTGTCAGAGAGTTTGCTGGTTAAATTCTCGTTAACTTAAATGCTAAATCTCATTCAATAAGACGGTGCTCGTCTGACTTCGGCTACAACAGCCGGTAGAATAAGAAGAATAGCTTGTGGAAAGCAGAAAGGGGGGGGTCTTGTGGATTTGTATTTAGATGAACACACAAAGGGTTTTATTTAGTGAGTAAAGGCTGTTGATTACCTTAGGAATGGAAGTGCTGGGCTGCTGATAGCCGCACAGAAACTGAAGTAAGAGAAGAAGAACAGAATCAGAGAGGAGAGGAAGATTGGAGACGTTAGTTAAAGAAAGGAAATGATAAAGAGAGGTGGAAGTCACCGGTGAAATTAACAAAAGTCCAAAAGGAGGTGAACTGTATCAGTCCAACACATAGAGCTGGGCTATAAGGGACTGCATATCTTCTTACATATCGTATATTTGCCTTTTCCTGGTTTTAAAGCCTGATGTTTTGAACTTATGTTTTACTTGCTTAGCCATTAAAGTCACATTACTGATGAGTATTTATCACAAATCACACAAAACTGTTGACTACAAGATGATGAGATCATTCCTGCACCACTCGTTAGTCAACACTACGATATCGTCTCAATGCTGATATTTGATCTTCTCCGCCACTACAGATATTCATGTAGGCAGGATGTCGTTTCTTTGTTGCGGTGTTAGAGTGCTTTTGGTCTCACCATGGCCACGTCCGCCTGGAAGATCTGTTTGATGAACTTGTTCTTGGACGAGTGGACCAGCTGGATGATGTCCGTGTGGAGGCTGTCTCGGTTTTTCTCCAGAAAACCTGGATAGTTCATAACAACAAAATAATTAATGGTTTCCATTTATTTCTAGTCCAGTTTTTGTTCAAACTTCGTAGTATTTAGCCTGCATCGCCAGGGCTACATAGACATCTTCCGGCGCAGACTGAAAACTCATCTCTTTCGACTCCACTTTGAGCGATAGAATTGCTAACAAAGCACTTATATACTAATAAAGGACTGGCTTATCTAAAGCCAGTTGAGTAGCACTTGAAATGTTTTGGGTCTATGAAACCTGATGTACTTATATGATTCTGTTTTCTTCTAGTTTGTATCTTCTTGGTCGAATGCACTATTGTAAGTCGCTTTGGATAAAAGCGTCAGCTAACTGTAATGTAATGTAATGTAACTAGAGGAAATATCAGCCCTTTATTAAAGCTTTTTATCTCTTAAAGTCACGTAAGTATTCTTTGTTAAAATAGTATAATGTTTGTGAATTTTCTGTCTGTGAATGCTTGGATTTTATTTGTGTTTATTTGTTTCTGTATCTTGTGCACAGGTTTCTTTTGAAAGAGATCCTGATCTTGACAAGAATACATGTTTAAATAAAGGATTAAAAAACAAAAATCCCATGTGACTGTTATACAAAACCAAATATATATACTGTTTAAATAATATTGTTTAATGTTTGTTATTCATGCGTTCAAAGATTAGGATTAAGATTTGACTGTTGTAAATGGTAAAGGTGGAGCTCGTTTGAACAATAACTAACAATATCATTTACGTTCATGATTAATCTCCTGACTCAACCAAATCATTATTAGGTTTGTAGAAATATTAAAAAATAGTAACAAATGGGGAGAAGCTATATCAGGCAGTCAACTCGAGCAGCAACGATACATTGATGACGTGCAATTACGTATCTGGCACCACGTTTTTTTTTGCACTAATCAAAGCCCCTCTTACCTGTGGGGTTCCCCAAGGCTCGATTCTGGGCCCCATCCTTTTTCTACTGTACATACTGCCCCTAGGTTCAATACTCACAAAACATAACATTCCCTTCCACTGCTACGCCGACGATGTACAGATCTATCTGCCTCTCAAAGCAAATGTCACACACTCACTACAGCAGTTGATGGACTGCTTAGCAGAGATAAAATCCTGGCTGAGCAAAAACTTCCTCAACCTCAACGAGAGCAAGACTGAGGTCATCTTTTTTGGACCCCAACCTCTAGCCTCTCCGGTTGATATTCTGGGCTCTATCAAAAAAAACATCCTCCCCTCGGTCATGAACCTTGGAGTGACCTTCACTAGCACTTTTAAATTCGACAAGCAGGTCAGCACCGTAGTAAAATCCTGCTTTTTTAAAATAAGACTATTGGCCAAAACCAAGTCGTATTTATCTTTTAAAGACTTAGAAAGGGTTATTAACGCCTTTGTAACCTCGAGACTGGACTATTGCAACGCTCTGTATGTGGGTATGGACCAGGCCTCAATTAAACGCCTACAGCTAGTCCAAAACGCGGCTGCACGTTTACTGACTGGTCACAAAAAGCGTGACCACATCACCCCTATTCTGGCCTCACTGCACTGGCTTCCAGTTCGGTTCAGAATTGATTTTAAACTCCTTTTATTTGTTTTTAAAGCACTAAATGGGCTGGCTCCGGCCTATATAGCTGAACTGCTCCAGCGCTACACCCCAGCCAGAGCTTTAAGGTCTGCTGACCAGCTGCTGCTGGTAGTGCCCAAGACCAGGCTCAAAACCCGAGGGCACCGAGCCTTCGCAGCAGCTGGCCCGAGGCTCTGGAACACTCTGCCCCTCCATGTGAGGTCGGCCCAGACCCTAGGGGTTTTTAAATCAAAACTAAAAACACACTTCTTCTCTCTGGCTTTCTAGTTAGAGCGGAGCACGACTCCTGACTTTTCCGTGTGTTTTATTTTTATTTTGTTTTTAAGATATATCTGTTGTAATTTATTGTCGTTTATTGTGATTGTAGTAATGTGTTTTTATTACATGTACAGCACTTTGGCTCGACCAAAAATCGCTTTTAAATGTGCTATATAAATAAAACCTGATTTGATTTGATTTGAATAATGCTCGTCACTGTACAGTTTTATAATATTACGTGTTTGACCGTCTATGTTTCCTGTAGATATTTAATTGCTCTTTTTACTGCACTGTTAGTGTACAGTTGTATTATTAATTTGCTGTGTTTATTGTATCTTTGTAACTCTGGCACAACAATTTCCTTCAGGATAAATAAAGTCTTATCTTATCTCTCTTACACGTCTCGTCCCTTTTACATTCTCCTAAGCCTGACGCTCTATTTAAACTTCCAGATCTGCTGCCTCTGCCTCAAACTCTATGCTGCTCCTAACAAACATATCAAAGGAACACGTGAGTTGTCTGACTGAAATGCCATGTGTCGATGTTTGTCCTTTCAAACAACCCCTATGTACTTTTTCGTTTTTATTTTATTTGACAAATGTTGTTCTGTATTTAATTTGCCATTTTCGGGTCACTAAAGAAATGTGATTTGCAAAACTGTACTTTTAATATAAATGTGACCCCAAATAAAGAATACAACAAAACAATAAAGAATAACCAAGTGACCCAGAAACAGAACGAACCTCTGGTCTCGTAGTTCACGACTCCAGCGAAGTGTTGGATTCCAAACTGAGTAGCGTAGCTGTTTTTGGGAGGGATGTAGTTGTAGTTCAGCTTGTGCTGCGAGTTCAGTTTGTACAGCATCGTGGCATCAGTACCCTGAAAACAAGAGAGAGGATTTAAAATCAATGCTGTCATTGTTGATTAAATGAGCATCCCTACTCAACATATCGGGAAAACACTGAATGTCCTCTTCCAACATGAGAGTAACTTGATAACAAAGGCATCCCAACTGGAGCTGTGAACATGACAGGATGTGTGATTACCAGTGTTGGGCAAGTTACTTTTAAAAAGTAACTAGTAATAGTTAAAGTTACTGCTCTCAAAAAAGTAACAAGTTACTTTATTTTACTTTAAAAATAATAACAATAAAAATACAAGTTTTTGTGTTGTTGGAAAAGGTCTTTCTGCACTGTGGCCCTGCTTTCACTGCTTTCACTGGTATTTTGCTGACTAGTTCTCTGAAGGCAACAGACTCGACCGTTGCAATGGGCAGCATGTCCTCAACAACATACCTGGCAATCAATCTGTTTAGTTGACTCTGGGTGACATGTGGCGATTTAAAAAAATCGGTTTTTGGCTGTTTAGATGGTGTTGCTCCATCTGGGTCACTGCCGGTGGTTGAGACGGTGGGTCTTTGGCGACTAGTTTTATAGCCCCATGTACATTAGTTAGGTGCTTCAGGAGATTGGCATTGCTGTTATTCGATGTGGACAATGCTTTCTGTCCTGCACACAGTTTACATTTGACCGTAATATGTTTTGCGTCCTTTATCCCCACAAATTGAAAATAGTGGTTATATCTCCAAGTTGTAAATGCGCTGCTGCACTCGCTGATACTTGCATCTGCCATTGTGTGTGTGTGTGTGCTGGTGGTGGGCGTTGCCGTGTATGTGTGTGTGTTAGCAAGTGTTTGTGTGTCTGTGTATTTTCCCCATAAGGCAAGACTCGCCCAACTCTGTCTCTGATTGGCTTACCCTGAAATGTTACCCCGCGTTAACCAATCATCACTCCTCTCTGGTCACTTTCACTTTTCCATGGTACTGTGAGAGGACATCACTGTATTCGCCTGTTACATCCGCAGGGAGATTCGGTTCAGTTGGACCACATAATGTAACGCAGTAACGCACCCATTTAAATCACAGTAACTATAACGGCGTTACTGAATGGGAATAGGTAACTAGTAACGTTATTAGTTACCGCAAAAGGTAGTTGCGTTACAGTAACGCGTTAGTTTGTAACGCGTTAGTCCCAACACTGATGATTACCTAGAAGAGCATCAGGACTGTTTTAGGCATATGATAGCTATGTGATTCAGGAACTAGTTGATGCTCTGTATGTGATGACTACTTCCATTCTGGTGAGGATCATAAATACATGGATCCTGAGATTGAAGCTCAAGCCGGTGACCAGGGATTATTAACATTTTTAAGTCATTCATTTTTTAGATGTTGAGAAAAAGTCAGATTTTTTTTATTTTTTTGAAAAAAAAGTCAGATTTTTTTTGAAAAAGTCAGAATGTGGAGATTTTGAGAAAAAGACAGATTTTTTGGGGTTTTTGAGAAAAAGTCAACATTTTGAGAAAAATTCAGAATTTTGTTTTGAAAAAGTCCGATTTTTGGGGGATTTTGAGAAAAAGTCAAAATGTTGAGAAAAAGTCAGATTTTTTTAGAAAAAGTCAGATTCTTTAAAAAAAATCTGATTTTTGAGAAAAAGTCAAGAGTTTTGAGAAAAAGTCTGATTTTTGAGGAAAAGTCAGGATTTTGAGAAAAAGTCAGGATTTTGAGATTTTGTGGAAAAAGTCAGGATGTTGAGAAAAAGTCAGAATGTTGAGAATTTTGTACGTGACAGGATGTACTGCTTTGTATTCCTCCATCTTGTGACTGTGTAACTCCCTCTCTTGGATATCAGCATGTGAAGGACACTGTTCAGGAACTAGTTGATGCTCTGTATGTGATGACTATTTCCATTCTGGAGAGGATCACAGATACATGGATCCTGAGATTGAAGCTCAAGCCGGGGACCAGGGAGATTTTTCTAACAGGAACACTTTTACAGAATCACTTTTACAGATCTCCCACCTTGGGGAACTTGCTCTCCTCGTCGATGAGCGAGATGATGTTCATGGGCTTGTTGGCGATCATGTCCAGAGCGTCCTGGTTGTCGGTGAACTCGATATGCTGCCAGCTGATGTCCTCCAGGTTGTACTCCTCCTGCTCCAGCTTGAAGACGTGCCGCACGAAGAACTGCTGCAGGTTCTCGTTGGCGAAGTTGATGCAGAGCTGCTCGAAACTAAAGTCAAGAGAAATCAGAGGAGAGGTAAGAGGGAGGAGGAGGAAGTGTGAAAATACCTGCTTTTAATTAATAGCCCAAAGGTGATGAAGCCAACTAATGCGATGTGTTAGGGTGAACTATGTTTGCACCTTGAAATGAAAAGTTCAAAAATAAGATTCATACAAGTCTGAATGAATCCAAGTTAAAACAAGTGTAAGTGAGTAAGTATCTCCACATGTCATTTGTATTGGTATGTATTTGAACTGGTAGCATAATCAGTGTTTGATTATATCAATCAGGGTCAAAAGAGTCGTTTTCCATGTTGGATCAATAGGCCATTATTGATGCTTTCAGTATAAATCCCTGATCACATCACACATCCTCTGTTTTCAGTTTTTATTGATTGATTATATTGTCGTGTTTTTTAGACTTTTGTTTTGTGTACCTTGTACGGCGACCTTGAGAGCCTTGAAAGGCGCCTTTATAAATAAATGTATTATTATTATGAAATCACCTGTTGACGATGAAGTTCTCGAACCCGAAGATGTCGAGCAGTCCGATGGAGCGCCGCACGATGTTGCTCTCGCAGGACGGAGGTCTGAAGATGGCCGCGTTGATCTTATCCACGATCCAGATAAACAGCCGCCCGTAGATCCCCTGGTGATCAGTGAGAAAACACATCTTTAATTATGAGCCATGATAGTGGACCAGCTATAGGGAAAGTCAACTTTATTGTCCATCTTTCAGTTTGAGAGATGGAAATACCGTTTCCCACAATCCCGAGGAATACAATACAAATATATATACTGTTTTTATAGAACACATTCGTTTTCTAATTATCAACTGCACTAAATACACGTGCAATAACTTACTTACTTACATTTTGTACTGCGTTGACCGTATTGTTCTTGTATTTGAATGGTAATGTTGTATTGTTTTGTAAGCGTACTGTTCAATGTATCATAGGTCCAATTTATAGTCACTTTATATATTATATATTACAAGTTTTAGCTTGTATTGTCAAAACTATACTCATACTGTCTGTTATGTGCGACCATCGGGAATGCTTGGAATTTCGCTACTCTGTGTAGAGACAATAAAAGGAATCTGAATATACACAATCAATAATTGCACACATTATAAATGTATCTGTTGATTGTGTATATATATATATAAAGCTTATTCTAATGTGATCGCTCCTCTCTGTGCGATATGTTGTTATTGTTGTTTCTGTCTCTGAGCTGCAGACTGTTTAAAGAGTGTATGCATATCAGTCAGAGCACCGGCCAACAAAAGGCAAATTCATCGAGGCAGGAAGGCAGCTTTAATGGTTCTGTTTGCATATAAATAAATCCAGTCCTGTCTCAGGTGCACTGTTTATACGAACAGCTGAGTATATCCATTGCATGTTTGCAAGAGATTGCTATGCACTGCAATTCAATAATTACATGATTGAGCATGCGTTTGCTGAACTGAATCAACATGTCAGGAATTTCTAGAAGAAATTGTGATTTAACCAAGACACCAAACCACACCTCAGAGGCTTTGGTTGTTCAGGATAACAGATTTCTGTACTTATGGTTAAAGATGTGTACCTTCAATTATTTCTCTATTTGTATTTCAGGGTTCATACACATCTAAAACAAATAGTAGGCTTATACTGTAGCTTCTACACGCTAAAGCAACTCAAATCTCTCATCAGCAAAACACCTCGTCAGTTAAATGCCATTTTACGTTTCATTACTACACGATACAGCATGTATTATCATTATAGTATTACTATTTCGGCGATTAGCTAAAATATAAATTATATTTGATGCAACTTTAGTTACATTTCCATGACTTTTCCAAAACTTTGGGAAAAATATTGTTTTCCAAAACTTTTCCAGGGCCTGGAATTAGCATTTTGAATTTCCATGACTTTTCCAGGTTTTTAATGACCGTAAGAACCCTGGTATTTATTTATTTATTTTTACATATCTTCTTATTTATATTTGTACTAACTGATCTGTTTTTATTTACTTATTGTTATTAACATAATTTTGTATCACTGTCTTTTTATTTTATATATCTGAAAGTGTAACTAATGTGTTTTATTTTGTATGAAACTTTTCAAGGTGGGGTGGGACGGGAGGGGAGGAGATGGTTTGTTCTAAAAAATGTAAAATGGATGAAGATCATTGTCTCAATTGTGACCCTGTATGATTGTGCCTGTTCTTCAATAAAAAGAACCTTGACGAAGGCGTCCCTGACGTCCAGGCCCTGCTCCACGCTGAGCGACGTAGCGACACTTTCCCCTCGTGTGATCAGAGTCCTGGTGGTCAGACACACCATCACATCCTTCGGGTCCACCTGCAGCACAACGATAGAGACATGAGAGGAAATTAAATCAAAATGAAAGCATCTTCACAATATGCTTTTCTTTGTATTCATTAGTAATCATGCAATATACACCTGGCTGCTAAATCCTCAGAACTGTTACAGGATGTGTTTTTTGTAAATTGTGTAACTTTCTTTTAATATAATTTTTTGTATCTTTAATATCTTTTTATACATGCTTCTTAGGTAACATTAAGCTGTCTTTGGCTCTTTTCTGCTGTAACAATGTACATTTCCCCTCTGTGGGACTAATACAGGTATTCTGATTCTGAGGTCTTGAGTGAACAAACATTTTAAAGCTGTCACTTGAGGCTCTGAGTAATCTCACTATTTTCAGATTTTTTCAAACCAGACAATCGAGCAAATAATGAAGAAAATGTCAGCAGATGAATCCATAATTATAAAAAACCTTAAAACTCAACTCAACCAACTACAACAATAATATATATATATATATATATATATTATACAATAATAATGTAATGGTAAACTACATTTCCCTGATTGACTTGCATATTATTATTACTGTTTTCAAGTAATTTTGTAGCATGGCTTTACCTAACATAAACTTTACATAAACTTTACACACACACACACACACACACACACACACACACACACACACACACACACACACACACACACACACACACACACACACACACACACACACACACACACACACACACACACACACACACACACACACACACACACACACACACACACACACACACACACACACACACACACACACACACACACACACACACACACACACACACACACACACACACACACACACACACCTCCAGCAGTGAAGCAGCAGTCACCAGGTCTGGAGATTTGACGACCACGCAGGCGTCCAGGTGGTCGTACGTACGAGCTGAGAAGAAACCCACAAATGAATCCCCATCACGTCTCTGTTACAGTTAAATAAAGTGTGTGTGTGCGGACGCTCGTACCCTCGTAGCGCAGGTTCCCCATGTGCAGGATGGCGGCCAGCAGCTTGGAGATCTCCCAGTTCTCCGTCTCGGTGAACATCAGAACCTTCATGGCCGACAGGATGCTGGAGTAATCCCTCAGATCGTCCCGACCGTCACACGCTGTGCATTTACCCTGCGACGAAAAGCATACTTAGCTTTTTAGCCAAACTAGTAAAGTGGATTGAGGAAAAGAAGTAGGGCACATTGTTTGAATGTGCCCTACTGATAAGATCTCCTTTAGCATTAACATGAAATACATTTTTCAGCTTCTGAATACCAATCTAGCATTTACCAAAGAATATAATAAATTACATTTAAAAAATATATTTTTTTAATGGAACAGTTCATAAAATAAGCAAAGTAATAATAAAGAAAATAGGCAGATACATTGATATTGAAGTAATTGTTGATTGCAGATCCTTAGATTATCTTTAATCATTGTGCAAATGATAATAAATAACATGAAACTTAAAACAGAGTAGGTCCAGTTCTTACTTTTAATAAGAGCTCAACAATAACCCTATAAATCAGTAAATCCTCAGATATTCTCACCATGGTGAGGTAGGAGTAGTCAGATGCGAGACCCAGGCCCAGTTTAACCTTCATCTCTGGAGCCATGCCCTTCAGTATGCAGTAAAACACGTGGTAGTTCCTCTCATCCGGAGCCTGCAGGAGGACGGGGGGGGAGAGAGAGGAGACATAAGAGAACTGGAAATGCCACTGAGGATGTTTTTACATCTTAAAACACGATGCAGTTTCTCACCTGTCGGCACACTCTGGATTTCTCCAGCAGGTACTGCTCGATCTTGGCTCCTTCGATGGCTCCTCTCTTGTTGAAGTGGATATCGATGTACTTCCCAAAGCGACTGGAGTTGTCGTTACGGATGGTCTTGGCATTACCAAACGCTGAGTGAATTAAAGAACAGGGAGTGAGGAGAAACAGAAACATAGACAGAGTGTCCAGCTCTACTGATAAGGCTTAATGATATAAAGTACAACTACAGAGGGGTCTTTAAGAATACATTGATACGCTTTGACATCTAATGTTAAGAGTTCATTCTTAAAGTCAGAATAAATAGGATTTGTTGGTTGCCGTTTGTAAAAACATATTTCAAAGTTGGTGCTCGCCAACGTATGAAAGCCGACCCCAGATAAACTCTCATTTTTGCAACAAGCTTGGTGTTTAGCTTTGCATTTTCCCTCTTGGGTCCATGCTTACAATCTGGCACCTGGTCGCTACATTTCTATAGGAAGGAGACTCAGAGAAACGTCCTGAACACAGCCAAATATGGCTCTGCCACATACTTTTATATAGTGGGTCATACGTGAAGATTGATGATACATTCTGTCTTTGACATTTGGAAAGCAATCAAGACGTTTTTGCAAATCCATGCAAACTAAGCACTAGTTACTGCTGAAGATCATTTGATAACAAAAAAACCCTTAAGAACGGCATCTTAATGCAACTTATGGTCGGAGTGTTTTCTCACGGCTGCTTCCAAGATCATTAATGAACTCTGAACCTCAGCACAAACAGTCTTTAGAGTCATTCTACAATCTACAGTTCTATACAAGAAGGGTGAAAATCATCTACGTCTCAGGATCATTGGATATATTTCAAACAGGGGTGTCCAAACTTTTTCCCCAGATCACAGCTCTCCAGAGGGTTTCATTTATTGTGTTGGCAGCTCATCCCTTCAAACAGAAGCCTCAGAGTGATTATAATGAGAGGAAATATGAAGGGTTTATTTCAAGCTTGTTATGTAAATAACTTATTGGGTCTTTTTTCTTATCAATTAAAATTTGTTAGAAAATGTTTCCAACTTTAATTCACTGAATTTATTTGAAAAGTTACCACATGAATACTACTGTGTAATATATGTTAAAATGTATATTTAAGAGGTACAATACAAGACAAGCACAAGTTTCATTTGTGGGCCGTATTACATTATACTTTTTTGAATTTGCTAAGGGCCGATTCAAAATGGTCCGCGGGCCGCATTTGGCCCCCGGGCCGTAGTTTGGACACCCCTGATTTAAAAGCTCCTGAACAGTCCGATTTTATGTATTTCCCAGAGTTGCATGTTCATCTCTGACCTTCCAGGATGGGCGTGGCCTCCAGGACCTGCTGCTCGATCCAGGAGTGTTGCCCGCTGATGGCAGCGAGGAACTGCAGGATCAGCTTCGTGCTCTCCGTCTTCCCCGCTCCAGACTCACCGCTGTCACACACAGAAGACATTTAAAAAAAATCTATAATTGAAACTAAAGGTATATTTTAATATCTTAAGTTGTGCAATAATAACGGAGCCATTTTCAAATAATTGTATGTATTTAACCCTCAATACTCTGCATTAGTGGTTCTCTGTTAAACACCTGCACTTTTGAAAGAACATCCATAACATTCATCTGGTTGCAACTTACAAATTATTTATCTAATATATCATATTCCAATTACTTGTATATAGACTCTCCTTGTACTATTTATATCCTATTTTATTTGTATTTACAAGCACTATTTTAACTATTGTATCTGTTTTATTGTGTTGGACTGTTGGAGGAGCCTGTGACCTAAGATATGTCTCCACTGTAGATATGTACACATGACAATAAAAGCCTTTAAATCTCAACCTTTTAGCACCTGCAGATTGTTTGTGTGGTGTTGTTTAACGTCTCTATAAATGTTGTGTTGCTTCCCTGTGTTCACCAGAGGCCTGTACTACGAAGCCGGATTTTCGCTTAGCGGCTAACTTCAGGGAAAACTCTGGGTTTCCGGTCCTACGACGCTGGTTCACTTTTTAGCGGGCTAGATCTCCATGGTAACTTATGCTGAACGGCTAGCCTGAGGCCTGTACTACAAATCTAGTTCAACAGACCCTGGATATGTTTGAGTTACCCGGCTTACCTAATCCAAAACAAACGCGCTCTCGCTAAGCGGTCCTACGACTCTGGCTATCAACTCGGTAACTCAAGCCCGGTGTGTCCTATCTAGTTATGTGCGCGTTCACATGAAAGGGGCGGGGCTAGCAACATTTGACTTGATCACAAACATGGACAAGCGTACTGACAGCGCAGCGTCATACTTCCTGAATGAAAAGTGAACTAAAATATTAGACAAATATGAAGAAGTTAAACTTTAAACATCCATGACTTAAACACTTTATCCAGGATCAAAGCCACATAGCTGCACCTGCAAGGTGAATACAGCTGGTAACAGAAAAAGTGTTTGAATGCGTACATTAACAGGTTTATGAAATCACTGCCCCGTCCAAGACACGATCTGACTTTAATTACATTTGACTTGAGTGTTTCGTCAACTTAATGTGTTGCTTAAAATAATACTTCTGCATACAGTATGTGACACTGTGAGTGTTGCACGGCCAGATACGGCTCAGCTGACTCAGATAAGGAGATACATGATACATTATGATGTGATGTGATATGAATGATAATGGGACACATCGACGTCTGCACTCACAGTGCCGCGGACTGTACTTAATGTTACTCTGATCCGGTTACTTATGTCGTGGCAGATATTTAAGTAAGCTTTCTTAACGATAATGTTATAATAGTCAGATTGCTCTGAAGATGGGAGGAGGGGATATTCTATTAATTTTCACGTTCACACAGTCAGGTGATTTTTGCCGGCCGTCTTTCCTGCAACGGCAGTTTTTCTCTATTTCCTCTATCCTGTAATATGAATTGATCGCTTTAAACTCCGCACACTGAGCTCTGATTGGTCAGCAGGCGGTGCTTTCACTGAGTTGATCTCTTAGCCTGCAACCTAACCTGCTCCGGAGCAGGTTAGCCGCTCAGCATAAGTTACCATGGAGATCTAGCCCGCTAAAAAGTGAACCAGCGTCGTAGGACCGGAAACCCAGAGTTTTCCCTGAAGAGAAAATCCTGCTCCGTAGTACAGGCCTCTGGTGATGCAGCACTGGTCCTTGTTGTTGTTTAACGTTTCTATAAATGTCGTGTTGAGTGTTTACCTGATGATGCAGCACTGGTCCTTGTTGTTCCTCTGCATGTTGAAGTAACAGTTGTCTGCGATGGCGAAGATGTGCGGCGGCAGCTCTCCGATCTTCCTGTTGGTGTAGAGGCGGATCTGATCGGGGGTGTAGATCGGGAGCAGCTGGTACGGGTTCACCGCCACCAGGATGGAGCCCGTGTACGTCTGCAGGGAGAAAACAAGAAGATTAAGAGACTTTCACACATTTTAGAGACTAATTAGCTCAAATCAATCAGATGTTATATTCCCGAATCATTCGAGACAGCTGGAGACGTGATTGTTTCTGTATTGTCTTTCTAATTTGACTGATAGGGAAATGTTATGCATTGAAGAATGAATGAAGGAACCCAGAGTCTATGGCGTTAATCACATGAAATTGTAAGATGTGCATTCAATTTAAACTTTCAAAAGCATTATTGTAATTCATTACTACGGATATACTCTAACACTCACTCAGATTGATTTCAAACGGCCTAGAAGAAGCTACTGAAGAACACGGTACATAACAATTCAAATCAGTCAGAGGAAGTCAGAAGAAAAGTTTGTAAATCTTGAGTCATTTTCCAGAAGATACCTGAGATTAAAGTGGTAAAACTAAGGGAAAATCCATCACAAAATTGCAAATGAATGAATATTTTCAGAGATCAAAAAGTTAGAAATTTGCAAGAATCAGGTTAGCTTTTTTCTTTTTTGTGACACCATCTTTTTTACTCACCTTTCCACCACAATTAGTCTACAAGGAGAGGGAACACAGCAACCAAAGACTATTACAGGACTGAGACTCAAGATAAATAGACAACGAAGTACATAAATATGTTTTAAGGATATATCCACTGTTAAGTTAAGAGCAATATCTGCTCCATCACTTCTCTTACCAAAGTTAAGGGTCTCTAATTGGTTTCTCCTCACATTAAAATCCCAGTTTTTATCCCCTTTATAAGTAAACCAGTAGACCTCAGTCCAGCAGGGATTTGAGGACATGTTTATTCCTTTATTTATAGTTCCAGTAAACAGTAAACTCAACTGCAGATTATTGGAGCTGCATGAAAACTCATTAACCCGAATAACAACTCCTCTGGACTGCAGCCAATACATTCGTTTATGAATTAATTTTACGAGATGTATCTTCTCTAACTCTTTGCTTTTCTATTCATCTCTGCATTGATAAAGACCAAAACAGCTCCTACTGTCACAGCAGAGAGATAATACTCTCATTTCTTTAGTTCATATTTGAGTTTTTCAGGTCAGTAACCTGGGTTTGAGTAATGCATGTATAAAAACATCTCTACCAATTAAGAGATAATGTATAAGTAAACCAGTAGACCTCAGTCCAGCAGGGATATGAGGACATGTTTATTTATTTATTTATAGTTCCAGTAAAGTGCAGATTATTGGAGCTGCATATAAACTAGGGATGCCAGCGATTATTCGATTTTTCGAATATTAGTTACAGTCTCCATAATCGAAAATTATTTTTTAAATTCGATTTTATTTATAATTAATTAATTATAATTAATTAATTAATATTAATATTCGCCAGGGCTGTCCGATTTTCGAATTTGATCATGGTCAGTTTCTGGCATCCCTAATGTAAACACATTAACCTCCTCTGGACCAATACATTTGTTTATGAATGAGAATCAATTAGGTCCAAGACAGCTTCCACTGTCACAGCAGAGAGATACAAGTCTACTTTCTGAAATGAATATAAGAAATATTTGTAGTTTTTCAGGGAATATTCAAAGTCAGTAACCTGGTTTTGGGTAATGCATGTACAACAACATTTATAACAATTAAGAGATAAGGTCTGTCATTGTTTTTCTCCTCACGTTAAACAGATTAACCTGAATAACATCTCCTCTGGACCGCAGCCAATGACCCTCATGTTCAGAGACAACAGTAGACATGTGTGTACTTTGTGTACTCTGTGTAGTCAGGAGAAACAGAGGATTACTGACGTAGATGACGCGCTCGTTGTAGCGGATCAAAAGGTTTCGGAGGATGCCGGCTTCGTTCAGGTCTCCCAGGCGGATCATGTCCTCCACGCCGTGCACAGAGGTCGGGTGCATGGGTTTGATGTTGGTGTTCTGAGGAGAGATCCAGTGCTCCTGAGAGAGAGGGGGGGGGGGGGATATAAGGAGGTTACAGTGGATCATAGACTGGAAGAGTTTGATTTAATACCATTTATTTTTAATTATTGTAGTTTTGGCCATCACTTCATTAGTTATAATAATAAAAAATAACATTTTCTTGGGACTTATCTAATTATTTGACCATTTTATTTGTACTTTTTCTACATTGAAAGACACACTAAAAGAAACAATGATAGAATAACAAATTAAATACAAAATACATCAATTAAATGTAGGTAAATACAAATAAATGGCACATTTCACTTCTTTCTTTCAGAATGAGGCGGAAAGTATTAAAAGAGGTGAAAATCACTCCAAGTCTGGGCATGTTGAGAGCTGTACATACACACAAGGGGAGTTAGTCGGTTCCTAAGAGCCAGCATGCGGGACCGGGACTCTGGGATTTGTAGTCTTTCTAGTTGCATATTTTTCATAGTCTTATATTTCAACAGTTTTATGACAAACTGTGACTTTTTTGACATGGAAATAATTTTTTAAGATTGACAAACATCATATGTGTAATTCGTGGCACAATTCAAACGGGATCGAAAGATAATCTTTCTCTCTCCATTGACTTCAATACATCATTTTTCCGAAATGAGGTCCCATGGGTCGGAAGTAGATGGGCGGGACTTCGCCTCTCTATAAGCATGACTAAAAAACATTTGGGAAAAGAGTTTTGGTTTTTAAGGTAAGTAAATAAAACGTGTGTCTTCAGTTTGATGGACTTTAGCGAGGCTTGTTCATTTGTTTACATTAAAAGTGTCTCAAAGACCACAACTCTGAAACTTCCTTCCTTATAAAACAAAAAAAAAACCTTAACACATGAACAGAGAATCTTTATATAAATGCAGAAGTCTTACCTTCCCTTCATCGTCCAGGACCTGGATCTGTCTCGAGTCGCACAGTTTGACCACGGCTCCCACCGGGACGTCAAACTCTCGACCCGTTTTAAGGTCCAGCCACACATAGTCCCCCTGGATTATTAGAGAAAAAACATGAAATATCCCAGAATTCACATTAAAAGAAGAAATGCAAGACAACACCTTGGAGACTTTCACATACAAGTAACGGTCTATTGGTGGAAATCTAAATCTGGGACATGGAGCAAGACTTGGAGATCCATAAAACAATAATTAAAGGGGACCTATCATGCAAAATGCACGTTTGTACATCTTTTCTACATGAATATGTGTCCCCGGTGTTCCAGGGAACTCACCAAGTGTCAGAAAACACAACCCTCTCTCTTTTCCTCCATACCCAAATCTCTAAAAACGGGGCTGCAACGGATCTGATACAGACTGATACAGATTTGAAAATTCTCTGACGTCAGGAACGAGGAGCTCTGCCTATATGGCCAACTCTCCACCTATCAGGGGAATGAGAGGTTGCCGTGGCATGGTAACAGCATGGTAACAGCATGGTAACAGCATGGTAACAGCATGGTAACATGACGCTCGTGCCTCGCCCCCCCTCCTTTGCAGGGGGGCGTGGTCAGCTGCAGCTCATGCAAAGACAGGGCTGGAGGAGAGCAAAATAGAGCAAAATGAGGCATGGCTAAAATGCATGATCTGTTTGGTATTTTGACATGTTTTATATAGGTATGGCCCTACAATATATTATTCAAATATAGCATGATAGGTCCACTTTAAATAAAGTGTTAACAACAGCAGAGGTGAGTTAGTCGTCATGTGATACCGTTTAATGCTTTTCTTCTGCTATAATCTCACTGTTTAGGGCCTGGGATTATTTCACCATCATATGTTGAATAACTAGGAAATATTAAAGGCCAACTTAAACTGCCAACTCTGTGAATGGGAGGATTTATTCTAAAAAGAGCTTTAATCTGATCACCAGCTCAGTGAATAAGTGATTTAACCCCTGGCTGACCTTAGAGAGGATGTTGTTGAGAAAAGTGTGAATTTAGTTCAGTGCAGTTTAATTCCTTATCTGCCACGAACACAGTGACATCACTACGCTGGCGCTCCAACATATTATACGTGATAAGGGGCGGGACATCTCACATTTCAGACAGAGGGTGAAAAGAGGTGCTGCAGCACAGACAGTATGAGAAAAATAAAGAGCTTTTTGAACATTAAAGCATGGAGACATGTAGAGACACTACATACTGATATACACCTGAACATCAGCAGGAGAGGACTCTTTAAAGTAGAGACACTACATACTGATATACACCTGAACATCAGCAGGAGAGGACTCTTTAAAGTAGAGACACTACATACTGATATACACCTGAACATCAGCAGGAGAGGACTCTTTAAAGTAGAGACACTACATACTGATATACACCTGAACATCAGCAGGAGAGGACTCTTTAAAGTAGAGACACTACATACTGATATACACCTGAACATCAGCAGGAGAGGACTCTTTAAAGTAGAGACACTACATACTGATATACACCTGAACATCAGCAGGAGAGGACTCTTTAAAGTAGAGACACTACATACTGATATACACCTGAACATCAGCAGGAGAGGACTCTTTAAAGTAGAGACACTACATACTGATATACACCTGAACATCAGCAGGAGAGGACTCTTTAAAGTAGAGACACTACATACTGATATACACCTGAACATCAGCAGGAGAGGACTCTTTAAAGTAGAGACACTACATACTGATACACACCTGAACATCAGCAGGAGAGGACTCTTTAAAGTAGAGACACTACATGCTGATATACACCTGAACATCAGCAGGAGAGGACTCTTTAAAGTAGAGACACTACATACTGATATACACCTGAACATCAGCAGGAGAGGACTCTTTAAAGTAGAGACACTACATACTGATATACACCTGAACATCAGCAGGAGAGGACTCTTTAAAGTAGAGACACTACATACTAATATGAACCTGAAAATGAGCAGAATGTGTCCTCTTTAAGTACTGAAAGCAGGTACTGAGCACATTATACAGTCTATGCTTCTACCCAACATGACCAACCTGTTGCAGAATGACCATGTTTCAGCTTCAGGTGGATAGCAGGACATCAGAAGTCACCATGTGAGGGCTCTGCAGAGGAGACAAGTTACAGGTATCAGAAGACTGAAAGAACAAATCTATATAATATAATCTATGCGTGTATAACTGAAAAAAAAATGCTTGGTATTGAACTGTTGTTGAAATTCTCACAAACACTGGTACACTGGAACTGTATGAGGCATATGTATCTAAAAATACAGTGCAATATACCAAACATATGCAAAAAAGTGGACCCCCCATCTATACAAACTTGTTAAATTCATATATATTAGAATAACATAAAGCTGCACGAATGAGTCCTAAAGCCCAGAAATAAGATACATATTTAGCATTTCCTGTTCCCTCATCTGATAGTCAATGTTTTTTGAACATGTTTGTGGTTTGGAGACTGAAACAAGGTCTGTGGTTAACACAAGCTGAAGAGACTTTGTTCTGACGTCCGGTGGTGACGTGGATTTATGAGAACGTGCTGTAGTTCCTTTATAGCCCAACATTAGCCACCTTTAGCTTAGCGGTGGTGACGTGAAGTCATGTGACCGTGCTGTAGTTCCTTTATAGCCCAACATTAGCCACCTTTAGCTTAGCGGTGGTGACGTGAAGTCATGTGACCGTGCTGTAGTTCCTTTATAGCCCAACATTAGCCACCTTTCATTTCATTTCATTTCAAACCTTTATTTATCCAGGTTGTATCCCATTGAGATCATTGACCTATTTTTCAAGGGAGACCTGCTCAAGTAGGTTCCACATGAAACATTAAAAACATAAACAGAACAACAAAAGGACATCATACAGCATCATTACAGGGATTACAAATTACATACTAACCACATGCACAGGTACCAACAGCTTCCGATTCAGTAGCATCCAACCGAGCTTTAAAAACATTTAGTGGCACCAGATTGCTCAGTTTCCATTTTAATTGCAGACTATTCCAGGACAGTGGAGCTGCACATCTAAATGCTATCTTCCCTAAGACAGTCCTAGCAGTTGGCACATTTAATAAAACCACAGCATGCGATCTCAGGCAGTAGCCACTTATAGTTCGCCGTGAGATCAGGGAGCAGATGTAGGATGGAAGTTTCCCTAACATGGCTTTGTATATAAAAATGTACCAGTGACTGAGCCTCCGTACAGTTAGTGAAGGCAGACCAGCCCTTGCATACAGGGTACAGTGATGAGTTAATGCTTTACAGTTTGTCACAAATCTCAGTGCACTGTGATACGCAGCATCTAACTTGACCAGGCAATTGGCAGGTGCATTTATATAAATCAGATCACCATAGTCCAGCACAGGTCAAAAGGTCACAGAGCCTTTTTCTGGCCTCGAGCGAGAAACAGGACTTGTTCCTGTAGAAGAAACCTAGTCTAACCCTCAGTTTTTTAAGCAGGTTATTGACATGACGTTTAAAAGTGAGACAATCATCAAGCCAGATACCAAGTTATTTGTAACAGGCAACCACTTCAAGTTTTATTCCTTGCGTAGTTAAAATATCTAAAACAGGCTCTGGTGTCTTTTTGGCTTTTGAAAAGAGCATTACCTTGGTTTTATCAACATTTAAAAGAAGCTTTAGTTCAGAGAGCTGAGTCTGAATAATGTTAAAAGCAGTTTGCAATTCAACAACAGCCTCCTTAATGGAGGGACATGCACAGTACATAACGGTATCGTCCGCATAAAAATGTAAGGTTGCTCCATCGACATTTTCACCTAAACTATTGATGTAGATGGAGAATAAAAGTGGACCTAAAACAGAACCTTGAGGAACACCATTAGTAATGTTTAACCACTCAGAAGACAGCCCATCAAAATGAACACATTGGGACCTTTCAGAGAGGTAGTTCACAAACCACCCACTGCATGGCTGGATAAGCCAATACTGAGTAGCCTCTGCTTTAAGATGCGATGATCGACGGTATCAAACGCTTTGGAAAGGTCAATAAATAGAGCTGCACAGCTCTGCTTATTATCTAAAATACTCGCCACATCATTCACCACTTTCATTGTGGCAGTGATGGTGCTATGTTGCTTTCTGAAGCCTAACTGATGTTTAGACAGGATGTCATTTGTACATAAAAACACCTTTACCTGTTCACTCACTAGGCGTTCAAGAACCTTAGCCAGAACTGACAATTTAGAGATGGGCCTATAATTATTTAAAACAGTTGCCTCCCCTCCTTTCAGCAAAGGCAGGACATACGCTGACTTCCACAGTTTTGGAATTGTGTTTGTGCTGAGGGAGAGGTTAAAAAGAGTAGTGAGAGGTGGAGCAATAAAATCTGCAGCTATCTTTAAAAAGAAAGGTTCCACGTTGTCCGGGCCGGCCGGCTTTAGCTTAGCGGTGGCGACGTGAAGTCATGTGACGGTGCTGTAGTTCCTTTAGAGCCCAACATTAGCTGCCTTTAGCTTAGCGGTGGTGACGTGAAGTCATGTGACCGTGCTGTAGTTCCTTTATAGCCCAACATTAGCCACCTTTAGCTTAGCGGTGGCGACTTGAAGTCATGTGACGGTGCTGTAGTTCCTTTAGAGCCCAACATTAGCTGCCTTTAGCTTAGCGGTGGTGACGTGAAGTCATGTGACCGTGCTGTTGTTCCTTTATAGCCCAACATTAGCTGTCTTTAGCTTAGCGGTGGTGTCGTGAAGTCATGTGACCATGCTGTAGTTCCTTTATAGCCCAACATTAGCTGCCTTTAGCTTAGCAGTGGTGACGTGATGTCATGTGACCATGCTGTAGTTCCTTTATAGCCCAACATTAGCCGCCTTTAGCTTAGCGGTGGTGTCGTGAAGTCATGTGACCTTGCTGTAGTTCCTTTATAGCCCAACATTAGCTGCCTTTAGCTTAGCGGTGGTGACGTGAAGTCATGTGACCGTGCTGTAGTTCCTTTATAGCCCAACATTAGCTGCCTTTAGCTTAGCGGTGGTGACGTGAAGTCATGTGACCGTGCTGTAGTTCCTTTAGAGCCCAACATTAGCTGCCTTTAGCTTAGCGGTGGTGACGTGAAGTCATGTGACCGTGCTGTAGTTCCTTTATAGCCCAACATTAGCTGCCTTTAGCTTAGCGGTGGTGACGTGAAGTCATGTGACCGTGCTGTAGTTCCTTTAGAGCCCAACATTAGCCACCTTTAGCTTAGCAGTGGTGACGTGAAGTCATGTGACCGTGCTGTAGTTCCTTTATAGCCCAACATTAGCCACCTTTAGCTTAGCAGTGGTGACGTGATGTCATGTGACCGTGCTGTAGTTCCTTTATAGCCCAACATTAGCCGCCTTTAGCTTAGCGGTGGTGACGTGAAGTCATGTGACCTGTGCTGTAGTTCCTTTATAGCCGTTATAACGTTAGCCATTTAATAAAAAAATCATAAAGCAGTGTTAATATGTGGAGATTATCCTGATGAACAACACGTGTAAATATTATAATGTTTGCCACAGATTTTATATTCTGCTAAAAACTAAATTCCAATGGACAAATCCCATTCGCTTTCTGTCAAGGGAACCAAAGCAAGGCTAATTTCCGGGTCGTCCTTCAGAATGACGTCATCAGTAGACACAGCGGGGTCGGAGATAATCAGCATGTGGTTCAGCAGGCGTACAGTGAGGGGGGGGGGGGGGGGGGGGGGTTAAAGGCTTACTCAGATTCCTCAGGATAATCCCTTCCCCTTAAGTACGAGCCATAGTTATAACAGTTATGACTGCTGAATAATTTTCTCCCTGCTGCTTTGTTCCCCTCGCTAACAGTGACGAGGGTTCAGAGCTGTATGGAGTTTACTGTGTAAAGCAAAGTGAAGGAAAGCATTTTAGATGTTAATACGGTCACATTTTGCTGTTTTAAAATGAGGATATGAAAGTAAAAGTAACATTTAATAGCAAAAAGAAGAAGCATTACTGTTTAATAATAACTTTGTTACAGTCCATTTCATTCAACATGAAGAACCAGTATGATTTTGAGCTGTAATGAAATATAATAGATCAAATTGAATGAAATATTAAAACAATTCTAAATAAATTGACTGAGATGACTTTTTCCCTTGCTTATTTCTTATAGGAATTAGTTGGAAACATAGCTTTAGTGACTTCAAAAAAAGAGAGTATGAATGATGAAGATAACAAATGACAGAGGGAGGGGGATAAGTGTATAAATGACCCATTAGTGGGGCAGTAAGTAAGTAGATTAACATGTAAGTGTATGTGCCACACTGACTAATCAAAAGGACATATTTCAGATGTAAAGAGCAAATCCTTGTGTTAATCTGGAGCAGGTGCATCAGTGCAGATATTATGAGGAGCCTGAGGAGGTTACAGTTCATCCACACAGCAGACACAAAGAGCTGATCTGAGGTCAGGACTTAATCTGAGTTCTTTTATCCAGAACCACAGGGTGCCAATCTGTCTCCTGACCCAAACTCAGTCGTATCGACAAGCTTACACTGAATACAAACCCTCTACAAACTCAAACGTTCGGCATGTACAGTTTAGGATTTGCTAGCAATTTGCACTAGATATATATATATAGATTCTTATCTTTTAAGATTGTGAATAGACTCGAAGAAGCAAAAGAAGCGAGATATTGCTTCTGATGGAGGTAATCCTACACCTGTCAGTTCTGTCCAGCATTGGTGTATGATTGGTTGAAAAAAACAATACCAGTTTTACATTTGACTTCTCTGAGAAAAAAAGGACGGAAAAGCATTTTTATTTCAAAAAATATTGGAATTCTTGAAGTCCCTGCTCAAAACCTTTTATTTGTGCACGTATTGCATGAATAAATGTTAACTTTTGCATCATGTCTCATTGCTTTTAAACTTTTTTGTAAAGTCGCTGAATTGCCTTTATCAGCAGTAACGTTAAAGCAATAAACAAATTAGCGCATTCAATAAATATGATCCAATAATGTTATATATTTGATTCTGTAATGTGCTATTCTGCATACTAAATACGTTTACTGTTAATACTTTAGGGATATTGTGATGCTAATGCACATTTTTAATGCAGGAATTGTACTTGTAACAGAGTATTTATACACAAGTTATACCTAAATTAAATATCTGAGTACTTTTTCCAACACAGCTCACATTCTGCAGCAGGTCATTAAACCTCATGAGACCTCAGGAGCTCCTCCTCAGAGATTTTTATGTAACGGCCAACAGCAATCTCGCTAATCAGCTGCTAATCTGTGTGTGTGGCCTATAATGCTAACAAGCATGTGTACTGTATGTGTGCACGCAGGGCCGCCCACGGCCAACTTGTGGCCCCACCCAAAGTTATGTGAGCCGGAGCCTCGCAGCGGCGATACTGTGGCACATAAAGGTGCGCCGCATTTGCGCAGGTTAGGCCCCCTCCGCGAGGTGAGGCCCCGCAGTCTGCGTGATCTGTGTGTAGGGAGGGTGTGTGTGTGTGGTGTGTGTGTGTATGTGTGTGTGTGTGTGTGTGTGGTGTGTGGTGTGTGTTGTGTGTGTGTGTGTTCAGAGGCACACAAAGGTGTGAAGTTTTCATCTCTGACCGAGGAAATTTAATGTTTCCATGTCTTACGTGAGCGCTGGTGGATCAGTCTCTGCAGAAAACAACACACGCACACACACACACACACACACACCCCCCCCACCCCCCCCCACACACACACACACACACACCCACCCCCCACACACACACACACACACACACACACACACACACACACACACACACACACACACACACACACACACACACACACACACACACACACACACACACCCCCCCCACCCCCCCCCCCCACACACACACACACACCCACCCCCCACACACACACACACACACACACACACACACACACACACACACACACACACACACACACACCACACACACACACACACACACACACACACACACACACACACACACACACACACACGTCTCTTTACTTTATAATATAAATACACTGGTAATGTAGGGGGGAAACATTTCAAAGTTCAAATGGATCTATTCTGAGATACATTATTCTTATCATGAATGCAGACATGCTGGATTTTTTATAGTCTATTTAGAAATGTTTTGGTTTCAAGGTTTGTGTAAGTTTGTCATGTATTTTCTTCAATAATCTTTCAGACATTTGTTCCGTGTCAAGGGAGCTGTTCTTCCCTCATTCCTCCTTTAGTTTTATAGTTATATGGATAACCTGCTATTAATCGTATTTTATCTGTCTATTCCTGCAACAAATCAATTGTAGAAAATGATAGAAATAAAGTGGCTTACAACTCAAAAGGGACCTATTTGTTTTAAGGTCCCTAACTTCTCTCAGACATGTGAGTTATCTAATTTAATAATAAGAGCTTATTTGAAAAGATGAATTCTAATGTACATGTGTCATGCTAGAGTGTTAGATTAGCAAACAGACTGAAAGCAGAGTTTACGGCGGGCCTCTTTCTTTCCAAAAGGCACCACAAATAGAATCTAATCGCCCTGTTCCTTTAACAAAACTCCTCAGGTTTTGTTCAAGTAAAAGGTTGAGTATGGCAGACGTTCATCTACTAGCGAGTGCAGACATGTCTTTTAAAAATAATGCTAACAATGACCTGCATTAGTCAAGTATTACGTACTGCAGCTCAGGAGAGAAAGCAGTATGACTGAAGCGCTGCTTTGTTTGTTTCTGATTCACATGTTTCTGAGCTGCAGCACAGTGAGGCTGAACCAGGAAGTGTGTCACAATGCAAGCTTCATTATATCAGCATTTCATATGTATCACTGATTTAACTGCAACTGTAAGACGTTTTAAGCACACATTGATGTAACAGATAACCTCAGCTTCAAAGTGTCTTCAAAGTATATTGTGGATCTTAATAACAGCAGTTTCACAGCCTCATATCAAACCTTTCTCAGAGTTTTGTGGAATAACTTTTTCTGGAGTTTTTAGATTGTGTCTCATGTATGAGAAGATGTCAGATAAAGCTACGCTAATAGCTAGTGATTGGACCGAGCAAAATATCAGTTTTCAACTTTTTAAATTAGATTCCAGGATTTGCTTCTTTTAATTCTCATAAGTAATGAAACTTTAATTTGAAGAAAATAAGACATTTGAAGATCTCACCTTGGGCTCTGGAAGGCTTGGATCTATTTAATTGAGTTGAAGCTCGACTTGAGTTGTTTTGGTGAGGCTCTTGAGTTTATCTCCATGTGAACACTTGTGTGTGTCTACTGTTGGTTTAATGCAACACTTTATTCTTTTCTGTCATGTCTATCTGCTTCTTGTCTCTAATCGAATCTGTCAAAGAGACACTTTGAACTATAGTCTCATCCAACACGAAGTCATCTCTACTGGATCTGATTGGGAAGTACAGAAACACATCAAACACACACACACACACACACACACACACACACACACACACACACACACACACACACACACACACACACACACACACACACACACACACACACACACACACACACACACACACACACACACACACACACACACACACACACACACACACACACACACACACACACACCGACTGTACTTCCTCTCAGGGAGAATAATGGCTGCTTTAGAGCTGGCAGAGGCCGGAGGGCAGTAAGAGGCTTTGTCTAAAGCTCCAGCAGAGCAGCAGCCCTGAGGCCTGGCTGCAGGATTTAAGCCTCTCTCCACGTTCACCTGCATCTCTTACCTCTCAATAAAAACCTCCTGACGTCCTCTCGTCTTTGTCCTCTTCCCTTTTAGTCCTGTTGTTTCTGCAGAAGACGTGAAGAGGCCCAGAGTTCACAGGATGGAGAATGAAGATGCTGAAGAAGCTGGAGGAGGGAGTTTTGTTGTCTAGTCCCCTTCTTTGTTTGAAACTGGTTCCTTTTGTTGTCCTTCTCTGGCGGTCCCGGCCTCCTGTAGTGTACGAGGTTCAGCGTTTCATGTCAGTTTGATGTCTGGGTCAGACCTCCAGACTCTCTCTCTCTGCGTCTCCTTCAGGCCGCTGATCCTGATTAGCTGGAGGTGGAGCCTGTTGGTGCAGCGGGAGGTGACCAGGGGCACGCAAGGTGCTGCTCTGTGACCACATGCTGAGAAAACAAATACAAATAGACAAAAAACATATTTCTCCATTTACAACTATTGGTATATTTCCATGCAGACAGTATACGTCTCTGTGATTCTGATTCTGGGATACAGAACCATTAAATGTTAAGGATACATTTTTTCTTCTTTACAGAATAACTAGAATTACAATCTTGTTTTTGAAGCCGAGAAGCTTACATCCATTTCTGGTAAAAATGACTTAAATTCATCATATTATCCTATTACACATTTGTGTGAAATTGTAATAAGTAGCACATTACTTCTTGAAAATGGGCAGAATAAGCCATGCAGAAAATGATTGTTCCAAAATAGGGAAAACATTCCCTTCAAAAGTTTAGAATCAGCTGATTTCTTCAGTAAATGCTATTGAAGTGAGCAGGCGGTCAATAATAAAGAATAGGAAAACACACACAATGTGAGCAGGATCCTCATGATCACCATGTTGCTGTTCTTTTTTATTAATGACCGCCAACTTTGATTATTAATGAATTGAGCGATTAATCAAGCAAAAAATGTTTAGCTTCTCAAATGAGATGATATGCTGCTTTTCATTCTCATTATTAAGTATAACCTCAATATGTTGGAGTTTTGGACTTGTCTAACAAGTTAGACATTTAAAACATGTACACTTGGACTCTAACTAGGAAAGTTGTGATTTCTAAACTATTGAATCCATTGTAAGATTATGATTGACAGTCACTGAGTAAAATATCCTTGTTGTGGTCAGGCTGAGCAGGATCCTGATCTTCTTTTATGTTGTCACTAATGACCGCCTAGCTGTCCATTATCCCGCTAATTACTTGAATCACAATATTGATTCAAAATAATTTAATAATAACCGTTTTGCTTCCGCTAAGAGAAGTAGTCCGTTTCAATGATCGCCAGAGGCTGGAACTTAAATGACTGCAGCACTGATGGAGGTTTTCTCTAAATGTAAAAGTCTGTTCACATTTTCTTCTCCATTAGCCAGTCTTTAAACACTACCAGAGCCCACCCCGTGTTACCTTAGGGCTCTCTTCCTGTCTTCTTCTGTCTTCATTCCTTCTCTTTGCTCTTTATGTTTTCTTAACTGGCCATCATGACTTACAAAATTTGTGTTCTCCACAAATATAAAAAACTAAAGATTTCCATGGTGTTTTCTGAAGCAGGAAACACGTGTTTTTGGTCACTGCGTACGTTAATTGACCGGACTTCTTCCCGCGGATTGATATGACTGTACATAGTGCGATGATCCATATCTAGCGAATAAATAGCAGACCTCTGTAATGTCCAAATTGACCAATCAGGATCTGGTATTCGACTAAGCCATGTAATAAGGTAATACAATGCTTTGCTCACTCACCATTTACCCCTCATCACATCTGGTTGTTTGTGTTTTCAGGGAGATGATGGACAATCACCAGAACACCATCATCAGGCGAGTGACTAAATGTATGTATAAATAAATCCAACACTGAAGTATAAATCAAATCCTATGGTAAAATCCACCTTTATTTTAAGACATAACATGTTCATTTTCATACTTGGTTTCAAAGTCATAATGTAGGATTTCGAAGTCATATATTGTGCTGAGTCAAATGTTTTCTTTAAAGTCATACAACAGTATGTCCAAAAAGTCACAGTATAGTGTTTCCTAAACAAGTACAAATACAAGTCATAGTATAGTATGTTAGAAAAAAGTCATAGTATAGTATAGAAAAACTGATAATAGTATGTAGTATAGTATAGAAAAAATAATAGGTCAACAAAAAGTCACATGTTGAAAAAAGTCACGGTATAGTATGTTGAAAAAACAAGAGACAATGAGAACTTTAATATATGTATTTTATTTTTGAAAGGGTGTTGCAGGTACTCAGTGGCCTGCAGGATTCATCCAGAAGCTGAGATACAAAGCAACATGTTCTCTGATAAAACCCTCAACATAACTACAAGTGCACTTCATCTCAAACAGGAAACACTTTGGTCAGGCATCTTATTTGGAATGTGATAGGTTTTTTTCTTCTACGCAGTAACCATTTCTGTTTGTCGTGTCTTTCTGATGTTTGATATAAAAAGTGGAGATCGTGCCGACATGGACTCTGTAACATTTGACACCACATTCCCCGCAGAAACATCATCTCGTGTCATCATGACCTTTTGCAGAACAGCAGCTCATAAAAGGCAATATTTCTTTAAGGCAGAACTATATCCTGACAGTAACACACATTCATATTTTTCACATTTAAGCAGCAGTTTGCAGAAGTCTTTGTAAAAGACAATAACAAGCTTTTTGAAGGAGGAAAATGACAAAACAGTTGAGGCTTTTTGGAGATTTTGGACATAGAAACAGAGTAATGCTAACCTCCTGACAGTTTTACAAGAAATGCAACATATTTGTAAGACGTTACATTGAGACACACATTAAGATCCTGCAGTGTAAGGCTTGACTTTACAGTTAAAAAGCTCAGGTTTATTTAAAAGTGTAAACAGAGTTGGTGTTTGAGAACTTTGATCAAATCTGAATCCAGTTTTTAATGAGATTAATAAATCCATATGTTTCTTTAATCTCCTGATAAATCCATTTAACATTGGCATGGAATATAACTGAGAAACTAGAGTGAAGAGATCACAGTCTTTAAGATATATTTTGACCTAAAGTAAAGTTATGTATGGCATTTAACTTTGAATCTGGTGATGGCAGGTCTTTGATAGTAAAGTGTGAGGAGATTTTATAGGACATGTGATACCCTAAGTCCGGGTATTTTACAAAACTAAAACTAAGTTCAGGCAATACATCGATATTTAATCAATAAAAAGTGTCTTTTTCTGGTTTGAAGTGCTGCCTTACAGTAAAATAGAAACACTTCTGAATGTATCAGACTGTTTTACTTATTGGTCTTTATCGACATAATCATAAATCCACATTACTGAAGATTTGTTATCATAATATAGTGAAAGCATACATTTTTATCCCTAAAATATTGTCGCAATATTGATATTGTTACATTTGATTTGACGGGGAACTGATTCCAGTCGACACCAAACACAACAATAAAAACAGACATTGCACACATATGGCACACAGTAGCCCTTTTTTCTGTAAACCTTAACATTAACTTCACCGACACATGAAACACAGACGAGGTCCTACAGCAAACTCTACAAGACGACTGACAGGAAGAATAAATTAGCAGTAAGACATGAATTGTGCTGCAGAGTGAGGAGCTTTAAAGGGATGACGTATTTTTTAGGCCGTCCCTGAAGGTAGCATCTCCCTGGTTCCTTTCACAAAAAGTCAATGGGATTTTACATTTGGATTATTGCGCAAAATAAGATCTGTGGCAAACATTTATGATACTTCCACTTTTAGTTCAGCAGAATAATCTCCACATATTAACACCAATTCATGATTTCTGAAGTGAAAAGCTAACGTTGGGCTATACAGGAACTACAGCACGGTCACATGACTTCACGTCACCAGCGCTAAGCTAAAGGCGGCTAATGTTGGGCGTGATGGCGTTAAGTCGCCTCATTTAGACACTTTTTAGCAACCGCTGTGTTTAAATTCACCAGTGAGGTATTTACTGACATATTTTATGTAGAAGACCAAAACGTGAAAATCTGACCTTATTTCCTTACCAAAAACACATAAAAAAAACCCATTGACTTCCAGAAGAGGGAACAGGAAGTGCTAAAATGCTGACTCTCAGGGTTTGAGGACTCATTCCCTTGGCTCAGAGGTAAACATGGCGCCCGTCACACCGTCTGCAGACCTCTCTCGTGCCCGTCCAGCTGCACCTTGATCTTGTGCAGCTCCTCGATCTCCTCGTGGTGTCGGTCCGTCTTGTGGCGCACCAGCGAGCGGTAGAAGTGAATGGTGAAGACGACGAAGATCACGCCCACCGGCACCATGATGATGGTGGAGGCCAGCGCCGCCTGAAAGCCGGTGTTCGAAGCAGTGGGGGGGGCGGGGGAAGCTGTGGAGGTGGAGCTCTCTGTGTTGCAGGTCTTTTTGGGAAGGCACGAGTCTACGGGCAGGAATTTGATCCAGCAGAGGAGCACCACCTCGGCGAGGAACAGCAGGATGCCCAGCGCGGTGGAGAAGCCCCAGGCCAGCTCGATGTAGAGGTGCATGCGCTCGTGCGGAGACTCGCTGACGGAGTTCAGGTTGTGGATGTTGCTGACGGCCTCCACGTTGGGCAGGATGCAGGTGCTGATGAGCAGGGCGAACAGATGCACCGCCACCAGCACCGTGGTGCACACGCTGAAGGCTATGAGGAGCGCAGGGTGGTAGTTGTACTGCATCTCCAGCTGCACCTCCACCATCGCCACCTGAACACACGGAGAACCAGGATTAAAAGAAGGATTCAGATACCTGGGTTCATGTAGAGATACCAGTCGAGGAATGCTCTGTTACAAGTAGGTGTTAGCATCAAAGGATACTTAAAGCACCAAAGGTCAGAGAGGGCAAAAGTACACACATCCTTTACTCAAGTAGAAGTACAGATACTCGTGTTTAAAAATACTCTGGTGAAAGTAGAAGTACTGACTAAACTTCTTTACTCAAGTCAAAGTAAAGAGGGCTTTGAAATGTACTTCAGTAAAAAGTACCCATAACTAGCAGCTGTTTTAAAGAGTACCTGACCTCCCTTTATATTAATAGAACAATAATGTCATTGTTAGCTAATGAATGTTTCCATGCTGAACAACGGCAACATGACAACGTTTTCATTGGTCCCTCTTCTTTAGAGAAGACCAGGAAATGATGGATACACGGATCGTGTTCAAATCAATAGGCACGCAATGACTCTAAATAATAATGATCACGCCACCAAACACACATTCAAACTAAAGGAACCAGCCTGTTTGGGAAATGTGAGAAGTAGAAAGTACAGGTATTTGAGTTCAACATGTAAGAAGTAGAAAGTACAGGTATTTGGGTTCAACATGTAAGAAGTAGAAAGTACAGGTATTTGTGTTCAACATGTAAGAAGTAGAAAGTACAGGTATTTGAGTTCAACATGTAAGAAGTAGAAAGTACAGGTATTTGTGTTCAACATGTAAGAAGTAGAAAGTACAGGTATTTGTGTTCAACATGTAAGAAGTAGAAAGTACAGGTATTTGGGTTTAACATGTAAGAAGTAGAAAGTACAGGTATTTGGGTTTAACATGTAAGAAGTAGAAAGTACAGGTATTTGTGTTCAACATGTAAGAAGTAGAAAGTACAGGTATTTGGGTTCAACATGTAAGAAGTAGAAAGTACAGGTATTTGTGTTCAACATGTAAGAAGTAGAAAGTACAGGTATTTGTGTTCAACATGTAAGAAGTAGAAAGTATAGGTATTTGGGTTTAACATGTAAGAAGTAGAAAGTACAGGTATTTGGGTTTAACATGTAAGAAGTAGAAAGTACAGGTATTTGTGTTCAACATGTAAGAAGTAGAAAGTACAGGTATTTGGGTTCAACATGTAAGAAGTAGAAAGTACAGGTATTTGGGTTCAACATGTAAGAAGTAGAAAGTACAGGTATTTGAGTTCAACATGTAAGAAGTAGAAAGTACAGGTATTTGAGTTCAACATGTAAGAAGTAGAAAGTACAGGTATTTGTGTTCAACATGTAAGAAGTAGAAAGTACAGGTATTTGAGTTCAACATGTAAGAAGTAGAAAGTACAGGTATTTGTGTTCAACATGTGAGAAGTAGAAAGTACAGGTATTTGTGTTCAACATGTAAGAAGTAGAAAGTACAGGTATTTGAGTTCAACATGTAAGAAGTAGAAAGTACAGGTATTTGTGTTCAACATGTAAGAAGTAGAAAGTACAGGTATTTGTGTTCAACATGTAAGAAGTAGAAAGTACAGGTATTTGTGTTCAACATGTAAGAAGTAGAAAGTACAGGTATTTGGGTTCAACATGTAAGAAGTAGAAAGTACAGGTATTTGTGTTCAACATGTAAGAAGTAGAAAGTACAGGTATTTGTGTTCAACATGTAAGAAGTAGAAAGTACAGGTATTTGGGTTCAACATGTAAGAAGTAGAAAGTACAGGTATTTGTGTTCAACATGTAAGAAGTAGAAAGTACAGGTATTTGAGTTCAACATGTAAGAAGTAGAAAGTACAGGTATTTGTGTTCAACATGTGAGAAGTAGAAAGTACAGGTATTTGTGTTCAACATGTAAGAAGTAGAAAGTACAGGTATTTGTGTTCAACATGTAAGAAGTAGAAAGTACAGGTATTTGTGTTCAACATGTAAGAAGTAGAAAGTACAGGTATTTGGGTTCAACATGTAAGAAGTAGAAAGTACAGGTATTTGTGTTCAACATGTAAGAAGTAGAAAGTACAGGTATTTGGGTTCAACATGTAAGAAGTAGAAAGTACAGGTATTTGTGTTCAACATGTAAGAAGTAGAAAGTACAGGTATTTGTGTTCAACATGTAAGAAGTAGAAAGTACAGGTATTTGTGTTCAACATGTAAGAAGTAGAAAGTACAGGTATTTGTGTTCAACATGTAAGAAGTAGAAAGTACAGGTATTTGTGTTCAACATGTGAGAAGTAGAAAGTACAGGTATTTGTGTTCAACATGTAAGAAGTAGAAAGTACAGGTATTTGTGTTCAACATGTAAGAAGTAGAAAGTACAGGTATTTGTGTTCAACATGTAAGAAGTAGAAAGTACAGGTATTTGTGTTCAACATGTAAGAAGTAGAAAGTACAGGTATTTGTGTTCAACATGTAAGAAGTAGAAAGTACAGGTATTTGTGTTCAACATGTAAGAAGTCAAAGTAAAAAGTCGTCAGAAAAATAAGTAGTGGAGTAAAGTACTGAGACCAGAAACATGTACTTAAGTACAGTAACAAAGTATTTGTACTCCACTACTTCCCACCTCTGCACTTGGGTTAAAGTAGAAATACCAGTCTAGGAATACTGTGTTACAGTAAGTAACTGCATTCAAAAGATTCAGATTGTAGTCTTTCACCAATGCATTGGACATTTTAAACCAAAGCAGAGTGGAAGAGTGCTATTAGGAGGCCAAAATAGTTTTTCAGGTATTACAAAAATATTTCTAAAATGTTTGCTTATTATACTTTACTAAGGGTATTATTTTCAATACAGAAACTTTACCTGAAACAGATTATGTACAAGAAAATTGCTATTTTTAAGCTGGCTTGGATGTTTTCATTTGTGTAAAAGTACAATTCCTGTTCATTTCCTGCAGGTTGTTGGTTAAAAACAGTAGGATGGACATTTAACTATCCTGGTTGAATCATCAGCACACAAAAAAAAGTTTTTTCCATTAAATATCTTCTTATAAAGAGTCAGAAGGAAATAAAAGAGAGAATGAAACTGTGACTCCTGATGTAGATTGCAGAGAAACATCCAATAGCAGAGCTCATTTTGTTTTGCTTGTGCCACTAAAGAAATGTTTATCGGAAAGGAGATCCAGAATACAAAACGTAAGCAGTGAAGTTGCACGAAGTGGTTGAAAGCACAGACAGGAAGTCAAAAACCAGTTCCTGCCCACAGCTGTTTCCATCACTGAGATGCATTATCGTGGTTTCGCAATGTTCAGTGGAGAGAAGAACTCAAACCATGATCTGCCCGGAGAGCAGCTGAGAAACTAAAGACTTCACAACGTTCCAAACATTAAGCACCTCCATGTTAAGAGGTTAAAGGTCCCCTATTATACTGTTCTTCATCAATATATTATAGGTCTCAGATATATACAGAACATGTCTCTGATTGGCTGAAACACCAAACAGATCATTGCAGCATCCCATAATCCCCTCTGTTTCAGCCCTGTTTCCAAAGTGCTGATTCTCTGTCTGTTACTTTAGATAAAAATAAGGAGCCACTCCCCTATATAGTTTTTGTATCTATAGTTATTATAATAACAGTAACAGACCATAGCGAATCCGGACAGCAGGGCCGAGGTCCTGCTGGAGGCCTTGAGTTTGGCCCGGCTCAGGTACAGCTTCCTCCAGCTGAGCGCCTGCACAGAGTGATGGTTGGAGCTCACCAGCTCCAGGTAGCTGCGCCTCACCCAGTCCCTGTAGTCCATGCCCGCCCCATCAGGGGCTCGATCTGAGCCCATCGGCACGTTCAGCTCGCTGTTCATAGCACCTGGGGGGGAAACAAGGGACAACTGCAATTACAAAAAGTCAGAGTCCTCACTAACACTAAGAAAGTGGATCACATCAGTCCTGTTCTGAAGTCTTTACACTGGTTCCTCACTGACACTAAGAAAGTGGATCAGTCCAGTTCTGAAGTCTTTACACTGGTTCCTCACTAACACTAAGAAAGTGGATCAGTCCAGTTCTGAAGTCTTTACACTGGTTCCTCACTGACACTAAGAAAGTGGATCACATCAGTCCTGTTCTGAAGTCTTTACACTGGTTCCTCACTAACACTAAGAAAGTGGATCACATCAGTCCAGTTCTGAAGTCTTTACACTGGTTCCTCACTAACACTAAGAAAGTGGATCAGTCCAGTTCTGAAGTCTTAACACTGGTTCCTCACTGACACTAAGAAAGTGGATCACATCAGTCCTGTTCTGAAGTCTTTACACTGGTTCCTCACTGACACTAAGAGAGTGGATCACATCAGTCCTGTTCTGAAGTCTTTACACTGGTTCCTCACTAACACTAAGAAAGTGGATCACATCAGTCCTGTTCTGAGGTCTTTACACTGGTTCCTCACTGACACTAAGAAAGTGGATCAGTCCAGTTCTGAAGTCTTTACACTGGTTCCTCACTAACACTAAGAAAGTGCATCACATCAGTCCAGTTCTGAAGTCTTTACACTGGTTCCTCACTGACACTAAGAGAGTGGATCAGTCCAGTTCTGAAGTCTTTACACTGGTTCCTCACTGACACTAAGAAAGTGGATCACATCACTCCTGTTCTGAAGTCTTTACACTGGTTCCTCACTGACACTAAGAAAGTGCATCACATCAGTCCAGTTCTGAAGTCTTTACACTGGTTCCTCACTAACACTAAGAAAGTGCATCACATCAGTCCAGTTCTGAAGTCTTTACACTGGTTCCTCACTGACACTAAGAGAGTGGATCAGTCCAGTTCTGAAGTCTTTACACTGGTTCCTCACTGACACTAAGAAAGTGGATCACATCACTCCTGTTCTGAAGTCTTTACACTGGTTCCTCACTGACACTAAGAAAGTGGATCAGTCCAGTTCTGAAGTCTTTACACTGGTTCCTCACTGACACTAAGAAAGTGGATCAGTCCAGTTCTGAAGTCTTTACACTGGTTCCTCACTGACACTAAGAAAGTGGATCAGTCCAGTTCTGAAGTCTTTACACTGGTTCCTCACTGACACTAAGAAAGTGGATCACATCAGTCCTGTTCTGAAGTCTTTACACTGGTTCCTCACTGACACTAAGAAAGTGGATCAGTCCAGTTCTGAAGTCTTTACACTGGTTCCTCACTAACACTAAGAAAGTGCATCACATCAGTCCAGTTCTGAAGTCTTTACACTGGTTCCTCACTGACACTAAGAGAGTGGATCAGTCCAGTTCTGAAGTCTTTACACTGGTTCCTCACTGACACTAAGAAAGTGGATCACATCACTCCTGTTCTGAAGTCTTTACACTGGTTCCTCACTGACACTAAGAAAGTGGATCAGTCCAGTTCTGAAGTCTTTACACTGGTTCCTCACTGACACTAAGAAAGTGGATCAGTCCAGTTCTGAAGTCTTTACACTGGTTGCTCACTGACACTAAGAGAGTGGATCAGTCCAGTTCTGAAGTCCTTACACTGGTTCCTCACTGACACTAAGAAAGTGGATCACATCAGTCCTGTTCTGAGGTCTTTACACTGGTTCCTCACTAACACTAAGAAAGTGGATCACATCAGTCCAGTTCTGAAGTCTTTACACTGGTTCCTCACTGACACTAAGAAAGTGGATCAGTCCAGTTCTGAAGTCTTTACACTGGTTCCTCACTGACACTAAGAAAGTGGATCAGTCCAGTTCTGAAGTCTTTACACTGGTTCCTCACTGACACTAAGAAAGTGGATCACATCAGTCCTGTTCTGAAGTCTTTACACTGGTTCCTCACTAACACTAAGAAAGTGGATCACATCAGTCCAGTTCTGAAGTCTTTACACTGGTTCCTCACTAACACTAAGAAAGTGGATCACATCACTCCTGTTCTGAAGTCTTTACACTGGTTCCTCACGAACACTAAGAAAGTGGATCAGTCCTGTTCTGAAGTCTTTACACTGGCTTCCTGTGTGTCAAAGAAATGATTTCAAAATATTGTTGCTGGTTTATAAAGCACTGAATGGTTTAGGCCCAAAATACATTTCTGACCTCCTGCTAAATTATGAACCATCCAGAACTCTCAGGTCTTCAGGGACTGGTCAGCTTTCTGTCCCCAGAGTCAGAACTAAACATGGAGGAGTTCAGTTGTTATGCTCCAAATATCTGGAACAAACTCCCAGAAACCTGCAGGTCCGCTTCATCTCTTACTACTTTTAAATCCAGGCTGAAGACTTTTCTTCTTGCCGCTGCTTTTAATTGAACTATTCACATCTCACACTGCACTGTAACTTTTATTCATGTACCTGTGTTATTCATGTTTTATAGAGTGCCACAGTGATGTGTCCTAAAACCCGGAAGTAAGTTAGCATTTTACCCCTTCCGGTTCCTTCGACAAAAACCAATGCAATTTCTCCATCGGATTTTGGAAAATAGCTGGAAATAAGGTCTGTGGTTGAGACACATTGAAGAGACGGATCACGTTTTGTTCAGCCGGATAATCTCCACAAGTCTACCCTACTTTTATAATTTTCTAATCATAAATCTAATCGATAGATTTATGATTCGAAAAAAGGAGTTTACTTCCGGGTTTTAGGACGCGTCACTGTGGCACTCTATTATCTTTGCTTTTAAACGAGTGTTTTTAAATGTCATTTTATAATATGTTTCTTAATGTCTTTTAATGTCTTTCATTTTTGTAAAGCACTTTGAATTGCCTTGTGTTGAAAGGTGCTGTATAAATAAACTTGCCTTGCCTTCCAAATATCATCAAAACTAAAAATCTTTCCCACACAACCCCCGATTTCATTATATTTGTTATTTATTTATCTAATGTTCTTTTTGTCCTTTTTTCTATGCATTTGTGTGTTTTTGTGATAAATGTTTGTAAAAAAAAAAAAAACTGCAATTCAGTTTTTGATAGGTTAGCAAGTGGAGACGCGAGAAGACATTTATCATGCAAGCTGGGTCATTTCCTTAAAAAAAAGGCAGTTTTATTTTAAGAACTTAAAAATAAACATCAATCAAAGAAACAAATAGTCTTCTGTCTGCTGCTCAGAGTGTAATCTGTGTGTGTGTGTGTGTGTGTGTGTGTGTGTGTGTGTGTGTGTCTGTGTCTGTGTCTGTGTCTGTGTCTGTGTGTCTGTGTCTGTGTGTGTGTGTGTGTCCATCAATTCTGTTCATCTTCAACAATAATCTCCCTTTTAGGGGGAAACAACAAATATTCCCACAACCCACAGTGAACTCTAGTGTGTGTGTGTGTGTGTGTGTGTGTGTGTGTGTGTGTGTGTGTGTGTGTGTGTGTGTGTACGTATATGTCCTAGTAGATGGAAGGAGAACAGGAAATAACTACATTTAGATCAATGATAAAGCAAGAATACAAACTTAAAAACTAACAGTCAACAAAAAGGTCAAGAAGACTAAACTGTGATCTAATGGGTGGAAAATGGCAAAGCAAATGAAAGCAGTAACGTTTCTTTACATAATGTATTAATAATAATCATATGTCGGTTCCAATGCTGCAGTATTTTGAAACTAACTCACCTTGCTTTCTGTGATGATGCTCTGATGAACGTGGTGCATTACTTTAGTTGAGATAGTTCCCTTTTTTATCGTCAATGCGACACAAGATGTCGAGCTAAAAATAAATCTGATTCTCAAACTTTGTTGTAAAATCAAAGTGACTTTTCACTTTTATGTTCTGTTGTTAATTGTTTGGTTAACTTGAATAGAAAGTAAATATTGTGTCTGCAGAATATGACTGTACTTTTACACAATAGCGTGTTCATGTGTGTGCCGACAGCTTAAAGAGGTCATTTCCTGCCACAACGACACAAAGTACAAAGCCAGGTTTATAAATAAAATGTGTGGTTATCATCAGTGGTTCAACTCTAAATACTTGAACCAACAATTGTATGACTACATTTCTGTTTACATATCTGTTTATACAAGCTGTTATAAACCTAATAAGCTACTTTTTAAGGCGCCACATTTCACTTTGTTATATCTTGCGTTCTCATTTTGCTAAAATGTGTGTATTTCCTTTTTTGTTTATATTTAATACGAATATTTGGTAGATTTTTTTTGCCAAGGACTTAAAATATGACAACTCAGTTTTGTAATATGTGCAAAAGTGTGCACAAGAATAGATGAAATGTTATAGTGTTTAACTTTGATCCTCTTTCTGCTGTAAGTGTGTGTAGCTCCTGTACACAAACACAGACTGTGCTCCAACAGAAACTCCAGTTTTTCAAGTTTGTCCAAACCTGAACAAACCTTTGAAGGTGACAGAGGCAGCATGCCAAGCCAACAGAACATATGTATTATTTAATGCATCTTTTACACTAAATCTGGTGACTGTATTATAAGCACGAGTGGACAAAGTACTATTTGTACTATTTTACTTCCATAAAAGTAGTAATAACACAGTGTAGGAAAAACTCTGTTACTAGTAAAGTACAAGTCCAGGATGCATTTATTTTAGCATTACAATGTACTTAAAGTTCCACAACTAAAAGTAGTCATTATAAAGACTGGCCATTTTCACTATAATATATATATAATATTTCAGTGGACTTTATTGAATGATTCATTAATGAGTTCATCACTGTATTGTTGAAGCTAGTAGAGATGGGGCTAACTTGAATGATTCTTCAACTAAATATTGTGAATCCCAATTCATTAAACTATGTATATGTTTTATTAATAATATGAGCCTGTCATGTAACTAGTCATTTGGTCTACCTATGTTGTAAAATGTATTATCTTTTCGATGTACACACGGCATCTATTGCACGTCTGTCCGTCCTGGGAGAGGGATCCCTCCTCTGATGCTCTCCCTGAGGTTTCTCCCATGTTCCTTTAAACTGTGGGTTTCTCTGGAAGTGTTTCCTTGTACGATGTGAGGGTCTAAGGACAGAGGGTCTAAGGACAGAGGGGGTCGTATTGTCATACTGATATTCTACAAACTGTGAAGTCCACTGAGACAAATGTAACATTTGTGATATTGGGCTATATAAATAAACATTGATTGATTGATTGATTTCGTATACACAATCTGGTAAATGAATTCAAAGCTTAGGGGGTGCATTAAGGGCAGTGGTGGACCACTTTAACTATTAACTAACTAATACTAAACTACTGATTAAGTTACATTTTCAACTGCAGGACTTTTGACTCATAACAGATGATTTTTTTACAGTGTGATACTAGTACTTGTAACCTATCTAAAGGCTCTCTATACTTCTCTTTAGAGTAAAGCACCTCCTGAGTGCACCTTGTGTATATTTAGACTGCTAAGTTAGAAGGATCCGTTTACCAAGTTGTGCTAACATAAAGCTTTTTATTTTAATCTACGCCCCTGGAGAGCCAGAATTATAATGTAAAACATTCTGGAACAAAAACATGAACTACCCCCATTTGTTACTAACATTGTCACTTTGCATTAGAGGTGTTTCCTGTATGTGAACAGTGTGTATGTAAGCAAACAGCATTGAGTTTGTGTTTAGGATAAGCAACCTAGAGGCTACTACTTGAGCTCAGTTTGTTTTAAGATTAGATACACTTGTAATGATCCTCAGATGGGAAATAAGGTTGTTGTTGCAGCAGCAGGAGAACAGACATAAGTAGGGGATACATATACAAATAAACATTATAACTTAGAGGTCAGCTTATAGGAAAGACAATATGCAAGAGCATCGAAACAGCTTATACTTGTTTGCATTTTAGAAATTGGCACCAATAAAAGTATGCTGAACTAGCTATTATTAGTTCCTGTCTGCATTTAACCCATGCATTAACAGTGAAACACTTTAATACTGAATACAACTCAAACACTGTGCTTATAGGAGCTTCTTTTCTGTGTATGAGCAGATTTACGAGTGTTTAAACCTGAAGTAACTTCTTCCATCTCTGCATTCATCGCAGGACAGCGGCTAGTTAGCTAACTTTATTAGCGAACAACATTTCGTATGAATTCACTCGTCTTTTTTTATTTAAACACTTTTATTTGATCTTACCTGTTTCCCGAGGTGCCTTTTGAGTTATTAAAGCTCCCAAACTGAGAGAAAGTCACTGAAAAACACAGTCAATTATAAATATTTGGTCCTCTTCAGTGTTTTGATGGACAAACTTCCGCTCTTCACATCAACGGCTCTCAACCGTCGATCAACGGTCGGTTAACGGGTGACTCTTTGTCGGCATTTCTTTGTGCCTATCTGTCCTGCTCTATCCCCCCCGACTGTCAGGTGAAATCACCGGGCATTTGGTTGTCTGTTTTCGGGCGTTTCTCAGCACAACACAGACCCAGAGGCAGGGGAGGGAAAGTGAAGAAGACTAGTCACTGACTTCCGGTTGGGCGTGTTGCCTTCAAAATAAATTGCACAGAAATCTAAACTTGAAAAAGGTCATTATAATAAAAACATGTTTGTACGTAGGTATAAACCACATACATTTTTACCGAACTGTATTTAATTGGGATAAACGCCCTTTAGATGAACCATCTGGTTTGAATGGGGGTCCTAACATATAGAACCACACAGCAAGAGAGTAAAGAAAATAACCAGTATAAGGCAGTAGCGTGGCGTGGGGAAAAATTTAGGGGAAGCCCATTTTTTTGGGTTGGTTGGGGGGGGGGGGGGGGGGGGGGGTCAATAACGTAACCAGATGAGTGATTACAGCGCCCGGTATCATTTTACACACATTTGTATCACACATATGAAGGACTTGCACACACCGGTTATCTAACCGACAGGTCCGCACGCACTCTCCAGCCGAAACTCTCGTTTTATTAATTTAAGCATTTCCTTATTAATTTATGCAGACACACCCCCCCCCCCCCCCCCCCCAAATGCAATACCAGCCGCTCAATGCGCAGTGCAGATTCGGTAATGAATAAAAAAGAAGCATTCATTCACAAAGTAAATCGGAGACCTTTAAAGTTTTATGTACACATCAAAGTATCAGTAGGCGTGTATGAAACACATGAATTCAAAAACAATTATGTACAGAAACATTTGCATGCAATAGTCCACCTTCTCTTCCCTTCCCTTTCTAACACACGGCAAGTGCAGCAACAGTCCTCGTCTCTGTAATTAGCTCAGTAGTAAGTAACTAAAAAATATAAACAATCTCATCTCTTCAGGTGAAATCGCCAGCCGCCTCTGAAGGGAAGCCAGAGTTACACGGGTTGCGTTCGAATACTCCAAAAAAACAGCTCCTAAGTTCTAACCCTATCGTCTATTCCTTGACCTCGGAGTGGAACGTCATGGGGTTAAGGGGGAGTGGATAGGAGAATTCAAAAGGACTTAGGAGAAGAGACTGTGGGTGTTTCTCAATCGCGAGTAAAGCTGCTTCAGAGCCACTATTTCAAGCATACTACGTCATCGAGTGCCGCCGAAGTACTGTTCCAATCTCCAGCATACTTGGAAATCTACCGAGCCCGGCGTACTCCGTTTGGAGAAATATCGAGGCTGCACATGAGTAGACTCCGCGGTCTTAAAATCCCCACAATGCTTTGCGCACGGACCAATTTCCCCAAATCTGTGGCGGAAGATGTAAGGCGGGGCCTCTCATATGACGCACAACTGCACACTTGCTAGCCTGTTCGACTCTTTGTTTTCCAAATGCCAGGAAGTATTCTTGACTCGCTTCTGAAGCAAGATGCTCGGCAGACATGTGCTACCAAGCAAGCGTACTCGCGATTGAGAAACACCCTGTGGCACTTTAGAGAATCCGACTGCACTTTCACTATCCGACGTGTTTATGATGCGCCAGCGGAGGTCATAAATGTGCGCCTGCTGCGGTGGGGAAACTATGGAAACTACAGTTTTCTATACAGCGGACTACAACAGGGATGTTTAATAAGAACGAGGGACTACTGTAAACTCATCTAGAGACTCTGCACCGTGCTCTGATGCTGTTATGCTTTATGAACGGGGACAACAGAGAAAGATATTCTTCATGACCAAAGTTGGAATTGAAATAAAAAAGGAAAGTGAAACTTATGCTCGTCACCCTCTCCCTCCGGTCCACATTAATACAAATGATCCCAATACGTATGATTGTGTGAACTATGAAAAGATCTTAAAATAAATACAAATGTATTTATTATAAACGTTAGTCCTTAACATCTATCACTGTGTATATCACCATTCAAACATCTTTTAAAAAGTTGAACAAACCCCACACAGCTTAGTAAAGACTGTGAAATGTTGACTTTATTTGATCATTTCAGTCAAAACTAACGTTCACATTTCCCTTTTTGATTATAATACTGATGAACGTTCAAAACAAAGCACTTTGGCAACTTACCACATACGTTTTGAACCGTAACTTTCATGATATCATTTCTCGTTCATAATCGATTGTTTCCGTGAACGACCGGACATTCCCTCGGCTTAAATGCCGCGGCCGCAAGGCATTGTGGGGCAGCATTTTCTCCTCTCATGTCGGTTAGGGAGGTCCAGTGGTTCCTAAGCTAAAGGAGGTTATAAAGGAAGTTTGAAACCTCCTTTCCTTTCATCTAGAGAATTCGAACGGCACTTATCATGGCTGCCACTGAGGGACTTCCGGGTCATTTCACTCCGTTAGGAAGGTTCCTAAGCTAAATGGACTATTCGACCGCAACCCTGGCTTCCCTTGGCATGGCCCTGACCAATCACAGGTTGGCAGGGGCATCACGTGGGCCTCATCTGATTGGTCAATCCCTCAATTTTCTTCACCAAGGGAAGCTTGATCCGACTGGCCTCCTCTCGCACCAGTGAATGCAATCTACTGTTTCACCATAACATCTAGAGGGGCGCTGTTTGTTTCACTCTTTGTAAAATACTCAATGAGAGTGGGGGAGAGACGGGCCGGCAGCAACACACAGCAAAGGAGAATTATCGAAACAAAACAAAGTGTTTTTATTTATTTATTTAAATTATAACTACAATCCGAAAAAACAGGGGAAGCCTGGCTTCCCTTGGCCTCCGGGAGAAAACGCCACTGGTATAAGGCACACAACATTCTAAAATTGGCCATTTTCTTTTTGGTACTTAAAGGTGGGGTAGGTAAGTTTGAGAAACCGGCTCGAGAGACACTTTTTGTTATATTCCATGGAATGCTCTTAACATCCCGATAGCAATGAATATTTTAAGTGCTTTGACAAAAAATCCATACAAAAATGTCATCTGTGGAAGCCGTAGTAGGCTACTGTAAAAAGCACGACCAATCATTTTAACCGGCCCGGCTAAAATAACTGGATGGCCTACCTGTGTGTTGGAGGAGGGGCTCTGTGAGGAAGTGGCAGATTTTTTACGGCTGTGTATTTTCAAATTCTAGCGATCTCGAGCTGGTTTCTCCAAAATTACCTACCCCACCTTTAAGTAGATTCTGTTGCATGTTTTTTCTTTAGTGGAGTCATGAGAACTCACGAAGGACGCTTTGTACATAACATCCGCAGGTCATTGGTCACTAGTCCTCATGTACTCGTGAAGATAATAACCACAGCATTGTTTGAATGTGAACTGTACAGAAAAGTGAGCTACTCAAACCCTCTGTAAACTTCCATTTGGACAAAAGGCAATCAAGGAGAGGTTGGAGTTAAATGCAATCACATTTCTCAAATGATGGACTTTAGCCTGGTGGCATTTCCACAGTGTCAGTGACAGCAGTGCATTAATTACTGTTACATATTATATCAGACATCTCCATTTGGATGCAGCCTATTTTTATAAAGGGTCCAGGGTCCATTTTGATGAGCTGGCAATGCAAACAAAAATTAACCCTGACCTTCCTCAAGCTCCGAATAAACAGTTCAATTTTACACCGCAGCACTTATAGACATCTTATTAAGCAAACACATTTTCTCCACGCGAAGAAAGTGAGCTTTATCCAGTTTTCTCCACTATAAGGGGACCCTAAGGTGAACTTCATCCAGTTTTCTCCACTATAAGGGGACCCTAAGGTGAACTTCATCCAGTTTTCTCCACTATAAGGGGACCCTAAGGTGAACTTCATCCAGTTTTCTCCACTATAAGGGACCCTAAGGTGAACTTCATCCAGTTTTCTCCACTATAAGGGACCCTAAGGTGAACTTCATCCAGTTTTCTCCACTATAAGGGGACCCTAAGGTGAACTTCATCCAGTTTTCTCAACTATAAGGGGACCCAAAGGTGAACTTCATCCAGTTTTCTCCACTATAAGGGGACCCAAAGGTGAACTTCATCCAGTTTTCTCCACTATAAGGGACCCTAAGGTGAACTTCATCCTGTTTTCTCCAGTGGAAAGGCACCTTACAGAGTACATTATCTGGTTTACTCCACTGGAAGGGCAGCTAGAGTCCACTTCATCCCCTTTCCTCTGCTCTTAGGTATCCCTATGGGAACTCTATGCATTATCTCCACTGAAAAGGCACCAATGGGAGACATTTTATCCAGTTTTCTTTGATGTTGGGACATGTTTAATCCACAATACAGGCCTCCAAAAGGGAATGTTTCTATGCAACATTATGGGTCAGCTGCACAATTGTATTTCAGTTATTCAGACCACATTTTCTTCATGCACCCCGTGATTGCTGCATGAGGACGCAGAATAGAGAGAACTTACAAATGTGTACATGACATCCTGAGGATAGCGTTGGTCATCCTTCTGGTCTTGTGATGATGACAATGGCAGCAGTGTTTACATGTATACGTTCAGAATAGTGAGCTACCATGACCAATATACTGTGTGCAAATGAACATACATGTCAAGGAGAAAAAAGTACATTATTTTGTTCCAAAATGTACCTCAATGTTCATTATATTTCACCACATAAAAACGGCAAAATAAATGTTTATTTCCTAAAATGTAATTGCTCATAACAGCTGATATCTTCATGGCAAACTCCCACTACTTTAACAGATAATAACAAAGGTGTACACAGAGTATTTAAAACATTTATTGAGTATCATCACAGAGTACAAGTGACACCAGACAGAAAGCACTTCCTCTCTTGTCCCATGTGTTTCCTCTCAAAGGCTTTACATGGTTAACAACAGAGGTCCAGTAGCTCTAGTGCACAGATTAACCTCCATCATTTTCTTTTTGCATAATAGATCTGTGGATATGTTTCTTTCTAGTTTCACCTAAAATGTCCTGGTAACGTTATATAAAACATAGATTTAATTATAAAAGCATCTGTTACCGTGCAGTAATAAACTAGTGTTTTTTTAGCCCCGTCTAAAGGCCTTAATGTGCGTTCACACAAATCCTACCAATCCACTCACTTCCTACTCAGTTCAGTGCCAGTATTTAAACTCATATCTGGTAAAAACTAATACATACTTTCACCAGTTCTTCGACATGATAGTGTGCTACTTTTGCAAAACATGCTGCTGCTTTAAGGACTTCTGTTTGTGTATTTCAACAGGCTTGGGGCTGCATTCATGTTTCCTAACCCTATCTAACCCCAAAAAGAGAGCCTATCAGTGGTGGAAGAAGTATTCTGATCCATTACTTAATACTCCACTACAAGTAAAAGTACCACATTGAGAATGTTACTTAAGTAGAAGTATTATAGCGTCAGGAAAATGTACTCAAAGTGTGTGAAGTAAAAGTACTCATTACAGAAAGAAAGTCAAAATTCTTAAATGACTTATTTTGAATAATCTGGTAAATCCTCACATTTGATCAAAATGAAATATGAAATGTTTTTGGTTTGTGAATTGCTAGTGTTTCTGGGTGTATTTAAACACAATGCTGGACAGTTTAATCAACATCAAAACATATATATTTTTAAAAGTTCTTTGTATGTTTCGTAACTTAAAATGAAAGTAATATAAGCAGTGTAATTTACACAGTGGACTAAAATGTACCATATTTCTTTCTTGGATGTAGTGTAGTACAAGTATAAAGTGCCACAGGAAGAAAATACATATATAAAAGTAACCCACATGTGTACCATTACTTTCCACCACTGGAGCTTACAGCTAGCCGTGCGAAACCAGCAGATACACCGGTCGGACCCTCGATTAAAGGAGTTCTTATTTTGGGGATGAATTGAGGGTTTTACTTAACGCTGACGACGGAGGTTTTGTGCAGAGACTCCATGACGGCGGCCAGGCGGCTGCACAGGTCGTGGGCCGGCGTCACCGGGACTTTGGGGGGGTCTTTGAGAACGATCCTCTCAGCAGAACCGTCCAGAACCCGCGGCAGAAACTCCCCCAGCTTCTCCTGCAAGGAGTCTGAAAACAGGAAGAGCAGCACAGGTAAAGAGGGGTTATGTAAGCGCTTTGAGCACCAGGAGAAGCGCTATATAAATCACATTAGTTGATATAGTTCCCTTTTGAGCTAAAAATAAATCACATGCGCAAACTTTGTTGTACAAATCAAAGTGACCCTCTTTCCACTTTTATGTCTGTTTTTAATTGTTTGGTTACCTTAGGTGCAATGAAAGTAATTGTTATTAATATTATTATTATTTTAGAGCATTTACTGTTTAAAGATACTACTTCTTCTAATTGTGCTCAGATAAGGACGCATGGAAATCTGCAGATTAAGAATACGAAGCAGAATAGAAAATAGTTTATTAATCTCTGGGGGGATTAGGGTTTTGTTACAGTTGCTCCATCTTAAAATACAATAACATCCAGGCTGAAGACTTTTCTTTTTGCCGCTGCTTTTAATTGAACTATTCACATCTTAAACTGCACTGTAACTTTTAACTTTTATCCATGTATTTTTTCTTTTAATGTTTATTTTATTATCTTTTCTTTTTAATGACTGATTTTAAATGCCATTTTCATAATGTCTTCCATTTTTGTAAAGCACTTTGAATTGCCTTGTGTTGAAAGGTGCTATATAAATAAACTTGCCTTGCCTTGCCTTGCCTTACAAGTGTAAACATAGAGAAACTAAAATGGAAATACTCAAATATAGTCTAATTATGTCCAAATAGTAATTAAGTACAGTGATTGAGTAAATGTACTTTTCCACCACGGGGTCAAACCATGTGTGACCCTTTTTCACCTGGGTATAAACAAGTGATCTGCAGCTGTGTTTTATTTCAGAATAAATAATAATAATGGAATCAAACTGATTGAACTCTCTCACCATGATCAAATCACAAATCAAAACTCACCTCTTCAGAACTGCTTTTAATCTGTCATTAATGTTGTGTTTTATATGTTTTTTTAAGTGTGTTGTTCTAATTATGTTTTGTGTCTTTGAGTTTCAAGAAAAGCGCTCTATAAATAAAACACATTATTATCAGAGGTGGGAAGTAGTGAAGTACAAATACTTCTATCTGTACTCAAGTACATTTTTCTGATATCAGTACTTTACTCCACTACTTATTATTCTGACTTTGTTTTTACTTTGAAATACCTGTACTTTCTACTTCTTACATGTTGAACACAAATACCTGTACTTTCTACTTCTTACATGTTGAACACAAATACCTGTACTTTCTACTTCTTACACGTTGAACCCAAATACCTGTACTTTCTACTTCTTACATGTTGAACACAAATACCTGTACTTTCTACTTCTTACATGTTGAACACAAATACCTGTACTTTCTACTTCTTACATGTTGAACACAAATACCTGTACTTTCTACTTCTTACATGTTGAACTCAAATACCTGTACTTTCTACTTCTTACATGTTGAACACAAATACCTGTACTTTCTACTTCTTACATGTTGAACCCAAATACCTGTACTTTCTACTTCTTACATTTCCCAAACAGGCTGGTTCCTTTAGTTTGAATGTGTGTTTGGTGGCGTGATCATTATTATTTAGAGTCATTGCGTGCCTATTGATTTGAACACGATCCGTGTATCCATCATTTCCTGGTCTTCTCTAAAGAAGAGGGACCAATGAAAACGTTGTCATGTTGCCGTTGTTCAGCATGGAAACATTCATTAGCTAACAATGACATTATTGTTCTATTAATATAAAGGGAGGTCAGGTACTCTTTAAAACAGCTGCTAGTTATGGGTACTTTTTACTGAAGTACATTTCAAAGCCCTCTTTACTTTGACTTGAGTAAAGAAGTTTAGTCAGTACTTCTACTTTCACCAGAGTATTTTTAAACACGAGTATCTGTACTTCTACTTGAGTAAAGGATGTGTGTGCTTTTGCCCTCTCTGATGACTGAGTATTCGCTCCTCCTACCCTCCATGTCTCTCCCCAGGCAGCAGCACCAGTGGCTCCGGATGCTCTCCATGGCGTCCCTGTCTTCTCGGGTCGGACTCTGCTCTCGACTCATCAGGTGAAGGCAGGGGATCACAGCCTCCTCCATGATGGAAACACCCTCCTCCACACTGTGCTGATCCCCACTGCAGAACAGCTGGGACGCACTGTCATTCATCGCCTGCAGGAGGTCAAGAGGTCAAGGCTTTTATTGTCACTAGTATATATAGCTTATAGTATATCATATCTGAGGTCACAGGCTCCTCCCACAGAGCAACACAATACAACAGATACACATAGTTAAAAGTGCAAGGAGAGTCTATAGACAAGTCATTGGGATATGATATATTAGATACATCAATTGTAAGTTGCAAACAAATTATTTATCGAAGGAGGACGAGGAGGAGGAGGAAGAGAGAGTTATCATCTTACTGTTTTCTGTGTTTAATTACTTTGCCAAACAGTATTTATAAATAGAATACAATTCCTTTATGTCAATGCACCAGGTACAATGACCTGTATCCTGCATTCTGACATATCAACAATAAATACATATATCTATGAACACAGATATATCTATGAACACAGATATATGTATGAACACAGATATATGTATGAACACAGATATATGTATGAACACAGATATATGTATGAACACAGATATATGTATGAACACAGATATATCTATGAACACAGATATATGTATGAACACAGATATATGTATGAACACAGATATATGTATGAACACAGATATATGTATGAACACAGATATATCTATGAACACAGATATATGTATGAACACAGATATATCTATGAACACAGATATATGTATGAACACAGATATATCTATGAACACAGATATATGTATGAACACAGATATATCTATGAACACAGATATATGTATGAACACAGATATATGTATGAACACAGATATATGTATGAACACAGATAGAGATCTAAACTAATTATAATTGTTATTTTTGTATGCTTTACTATTGAGCTCAGCTTTGTATCCACACTCTGCCTGTGTTACTCACAGTGAGACATTTCCTCCTGTAGACGGAGATGAGAGATTTCTCTAAGCCCCGCCTCTCTCCGTGCACCAGCAGCCCGCTGTTCGTCTCGTAGGCGTGAGCGAGGAAAATCAGAGCCTCTCGCATCCTAAAGAAACACAACAGCGTTTAACAAAACAAGAGAAACAACACCTGAGAGACTCACACCTGAGAGACTCACACCTGAGACACTCACACCTGAGAGACTCACACCTGAGAGACTCATACCTGAGAGACTCACACCTGAGAGACTCACACCTGAGAGACTCACACCTGAGAGACTCACACCTGAGAGACTCACACCTGAGAGACTCACACCTGAGACACTCACACCTGAGAGACTCACACCTGAGAGACTCACACCTGAGACACTCACACCTGAGACACTCACATCTGAGAGACTCACACCTGAGAGACTCACACCTGAGACACTCACACCTGAGAGACTCACACCTGAGAGACTCACACCTGGAGTCACATGTTGAACATTAGATCTCACTTAGATTCAGTGTTTAAGAATGTGTTGTATGGATGTATGTGGATGCCAAAAAAATCCGTATAAACACGTCATTCTCCACAAAAAAATGCAGTCCTACTATTGGTAAGAAACTCCTTTTTTTGTATGTAAACAAATCATTGAGAGATATTTTAAAGGGGGAAACACTTCAGGTTATCATCTCAAGCTCAGAATTGTATTCCTGCTTAAAGGTGGGGTAGGTAATTCTCTTCAGATACACTTGTTGTTATATTCCATGGAATGCTCTTAACATCCTGATAGCAATGAATATCTGAAGTGCTTTGACAAAAAATACATAAATAAATATCATCTGTGGAAGCTGTAGTTCTGTAAAAAGCACGACCAATCATCTGAGCCGGCCCGGCTAAAATAACTGGATGGCCTACCTGCCTGTCAGCCTTCCATCTGTGCACAAACTTATCTCGTGCCCTCATTGGCCATGTGCGCGTTCGTGTGTGTTGGAGGAGGGGCTCTGTAAGGAAGCGGCAGATTTTCTCCGGTTGTGTATTTTCAAATTCTAGCGATCTCGAGCCGGTTTCTCCAAAATTACCTACCCCACCTTTAAGGGCTGTGAAATATAGTCAAAGTTTTTACAAAGTATTTCTTGATTTTAGTGAAACTATTTGAAGTGTTAAAACGTTGTCCTTCTCACTAGAAGAGTAAGAACCTTATACACGCTCATATGTATTCTTCATTATGTTGTATGTGCAGAATGATGATTGCAACTTTTCCTTTAGTTACGTTTCAAATAAATCTGTGGTATTTGATGTTTCTTTGTTAATCTGACACATGCCGGTTGTTGTAAACGTACTTCCCGTGTTGGTAGTGCTCCAGTCCGGTCAGCAGGTAGACGAACACCGTCCTGAAGAGCCTGTAGTCATCGTGCCACTGCTGTAAAGAAACACGGGACAAACAACAGTCAACATCAGTATCGTCTACGTAAGGGCTGGGGATTTGTTTGACAATGAGAAATAAATCCAATACCACCAGACTTATCCTTTTAATGAGTCTGGTATTCTGTAATGTTGTTTAATTGGTATTAGTACTAAACAGATACCTCTAGTGTGTCTCTTTTCAGATCATTGTCATATAGTCATATATAATGGATGGTATTTGTATTATTTGTTTACGTCACTTTTATTTGTTTGTTGAGCACTTCCAGTAATTGTCACATGGGTGTGTTTTGTGTATTTAGGTCACCAGAGGCCTGTACGACGAAGCCGGTTCAACATAACCTGGATATGTTTGAGTTACCCGGCTTACCTAATCCAAAACAAACGCGCTCTCGCTAAGCGGTCCTACGACGCTGGTTATCAACTCGTTAACTCAAGCCAGCTGTGCCCTATCTAGTTATGTGCGCGTTCACATGAAAGGGGCGGGGTTAGCAACATTTGACCAATCACAAACATGGAGAAGCGTACTGACAGCGCAGCGTCATAGTTCCTGAATGAAAAGTGAACTATAATATCCAGCCGTTCAGCACAAGTTACCATGGAGATCTAGCCCGCTAAAAAGTGAACCAGCGTCGTAGCTGTCATTTTTTCGGTTGATCGTTTTTGTCCGTGTAGTTGTCGTGTTTTGATTTTGTTTATGAAATATCGTCAAACTATCTTACTTCAGTATGGACTTTCTCTTTGAAAATGCGTCGCAGCTTATAGCCAAGCTTAGCCTCTCGGCGACTCAAACTGAATTGGAAATTGAGCCGCTACACCCAGTGAAAATATAACAAAAATGAACAGCATGTATCCCTGAATATTGTGAGCCCACCAGGTACTCGTCCATGTCCATGTCCTCGGGCTTGATGAGGCGCAGCTTGGTTCGAGCTTCCCTCATGATGCTGATGGCTCTGCAGACACATGAAGAAGATGAATGTTTTTATTTGACTGATACAGGAACAGTGAGCTGCAGGTCTCTGCTCTGCACACTAGAGGGCGGAAAAGCCATGCTCTAAGAAGTATTCAGATGAAGTAATACCATGATCCTAAAATACACCATGACACATAACAGTCCTGAAATGAAAAAGTAACATGAGTATTGTCACCCATGACCTTTAAGGCAGAGGTGGACAGAGTAATCAGATCCTTTACTTAAAGGGACCATGTCATGCTATTCCGGTTATTACCCGTCGTGTGTTATGAAGGTTTTTCTGCATGTAAACGGTCTGCAAAGTCACAAACCCTCAAAGTACACCCTGTAGCGAGTAAAACTCTAACACAGAAAATACCTGTCTATGTGCAAATGGACCAATCTGCGGACTTCCTCACACACACACACACACACACACACTCAATCTTCTCTCAGCTGCAGCTCCGCCGATTTCTTCTCCCTGAGACGGCGGGACGCGGCGAGGCTGTGAGTCGGTGTGTGAGCACACACACAAACTCACAGCCAGGCTGCGGGTGTGTGTGTGTGTTCGGGCTGGGTTTCGCTGTGTCTCGCAGACGGGCTCATAGGGAGGGGGGCGGCAGGAGCTCCAACAAGGCGTGTAGGACAGAGAGTGAATACACATACTATACAGAGATGCTGTTTGAGAAACCAATGTGAGTTTGGAACATTGAACAATGTAAATCTATTCTAGTAGACCTCAACAATGGAATTACGATCAGTAGAAATGGCCATGACATGGGACCTTTAAGTAAAAGTACTAATGTTGTACTGTAAAAATACTCTTTTATAAGTCCTGCATTGAGGAAATAGCTTAATTAGCAAAATGTAGTTAAGGTATTGAAGGTAAGAATGTCATTTTAAACTGTTGAATGTAAAAGAAAATAAAACAAGAAAAACACAGAAAAAAAATCAAATGAAATAAATAACAAAAATGACTACTGAATAGTTGATTAACCGACTAAGCTGTTGGCTCGTTTTTTATGCAAAACATTTGTACTGTTACAGTAACTAAAGTTGTAAAAAGTAAAAAAGTATTATATAAGCCCTTTGAATAGTTGTGTAATATAAGTATAGAGTGTCAGTAAATAAAACTGCAAGTACCTCAAATACTTGCAGTTGTCTAAATGCTTATAATGTTTGTTGTATAGCACGTCTAATTGCCTTGTGTTGAAACGTGCTGCTATAATAAACTTGTTTTTAAAAGACAGATATCTGAGATTCAACAGGGATCTTTTCCTCTTGTGTTATTCGTGGCCGTACCTCTCGTCGAAGCTCAGGTTGCGGTCGGTGAACTGCTCCAGCAGCGTCCTCTCGATGATACGGTTTGGCGCTTTGTTCTGGAAGAAGTAGACCAGAGAGTGCTGCAGGCGCACGTCCTCCGAGGGGGTCGTCTCCTCCTGGGAGAGCTCGAACAGCCGGGAGTACTCCTCATGGAAAGCCTGAGGAGCAGAGGGGGGGGGGTGGTTAGAGGTTTTAAAGGTCCCCTATTATACTGTTTCTCATCAATATATCACAGGTCTCAGATATATACAGAACATGTCTCTGATTGGCTGAAACACCAAACAGATCATTGTAGCATTACCCATAATCCCCTCTGTTTCAGCCCTGTTTCCAAAGTGCTGATTCTCTGTCTGTTACTTTAGATGAAAAAAAGGAGCCCCTCCCCACGCCCCTCTGAGAGAGATTTGGTTATAAAGAACACAATGGTGCTCTAGGAGGAGATTCAGGTGATAAGGTGGGGGGGGGGGGGGGGGGGGGGGTACCTTGGTTGGTGATTGGCTAATGGTTACACAAGACAAAACATCGTTATGACATCATCAAGTGGCCAAAATCTGATCAGCTCATTTTCAAACAGGTTTTTATAGAAATGGATCAGGACTTTTTCAGGTTTATTTAACCTCACAGTAGCGATGAAAGAAGTCCTTTACTTAATTAAACTACTAATACCACATTGTTAAGAGTTCAAATACAAATATATTTAAGGTTTAACTGTAAAAGTTCCCAATGCAGAATTGTTTTAACAGATTTATGTTTTTTTCTAAATACTATTATAAATTAGGTTATTTTTTTAATATATTATATTATTTAATTCCTTTTTTTGTATATATATACTATTTTCCATTTATATGATATATTGTTTTTCTTATATATTATTATAATTAACAAAATTACAACATTATTTAAATGTGTTTACATGGCAATTCATTTATTGGCTAATTAATATTTTAGAAGAACAAACTAAATCTTAAAAGTACCTACAGTAGTAATAAAAGCTGTAAAGTAATTGTAGTGGGAAAAAAAGTATATAATAGCTTAAAGTGAAAATAGTACATACAACTTTGACCTTAATTGCCTTTTATTGACTTGATTTGAATACATTTATAAAAAAAAGATTAAAAAAACTGTCGAATGAGAGAAAATGTAACTCCTGAATTTAAGGTTAAATATCAATATTTTATGTTTGCTGGCAGAAGTCCTTTTCAGAAAATGAAATCCTTAAAAGATTTAGAGTCTATATATTACGTGCGTCCTTCAGAATCAGATATAATAATAATATCAGAGCGCACCTTGATGAGTCCGGCCTCAGGGCCTTCCTTATCGAAGATCTGTCGGGCCTTGGCGATCGCTAAAATCACGCCCTGCATCGCCGGAGTCAGCATCATCTGGAAGTCAAAGAGTAAATAAAACACCAGCTGATAATGATGTACGTGCAAACATCCATTACTACATACTGGTTTGAAAAATATATATTTAAAATCAAACTCTGATAGTCGACGTGTAATGCAAAAAAGTTCATAAAAACAAATATACTATGAGGTACTCAAGTAAAGTGTTTCAGAGGCAAATACTTTTTACTTGTATTTAACATCGTAAGTTAGTGCGAGTTCCTGATATTAATAAAACACAAAAATCAAACAATTAATTTAATGTACTATTGCAGATTTTTTATTATAATACAAGGCAGAATAAGAAGTCATTCAAGTTATTGATAATATGAACCTATTGTTAAATAAATGTAATGGAGTAAATCAATATTTATCTCTCGAATGTAGTCAAGTAGAAGTCGAGGAGCATAAAAGGAAAATACTCAAGTAAAGTACCTCAAAATGTACCTTAATTACAGTAATTGATTAAATGTTCTTAGTTACTTTCCAACAATGAATCTGAGTTAAAGTGCACCTGTCATGCTATTTTTAGGCAATAGCATAGGTCTCAGATATATATAAAAATATATAAAAAACATGTCTATGAAGTGTTTTGCTCAAAATACCAAACAGATCACCCATTCTAGCCATGCCTCATATCCCTCTATTTCACTTCCTGTTTCAAAAGTGCTGATTTGGGGTATAAAGCGTTAAAAAACCAAAAAGGAGGGGTCTGAGCTCATGTGGGACCCAGCAGCTACCGTCTAAACTAAATACTGCCGTGATGAAACGCCATATCATGGATTATCAAGGATTCTTTCTGAAACAGTATGGAGCTCAAAGGCTTTCTCTCTTGCCGGTTATACCACAAGGTGAGTTCCTTTTGATTTCCTGCTTCTTCACACACATGCTCTCCAGTACAGGTTAGCTCTGAGTGTTAGCGATGCTAATGTAAACAAAGACCATATTACGTCCAAAACAGTCGGGCATTGTTTCTGATAGCAACGTTTCTGATAGGGCCGTGGGTCCACATTTCAGATATTACGTCATATCGGACGCAAATCTGGATCAGCTCCCTTGTTCCCCCGTTTTTAGAGATTTGGGTACGGAGGAAAAGAGAGAGGGTTTTATTTTCTGACGCTGCGTGAGTTCCCTGACACACCGGGGACACACCTTTCTGTATAAAAGACATCAAAAAGTGCATTTTGCATGATAGGTCCCCTTTAATATATATCGTAAAGCATTTCTCTTTTAAAAGGCTGCATCCTCACGGCATGTATGTTCTTTTATTGCTTCAATCCTCACTTTTAACCCAGATTTATTTATATTTGGGAGACTAACGTTTTCTATGTACAGTAGTATTAGCTATTCTCCCTGCTCCTTTCCAACATGCACTATAAAAAAAACAAAAAAACAGCCAGTATAAGTGTACATGTTTTGTAAAGTGTACATGTTTTGTAAAGTGCACATGTTTTGTTTTCAAATAACTGCCATGTGTGGAATAGAAAAAAATGACTACATGTCCTCACCTCCTCGTTGTATCCGTCAGCGTCGGCTCTCACCATGATCCGGCCCACGTTGGGGATCTCCACCTCGGAGACTACGTTCTCTCTGACCGGGACCTCCTGCTGCTCCTCCTCCTCCTCCTCCTCCTCCTCCTCTTCAGGGGTCTCTCTGGAGGCCTCTGACCCGCCTGCAGTGTGAGGAACTCGGGCTGCCGTCTGAGTGTCGTCCCTCTCCACATGGAGGTCAGAGGGCGTCGGGTTAATGAGCGCTGAGTCATGAGTCTGATGGAGAGAAAGATTTAAAGAGGTTATATTAGGATTGTTGGGGTGTTCCCTTTCCTGTAGTGTGTTATATTGGTTTTTGTGCATGTCAATGGTCTGCAAAGGCTAAAATCTCTGTTTCTCTCCCACAAGATCCCCCCTCCCCCTGCCTAAAACGCCTCAATTAGACTCATTTGATACTTTTGGAACATAGTGACATCACTATTGATCACTCGCGCTCCTATTGGCTAGCTCTCCAACACATTGTACGTGATAGGCTAAGAGGCGGGACATTTCTAAGCGGTTGACCAATCACAACAGAGCCGGCCAGCTAACCAATCAGAGCAGACTGGGCTCTGGTTTCAGACAGAGGGTGAAAAGAGGTGCTGCAGCACAGGCAGTATGAGAAAAATAAAGAGCTTTTTGAACATTAAAGCATGGAGACATGTAGAGACACTACATACTGATATACACCTGAACATCAGCAGGAGAGGACTCTTTAAAGTAGAGACACTACATACTGATATACACCTGATCATCAGCAGGAGAGGACTCTTTCAAGTAGAGACACTACATACTGATATACACCTGAACATCAGCAGGAGAGGACTCTTTAAAGTAGAGACACTACATACTGATATACACCTGAACATCAGCAGGAGAGGACTCTTTAAAGTAGAGACACTACATACTGATATACACCTGAACATCAGCAGGAGAGGACTCTTTAAAGTAGAGACACTACATACTGATATACACCTGAACATCAGCAGGAGAGGACTCTTTCAAGTAGAGACACTACATACTGATATACACCTGAACATCAGCAGGAGAGGACTCTTTAAAGTAGAGACACTACATACTGATATACACCTGAACATCAGCAGGAGAGGACTCTTTAAAGTAGAGACACTACATACTGATATACACCTGAACATCAGCAGGAGAGGACTCCTTAAAGTAGAGACACTACATACTGATATACACCTGAACATCAGCAGGAGAGGACTCTTTAAAGTAGAGACACTACATACTGATATACACCTGAACATCAGCAGGAGAGGACTCTTTAAAGTAGAGACACTACATACTGATATACACCTGAACATCAGCAGGAGAGGACTCTTTAAAGTAGAGACACTACATACTGATATACACCTGAACATCAGCAGGAGAGGACTCTTTAAAGTAGAGACACTACATACTGATATACACCTGAACATCAGCAGGAGAGGACTCTTTAAAGTAGAGACACTACATACTGATATACACCTGAACATCAGCAGGAGAGGACTCTTTAAAGTAGAGACACTACATACTGATATACACCTGAACATCAGCAGGAAAGGACTCTTTAAAGTAGAGACACTACATACTGATATACACCTGAACATCAGCAGGAGAGGACTCTTTAAAGTAGAGACACTACATACTGATATACACCTGAACATCAGCAGGAGAGGACTCTTTAAAGTAGAGACACTACATACTGATATACACCTGAACATCAGCAGGAGAGGACTCTTTAAAGTAGAGACACTACATACTGATATACACCTGAACATCAGCAGGAGAGGACTCTTTAAAGTAGAGACACTACATACTGATATACACCTGAACATCAGCAGGAGAGGACTCTTTAAAGTAGAGACACTACATACTGATATACACCTGAACATCAGCAGGAGAGGACTCTTTAAAGTAGAGACACTACATACTGATATACACCTGAACATCAGCAGGAGAGGACTCTTTAAAGTAGAGACACTACATACTGATATACACCTGAACATCAGCAGGAGAGGACTCTTTAAAGTAGAGACACTACATACTGATATACACCTGAACATCAGCAGGAGAGGACTCTTTAAAGTAGAGACACTACATACTGATATACACCTGAAAATGAGCATGATAGTTTGGCATTTGTGTAGAGAGCATTGAATACATCAGGAAAAAGCACTTCAAATACAGTAAACATGCAGTATATATATATATATATATATATAGGTTTTTGTGCATGTAAAGGGTCTGCAAAGACTGAAATGTCTGTTTCTCTCCCCCAAATACAGTAAACATGCAGCATACAGCATGTGATTCTATTTTAAAACTCTCCAAAGGCTAATAAATTGGCTCGGGGAGGATGTGAATTTAAAAATAGCGTCTTGTATCCAGTGAAGGGTCGGTCTTATTATATAATGACAGGTGGGTCACATTTGGAAACACATTTAGGGACTAATATTCACTTACATGTGACAAATCAACGTGTCAGTAGAGCTCCGGATATTTGGTCAGGAACCAAGGGTTAATTTAAAGTTAATACCCCAGTGTGTTTAATTACATTTAACGCTACAGCTGACGATAAACCATTTATTCATGAAGCTTATTATAATCATTTCTTTATTGAGGAAAGTGCAGATTGTTCGCTATGGTTAGTTGTCATGCTGTAGTTTGCAAAGAACAGAGAAGTATGCAGATATCTTTATTTAAGTAAATGTATTAATAACACACTGCAAATGTAGTCTTTTATAAGTAAAGGTTCTGCACTGAAAATGGTAGTTAAAATGTGTATAATTAGCTAAATGTAATACATATATATAAACTAGAAATCTGAATAATTCGAAAAAATGAAATACATATATAATATATAATAAGATATATTAAATTTCTCTCAATCTCTTTTTTTGTATAAACTGTTGGCTGGTTTAATTTATAACAAGACCTTATAGTTTTGTAATTGTTTTGTAAAGTAACTAAAGCTGTAAGTGTAAAAAGTAAAAAGTGACATATTTCCCATTAATTGTTGTGTAGTAGAAATATAAAGTGGCATGACAAGATAATACTCAAGTAAAGGACAATAACCTTAAATGTACACATACGTACACTGCTTGAGTAAATGTAGTTTGTTTTATCCATCCCTGGTAGTTTGAGGCGTCTTTTATTGAAATGCACTGAAGTCTCTTTTCAACCACAACAAATACCTGTGTAAGAATAAATAACATGACATGACTGACATCACTGACATGACTGACATCAAACCGTTTGTTTTTGTTATTGTGAGCTTGTTCCTCTGAACAAGCTCACAATAACAAAAACAAACGGTTTGATGTCAGTAATCCCTCCTCACCTTCAGTCTATCAGTTACTCAACGACCGCCTGACTTTAAGTCTGGGTCTCCATCACTTTGCAAAGTGCTGACATTTGATCCTTGACCTACATGTACACACTTTATTTTTGTGGGCTTGAATTTCTGACCCATATATATATATAAGGGGCGGGGGGGGGGTCCCACCTGACTCTGAAGCTCCTTCTCTGATTGGTTGGGGCTCTGGCTGGGATCCAGGGTGTCAGTGACGGCTTCACTGCTGCTGTCGATCTGTGGAGGTGGGGGTGATACCTCTGATTCTTCTGCGGAAAAAATGAGGCAGAGGTCTTGAGTTAGGGACGTGACTTTTATAAGTTACAGTGAAGAGGCTAATCCTAGGCTTTTACATAGCCACTTGGAGTTAGGTGAGGGGTGTACGACACACATTACCAAAAAGCAAAGTTGGCAAAATGATTCCTAGTGGACAAAATAAATCTTTAATTTCGCCAATATTGTTTCCTTAAATTTGCTTTCTGTGTATTTAGAAAGTTGGTGCCCGTACATTAGAAAGTTGGTGCCCGTACATTAGAAAGTTGGTGCCCGTACTTTAGAAAGTTGGTGCTCTGTACATTAGAAAGTTGGTGCCCGTACATTAGAAAGTTGGTGCCCCGTACATTAGAAAGTTGGTGCCCCGTACTTTAGAAAGTTGGTGCCCCGTACATTAGAAAGTTGGTGCCCGTACATTAGAAAGTTGGTGCCCGTACTTTAGAAAGTTGGTGCTCTGTACATTAGAAAGTTGGTGCCCCGTACATTAGAAAGTTGGTGCCCCGTACATTAGAAAGTTGGTGCCCCGTACATTAGAAAGTTGGTGCCCGTACTTTAGAAAGTTGGTGCCCCGTACATTAGAAAGTTGGTGCCCCGTACATTAGAAAGTTGGTGCCCCGTACATTAGAAAGTTGGTGCCCGTACTTTAGAAAGTTGGTGTACGTACATTAGAAAGTTGGTGCCCCGTACTTTAGAAAGTTGGTGCCCGTACTTTAGAAAGTTGGTGCCCCGTACATTAGAAAGTTGGTGCCCCGTACATTAGAAAGTTGGTGCCCCGTACTTTAGAAAGTTGGTGCCCGTACATTAGAAAGTTGGTGCCCCGTACATTAGAAAGTTGGTGCCCCGTACATTAGAAAGTTGGTGCCCCGTACATTAGAAAGTTGGTGCCCGTACTTTAGAAAGTTGGTGCCCCGTACATTAGAAAGTTGGTGCCCCGTACATTAGAAAGTTGGTGCCCCGTACATTAGAAAGTTGGTGCCCGTACTTTAGAAAGTTGGTGCCCGTACATTAGAAAGTTGATGCCCGTACTTTAGAAAGTTGGTGCCCGTACTTTAGAAAGTTGGTGCCCGTACTTTAGAAAGTTGGTGCCCGTACTTTAGAAAGTTGGTGCCCGTACTTTAGAAAGTTGGTGCCCGTACATTAGAAAGTTGGTGCCCGTACTTTAGAAAGTTGGTGCCCGTACATTAGAAAGTTGGTGCCCGTACATTAGAAAGTTGGTGCCCCGTACATTAGAAAGTTGGTGCCCGTACTTTAGAAAGTTGGTGCCCGTACATTAGAAAGTTGGTGCCCGTACATTAGAAAGTTGGTGCCCGTACTTTAGAAAGTTGGTGCTCTGTACATTAGAAAGTTGGTGCCCCGTACATTAGAAAGTTGGTGCCCCGTACATTAGAAAGTTGGTGCCCCGTACATTAGAAAGTTGGTGCCCGTACTTTAGAAAGTTGGTGCCCCGTACATTAGAAAGTTGGTGCCCCGTACATTAGAAAGTTGGTGCCCCGTACATTAGAAAGTTGGTGCCCGTACTTTAGAAAGTTGGTGTCCGTACATTAGAAAGTTGGTGCCCCGTACTTTAGAAAGTTGGTGCCCCGTACTTTAGAAAGTTGGTGCCCGTACATTAGAAAGTTGGTGCCCCGTACATTAGAAAGTTGGTGCCCCGTACATTAGAAAGTTGGTGCCCCGTACATTAGAAAGTTGGTGCCCGTACTTTAGAAAGTTGGTGCCCCGTACATTAGAAAGTTGGTGCCCCGTACATTAGAAAGTTGGTGCCCCGTACATTAGAAAGTTGGTGCCCGTACTTTAGAAAGTTGGTGCCCGTACTTTAGAAAGTTGGTGCCCGTACATTAGAAAGTTGGTGCCCGTACATTAGAAAGTTGGTGCCCGTACTTTAGAAAGTTGGTGCCCGTACTTTAGAAAGTTGGTGCCCCGTACTTTAGAAAGTTGGTGCCCCGTACTTTAGAAAGTTGGTGCCCGTACTTTAGAAAGTTGGTGCCCGTACTTTAGAAAGTTGGTGCCCCGTACTTTAGAAAGTTGGTGCCCCGTACTTTAGAAAGTTGGTGCCCCGTACATTAGAAAGTTGGTGCCCCGTACTTTAGAAAGTTGGTGCCCGTACTTTAGAAAGTTGGTGCCCGTACTTTAGAAAGTTGGTGCCCCGTACATTAGAAAGTTGGTGCCCCGTACTTTAGAAAGTTGGTGCCCGTACTTTAGAAAGTTGGTGCCCGTACTTTAGAAAGTTGGTGCCCGTACTTTAGAAAGTTGGTGCCCCGTACATTAGAAAGTTGGTGCCCGTACATTAGAAAGTTGGTGCCCGTACTTTAGAAAGTTGGTGCCCGTACTTTAGAAAGTTGGTGCCCGTACTTTAGAAAGTTGGTGCCCGTACTTTAGAAAGTTGGTGCCCCGTACTTTAGAAAGTTGGTGCCCGTACTTTAGAAAGTTGGTGCCCGTGCATTAGAAAGTTGGTGCCCGTACTTTAGAAAGTTGGTGCCCGTACTTTAGAAAGTTGGTGCCCCGTACATTAGAAAGTTGGTGCCCGTACTTTAGAAAGTTGGTGCCCGTACTTTAGAAAGTTGGTGCCCCGTACATTAGAAAGTTGGTGCCCGTACTTTAGAAAGTTGGTGCCCGTACTTTAGAAAGTTGGTGCCCGTACTTTAGAAAGTTGGTGCCCGTACTTTAGAAAGTTGGTGCCCGTACATTAGAAAGTTGGTGCTCTGTACATTAGAAAGTTGGTGCCCGTACATTAGAAAGTTGGTGCCCCGTACTTTAGAAAGTTGGTGCCCGTACTTTAGAAAGTTGGTGCCCGTACATTAGAAAGTTGGTGCCCGTACTTTAGAAAGTTGGTGCCCGTACTTTAGAAAGTTGGTGCCCGTACTTTAGAAAGTTGGTGCCCGTACTTTAGAAAGTTGGTGCCCGTACATTAGAAAGTTGGTGCCCGTACTTTAGAAAGTTGGTGCCCGTACATTAGAAAGTTGGTGCCCGTACTTTAGAAAGTTGGTGCCCGTACTTTAGAAAGTTGGTGCCCGTACATTAGAAAGTTGGTGCCCGTACTTTAGAAAGTTGGTGCCCGTACATTAGAAAGTTGGTGCCCGTACTTTAGAAAGTTGGTGCCCGTACTTTAGAAAGTTGGTGCCCGTACTTTAGAAAGTTGGTGCCCCGTACTTTAGAAAGTTGGTGCCCGTACTTTAGAAAGTTGGTGCCCCGTACATTAGAAAGTTGGTGCCCGTACTTTAGAAAGTTGGTGCCCGTACTTTAGAAAGTTGGTGCCCGTACTTTAGAAAGTTGGTGCCCGTACTTTAGAAAGTTGGTGCCCCGTACTTTAGAAAGTTGGTGCCCGTACTTTAGAAAGTTGGTGCCCCGTACATTAGAAAGTTGGTGCCCGTACTTTAGAAAGTTGGTGCCCCGTACATTAGAAAGTTGGTGCCCCGTACTTTAGAAAGTTGGTGCCCGTACTTTAGAAAGTTGGTGCCCGTACTTTAGAAAGTTGGTGCCCCGTACATTAGAAAGTTGGTGCCCGTACTTTAGAAAGTTGGTGCCCGTACATTAGAAAGTTGGTGCCCGTACTTTAGAAAGTTGGTGCCCGTACTTTAGAAAGTTGGTGCCCCGTACTTTAGAAAGTTGGTGCCCGTACTTTAGAAAGTTGGTGCCCGTACTTTAGAAAGTTGGTGCCCGTACATTAGAAAGTTGGTGCCCTGTACATTAGAAAGTTGGTTCCCCGTACTTTAGAAAGTTGGTGCCCCGTACTTTAGAAAGTTGGTGCCCTGTACTTTAGAAAGTTGGTGCCCGTACTTTAGAAAGTTGGTGCCCCGTACTTTAGAAAGTTGGTGCCCCGTACTTTAGAAAGTTGGTGCCCCGTACTTTAGAAAGTTGGTGCCCCGTACTTTAGAAAGTTGGTGCCCCGTACTTTAGAAAGTTGGTGCCCTGTACTTTAGAAAGTTGGTGCCCGTACTTTAGAAAGTTGGTGCCCCGTACTTTAGAAAGTTGGTGCCCCGTACTTTAGAAAGTTGGTGCCCCGTACATTAGAAAGTTGGTGCCCGTACTTTAGAAAGTTGGTGCCCCGTACTTTAGAAAGTTGGTGCCCGTACTTTAGAAAGTTGGTGCCCGTACTTTAGAAAGTTGGTGCCCCGTACTTTAGAAAGTTGGTGCCCCGTACTTTAGAAAGTTGGTGCCCCGTACATTAGAAAGTTGGTGCCCCGTACTTTAGAAAGTTGGTGCCCCGTACATTAGAAAGTTGGTGCCCCGTACTTTAGAAAGTTGGTGCCCCGTACTTTAGAAAGTTGGTGCCCCGTACTTTAGAAAGTTGGTGCCCGTACTTTAGAAAGTTGGTGCCCCGTACTTTAGAAAGTTGGTGCCCCGTACTTTAGAAAGTTGGTGCCCGTACTTTAGAAAGTTGGTGCCCGTACTTTAGAAAGTTGGTGCCCCGTACTTTAGAAAGTTGGTGCCCCGTACTTTAGAAAGTTGGTGCCCGTACTTTAGAAAGTTGGTGCCCGTACTTTAGAAAGTTGGTGCCCGTACTTTAGAAAGTTGGTGCCCCGTACTTTAGAAAGTTGGTGCCCCGTACTTTAGAAAGTTGGTGCCCCGTACTTTAGAAAGTTGGTGCCCCGTACGAGGCACAGGGTGCTCAGGTAAGATGTTCATTCACATAAATGTAGCGCAAGGCTAATTGCTAGAATTTGACTTTGCTCCGAGAATCTCTGTTTTTGGATCTCAATTTTGTGATCACAGTTACGGTGAAGAGGCTAATCCTAGGCTTTTTGTAGCCACTTGGAGTTAGGTGAGGGGTGTACGACACATGTTACCAAAAAGCAAAGGTAAACAAAACTATTCCATGTGGACATTAAAGATTTATTTTCACTATTGTTTCCTTAAATGTGCTTTGCGTGTATTTAGAAAGTTGGTGCCCCGTACGAGGCACATGGTTCACAGGTAAGATGTTCATTCTAGGGCTGTCAAGTTAACGCGTTAATAACGCGTTAACGCAAAAAAAAATTAACGCCACTAATTATTTTAACGCATGTGTATTTTTTGTCCTCGGCCGCCGTAGTTTCAGAGCGCATCGAGTTTAAAATACCATCGACAAGCTGATGCTGACAGCCCCGCTCCTACCGCCCGCTTGTGGCAGACCACACTTCCACGCTCACTGGCAGGCCCGGACTGGCCATCGGGAGGACCGGGAGGGAGTATGTATGTGTGGTGCGACTCGCGCGAGCGAGGCACACCTTACGTGTTGTTAGCATCTGGTGCTAGCTAGCTGCGCTAACGGATATAAGGAGCTGTTTCAATGACATTTCGCCGACAACTGCGCCGAGCACTTGACTTTATGCAGGTAGCCAGACAGTGGGACATTGTACGAAAAGTCAGCACATTCAGCACGGATAGTACGCGCAACATGATTGCAGCGTCCAGGCAGCTCCCGTTCGAGCATATATGCCTTGAGCTGCAACGATCCATCACAGTGTCTCTCCACACACACACACACACACACACACACACACACACACACACACACACACACACACACACACACACACACACACACACACACACACACACTTATTGTATGAGAGAGGTTCCAGGTTGAATTGAAGCGAATATTTGTAATGTTCAAATGATAATAAACAAACATATAAAGCATATTTGTCCACTCATATGTTGATAAGAGTATTAAAAACTTGAAAGATATCCCTCTAAGGTACATTTAGAACAGGTAAAAAATGTGTGATTAATTTGCGATTAATCGCGATTAACTATGGACAATCATGCGATTAATCGCAATTAAATATTTTAATCGACTGACAGCCCTAGTTCATTCACATAAATGTAGCGCAAAGCTAATTGTTAGCATTTGACTTTGCTCTGAGAATAGAATACAGGTATTCATCTCTGTTTTTAGATCACACATTTGTAATCACAGTTTTTCTTGTGCTTTTTCAGTGACAGCAGCTCATCCTAGACTTTTACTTTTCTTAGCCACGTGAAGTTTGGTAAGGGCTGTCAGAGGCACAACATATTCTATTGTTTTTTAATTCTTAATTGAGCGAAATGAACTCAACGGGAACATTTCCCAAGCAGTTCAGTTATAGTATTCATTGACCACTTTTTTAAAACCCTTACTTCAAAGGTGGTTGGTGGAGGTCTACAGTATAGCACTTGAGTAAATGTACTCTCCACCAGTGTAAACATCTACAGACCTTCAGGCTTCTCTCTGGGATCGGGCTCAGGATCTTCCTCTGCTTCTGGGTCCGGTTGTGGTTCTGAAGAAGCCTCCTCCTCTTCCAGCTCTTCTTCAGACGGTCCTGACTGAGGTGCCGGCTCCACTGCAGTCTGGAGTTTCTCATTTGGACGGGGGTCAGTGGATCCTCCCTGTGGAGCCGCCGTCTGGCAGAACTGCTCCTCCCACTCGCTGAGCTCCTGCTGGAACCAGCGGTTATCCTCGCTGACGTAGCGCCGGAGAACCGGAGGAAGGGATTCAATGCCGTGAAGAACCTGGCCTGTCTCGTCATCTGTGGCTTCTGGAGGGGAAGAGTGGTAGTGTCAGTTAAAAGACTTTCACAAAAAAAAAAACACTATCAATCCCTGGGACCGAAGAGTCACCGGTTCGACTCCCGATCGACCAAAACAATTATAAAACACGGAGTGGACTGGTAGCTAGAGAGGTGCCAGTTCACCTGCCGAGGTGCCCTTGAGCAAGGCAGCGAACCCCCAACTGATCGCTGGTGCCGGCTAGACTGCAGCCTCTTCGCTCTGGCCCTCTCCAGATGTGCATGTGTATTCTGTATAGTGTGTATAACTGTGTGTGTATTGCATGTGCATGTGTGCACCTACTTGAATATACAAGCCAGAGTGAAACACTGAATTTAACTGAAATTTTAAAAGGTTAATCTTCTTCTTCTTCAATCAAAGTTTATTTATAAAGCCCAATATCACACATTTGATATCTGTCTCAGCGGGCTTTACAGTTAATACAGAACATTCTGTGCTTAGAGTCTTAGACCATTACAGAAAACAATACAACATTCCCGAAGAAGCCCCACAGTTAAAAGGGATCAAATGTTAGAAACCACGAGGAGAGCAACAGAGGACGATCCCTCTCTAAGGACGGAAAGACGTGCAGTAGGTGTTGTGTGTAAATAAAAAAGAGAATACTATCTACAACACAGACACAGTAACTGATCTATTGTGAACATAATGGCCATTAAAATAACTTTATTCCTGAAATAATGCTTTCAGTTTGCTACGCTAAACAGATTAAGGGCTGCAGAATGAATCGAAGTATTATCGATATGGACTAGTGGAGAGCTTGTGTACGTGCAGGATTCTTGCTGCTCTAGTTTTGGATAAGAGCATGAGCTAAATGTGAAGCAAATGAACTGAAACACACAGCACAGTGTACCTGTAGTGAGGGTTGGTAGCCTGTCGTCGATGTACATCAGGCAGTAGGCGCTGGCGTTGGTCATCCCCCCGAAGGAGTCTCTCTCCAGCTCCTCCCACGACGACTCAGTGATGCTCACGTCGTTGTACTTCATCCAGCGCTTGTTGGCGTGGTCGTAGATGTACGCCCAGTAATGACCTGCTGACGCCTGGCCTTCGTGGACGAGCACCGCGTGAAGTCTGTAGGGCACCTAAATATCAGGAGAGAAAGAGACGGCAGTGAATAGAAAACACTGAAGCGTTAGGCATCAGGGGAAGTATTGTATTGTATTGCGTTCCTTTACTAAAGAAGAATTACTAAAAACCTTAATATCATATAAAACACTGAAGCGGGGATCAGAGGAGTAATGAGATCCTTTACTAAAGACATGGTATATGCAGGAGTCCTGAAGTCACATGTAATTCCTTTTAAGACCTTTTTTAAGACCCTTTCCATACATTTTAAGACCTCATCGCCACTTGGAGTTTTAACCGGTTACCTTGGCGACACACTTGACCTCACATTGACTATACATAGTATTGATTGTCCTTCCTCCTTATCTTCCAACCATTTGGACGCAGACTTGCATTTCCCCATAACGATGTTGTTTAACAACCGGCGTAAACGGACCTTCACGCTATCAAGCAGTGAGCGTGCGATGTCCTGTTCAGACGACGTCAAATCCAACGGGATGCCATCAATAAACTACACAGAATCACACTACACACCTACGCAATGATTACATTCAGGCAGACTGTAGAATACAACCTCTTTGGACAATTCATATACTTATTGGAAACTAGCTACAAAATGTAATACCTTGGAAAATGCTGTTTAATACTTTTTAATACTTTTTAATAGCCTTCATTTTCACTAAATTGATTTATCAACTTTTAATACTTTTTAAGACCCCGCGGACACCCTGAAAGAAGAAGTAATACGCTCCATAACAAGTTAAAGTCCTGCATTTCCAATCTCACTTCCACAAATCTTTCACTAACGCACGTTTTGCAGCAGTAGATGTAAAAGCTGCAGTGTGTTAAAGTGACTTATGTAATGTCAGTCTTACCTGGCAGAGGTTGTTGTCTGTGTACATGGCCTCAAGCATCTGAGTGAGCCTTTCAATGCTGGCCTTTAGCTCTGGAACACAAACACAGAACAGAAGACATGATAATAATAATAATGCATTTTATTTATAGAGCGCTTTTCTTGAAACTCAAAGACACTTAAAGGTGGGGTAGGTAAGAAAGGAGAAACCAGCTCGAGTGCGCTAGAATTTGAAAATACACAACTGGAAAAATCTGCCACTTCCTTACAGAGCCCCTCCTCCAACACACACGAACGCGCACATGACCAATGAGGGCACGAGATAAGTTTGTGCACAGATGGAAGGCTGACAGGCAGGTAGGCCATCCAGTTATTTTAGCCGGGCCGGCTCAGATGATTGGTCGTGCTTTTTACAGTACCACAGCTTCCACAGATGATATTTCTTTATGGATTTTTTGTCAAAGCATTTAATATATTCATTGCTATCGGGATGTTAAGAGCATTCCATGGAATATAACAAGTGTTTCTGAAGTGAATTACATACCCCACCTTTAAAATCGGTTCTGAAGAGGTGAGTTTTGATTTGTGATTTGAACATGGTGAGATTGGGGGAGTCACGGATGAAAACATAAAAATGAATTCAGCACTTTTTGTTCTTTAACCTACTATTTGCCTCGTAATGGGGAAGTTTGGGAGAGATGTCGCTGTTTCAATTCAAACGAATATTACTCAACAATTAACATTTATTTCCATCTATCTAATCAGCTCTGCACCAATGAAGTGTTTTTCCCTAAGGTGCGTTGACGTTTTTTCCTCACTTCCAGCAGTCATTCTAATTTTAAAAGCCTGATATTGAGGTAGGATCTGGTAGGAGAAGCACGTCAGGTTTCACTGTGATTTTAGAGTCAAAAGTGACCACTCTCTGCACGATCTGTGGAATATGTCCTTATGCAAGCCCCTTAAACTCTATCGCATATCTTCATATCGCAGTACATGCATCATTTTTGGCCGATGCAGATATTTGAAATTGATACCAATTAGATAATATCATTATGCATCCCTACAACTAACTTCTGAGGAAAGTTACCCCCACTGGACTTTAACACACCACACACACTCAGACACTCACATCCAGCACCAGACACTTTTTACGCTGCGATGGGCAGTCTTGCACTAATTTACATTTCCCAAAGATATTGAAGTGACTGTTATTTTGTATATATTGATTCTTGTGCTTTTATTCATGTCTTAAAGGTGGGGTAGGTAAGTTGGAGAAACCGGCTTGAGTGCGCTAGAATTTGAAAATACACAACCGGAGAAAATCTGCCACTTCCTTACAGAGCCCCTCCTCCAACACACACGAACGCGCACATGACCAATGAGGGCACGAGATAAGTTTGTGCACAGATGGAAGGCTGACAGGCAGGTAGGCCATCCAGTTATTTTAGCCGGGCCGGCTCAGATGATTGGTCGTGCTTTTTACAGTACTACAGCTTCCACAGATGATATTTATTTATGTATTTTTTGTCAAAGCACTTCAGATATTCATTGCTATCGGGATGTTAAGAGCATTCCATGGAATATAACAAAAAGTGTATCTCGAGCCGGATTCTCAAACTTACCTACCCCACCTTTAATGTGTGCATATGTATACATGTGTCTGTTGATTGTGTATAGGTATATACATATTTGTATACATATTTTTATATATATTTGTATTTTTTGTATTTGGGATTGTGGGAAACGGTATTTCGATCTCTCTGTCTGTACACACAGACAATAAAGTTGACTTTGACTTTGAAGTGGACCATTGAGCAGCAACAGATAATATCTAAAGCACATCAACTAATAACTTGCTTTATATCTTGTTATTGTTCATTGGTAAATTCAACATGTATATTTTCTCCCTTCTTGTTTATTTCTAGTCTTTTAATTTGTATTGTACAATGCCAAGTCTTTTTATGCTGCTGCAACGCAAACATTTCCCAAATTGGGATCAATAAAGTACTTCTTATCTCTTATCTTATCAAGACTTTTTTGTGCATACCGTTGATGTCGTTCTCTACTTCGGTCCTCCAGCGCTGCAGGCAGCTCTTCACAAAGTGCAGCTCCTCCTCAGAGACGCTGTGGGGGGCCGGGTGGGGGGGGCAGTCTATGGGGAGTCTGCACTGGGTGAAGGGTTTATAGATCGGGGTCCGCTGACAACTGGAAACACCGGCAACAGGATCCTCCGATGAATCTGCGTCTGTGGGTTCACTGAGGGAAGCAAAGAAAAGGTTGGAAGTGGGTCCAACTACTAACCCTTTAAAGCAGGGGTGTCAAACTCAATTTCATCACGGGCCACATCAGCATTTTGGTTGCACTCAAAGGGCCGGTTGTAACTTTAAGACTATATGAAAATACATATGTAAATATTTAATATAAACGTATGTATTATATGACATTATTGCCTCTGCATTGGATCATTATCGGATAGGGTAATAACTTCATAATTAACTACGTCTGAAAGCAGAAGTCTAGGGCAAATCATTGGAAGTCTCTTCAGTGAGAATGTCACAAAATGATTATTTTTTAAAAAGCCAAATTCTGGAAAAAAATTGAAAATGTAAAAAAAAGTGAAATTTTGAAGATAAGTCAAATTCTGAAAAAAAGTCATATTTGAGATGCATTGTGGGACATGTAGTTAATGGGCAACGTACTTCTGTAAATCGGCATGTAACCGTATAATAAACGTATTATATTCTTTCAGAGCTCTTGTGGGGCCACATTAAATGAAGTTGCGGGCCGGATTTGGCCCCCGGGCCTTGAGTTTGACACCCTGCTTTAAAGTCTAACTCGGGTAAAAGTTCAAAACCTGTTAGGAACAAAAAAAACATTACATTTTATTAACTAATTACATTTAATTACCTGCCCCTTTCTAAAATAAATAGTACTAGGTTGCTACTGTGGCTGTTTGTCTGTTTTTGTCATTGTTTGTTGTTATTGTTTTGTGGGTTTTATTATGTGTTGTGTTGTCCCTAAGGATTTTTGTATTGTCTCACCTGAAAATAAAAAATAAAAATATTGAAACAGAGCAGGAAATGGAAATACTCAAGTAGCGTACAAGTCAGTTACTAAATATACACAGTTACACCCCCCCTGCCTGTGTGTACTCCACCTGTTGTCTTTGGGGAGGGGTTCATTGGGGAGGAGGCTCGCAGGAGAAGCAGCTCTCAGGTCTTCAGCGGGGGAAACACTGGAGGGTTTGGTGGTGGCGAACTCCAGAATAAACTGCAACATGTCGGCCAGAGGATACTTCGAGGGTCCGGAGCCGTAGTTCTTATAGCTGCCGATAAAGAAAGTTAAAGATTTGTGACTCACAAAGTGGAACACAGAGCAGTGCAGTGATGACGTATTTTGTAGTGTGAAGGCAGCATCTCCCTGGTTCCCTCCACAAAAAGCCAATTCGATTTTGCATTGGTTTTTGGATTAACATTGGTTTTTAATACTTACACATTTTGTTCAGCTGGATAATCTCTAGATATTAACACCACTTTAGGATTTTTGAAGTAAAAAGCTAATGTTGGGCTAAAGGCGGCTAATGTTGGGCTATAAAGGAACTACAGCACGGTCACATGACTTAACGTCACCACCGCTAAGCTAAAGGCAGCTAATGTTGGGCTCTAAAGGAACTACATCAAGGTCACATGACTTAACGTCACCACCGCTAAGCTAAAATGGCTAATGTTGGGCTATAAAGAAACTACATCAAGGTCACATGACTTAACGTCACCACCGCTAAGCTAAAGGCAGCTAATGTTGGGCTATAAAGGAACTACAGCACGGTCACATGACTTAACGTCACCACCGCTAAGCTAAAGGCAGCTAATGTTGGACTATAAAGAAACTACATCAAGGTCACATGACTTCACGTCACCACCGCTAAGCTAAAGGCAGCTAATGTTGGGCTATAAACGAACTACAGCACGGTCACATGACTTCACGTCACCACCGCTAAGCTAAAGGTGGCTAATGTTGGGCTATAAAGGAACTACAGCACGGTCACATGACTTTACGTCACCACCGCTAAGCTAAAGGTGGCTAATGTTGGGCCACCGCATTTTGTATTCATCAGTGGGGTATTGACTGACGTATTTTATGTTGTAAACCAAAAAAATGTCTTCAGCACAGACCTTATTTTAGGCTTCTGACCAAAAACACGTTCACAAAACCATTGACTTCTAGATGAGGAACAGAAAGTGCTAAAAATGCTGACTCATTTCAGGGTTTTAGGACTCATTCCTGCAGATTATAAAGTAATATCTGAGGTCTCATACCACTCAAGTTTCTGTTGCAGAGCTGCGAGTTGATCCTTCAGTTTTTTCACGTCTCCTCTCCTCTCGTGGGTCTGGTTTATGTTTTTGTGAAGATATCTGCAAATCGAAAATCAATATGTAAGGCATTCATCTTCCCTTCTTCATTTGTACGATACAATAATACTTCAGTGTTGGAAGAAGTACTCAGATCCTTAACTTAAGTACAAATAACACTATGGTCTTAGAAGAAGCTCACCTGTCCATATAAATGATTTGAGGGAACTCCAGTTTCTTGTGAATCTTTTCGGGGCGACCGAGCTGAGTGTTGAACTCAAATCTCGACAGCTCGAATGTCAAGACTGGGGGTAACTTTTTGAACCATCTCTGCAACCAAAAGAAAAACAACAGTATTAGCAGAGCATCAAAATGATGAAAATATAATAGAAATTGAAAGTCAACTTAAAGTGGACCTATCATGCTATATTTGAATAATATAGTGTAGGACCATACCTATATAAGGCATATTTATACTTTTTTTTTTTCAAAATACCAAACAGATCATGCATTTTAGCCATGCCTCATTTTGCTCAATTTGACAATTTCTAGCTCTGTTTTTGCAAGGGCTGATTCAGTGAGAACAGCACCATCTACAGGCCTGGCATATGTACTACAGCGTCTCCAGCGCTTTCGAACGGCAATGGCCGTGGCTGTCTCCTCCTGATTGGTGGAGTTGGCCCAATAGCCGTAGCGCCACCGTCCTGACGTCAGGACAGTGTTCAAATCTGGATCAGTTTTGATCAGATCCGTTGCAGCCCCTTTTTTAGAGATTTGGGTATGGAGGAAAATAGAGAGGGTTGTGTTTTCTGACACTTGGTGAGTTCCCTGGAACACCGGGGACACATATTCATGTATAAAAGATGTACAAAAGTGCATTTTGCATGATAGGTCCACTTTAAGTAAAAGTAGGTATAACCAGCAAAATGTTTATATTATTAAAGTACTTATTAAAGTAGCCGATGCAGAAAATATCTATTTCTTAACACTCTTAAAAATGTTATTTTGTTAAAGTCCTTCATTGAAAATATGAATAAAAAATAAATAAAGTAAGTATAATCAGCTAAATGTACTTAAAGTATTCTCAGTTGAAATACCCAATGCAGAAAAATCTAAAAGAGTGAAAGTAAAAAACACCCAAAAAACTACAATTATTCTTCTCAATTTCTCAAAAGGCTGTTCTTGTTGGTTGGTTTAATTTACAAGACAACATTATATTGTATGAACTGTATTTTAGATTCAAGATTCAAAGGTTTTATTGTCATATGCACAAAGCTACAGTGTAGAAATGAAAGTTTTTAGAAAAGCCCTATATAAGTGTCATTGTTCTCCAACAATCCAACATATATAATAAAATACAAAAATATAAAATACAAATAAAAAGTAGTGCAAAAAGTCTATATACATGTAAATAGAATATGATATGTCGTAAAGTGCTATGAAGTTATCCACCTCTCGTCCAGGCGTGACGCTGTGATCTGCGTGCAGAGACTCGATCTCTCTCTCCACCATCGCTCCCTCCAGACACTCGTCCAGGTTGTTGAAGCCGTTCACCTGCAGAGGGTACTGTCCAAACTGCTCGATGTTACACAACGTCTTACCTGAAACAACATTCACACGGATGAACATCTCATCTTGTTTATTTTTGTTGATGTATAACAAGTATATATTATCAGCTTGATCCTGCACACTGATTAATAATTCAAAAATAAAGCTCCAGAAAGTAAGTGTTAGATAATGTTGAGAAAATACTGAATGTACTCTTCCAGTATCAGAGTACACATGATAACAAAGGTATCCCAACTGTAGCTGTGTACATGACAGGATGTGTGATTACCTAGAAGAGCATCAGGACTGTTTGAGGCATATGATAGCTATGTGATTAACATGATGATTCAGCCTCTATGGAGATAGACATATGACAAGCATGATCATTTCTGCCGTGGAGCTAATCTGAAGTAAACATTGAATACTGCTTTCTATTCCTCCATCTTGTGACTGTGTAACTCCCTCTCTTGGATATCAGCATGTGAAGGACACTGTTCAGGAACTAGTTGATGCTCTGTATGTGATGACTACTTCCAGATTTTGAGAAAGTCCGAATTTTGAGAAAAAAGTCAGAATTTTTAGGAAAAATTCAGAATTTTGAGAAAATATTCAGAATTTGGAGGAAATATTCAGAATTTTGAGGGAAAATTCAGATTTTTGAGGAAATATTCAGAATTTTGAGGAAATATTCAGAATTATGGAGAAAAATTCAGAATTTTGAAAAAGTCAGAATTAGAAGTTTGACATTTTCAGAAAAAGTCACAATTTTGAGGAAAAAGTCAGAAGTTTGACATTTTGAGAAAAAGTCAGAAGTTTGACATTTTGAGAAAAAGTCTGAATTTTGACATTTTGAGAAAAAGTCAGAAGTTTGACATTTTGAGAAAAAGTCAGAATTTTGACATTTTGAGGAAAAAGTCAGAATTTTGACATTTTTAGGAAAAAGTTCGAAAACAGCTACTGCTATCCATACCTACTTAGCCCTGGCAATATTCGCATTGTGACCAACTTCTTGGTAGGGAATGTTCTATTTCACATTATACCAACAATCAATTCATATTGATTTTCACAGGGACAGAAACTCATACCTTCGTGTCTTCTTTCTGTCACAAAGGTACCGTAGAAAAGCTGGACCATTGGGTTCTTCTGTTTGTCTTCAACTTTACTAAAAGTAAAAACATGACATTTGATATCAGTTTAAAACAGTAAACAAAGGGAGAAGGAGAATAGTCCCTGCACGTGAAGGACGTACACTTTTAACTTACTCTTTGGCAGCGAGCTGAAACGCGTCCTCCAGCCAGTCCAGCAGTTTGTGGGAAAATTCACTGACGTCCTGAAATAAAAAAACATTAGATTAAGATCAGTATTAGTTCAAAAACTACTAATATTTTCCCTTCAAAACACAAAAAAGGGCCTCATTTCCCTCCTAAGGAAATGATCCATCCGGTCGGTCGGTCGGTCGGTCGGTCGGTCGGTAGGTAGGTAGGTAGGTAGGTAGGTAGGTAGGTCGGTAGGTCGGTAGGTCGGTAGGTCGGTAGGCCGGTAGGTCGGTAGGTAGGTAGGTAGGTAGGTAGGTAGGTCGGTAGGTCGGTAGGTCGGTAGGTCGGTAGGTCGGTAGGTAGGTAGGTCGGTAGGTAGGTAGGTCGGTAGGTCGGTAGGTCGGTAGGTCGGTAGGTAGGTAGGTAGGTAGGTAGGTCGGTAGGTCGGTAGGTAGGTAGGTAGGATCCCAATTTGGGAAATTATTTCGTCACAGAAACAGAATTGTGTTCAGACATTAAAGTACAATACTTTAAATACTTAAAAAAAGAGAAAAAGACAATTAACAATTACAAATAAAAGGAAAAAAGGAAAAAAAGGAACAAATATTATATCAAATATAAACAATTCAACAAAACAGTATAAAATATTCTGGATAATTGAAGTCAAAAGTCAAAAATACAACAGGACCTTAAGTTAAGTTTTTTAAGTTTAAGTTAAGTACCTGCTGGGCCTCGCTGGTCCTGAAGGCGTCTCTCAGCAGCTCCACGGCAGCCGACGGGTCCACAAACGTGCGAGAGGATCCCACCATCAGAGCGAAGAGACAGCGCAGCTCCTGCATGAAGGCCATGTTCCTCTTGTCCTGTTCACAAGATAGGGTCTCAGGGTCTCACAGTCTCACCTGTTCATTTAGAAAACCAACTCCAGCGTGCTCTAATAATGAATGTCTCCTTTGATGCAGTCTTTGTTTGGTTTTGCCTTGCTCAAGGGCACCATGGCAGGGCGGGAGGTGAACTGCTACCTCTCCAAGTAGCAGTCCACACTCCATATTTAGGTCTGGTCGGGGACTTGAACCGGAGACCCTACGGCTCACAGTCCAAGCCCCTACTGACTGAGCCACTGCCGGACATGTGTTTCTGTCTTTATTTGGAAAGTCTTTTGTAACTGTGTTTGGGAGGTGCTATATATATATATATATATATATATATATAATAAAGGTTATTATTGTTAAATCAGAATCAGGAATACTTTATTTACCCCGAACGAACTACAAAAACGAACAGTAAATGATGTAAAGATATGTACAATGAATACAGTAGTGTAATTCATATTTATAATGAGATAAATAAAGCTCAAAAAGCAGATTATTGCTATAAGTGCAATACAGTAATGATGCGTAGCCAGTAGTACACAGTTGAATATTGATTATTATTGTTATATATCACATAGTGGCTGCGTCTATATTAACAAAACATCCCCACAGCTTGTTCACCTTTTCTCCTTAGTGTACAAGAATTAGACATTGTTAGAAATAAATAACCTATAACACAATATGTGTCTTTTGTTGGCGGTAGAGCAGAGTGTTTACTCACAGAATGGCTCTTACACTTCTCCAGTAATCTCTCAGACAGATGGTAGTTGAGAACCAGCCTCCTGAACACGGGCAGGTGGAAGAGAGACTGCAACAAGAAGACAGAAAAACAACCTGTTATAGATGTAGAGATTAAATTAAAGCAATGATAAACGTATTGATACCAGCACTTTGAAAACTACGATTAACTTCACCTGAAAAAACTTGAATCACGGTCAAATTAAAGGGGACCTATTATGCTTTTGTTATATATGTGTTATAGAAGTTTTTGTGCATGTAAATGGTCTGCAAAGCTCAAAATCCCACATTTCTGGAACATAATGACATCACTATGGAACACTCGTGCTCCTATTGGCTAGCGCTCCAACATATTGTACGTGATAGGCTAAGGGGCGGGACATCTCTAAAGGCCCTGACACACCGAGCCGATTTCGGCCGTCGATAGATGTCTGGCCGTCGATGAGCGTCCTGTCGCCCTACTCAGATTGTTGTGTCCCGCCCCGTCGTGTCTTTTCGGCCGTGCCGACACCTTCCACCGCCGATTCAACATGTTGAATCGGGAGGCTGTCGGCAAAAGAAATCACTAATTGGCTGTTCAGCTTAGCGAATCAGTGCATGAGAAGCGAAACGGAAGTGAAGAAGGCACACACAGACGGCTATTATTTTTCATTTTCCAGTACCGCACTAAACATGTTTTCGATTATAAGTCATTATGTGAAACAGTCTGTGATGGACGAGAGTGAACATGGAACGCACGCTATTTGTTGTTTGTATATATCACGCAGTCTGTCTTCTGGTTGCCTCTTTTGAATGACGAATACACACTACCGCCGCCTGCTGGTAAGGAGAGTTTTTGCCACTCACGCATGCGCAGTGCGTACGTACTTCTTGGCCGTCGGCTGAAGTCTTTGCGGTGTGTTCCAGTGCGACACATGGCCAAGACGCAGGAGACGTGAGGCGACACAACAGTCGGGTCCGTCGGGACGTGTTCTTTGGTGTCAGTTTGGTGTGTCCGGGCCTTAAGAGGTTGACCAATCACAACAGAGCCGGCCAGCTAACCAATCAGAGCAGACTGGGCTCTGGTTAGATTTAAGTTTTCTTGTTTAAAATGTAATTTACATATAATATAGATAGAGGCTTACAAATCATGCCACTTTGTTATAAGGTATATATGAGTTACTAACTTATCTACGTTAGATTTAAATAAGAATTGGCTTCAATCACAAACAAAAAGAGAGTATGATGTTTGAAAACAATTCATGAATTTATGTTTTGTTGATTTGTATTCTACACATCATTCTCAAGCCTACACACCATGCCTCTCTGTTATAAGATTCTTGTGCTTCTCCCAATAAACTAAATTCATTATTACGGGTATTTTATGCGCCGTGTGTGGCGGCGAGCACTTCTGAATATCTTGATATATATTTTTCCATCCGAGCAGGAAATTCAATTACGGCTTATCTGAGTTTTACTGTAATTTATACCAGGAAGGATAATGGAGGGAATATGAGCTGACAACTGAATCATGTGGTCACTCAGCTTTAATCTGATAGCATAATTACTTTTTGAAGGCAGAGCGCTTTATCAAGAGTCAGGCTCTGGGAATCTACAACAATCAATTCAGTTAAAAAAAACAACAGCAAACGGGGTATCATTTCAACACCATTTGTATTCAAACAACATCGCCTCATTTTCCCATTTCTACTAACGCCTGTCCTGCTGAATCGATGTGGAGACAAACAATCACTGTCTGCTCTCGCTGTGGTACGAGGAAGTCCATCATCACTTCTCTCTATTTAATGATCCTCTTTGTATCACAACGAGGCTTCGCTTTCTGACACCTGAGACTAAAACCCCTGCAGCAGAAACCTGTAACAGCATTAGTATTTAAGTGTATTAAGTAAGAGAACAGAACAATGTGACCTTAGAACAGAAGAAACCAAGATATCTAGGGTTGTCCTCTGCTCAGAGATTTAACTAGCATTGTTATCCTGCTTGTAAGAGAATACCGTTATCTTTTTTATGTATCCTGATAACTTAATCCCATTACATGTAATCCATAATAATAATCCATTTTATTTATAAGCGCACTTTTCATTTGAGTAAACAAAACTCAAAGTGCTACAGAGTAAAATGGTTGAAACAAACAACACAATAAAAGCAGCGATGTTTACGCCGGCATGGACTATAGATGCAACAACGTCTAATAATCAATGTAAATTATAACATTTCTAATTGGAAACCAAAGATACAAACTCCATTAGAGATGGAAAAAAACTGCAATTACAACAATTTGGGAAATGGGTTTTAAACAAAGAAGTTGTAGGAACAAAATGAGCCAGTTAAAAGCAATGAACTACCTTAAAGACTGAAGAGGGAAATCTGGCATAAATCATCTCATGTATTTGTATGCATGGTGTTTAAATAAATACATACATAAACACTAACTATTTCACAACAGATTAATCATTTAAGTTCTTTTTACTGCAAGGCAGAACATGCTGTTTCAAGCCTTTTAAAAATGAGTATGTCTGCTTTTTTCTGTTTCTGTTTTATATTTCACACACAAAGCAAGTAAAAACATCACTTTGGACTTCAAGGAACGGCAGTATTTTACTTTTCCCCCCTGACAGTTTGCAGAATGAACTAGCAGCACACAGCTCCGAGTTCATGAGGTGCACTGAACTCTTTCTAAGTGTCTCCAGCTGCTTAAAATAACTCATATTGATGGGCTGGAGTTCCCCTTCCTGGGTTTCTAACTTTAGTTTAGTCAGAGGAGTCGCTCCTTGGATTCAGTCAGAAAGTGTTGCTGTTAACACGAGAACCGCCAACAGGTCACATTTACCCGCTATTGATTTTCAAGGTACAATGTTCTTTTAGTAGGTAGGTTTGTCAAATGAAAATTAGGACTGATTGATGGCCATGACATTTCGAGCAGACATTCATGACAATGTTACCTAAGTAGAAGTATTATAGCGTCAAAATAAAAGTGAGTGAATTCATACGAAATGTTGCTAGCTAATAAAGTTAGCTAACTAGCCGCTGTCCTGCGATGAATGCAGAGATGGAAGAAGTTACTTCAGGTTTAAACACTTGTAAATCTGCTCATACATAGAAAAAGATGCAAAAATCGTGTTGGTGAACACGAATCAATAGATTAAAGTGGACCTATCATGCTATATTATAATAATATAGTGTAGGACCATACCTATATAAGGCATATTTATACTTTTTTTTTTTCAAAATACCAAACAGATCATGCATTTTAGCCATGCCTCATTTTTGCTCAATTTGACAATTTCTAGCTCTGTTTTAGCAAGGGCTGATTCAGTGAGAACAGCACCATCTACAGGCCTGGCATATGTACTACATCGTCTCCAGCGCTTTCGAACGGCAATGGCCGTGGCTGTCTCCTCCTGATTGGTGGAGTTGGCCCAATAGCCGTAGCGCCACCGTCCTGACGTCAGGACAGTGTTCAAATCTGGATCAGTTTTTATCAGATCCGTTGCAGCCCCTTTTTTAGAGATTTGGGTATGGAGGAAAATAGAGAGGGTTGTGTTTTCTGACACTTGGTGAGTTCCCTGGAACACCGGGGACACATATTCATGTAGAAAAGACGTACAAAAGTGCATTTTGCATGATAGGTCCCCTTTAAATTAATTTCGTGACTATAACAAGAAATGCCGTCAGACTGGGTTGGATAATAGCTAGTTCAGCATTGGTGCCAATTTCTAAAATGGAAACAAGTATAGGCTGTTTTCTTCGATGCTCTTGCAATAATGTTTATTTGTATATGTATCCCCTACTTATGTCTGTTCTCCCGCTGCTGCAACAAGCTTATTTCCCCTCTGAGGATCAATAAAAGCCTTATCTAATCTGGCGTTCATCATGTTTCTGCTTGAGGCTCTCACCTGGATGACGGCGCTGAACCAGCAGGTGTTCCCCACGTTTCTGATGCCCACGGGCCACTCGTCCTGCCGGATCCACTCTGCCGGATTGCACATGTCACTCTGAGCTTCACTCCTCTTCCTCTTCATCCTCGCTGCGCTCTCCTCAGCGCTAGCCTCCAGAGCCCTGCAGGAACATCAAGAAATACAGTCAGAAACATGTAGAGGACATATAGTTAGACTCTCTGCTCGGTGTAAATAATAAACAACTTATAATACAAGCGCAGTCAAGTGGAACCTAGTAACCTGCTTCCTGTCAGACTCAATAAACAGCCTGTAGGAAAATAGAGCATTGTAGGTAATAGGGCAAAAGTATCTCCGCTCTGACACCTGTTCGCTGGAACATCAAGAAATACGTTTATAAACACTTCCTGTCAGACTCAATAACCCGCCTTTAGGAAAATAGAGCATTGTAGGCGCTAGGTAAAAAAAACTCAGTGTGTTTCTCAATCGCAAGTACGCTTGCTTGGTAGCACATGTCTGCCGAGCATCTTGCTTCAGAAGCGAGTCAAGAATACTTCCTGGCATTCGGAAAACAAAGAGTGGAACAGGCTAGCAAGTGTGCAGGTGTGCGTCATACGAGAGGCCCCGCCTTACATCTTCCGCCACAGATTTGGGGAAATTGGTCCGTGCGCAAAGCATTGTGGGGATTTTAAGACCGCGGAGTCTACTCATGTGCAGCCTCGATATTTCTCCAAACGGAGTACGCCGGGCTCGGTAGATTTCCAAGTATGCTGGAGATTGGAACAGTCCTTCGGCGGCACTCGATGACGTAGTATGCTTGAAATAGTGGCTCTGAAGCAGCTTTACTCGCGATTGAGAAACACCCTCAGTGTCCACATCGACTGTTTTCATTAAAGTAAGTAAATAAAAACACATGTATATAAAAAGCAGGTTGTGTTGTACCTGTTGAACTCTCTCTCCTCCTCCTGGGCATTCTGGGACTCCTGCAGGCTGAGCTCTATGGCCGTCTGCAGCTCATCTTTAGGAAGTCCTGAAGAAACACACAATAATAAGTAAGTACAGTACTTGAGAAAATCTACCAAGTTACCTTCGACTATTGCCATCTCTCACACATTTACTTCTGGCACTCAGCTATTACTCCATATATTGTCAATCAGGAGACACTGACTCACATGTATATATTCAATTGTCTGCACTCAAATATAGCGCTTTTCTAATCCAATCTAATATCGTGCACACTTGTTTAGTTCCCAGCGTACCTTTCTGTTTGTCCCAGGCCTCTGCAGACGGCTCTGGAGGATCTTCAGGATCCTGGAGCTCTGCAGGCTGATTGGTCAGCAGCCCGACGGCATGGCCGATGTCCCCCTGACTGGCCTGAGAGACGAGAGATCAGGGCAGAACATTTAGGAAATAATATGGTTATATAAATATGTATTTTATTCTAATATAGTGCCCAATTTTCCTGTGGGATCAATAAAGTATTTTTGATTGATTAGTTGATGAAGTATTCCATTATTCCACTCAGGAAAAGTTATTTCAGTCAGTCTTCATTTTCTGTTAAAGGTCCCCTATCATACTGTTTTTCATCAATATATCACAGGTCTCAGATATATACAGAGCCTGTCTCTGATTGGCTGAAACACCAAACAGATCATTGCAGCATTACCCATAATCCCCTCTGTTTCAGCCCTGTTTCCAAAGTGCTGATTCTCTGTCTGTTACTTTAGATGAAAATAAGGAGCCCCTCCCCACGCCCCTCTGAGAGAGATTTGGTTACAAAGAACTCAATGGTGCTCTAGGAGGAGATTCAGGTGATAAGGGGGGGGGGGTTACCTTGGTTGCTGATTGGCTAATGGTTACACAAGACAAAACATCGTTATGACATCATAAAGTGGCCAAAATCTGATCAGCTCATTTTCAGACAGGTTTTTATAGAAATGGATCAAAAAGAGAGAGAATCTTTGTTCCTGAAACTTTCAGAGTCTCTTTCCACAGAGGGGACACATGTTGATGAAGAAGAGACATGAAGAAGAGGGGACACATGTTGATGAAGAAGAGACATGAAGAAGAGGGTACACATGTTGATGAAGAAGAGACATGAAGAAGAGGGGACACATTTTGATGAAGAAGAGACATGAAGAAGAGGGGACACATGTTGATGTAGAAGAGACATGAAGAAGAGGGGACACATGTTGATGAAGAAGAGACATGAAGAAGAGGGGACACATTTTGATGAAGAAGAGACATGAAGAAGAGGGGACACATTTTGATGAAGAAGAGACATGAAGAAGAGGGGACACATGTTGATGTAGAAGAGACATGAAGAAGAGGGGACACATGTTGATGTAGAAGAGACATGAAGAAGAAGGGACACATGTTGATGTAGAAGAGACATGAAGAAGAGGGTACACATGTTGATGTAGAAGAGACATGAAGAAGAGGGGGCACATGTTGATGAAGAAGAGACATGAAGAAGAGGGGACACATGTTGATGTAGAAGAGACATGAAGAAGAGGGGACACATGTTGATGAAGAAGAGACATGAAGAAGAGGGGACACATGTTGATGTAGAAGAGACATGAAGAAGAGGGGGCACATGTTGATGAAGAAGAGACATGAAGAAGAGGGGACACGTGTTGATGTAGAAGAGACATGAAGAAGAGGGGGCACATGTTGATGAAGAAGAGACATGAACAAGTGGATTTTGCATAATAGCTGCTCAACAAAGGAACTCAATCCCATCTACAATCAGATTAGTTTATTTAAATCCCAACTCAAAACATGGTTAGTGAAGAATAAGCTCTGAAACACTGACAGCATCTTCTGCTCCTTACAACCCACTGCCTGTGTTCCAACATGTTCTTTTTGTTTTATTATTAAGATTTCCAGTACGGTATGTTGCATGTTATTATTTGATTGTGTGTTTACAATTAAATATGTCTTTAGGGTGATTTACACAATCTGTCCAGGGATTACAGACGAAACATAATCTCTTGGCTAACTCTGGCACATTTACAGAAATGTTGATTAATGTGCACTGACCCTGTTAAATGAATAAATGAATAAATGCCTGCAGAAGACGTACTAATGCAATACACCATAAGGATGAAGCAAACAAATATGAAATGCATGGTAGTGCGTATTTAAATGAGCTGAGTGGACCCCTTTAAGCTGTGGTATAATATAAATACTTTCATAATATGAATACTTAAGTGCCGTGATATGAGTGGTTACAAAGTAATTCACTTATAAAGTGTACTTAAATACAGTTTTGACATTTAATGAATATTTCCTTTCTATCCTTCATTATGCTTCTAATCCTCTTCATTTCAGAGTGTTGGGGTGAGATGATGAAAGGATAAAAGCTCATGATAGTTTTTAGGGTCTTACATTGAGGGCTCTGCAGAGGATCTGAGAGTCCTGGATGCCGGTGATCTCCCTCAGCTGCTTCATCAGGATTTCACTCTGCTGAGGACACACAGGAAATAAAGAAATAGTCAAGCTTGAGACGGGAAGTTTGGGTTATTGATGGACTTGATGGACTTCCATTTTGGCTGAGAAAAAGGAAAACTTTCCCACAACTGGCTATACTTTGGGTACAGTTAAAGGTGGGGTAGGTAAGTTTGAGAAACCGGCTCGAGATACACTTGTTGTTATATTCCATGGAATGCTCTTAACATCCCGATAGCAATGAATATCTGAAGTGCTTTGACAAAAGATCCATAAATAAATGTAATCTGTGGAAGCCGTAGTACTGTAAAAAGCACGACCAATCATCTGAGCCGGCCCGGCTAAAATAACTGGATGGCCTACCTGCCTGTCAGCCTTCCATCTGTGCACAAACTTATCTCGTGCCCTCATTGGTCATGTGCGCGTTCGTGTGTGTTGGAGGAGGGGCTCTGTGAGGAAGTGGCAGATTTTTTCCGGCTGTGTATTTTCTAATTCTAGCGATCTCGAGCCGGTTTCTCAAACTTACCTACCCTACCTTTAAGGGCTGTGAAATATATCAATATTACATTGTGATCATTTCCTTTATTTAAAGGATGCATTGCAGGGAAGTGATGTAATTTTCTGAAATTACCAATATTTATATTATTTGCCTTTACCCACTAAGCCATGATATATAAAATGATAATGATTATATATCAAAAATATCAATGTGAAACTATTTTGTGAAATTACAAATAGTCAACCCTACAATATCGTCGAAATATAAATATTGAGGTATTCAGAAATATTTTTGATATATTAATTTCCACATATAGCCAAGCCTTAGTACATTATTGGTGTAACAGGAATAGGAAAATAATAATATTGTAGGTTTTGCAATATAGCTAATTTCCTACCACTTCTTCCACATAGAAAGTAAATATATTTATTTAAAATGATTCGTTTCTAACCGAGATTGCTCCATCTTACATTACATTTAGCTGAATTATACACATTCAGAACAGCAAGAATACTTCAAGTACATCAGCTTCAAATAATCCATGAGTCATGTTCTGCTGTTGGGAACATGCTTCCCCCATGAAGATTAAGCTTATGTGGGCCTCACTGTTAGCGTGTGACGCAGAACACACGGGGTATAAATGGATCTGAAGGACAAATGCCAGCCTGCATGTCAGGCCTGTGTCCATGAGGCAGTTTGAACAGGACAATGACTGAAACAAATTCAGTGGCTTCAAATCATTAAAGAAGTAGATTGACTTTTCATAATGTGCTTGTTCACTTTCTTCCCAAAACGTTACACAAGAGGAAAATACTGATTTCAGCTATAAGTCAAGTACATAACCTGCAATTAAAATGGCAAATATTCACATTTACTCTTCAGAGATTATAATTGATGGATCATGTGTTTTCAGTATTTCCTCAAAGCTAAGCTAACTAGCTGCATAGTATTTACTACACTGACAAACAGGAAGTATTCAGATCCTTCACTGAAGTAAAAGTACTAAAACCCAACTTTAAAAATACTCTGGTACAAGTAAGATTCCTGCATTGAAGTAGAATCAGCAACTTGTAGTTTGTATTGAATGCAAAAGTTCCTAAAGCGAGAACATCTCGATAACATTTAATAATAACTTATATGTTAAAGTCGACCTATCATGCTATATTTGAATAATATAGTGTAGGACCATACCTATATAAGGCATATTTATACTTTTTTCTTTTCAAAATACCAAACAGATCATGCATTTTAGCCATGCCTCATTTTGCTCAATTTGACAATTTTCAGCTCTGTTTTAGCAAGGGCTGATTCTGTGAGAACAGCACCATCTACAGGCCTGGCATATGTACTACAGCGTCTCCAGCGCTTTAGAACGGCAATGGCCGTGGCTGTCTCCTCCTGATTGGTGGAGTTGGCCCAATAGCCGTAGCGCCACCGTCCTGACGTCAGGACAGTGTTCAAATCTGGATCAGTTTTTATCAGATCCGTTGCAGCCCCTTTTTTAGAGATTTGGGTATGGAGGAAAATAGAGAGGGTTGTGTTTTCTGACACTTGGTGAGTTCCCTGGAACACCGGGGACACATATTCATGTAGAAAAGACGTGCAAAAGTGCATTTTGCATGATAGGTCCCCTTTAACTTATATGTTTATAGATGCCAATGAATTTTTGTCACAAAAAATCTCCTTCTATAAACTGTAATTGAAAAACAAAACATCATATTTTAAATTATAATGTAAACTGTTCTTTATTCAAACATCTCAATTTGTAAAGTAGCTAAAACTGTATTATGAGTAAAAAGTAGAATATTAATCTTTGAGTTGTGGTAGAGTGAAGTATAAAATTGCAGATAAAGAAAATACTCATGTCAACTTGAGTAAATGTACTTTGATACATTCCACCACTGTATATTTCCCTAACTGTTCCTTAAATGCAGCGTTTGAAGACTTGAAAAAAGTGTTTTATCAATGAATTATCATCTTGTGTTGAGAGACATGTAAAATAAACTACTTGAACCTACTGTGTCCTTTAAAACAACACAACAAATATATTAAGGAAACCAGTTGTGCAACATGAAGACATTTGTAAACACACACTCAGAAAGGCTGTCATATGTTTTGACTTCATAGACATCATGAGTATAGCAATAACACAAGTCTGCTGAGTGAGAGGCGCTATATAAAGCCCGCTGTACCTACCAAACACACACACACACACACACACACACACACACACACACACACACACACACAACACACACACACACACACACACACACACACACACACACACACACACACACACACACACAGGCTGAGCAGACTTATATGGAGTCGGGGGGCTATCTGAGACCCTCTTGGTTAGCCTCTATTTTGGGCCGCTGACATGGATAGCACAGGCTCTGTTTATCATTCCACTCACCATGCCACCAGACCTGAGTGACAAAGGCACTGGGTCTCTCTCTCTCTCTCGCACTCAAATGGACACACACTCACACTCACACACACGGACACACACACATACACACTCGGACACACACGGACACAAACATCCCTATGTCAATACGAAATGGGAAAGAGAGTCATACAAACAGTAAAACAATAACAAAGATGTTATTCTGTTGAGTCATTAGTACATTAAATCATTTGGCTAAATATAAATATGATTATTATAAAGGCTTATTGATAAAGATACTTTTGTGGATGGCTAAAGAGCAAAATGATGATTATAGTATAGGCTAATCGTCAAACTATATCCTCTTTTTGATTGTTAGAAGTCAAAAACAAAAAGCTTTTATGTTTGTTATAGGCCTACAGCTATGACGTGTCCTTTAAAATAAGCAACTGACAACATACTGTAACACTTAAGATGTTAACATTGACTTCAGCATATGTTTATTATATTAACTGGAATAGTTAGCTTTTAAAAAAACAAACGTCAGAAATTCAACGAGCAAATATGCAGCCAAAAACTAGCTTATAAATGATCTGCTAGCTAGCTTACTAGCAACATTTCTGAAATAAGATGTTAATAAAATACGATCTTGTCTAAATATTATATTAAAATCAGACTTAAGATGTGAAGCTTTTTATCATTTATTTACTATAGTAACTGGATAATAAATAGGCATCCTTTTTTTTTTTTTTTTAAATAAACCAAATGGCAGTAAGTTAGCGAGCTAACACGCAGCTAAGAAGCTAAAGGAATATGAACTGCTAGCTCGCTAATAACAAACAAATACGATTTAATTGAAATAATGTTAAGTGTATTTTATATGTACTTAATTCAAATCTAGTCTAGTCTGACTATTAGGATTTTATTTTAGATTTATATTACATGTTATTGTCACAGTTCAATCATCACACCAGAAAGTGAAAAGATGAATAAAGTGAATGATATTTCAGTAAATTCACATTAAAATACATAATGTATACTATGAACACATATCTTTGGATAATGTGCACATATAGAAGCACATGTATATTAGTTGCAAGGTTTAGGCATATTAAATACATGTTGAAATTAATATTAAATAAAGTACAATGTTATGATAATGTTTAAAGGTGTTTTTTAGTAGTGTGAATATAAAATGATTTTGAACATAACTTTAAAAGTGGGCATTTTAGTTAAGCCTACAGGATTTAGACCCTAGTTTAGAAGCTACAAAAATAAGCTTTATTAATATATTGAGCATTAAACAAGTACTAATACTACAGTCTTAAAAATACTCCATGACATGTAAAAGTCCTAAATTGAACATTTTAAATGAGAAAATGGAAAACTCGACTGAATCTACTTAGTAAGATTCCTGTCTAAGTATTATGATGTTTGAAATGTCAGTGTTTTATTAAATGATGTTAAAAGAAGCTTTGAGGGTTTTTAGTACAGGTTTGGACCGTTAGTTATACAGTCTGTGGTTTGGACAGGGGTTAGTGTTCACGTTAGTTCCTCGTGTTATATTGTAACGTTAGTTCCTTCATCCTCACCGAGTTCGTTGAGTTCTCTCCATTCTCGATCTGTTCCCCTCTCATTGCAGATTCAATTAAAACTGATTCCCTCCTGTTTTTCAATAAAAAAATGTCTTTGCTTTGAGTCCGAGCGCGAGTCACAGCAACCACTCCATCTGTCAGTCCGCGAGAGCAACCGGCCAGCTGCGCACGCTCACCTGTTAAAGCACGCGCGTGCACGAAACGGTCGCGACGGACGTGACAGGACAGATTTGACTGTTCCGGTTTGGAAATAATGTATTTATAGAGAAGTGCTCTAACAAAGATATATGTAACACAAATAGTAATGTTCATGTCTTTGTATTAAAGTATTATATAATCAATGTTGGAAGTACAATTACTCAAGTATTGTACTAGTACTACCACTTTATAATACTTAAAAAACGTGTTACTCACTATATTAACTTACAGCTTTAATAACTTACAATAAATGATTTGTGATGAATTGAAAAAAAAACACGCTTTGTCAAATTTAACCCATAAGAACCCTACTTTTGGGGAAATTAAGGGGAACATAATTTAGACTAAATAGACCACCAAGAACACATTTCTGACAAGAACCCCCCCCCCCTAGTGTCAAATATCTTAAATGTGACATTACATTACACGTAATTTGTTAGACGCTTTTATCCAAAGCGACTTACATACATTCAGTACTGTGGTCAATCCCCACAGGAGCAATTTGGGGTGAAGTGTCTCAGGGACACAACGACATGCTGACTGCAGTGGGACTCGAAATTGCTACCCCCTGATTCGAAGTCCAGCACACTAACCACTGAGCCACAGCCACCGACATATATGTCACATTGGGCTTTAATGGTAAAATAACTCTTATTTTTAACTTAATTAATGAGTATGATTTTTTGGTTTAAATTAGTTTGAACATTCTTTGAATTGAAGAATAAGAACATATTAACTCAATATAATTGAATCAGATAAATTAACTGAGCAGATCATAATCATATTTCTAATTGTGCATATATGTCACTCCGGGTTTACTGTGGAAGTTTAGGGTTAAAGTCCCGATGTGACAACAGTGTCACAGCGATATGTATCTCATTTGTGTCATATCAATTTGATCAATAAATGTTTCCACAACAGGTTACATGTAATAAAGGACATGTTATGTAAGCATTTTAATTCTTAAATGGCTTGAATTTGACCTTTTCATAATGTCTTCCATTTTTGTAAAGCACTTTGAATTGCCTTGTGTTGAAAGGTGCTATATAAATAAACTTGCCTTGCCTTGCCTTGCCTTGCCTTTAGCAACAACAAAAAAAGCTTTTGAAATGTAGCTAGTTATGTCACATGTGTTAGTCTGGCACATGGACATCTTGGACATGTTGTTATGGGAACACTAAATCACATGACCTGGCCCATGACCCACCAGACTGTTCAGTGTGTGTCACTGAGGGACTTCATGAGATAAAATACTTTCCAGAACATTTAAAGTTTATGTGACACCCGTGTCACGGTGGGTCCTTATGGGTTAAAATGTATTTTGATGTCTTTCAAATGAAATAAAAGACAGAAAAATGTATATTTATTAAGAAGTAAGTTAAATTAAGATTGTGCAATAACAAATAAAATCGAAATATGTATATAAACATAAGAAGTTGAAGTAAAATGTCCAGTAAAAGTCAAATAGAATAGAATAAATATCAAATCAAGGTTTATTTATAAAGCACATTTAAAAGCGATTTTTGGTCGGGCCAAAGTGCTGTACATGTAATAACTACAATCACATAAAAACACATTTCTATAATCACAATAAAAGAAATATACATACAATTATAATATATAATAGATTCAGATTCAAAATACTTTATTGTCCATTAAATGTACAAGTAATGGAATTTGTACCGTGGCAAATAAAATAACACTCACAATCCACAATGATAAATAAAATGCTGAATTGCGTAGTTGCGAAAGTTTAGAAAGTATCCTCTATTTGTTGAAACCCCTTCACAATAACAGAGTGAAGTTGAAATGCTCCTCTGTAATGCAGCGACACACACCTTCAGGGAGTCATTATGGGATGGATCACCTTACCCAGCCAGGGAAAATCGATATCAGTGAAACCAAAATGTCTGCACTGCCCGTCATTGTTGTTTCCCTACACAGCGTACGCTACTCTTCAAATTGTGGATATTTTTGTGTCAACAAACCAGCAGAAATTCAAGTGAAAATCTGGGTCTTTTTTTTACCGTCATGTTTCTCATTTGGCTCACTCTGCTGTTCTCAGGTAAGACAATTTAATTTCTTACTCTAAGAATTATCTGCAGGTCAGGCTGGGAAATGTTCATATATTTAATCTATATCGTAATATCTGGCTACATATTGTCTTAGGTTGTGAATATCTTTACATTGTATAAGGCTCTTGTCTACATTTTACAAAAATATGTGTTAATATGTTATCAATGTACTCGGTACTTCTACAAAATGTGCCACTTATTGACGAATTACAACATTAAAAAACACTTATATGTATTTTATAATGATAAAAACTGAATAATATAATATTCCATAATGATACAACACTTCTGCACAATGAGTACTTTTACTGTTGATACTCGAGTGCATTTAGCTGATAATACTTCTGTATAGACTGTGATAATAGTACTTTTACTTAAGTAGAGGATCTGATTACTTTTGTCCACGACTGCTTAGCCATTAAAACCAAATTAATGATGATTATTAATCAACATATCATTGTGTAAACATTGTGAAAGCATCAAGCAAGCCATTTGGTTAATATAATAACTCAGTTTATACATGATTCTGAAATGGCCCATTCTGCACAATAAGTACTTTTAGTTTTGGTACTTTAACTATATTTTGATGCCATTTACTTTTTTTGAATGCAGGACTATTACTGTATTTCTACACTGTGGTGAATATACTTTACTAAAGGTACCTCAGTACACACTTTGCTCAGTTTTGACTGTATCTTTGTTTGTGTTTCACCCAGCTCCTCTGGCTGAGGGGATCCCAGAGAAGCCCAAGAGGTCGGCTCTGAACCAGCTGACCCGGACCCTCCTTAGGAAATACGACTGTGGAGTCCGACCCGTGAACAACTGGACGAGCATCACCACCGTGTACATCGACCTGCTGCTGCAGTCCGTGCTGGAAGTGGTGAGGAAAACACAACACATCAAACTTGAAAGGTCACCTATTATGCAAAATCCACTTGTTCATGTCTCTTCTACATCAACATGTGTCCCCTCTTCTTCATGTCTCTTCTACATCAACATGTGTCCCCTCTTCTTCATGTCTCTTCTACATCAACATGTGTCCCCTCTTCTTCATGTCTCTTCTACATCAACATGTGTCCCCTCTTCTTCATGTCTCTTCTTCATCAACATGTGTCCCCTCTTCTTCATGTCTCTTCTACATCAACATGTGTCCCCTCTTCTTCATGTCTCTTCTACATCAACATGTGTCCCCTCTTCTTCATGTCTCTACTACATCAACATGTGTCCCCTCTTCTTCATGTCTCTTCTACATCAACATGTGTCCCCTCTTCTTCATGTCTCTTCTTCATCAACATGTGTCCCCTCTTCTTCATGTCTCTTCTACATCAACATGTGTCCCCTCTTCTTCATGTCTCTTCTTCATCAACATGTGTCCCCTCTTCTTCATGTCTCTTCTACATCAACATGTGTCCCCTCTTCTTCATGTCTCTTCTTCATCAACATGTGTCCCCTCTTCTCCATGTCTCTTCTTCATCAACATGTGTACCCTCTTCCTCATGTCTCTTCTTCATCAACATGTGTCCCCTCTGTGGAAAGAGACTCTGAAAGTTTCAGGAACAAAGATTCTCTCTCTTTTTGTCCTGATCCATTTATATAAAAACCTGTCTGAAAATGAGCTGATCAGATTTTGGCCACTTTATGATGGCGGCGGTCTCGTTCAGGATCCGAAAATACAATTTAAATATTTTGCACACTTATTCCACTTATTCCTAGTGTGCCACTGGTTACGGTGGCACGCGTGCCAAGGGTTGCCGACCCCTGGTCTAAACTAAATTCTGCCGTGATGAAACCACATTTCCGATACTACGTCAAATCAGCTCCGTTATAGCCCCGTTTTTAGAGATTTGGGTATGGATGAAAAAAGAGAGGGTTTTATTTTCTGACGCTGCGTGAGTTCCCTGACGCACCGGGGACACATATGTATGTATAAAATATATCAAAAAGTGCATTTTGCATGATAGGTCCCCTTTAAATTACATGAATGTATTGGCTACAACTTGAACTTTCTCGTTTTCCTGTAGGATGGAAAGACGCAGAGCATAACGACCAGTATTTGGTACAGACAGGTACACGTTTATTTTTGTTTCTTGTGTAACAAACACTTTTCTCCTTCATAAAATCCATATTATAGAAATGAAACAGCTCAATTGTATTGATTTAAAGATTGGAATAAACTTTATCAATTACATCCAGTTTATTGTTTGGGACTTGATGGTGTTTTTAAATGTTTGCTAATCCATAAATGATATAATTGTTCAGATCTGGACGGATGAGTTCCTGGTTTGGGACCCGGAGGAGTTTGATGGTATTAATGAAATCTCTCTGTCCTCTGACGCCATCTGGACACCTGACGTCATCATTAGTGAATTGTAAGAAATTACAATTAGTTCCCATTTTACAGTTTCCTTCAGTATTCAATGTTTACTTCAGATTAGCTCCACGTCAGAAATGAGCATGCTTGTCATATGTCTATCTCCATAGAGGCTGAATCATCATGTTAATCACATAGCTATCATATGCCTCAAACAGTCCTGATGCTCTTCTAGGTAATCATACCTCCTGTCATGTTCACAGCTACAGTTGGGATACCTTTGTTATCATGTTACTCTCATGTTGGAAGAGGACATTCAGTATTTTCCCAACCCTTATCTTATTCTCCTCGCCTCTCCTTCCTGTGTCGTCAGTGTGGACGAGGGGAAGCCCCTCACGATCCCCTACGTGTACGTGAACTCGTCAGGGATGGTGAAGAACTACCGGCCCATGCAGGTGGTTCTGGCCTGCAGTTTGGAGATGTACGCCTTCCCCTTCGACAAGCAGAACTGCAGCCTGACTTTCCGCAGCTGGCTGCACTCAGGTCAGTCTCTGAGATACATAAATAAACAT